TTCATAAAGGATATCTTCTGATTCTTGAATTTTCTTGGAAAAGCTTTTAGCCTCTCTGCTAACAAATGATGGCCAGTTACTATCCAGCCTACTGCAGTATGTGCACACAAAGTTCAGCAAACTGAAGAGACCAGATTTAAGGCTCATTGTCGGTGCTTTAACCACATTGAAACAACATGTTTTCTAAAAATACACTTAGTACACCGATGACCATATGAGTGACCATGATCTCTGATAGTTTTTCTGTGACTCATGTTGTTCTGTGTCTGACTAGGACCCATGTAGGACTCTTACTCACTCTTTTATTCACTAGGGGTTGTAAATTTTTTCTCCCAAAACAGGACTTACACAAGCTTTCGTCCTCGGGGGCATGTTTTGTGTCAGGCAAGAATGATGGGCTAAAGCTGGGCCTGTTTGCCAAATTTAATTTGTTGATTCACGCTACTTTTTTACACGCCTCCTTTTGAAAAAAAAAAAAGAGGACTGCTTATGCTGCCATCCTGGTGTATAAAACTACAGCTGCAGGGGACAATACTATGGAAGCTCTCCAGTCAAAGATGGTACAGACTTGAAATGTTTGATGACTTACTCAATAAGAATGATGGTTCGGAGAAAGTCTAAACTTGTCTGTACGAAAACACTGCGTCATTTGTACTAAATATCAATCTTTAACTGCCCGACCTCAGATGTCGTTCCAGTGCAGTGGGCCGTTCCCATGGGAAATGGAAAAACCCACAGAAGTTAGATTTGCTCACAGTACGGAAGTCTCGTATTTAATAGAGCATAATTAATGTCAAATTTGTCAGTTTTACTCTTGCACTTTAAAATATTTCACGCAATTCTGCCTTTTCGATTACGCAGGCTTTATAGTGTTTCGAAATTGGAATTTCACTCTTTACTAATGCAATTCAAATTGCAATTGCAACACTCCTTGTAGTTTTACAAATTTAGCTACAAACCCAACCACAAACAATGATGTGGCTTATAGCTTTATTTGATTTCTTAAGAGCATAATTGGCAAATTAATGGCTGTCTTTCATCAGATACAAGCACAGATGGAATAAACAAGTTTTTACCTGCATGCCCTGTGACTTGAAAGCAGCTCTCTTCGAGCCACAAACCCATATTTTAATTGATATTGCTTCCCTATTGTCTTTCATGAAGCTTGTACCAGCCTAAGCCTGGGGCTATGTAAAATATAAACGCTAAATACAGGGCAGTTACACTTTTTAATGTTTTAATCTGATCTTTTCACGTGCCTGCTCAGACACATACACTTAGTCATCAACAACAACTACGTTTTGCTCTCAGTGTTGATTTTAGGATAGTCGATGTTGCCATAGAGTCCCTTCTTTATCCTGCCTTCATTTCTTTTCATGGTTTGTTTTGACTGGATACCTGTTCCCAACTCCAGACAAACTACAGATTATTTAATCAACATTTACTCACGTCATAGAAACATGGGTTCAGCATCTCTACAAGACCTCACGTAGAAACTCTTTGGACAGAGCCAGGCTAGTTGTTTAAATGAGTTCTGAATGTTTATGCTGAGCTATGCTGATGTCTGCTGGCTGTAGCTCTGTTACCCCATTAGCTTGGCTTAGCACACAGACTATAAGGTGACCAGACCAGAGCCCTGCTTTGTCTAAAATTCACAATAATACATATTTTTTGTACTGTATGTGTGTGCTGGGCTAAGTGAAGTCAGCCAGCTGCCAAATCAAGCTTAATGAAATGTGTGAGTCACTCTTTTCAAACCTATGAGGACCAAAAAACTGAGACTTTTCATAAGGGGCACCTTTTTTTAGCAGGTAACACTTTTCTATTGGTCAGTTTAGCCATGAAATCTTTTCTCCTTATGTGTGTACACACAGACGAACACTAACAGCCTACTTTAAGAGCTTTTCCCTGTTCCTAAAAGCAAAAACATTTCTGGCACTCAAAAGATTAGATTTAACAACTGTATAAAATGTTTTTTTTATGCAAAATCATGTCACAAAACAGAATTTCCCAAAAGAAACTCACTTTCTACAACAAATATTCACATTTTTAACACTTGGAATAGAAATAGACTTAACTACATGGAGCTAATATTTTGTGTTTTATGTATGACCCGTGGAAGAAGGAGGAGTGAGGTTGTACAATGTAAGACTGATTAACTTACCCCCTCCCTGACGGGGGTATGTAAGCTCCCCTTGGAAAGAAAACTCTTGGGATACACTGGGAGTAAACACTATCTGAGGGCTGTTTCCGCTGCAGTTCTGGCTCGGTTTAGTGGGTATTCATCAGAGCTTGGCAAGCCACTTCACCTCCAACACAGTCCTGTCAGTCGCACCTCCCACGCTGTGAGCTCATAGTCACACCCACATTGATGTGCCTTGTCACACCTGCCTATGATATCTCTACTGTGGTTCCCATGAAACCAAAGATTCTCATCCCACCTCTGTCCCATTTCACAACTTTGGAACCATTTTCCAATTGAGAATTATGATATTATTATAAGAACATGAGGAGGATTATATCTGTCTTATCACTTGGCATAGGTTTGAGTTTCACAATAAAAACTACATGCTGTAAATCTTGAGTAAAATTGATTGAATAAAAGTCTTAGATCTGTTTGTATGTACTATACTGACTGAAGAACAGGCATCCAGATGTCATGTCTCTGAGGTCCATACATCTAATCTATTTTTAGACAGTCCCTTTACTCTGTAAAGGCACCATGCATTACGTCACTCTGTGTGCTGTTTTTCCTGAACACCTTTATCTCTGTCATCTGCTCTCTTTCCCAAACTCTATCCACAAGTCTGCAAGCTAGCATGATTTGGAAAATCCTGATTTTAAACACTAACGTTCTTGGAATGTAAAGAAACAAGTCCGTCACAAGGTTTCTGTCTTTACGTAGAGCTCCGGTGGAGAGTCAGGGGTCAAAGGCTAAATGCTAAGCCATAAAATTTTAACCCAGATCTGTCTTATGATGTCATGGTTTGAGTATAGATTTGAGTGTCTGAGGTCATAAAGATGGGGAAATGTCTTTTTACAAAGAAATGGTGTTGGCAATATTAAATCTCACAATCACACCTGTAAAAAACATAAAAAAAAAAAACAAAGTTTTGCTGTGTTTAAGCATCTAAGTTTAGAGTAGTAACTACACTCTTAGGCCCAAGAAAGATAAAGAAGAAATAACATGAAATTCAACAGAACAGAATTTTATTTGCACCCTTAATGACTATTTGCAGTTGGTCATTATAGGTGTTAGTGCCGGGTGAATCACAGATTTTTAAAGCTGTTTATTTATATGCGAATAATAATTATGTTTATTTATCTTTAACAAACCATATTAAATTCTGATTAATGTTCATAGAGTCTGATAACAGGTATTTAAACTGTTAACATATTTATAATGAGAGCATCTAAGTGTCTTACAGGCAATAATAAATGTGTTTGTCATGCTTTTACTAACACTAATGTCCATAAGCAGCTTTTAAGGTCTTCTGTGACTTGTTACCTATTAATTAATTCTTATCACAAAGACCTTATTAGAAAGTGTTACCAACAGATATATGGTTCTAGAAACCAGACAGGGCCATCTGCAAAAAGACTGGCAATATGGATACTGTAGTATTTTGTAACTTGGGTTTTCCTACAAACTGTTTACCTTGGTTCTTGTCAAGTGAGAAACTAATATATTCATCCCCTCATTCATCCCTCCAGATATTTAGGGCGTAATAAAGTCGACTTTGAAAAGAAAGCATATCTTTCACTATCTAAGCACGTACAGGACAAAGTCAGCCAAGAGATGAGAGGGATCATTTCTACAGGGAGTGCCAGAATCAATTGAAAGGTCCTCACAGGAGCTTCAACTTAATTGACATGTGAAAGCTTTTGTCTCAACCTGTTTCAGCTGCAGAGCGCTGCCTATCATTACTACTTGGACGATGCAGGAAACACAATAAAAAATCAGTAAGAGGTGTTTCTTGTAGGAGCATTGTCTCTTGGTAATATGAGTAAATTAAACAGCAAATACTGAAATACTTATGCAAGAGTCTAGTTTAAATACAAATTATATCCTTTTTCTGTATACAAGTGATGTTTCTGTACATAAACCCTCTCAGGTCTATTTTTTCCATGCACTTAGTAAAGAAATAGATCTGTACATAGATATTTACTTCTAAAGCAGTATGACAAATGATCCATACATGAGGCTTAAAGGAAAGTGTATTTCTTTTAAAAGCACTCTGTTTATGATTTATCTCAACCTTTTCTAAAGCTATCATGAAAGGATGAGATTCACAACTGAGACTTTAACCCTGTTTTCAACAAAATGTGCATCTTTAGTTTCTCCTAAAGGTCTTCTTTAAAATTCAAGTTTGTATACCATATCAAAAGTGGGCTTCATACATCTCCGGAGCTACCTTTTCACTCACATGCCACAAAGACATCCAAATAAAAGGAGATTCCAGTCACACCTCTCTCATTCAACATCAACACATCAAACTTTTATTACTCAATGAGTCCCCTGGTGGCCAGATACGGTAAAGCACACTGAGCCGCTCACCACACAGCAGTCATCTCCTGCTGTTTGTTATAAATATGTACTGAAATCAATACGCCTGTGTGAATATGGAATATAACTTAATGTTATGAATGACTTTTATACACACTCATAACGAGTTTTATATTACCAGTCTACCGGATTAATTGTACCACTTTTTTCGGATCATATGAAAAATAAATCTACAAATATATTTTGGGTAAAATGTCTGCTTTATAAAATTAAGGCTATTTGCCGAACAATTAAAGTTTTATTAGGCCGGAAACGACCACGACTTGGCTCGGGAGTGTGTATGAAATATTTGTCCGGTGATGGAAATTCAGCTCAGGAATGCATTTTCCCCCTCGGTGTGTGCGTCGCGGATATTCCTCTGACTGGTTGTGAGGTAAGACAGCAAGTCCGTCCCTCCGTGCTGCTGCGATCCCATTGGAGGAGAGTGGCGCTCAGGAATGTACTCAAACTGTTTAAATAGCAGTAGTATAGGTGGGATAAGTCAGTAGAATAAGTCAAATCACCGGAATAAACCCCGGAGAGGAGCTCAAACAGACTTTGAAATTATCTTCTGAGAACTGAGGAGCATCTACAGGAGCTAAAGAGGAGAAACGGGAAAAAAGACAGAGGAAGGGACTTTTTCTACTTTTTAAAACCCATTCAAAGAGGGAATTTTCTTTTTAAAGGTTGGTAAACCACTTTTTTATTAATATTTATAGCGACTTATATCTTAAATGTGTTCCCTAACAGTGTGTTTGTTGTTTTTTGGCTGCATTAGGGATCACTTGAGATTTCAAGATGATGCTGTGTGGCATCTTTTTGCTGTTGATGCTTTGGAGTTGTGAAGGCGCAAGGTTGGCAGGTGAGATTGAAATGATGTCTGTTGATATTGAAATGTCAAAAATGTTTTGTTGTTGTATATGTTGGAATTTTTATGCAGGCGTTTTTATGTGCTTACTTTGGTGTTTTTCTTCGGGGTGTTTCTGACTTTTCGTGCGTTTTTACGCACTCTGTCATTACGGCAGCACGAGAACTGAGCGAGCTTTTGTCTTTCTTTCCTCTGACCGCAGAAAGTCGAGATGATAACAGTGTGTTTGACTTGTTCGATCTGGCCCGGGTAAGCAAGAGACATAATGGAGTGAGTCTGGTCAAAGGCGCAGATCCTTACAGCCCCGCATATAAAGTCCTGAACGCAGACCTGATCCCCCCGGTCCCCGAGAGCGCCCTCAGGGACCTCCTCGACTCCATCCAGGCTGAGAGGGGCTTCCTCCTGCTCGTCAACCTGAAGCAGTTCAAGAAAACCAGGGGCAGCCTCTTGACCATTGAGAAGAATGACGGATCCGGACCCATTTTCGAGATCATTTCCAATGGGCAGACGAACACGCTGGATGTCTTCTTCTCCACCGCGAACCAGCAGCAGCACGTGCCCATCGAAGATGCAGATTTGGCCACCGGACACTGGAAGAACATCACGCTGTTCGTTCAGGATGACAGAGTGCAGCTCTACGTGGGATGTGAGGAGATCAATGTGTCAGAGCTGGACGTGCCAATCCAGAGGGTGCTGTCTCAGGAGGTGGCTGACATTGCCAAGCTCAGGATTGGAAAGGGGGCTGCCAAGGAAAAATTCATGGTAAGCAAAGAATGAAAAAGAAATCTTGTATGAAAAGAAAATATTTCTGCCTCACAATGTAAAAAAAAAAAAAAAAGAAAAAAAAAACTTATTGTTGTCATTTCTTGTCTTTTAGGGAGTGCTCCAGAATGTGCGCTTTGTTTTTGGGACAACTCTTGAAGCCATCCTGAGAAATAAAGGATGCCAGAGTGGGGGTATGTATAAAAAATATAATATATTACCATGCTCAGATAAATATACATAATATATATAGAGAGAAATTGTATCGGGCTGAGAATCCTAATCTGGTGAAAAGTGTAGTAGTGTGAATGAGGGGGAAAAAATGCATCGTCTACTTCAGTGAACAGAAATTCATTTGTCTCCTCTTCTCCCCTGCAGCTGCCCTAACTGATGTCATGACCCTGGACAACCCAGTCAACGGCTCCAGCCCTGCCATTAGGACTGATTACACTGGCCACAAAGCCAAAGGTGAGACCTCTCCTCCCCAAACACACAAGTGATGACTCTGTTCTGCTGCTCAGCTATAAACTTAATAGGTTAACTAATTTATTGGACTCTCCTTTCCTCCACTCAGACCTGCAGACTGTCTGTGGCTTCTCTTGCGAAGACATCGCCGGCATGTTTAAGGAGCTCAGAGGTCTCGGGGTGGTCGTTAAACAACTGTCAAATGAGCTCCGCAAAGTGGTAAGCTCCAGGGGCCATCAAGGTCTGATCTTATTGTCACTGTCATTCACCCCCTTTTCTCCTGCCCTCTCCCTCTTTCCCTCTGCATTCTCAGTGCTGCCACTTGTCGCTGGAATTGCAATTACTGGCCAAGTCCTTAATGAGTCCCATGTGAATACACAAATATGTTTGGCTGTCGGTCACATTTGCACTGCTTCGCTAGAGTCAAGCAATGTCTTAATCATGGTGTCAGTCAGTGATTCATTTGTACTGGAACTTTGGCAAAGTGAGACTTTTCCATCCTCCATCCTGAAAAACTCCATTCACACACTCTTTCTCTTTTTTTTCTCCAGTCTGAGGACAGTGCCCTGCTGAAAAATCACATGAACATCTACAGCGGCATTTGCATCCACAATGGCATGGTGCACAACGACAAAGATGAATGGACTGTCGACGGCTGCACTGAGTGCACCTGCCAAGTAAGTGCAATCACACCTCCTAGGGTGCAACCTTTGAACCTAAAACAGCAATAAGCTTAAGAAAGATGCAGAGGTGCTTCCTATATCCTCGCTTTACTCAGTGATAAAAGTGTTGAAAATTTGGAGCTGTTGTCTTACAGCCATCAACATGCCCTCAGCATGGGACCTTTTCCCCACCAGCAACAACTTATGAAAGTTGTTTACATGTTGTGTAATTAGTTAGGTTTTAGTGGGAGACTGTGAAGATAAGTTCTCCTATCAACACTTCAGGAGTGTAATATCCCTGATAAAGATCTCTCCATTGGGAATTATAGCAATTAGACTTGGAGCAGAACCAGAAACCAGTCAGTCAGCTCGCTCATTATTCTTGTACTAATTTGACTGCTCCTTTATCCAGAACTCTGCCACCGTGTGTCGCAAAATCTCCTGCCCTCTGATCCCATGTGCAAATGCCACTGTGCCCGATGGGGAGTGCTGCCCTCGCTGTGGAACACGTAAGCTCCTTTTTTCTTTTAAAACTTCCTGCCCTTTTTATGTGATTTCCTTTACTTGTTTCTCAATAGTTTCCCCCCTGGGATAACATCCCTCATTCTCTGCTTCTTCCGTCCTACAGCGAGTGACTTTGCTGAAGATGGCTGGTCCCCTTGGTCTGAATGGACCCCTTGTTCAGTGACATGCGGCCGTGGCATCCAGCAGCGTGGACGCTCCTGTGACCGCATCAACAGCAACTGTGAGGGCACCTCTGTCCAGACCCGTGACTGCTACCCGCAGGAATGTGACAAGCGCTGTAAGTCACTCAGATTTCCTCACACAGCCATTGTGATAATAAATATTCTCAGTTTGAATGATTCATAAATTAATTGTGCATGTGTTGCTCACAGTCAAACAGGATGGTGGTTGGAGCCACTGGTCTCCATGGTCTTCATGCTCTGTGACCTGTGGTGAAGGGGTCATCACCCGGATACGCCTCTGCAACTCTCCAACTCCACAGATGGGTGGCCGGGACTGTCAGGGAGAAGGACGTCAAACTGAAATCTGCCAAAAGTCACCCTGTCCTAGTGAGTCGCTTCAGCAGCAGAGTATGAATGCTTTGATGAGAGTGTTATAAATCAATGCAGCATACTGAATAATATTTTTCTGATGTATTTCAGTCAACGGAGGTTGGGGACCCTGGTCACCATGGGACAGCTGCACAGTTACTTGTGGTGGAGGAATCCAGACCCGCAAACGTCTCTGCTCAGACCCTGTGCCCAAATATGGAGGAAAGGATTGTGTTGGTGATGCTACTGTGTCTCAAGTGTGCAACAAGCAGGACTGTCCTATTGGTAAGTAATGAAAATTTTTAAAAATATTAGAGCAACAGTCAACAAGAGATCCCTTTTTTGAAGTAATGTTTATTTTTCCCTGCAGATGGTTGTCTCTCCAACCCCTGCTTCCCTGGCGCCAGATGCACCAGCTTCCCCGATGGCTCATTCAAGTGTGGCAAGTGTCCACTTGGATACAGAGGAAACGGCATCATTTGCAAAGACATTGATGAGTGTGTGGAGGTTCCTGATGCTTGCCATACACATAATGGAGCCCATCGTTGTGAGAACACAGAGCCTGGTTACAACTGTCTGCCTTGCCCTGCACGTTTCTCTGGTCCTCAGCCCTTTGGAAGAGGAGTCGAACAGGCAACTGCCAAAAAACAGGTTTGAGTTATTACGTACTTTTTCGCTTGTGGCAAGTAGGCGTGTTGCTTGCAGTCTTTTTAATTCTCTGTAATTTTCTTCTAGGTTTGCAAACCCCGTAACCCTTGCCAGGATGGTAGCCACGACTGCCATAAGAATGCAAACTGCATCTATCTGGGCGTGTACTCTGAGTCAATGTTCCGCTGTGAGTGCAGGCCAGGCTATGCTGGGAATGGACGCATTTGTGGAGAAGACAGTGATCTGGATGGATGGCCAAACACCAACCTGGTTTGTGTGGAGAACGCCACCTACCACTGCAAAAAGGTAGCCAGACCCCACATGGACACAACTCCAAAGACTATTATTACCCGTCTTGACTCCATTATTGTTATGATTGCCTTCTTAACCACTCTTTTGTTCCCCTCCACAGGATAACTGCCCGAACCTTCCCAACTCTGGCCAAGAAGATCATGACAAAGATGGCCTTGGTGATGAATGTGACAATGATGATGACAACGATGGGATCCCGGATGATAGGGTGAGTCATCACAGCATTTTATTTTTGTTCCAAGCTGGGCTTTACCTCAGAAACCAGACATAGCAATCAGAAGTAGCCATCCTTCCTTTGGGCATAAGGAATGTCAGGTCTCCATGTTTGTGTGATTCCACCAGACAGTCAGTGTGGAAAGCAAGTAGCAAAGGAACACTCATTTGATTCCAAAATAAGTCCGATTTGAGGGCAAGGTGGCTTGCTGCCCATAAATCTTCGAGTGGATTTTGGAAAGTTGGGGAAGAAAAATGTTGTGGTCAAAATAACCAGCTTGCTTCCAGTGGAACATCACATTCCAGCAAAAGCTAGAGAGGGAAAAAATCCTTTAACAGCAGGGCTTTGTTCCTATAAATATCTCTGCTTTGAGTAATATCCCATTTCAGAAATATAACCCTGCTTATGAACTTGTTTTAAATTTTAGGACAACTGTCCAAGAGTGTACAACCCTGCCCAGTATGACGCAGACAGGGATGACGTTGGCGACAGCTGTGATAACTGTGTGTTTGAAGAGAACACTGACCAAACTGATACCGACAACAATGGAGAGGGTGACGCCTGTGCGGTGGACATCGATGGTGATGGTGAGTGATTTCTAATAATCCCATACCATTTTTCTCTAATGCCTCTTCTAAGCCCTAAAATGACTACCCTGGCCCCCGCAACTAAGCTTAGTATTTTCTACTCCAACAGGAATCCTGAATGAGAATGACAACTGTCCATACGTCTACAATGTGGACCAGAGAGATACTGACAGGGATGGAGTCGGAGACCATTGTGACAACTGCCCTCTGGAGCACAATCCTGATCAGGTAAATTTGGATCTCATTCCTCTTGCCTGCATTCAAACAGATCCTCTCAAATTGAGGTTGGTGAAGAACAGCCTTTAGTCTTTAGGAAGTCTCATCAAACAGGAATTCTGTTCTCCTGCAGGTTGACTCAGACTCAGATCGCATCGGAGACAAGTGTGACAACAACCAAGATATTGATGAAGATGGTCACCAGAACAACTTGGACAACTGCCCCTACATTCCTAACGCCAACCAGGCAGACCATGACAAAGATGGCAAGGGTGATGCCTGCGACCATGACGATGACAATGATGGCATTCCTGATGACAAAGACAACTGCAGATTGGCCTTTAACCCAGATCAGCTTGACTCTGATGGTAAGTTGGATATCTTGTGTTGTCTTGTTTTGTTGCTCTTTGTCCATGGTTTCCATTTTTGAGATTTTCATGTCTGTATTTCTCTTCTCAGGTGATGGACGTGGCGATGTGTGCAAAGACGATTTTGACCAAGACAATGTCCTGGACATCTATGACGTATGCCCTGAGAACTTTGACATCAGTGAAACAGATTTCCGCAGATTCCAAATGGTTCCTCTGGACCCCAAGGGTACCTCCCAGATTGACCCCAACTGGGTGGTCCGGCATCAGGGCAAGGAGCTGGTGCAGACTGTCAACTGCGATCCTGGCATTGCTGTTGGTACGTCATGTCCAAAACAGAGTCACACAGCAAGTATACAGAAACAAAGCGAGAGCAGAACATATTCTTAACCACTTTTTTCCACTTTCAGGTTTCGATGAGTTCAGCGCAGTTGATTTCAGTGGAACATTCTTCATTAACACAGACAGAGATGATGACTATGCTGGATTTGTATTTGGCTACCAGTCCAGCTCACGCTTCTACACAGTCATGTGGAAACAGATCACACAAACTTACTGGTCTCACACACCCACAAGAGCTCAAGGCTACTCTGGCCTGTCAATCAAAGTGGTCAACTCCACTACTGGGCCTGGTGAGCATCTGAGGAATGCCCTGTGGCACACTGGAGACACCCCTGGACAGGTGAGAAGAAATTCATTAACTTGAGATCTGAACATTAATGAGATGCAATATTTGGTAATTTTCTTACCCTAACCTTCATATTTGATCTTTTTTTTTTTAGGTGCGCACTCTGTGGCACGACCCAAAGAACATTGGCTGGAAGGACTTCACTGCCTACAGATGGCATCTGACTCACAGACCTAAGACTGGACTTATTAGGTGAGTTTACAACCTACAAATCAACCAATTTGATATACTCCCTTTCTTCTAATCAAAACATTAAGAAAATGAACTAATGCAAATGCGCTGTCTTTTTCAGAGTGGTCATGTATGAAGGCAAGAGAATCATGGCTGATTCTGGAAACATCTACGACAAGACATATGCTGGTGGACGACTAGGCTTGTACGTCTTCTCTCAGGAAATGGTTTACTTCTCAGACCTCAAATACGAATGCAGAGGTAAGCTCATTGGTGATGATTTAGGATTTCAGACAGAATGGTCTTAACATGCCAGAATAAAATTATAACAAGTGTTTCTTCAATTCTTTCAGATACATAATTGGACCACTGAGACTTCCAGTCAGGATCAGCCTGTCAGTATGAGTATTTAATACAAGACCTGGATCAATATCTCTTTAACTTCTTCTTTTGAAAACTGCACATTTGGAGGAATGACGAGCAAGTGAGCGAGCATGAGGAGATCTGACCTCTGGACTCAGAGCCAAATGAAAGTTTAGTGATGATTCTGCACCACTGCACCAAACTCAAATAGTGAGCGCAGCTCTGCTCAGAAGAAATTGGCCCCCTCACTCTGTTGGTCTGATCTGCATTGGAAGGGGGCCATATTTCATCGCTTTGCACACCAGAACTGTTGTCGGTTTTCCTCTGTGGATGAGGGACCAAAGGAGAGAGTGTTCCATGATGTTAATTATTTTTTTTAATTCTGTTTTTGAGCATTACTATACATCTGCTGTGGACTCAAAGATACTTGTGTAAGCATGAAGATGGCAGTGGGAAGACTTTCATAGACTGGGGTTATGATACCCATTGAAGGAACTGTTGAGGGACCACGGACAGTATGGACTGACTGTTACTATCAAAGAGAGTGAGTGTTGTTTGTGTGTATGTGCATGTGTGCCACCCAACAAGCATTGTTAAGGAGTTAAACCAGTCAAAAGTTTTAAATTTGGTTTCTTTGAAAGACTGCCCATCCTACTTTAAAGCAGACGTGCACATGCGTGGTCTTGTATTTAGCCACAGCATAGGGCTGGCCCGGAATATTCATCTTCTCAGGAAAAAGCACTAGAGGAAATGAGGAGAGCACAAAATTCAGGACAGCACAGGGCCCCAAAGCAGAGACACAAAATACTGCTTTGGAACAGTAATTATTGTCAAATATTATGTAAATATCTCAGACAGTTTCAAGGGACGAAAAGAACATGGGCCAGTCTATTTCCTGCCATGAGTAAACCTATGCAAGACTTTATTCACTTATTCATCATAGAAGCTTTCATCTCTGCAACTGGCTTACTTAAAATGTCAGCAACCTATTACAAACATCTCAAATCTGTACCCTTATGGCAAGATTTTGCACCATATTTGACCTGAATTGTAAAAACAATAGGCACCGCATACAGGAACTCTAAATATTTTGCTTCTGCAGTGTGCATGACTGGTGTGCCTGAGCTTGTGTGTACATTTCTGACAAGGGAAAATCAAAAGAAACCCTTTATGTACAAATATTACCTCATTAATTCTTTTTGTATTGAGGCCAGCAATACACAAGAATCACTTGTCTGAGCAACAGAGTATAAATTGGTTGGCTTCTTCTTCTTCTTCTTTTTTTTTAATGCGAGACCTTTTTATCATTTATATGCTGTATATAAGATATTTTTGTAGCGAAAGAAGCCCAAACAGGAACGTAAAGGAATTAAAAGAAATGTTATCTTGACTTGTTTTGTGCTAAATGTATTTCCTGTGCATTTTTTTTTTTGATAAATTATTGTTTGTTTTATGTTGAGGTTATTTCATTTGTGTAGATATATGCTATTTAAATAATTTATCTAGAAGCGTAGCCTCATATGGAAGCGTTTCTGTCTGTATAAACTTATTTGCACACTGACACAAGGATGTCTTTGTTATTTTGGTTTTTGTATGTGTCTTTTTTTAATTATTAGTGAAGCTTTTCTATAAACTTTGTACTATAGTTTCTACCCAAAGTGCTGTTTATACTCCTACCTGGTATTTTGTAATGTCAAGAGAACAATAAACACTTAAGGAAAAAATGTATCTTTATTGTTTGGTGTCTTTTATGGCAAACAAATGGTTAAAAACTTATAGACTTGAACTTCCTTCTCAGCAACTTTTTGATATGTCTCCTTGGATTGAGGTCCTCTCCCTTGAATAGACAAAAGGAGCCGAGCCGTGCAATGTCAAGCAACTGGAATCTATTAGTTGAGTCTAGTGAAGCCTTGGAGAAAGGGAGTATCCTTGGGAGTCAAAAGCAGGAAAACATAACATGAAGTATAACCCACTTAAACTGCACATCCAGATCTGATTACACATTACACAGGCATCTCCTTACACCTTCAAACAACAGCACTCCACGTGAGAGGTAGACAGAAGGAATTCAGAAATGAGCTGAGGGAGTGAACTTGAGTTATAACTCTCTTCAACCAGACTGTGAAGTCAAATTCCAAAGTTGTCTCAGTAAAACTTGTCAAAGTGGGCGATTCATTCACAATAAGACCAGTAATTCATCAGCAAACTGAATTTAGACGGCTAATTGAGCTGTTTCACAGGACCAGTAAGAGCTGTAATCTCAGGCACCAAGGAGGCTTTCTGCCAGAAAAACCAGACAGTCTCAGTATGCCGCAGGTCTCCTTACATTAAGAGTGACCTCATTCTTACCATACTGAGCTCACCAAGTTTCCATTCTCCCAAACGAGCGGTATATCTACAATACCAAAATGAGACTGACGATTGCACAGCTGGCCTTTGCAAAACAGTCAGAAATGCAACATATGCTGCAGATAAAGCCTTGACATTGAGAATAAAACAGAAAAACGTTTTATCTGTCAGGGTCAGTCTGAAAACAGCTTGCGTGCTCTCTCTTGGACGTGTGTAAAGGTGTCTGTTTAGATTCCCTGACAGATAGCGCTGCAGGTCTCACTGATAGCAGAACTCTGCTTTGCAAGGCTTGACCCTAGGGGCTCACCTGGCCGACGTGTTTTCAGTCCAGAGGAATGTGAGATAATTCCTGCCGTTTACACAGGGTCAGCATGGATAGGAGGGGTGAAGAGTGAGACTAACAGGCCCGTAGGTGTCCAGTACCAGAAGAGAGGACAGGCAGGACCTCTGAGCTGGGGGTCAGCCAGGTGCAGACTAGCTACTCACACAGAGAAGGCCTGTGTCAACAGCTTCACAAATCTCCAAAACAAAACAAAAGCTTGAATCTCAAAGCTGGCCCTCTTCTGTCTGCATGGTCACGTTTCTTTGAATAAAACAGGGGATACAAGCGGTCACACAGGGTCCAAATTCAGGGGATCCCTCTCATCTGACCCACTCTGAAGCAGATCACCTATAGAGGTAGGAATGAGAGGAATGCTTAGAGCTGAACTAGATGAGGCTATCACTCCAGTGGGGCTGACACGATACCTCTGTCCTTATTAAGAGCAACACTGGACGCTTGAACTCACATGACCAACTGTGACATATGATAGTCTAAAGGGAAAGGGTTCATACGATGGAGTTTTCAGACCTCACCATACAGACCTGCTGCTGTCATTTGAGTGTTAATGTGTTCACTAGAACATTCTGTGGCCGCTGTACCCGGCTATTAGACTTAATGAAGGCAATTTTCTCTTCTTATATATGATACTTGGGTTAATACAAAGAGTGGCCCTGCTGCTCAGCTTCCTCATGCAGAGCCATTAACACAAATAAAAACAATGGGATGCTATCCAGCTGTTTATTTAAACACAGAGACAAATTAGAATAGAAAATAACAGTTATTATCCACAGTTCAGAGTTATAATCTTTTTTAAAAATCACATGTTTGTGATTAATTATATTACTTTTTAAAAGACAGGGCAGATTTAATCATATTTACATCCAGTTCTGCCTCTCTTGTGATAACCTATTAGTTGTGGGAAAATCTTTTGACAAGTATTCTGATAGCAGGGGTTCAGATGTGGTTTTAATTAGGGTCTGTTAATCTCTCAAGATCCTGAATCCAGCGTTCTGGCAGCTCACATTCATTCAGCAGACTAAGTATCTGCTCCTCAGAGAGGTCTGGTGAGTCAATCTGGAGAGAAAAAGAGAGAATACATATATGGATTAGAATTAAACTAGATTATTATCCATCTATGGTTAATTCCTCACAAGACACCAGCAGAGGGAAACAAGGAAATCTGTATAAAATAAATAACAAACTTAATTTTAATGTGACTTTTCTAGACTGGAGCTTCAAGGTGTCACAGAGGCCAAAATGTTAATATTTGAGCCAAAAACAAGGAGATAAATTCAACAATAAATGAACACAAAAAAAAAAAACGGTATACCTAAAAAGATGTTAAAGATAAGAATGAATTGGGTTGGGAGACAACAACAAAAAAACTTTTTTGATGATTAAAAAAGGGGAAACTAACTCAGTCAATCTGAGTTCCCAAACAGCGTGCAGATTCAGGGTGCACAAACCCAGATTCAAGAACATTTTTACCATTGCATCTCCAAAAGCAGTCAGATGTGTAAAAACTTCAAATATTGCAGACATGTGTCAAAAAGACATCAACCAAACTGAAGAAAACTGACAGGAAGTAACCACAAACTGCAGAATGATTTGAGCTTTGGGCTAATGTTTAGACTTAACAGTGAATGGAAATGTTAAGTTTAGTGTTGATTTGACTCACAATTGGACTGATAAGAATACCAACGCCATAGAAGCCCTGCCAAGTATGGACGCAAATACTATATCTTCACACCAATATCTTGTGTCAGCTCGACTGGACTTGAAGCTGAGGGGTCTTGTCTTTGCTCGCTAGGATGATATTTTGCATAACCGTCCACTTACTATGCATTATCCCTTTTAACATAGTAGGATTTAATACATACAGATATGCTTTTCCAGCACATCAAACATGCACAGTAGACTTCTGGCAATGTCTTCCCACTCCAAACATCCTTCACACGTCTTCAAACTCACTTCTTGACAAATCCCACCATGTGTTGTATTAACGCATGACCTGTGATAACAGTGGCAGTTCATAATCATATACTTCACCACCGCAGCCTTCCCCTGTGCTTAGCTGGAAGCTGTCCGGGAAAAAAAACACTTCAAGTTGGATTAAGCTTTTGTTTTTGTACTGATAAGTCAGATTCCTCTCAGGGTGCGCTTTGGGAGTGCATGTGAGTTCAAGAAGAGACGCCAACGTTCCTAAACGAGGTTATGAGGAAACAGGTCTAAATGAATGTCAGTATTCTTTCATAAGAGTGATGTGATATCTGGCAACTTTAAGACTCCTTTCTGATATCAAAATCTTTGGCCATGTAAACCTTTAATCTCCCAACTTCTGTACTAATAAGGTGAGATATGACTAATTTACCTATACACGAGTGCTCATACACAATCGCCGTCTCTTAGTGTGAGGGTGCAGTACTTTATTTAGACAGCTGCGACTCAACGGTTGATTTGTTCCAGTAATATCGACTCATTACCTTTCATGACACGAGCATTAAGCCAAAAACGTGTCTAGGAAAGCTAGACCTTACTTGTCTGAATTGTATAGTAATCCCAGTCTTCATTCTTGTAGCGTGCCATAGTGAAACTCATGTTTCTAGCTGTAGTACTAAGCTGAACTGAATGTCAATGACCTTAAAATTTTGATGTCCTGAAACACTCCTTTAGTCCTTCTTGACTTGTAATTCTACATTATTATTCTTACTGGCGGGCTATTTGGGGGCAATGGTATGAGCTGTTACCTCTGACTTACAGCCTGTCACCAAATAGGCCAAAGTATTGAGAAATATATTTACACATCAAAAGGATTAAGAGCACCATTATGAGTGTATTTAGAGTTCAACTGACAAACATGTCCTTTTCTTTTCACTCGAATTTTGCTGAAAACATTAAAGAAGCTAGCCAAAACATCATAAATAGTTGATAGATGTTCAGAGTAGCTTCTGGCTGCGTGTTATTCTCAGCAGGAGAGTAAACTAGAGTATTTCAATCACTATGTCCTAGATTCAAAGATACTAATTCAAGTCTTGTAAAATGATAAACATATTTTTCATATTCAAACATTAAAAACTATGAAAACTTGCATGTATACTGAACCTCGGGCCCAGCACTCTTTCCTCAAAAAAAGTATTTTGCCCACGCAGTTTGTTTTCGACTCTTCACCACATCCTGCTGAGTCACTTGAAACTCGCACACATTCCCATGTCTCATGTATCCCCACTAACTTCAGCTAATGCTGTTCATCGATCATCTGTACTCCTACTTTGACCAGACCACCCTCTGAAATCCCCCAGCCCCTCACCAGGACCCAGTTGCTGATATAGATCTCCACCAGACAATCCTGTCCACGTTCAAAGTCCTCTAGAATGTAATGACACCCTCTAGGTCACGGTGGGTTGGACTGTGTTATTCATTTATGACCCCCGCAATTACCCAAAAGCTGCTCATCATCTCCTACCAATGGATAGGAGACCACAGGCAGCAGGGACACATTCCAGCCTAGACACCCCCTGCAGCGCTGCATGTTTTTGTCCTTTGACATGCTTGTAGCAAGATCTGGCCTTTGGCTATGGACTTGACCTTCACCTTTTAATGGTTTTCTAAAAGTAGAGAAGGGGATAAAGTGCATGTGTGTGGTAAGTGTGCATTTTCGCAGATGCATGTTGTCATACGCATGGTTAGCTTCCCTCCCATGTTTATTCTACACTGAGTTTTAAAAGCGGAAAGGGAGATCCCATTTGCTGTATAACAACTTCACCATAAATGTGCCCCATTATACAGTAAGTGAGCCATAACTGCAATTTGAGAGGGATAGCAAAAAAAAGTCACTAGTCAATTACAGGCATGACAGAGTGTCAGTGTTCATGAATAGAACAATAAAAAGGGCCCCGGCTGACTGGATAGAAACAACTCAGACTTTCCTACTGAGAGGAGAGAACAGAGATGGAAGAATGAAAGAGTGTTTTTACTGCTGTGACAAAATGCTGCAGCTCTTTAAACCTGCTTGACCTCAGGTGCTCTTAATACTAGAGAGGCCAAGGGTGTCTGTGGGTGACTGATCTGTGTTTTCCTGTCTGACTGTCTATGCCAGTTAAACTTAAGTGTTACATCTAATTTAGGTCTAACAGTCCCGGGCTACCAGACACCACTTTTATTTCAGTAAACCCGGGTGAATACAGCAAAAGCCCTCCAAAGAAAACGCATGTTATGATTGACTGAGGTGGTTCCAGAGACTTCCTTTCCTCTGTTGGGGTTATCAGTGAGATAGGACCAACAATGTCAGCCTAGTTTAAGGTGCATAAACATAACCTTTTTATCAGTCTGAAAAGGGTGGGAAGAGAGAGAACTTTGGTCATAACCGGACAAGCTTTTTTTTTTTTTTCAGCTGCCATGTGCAGTTTTACATGCATTTTCTGAGATGTCTTTTTTTTCCTTAAAGAAGTCTTTTTGAAGATCAGTGCCCAGAAGACGTTTGCAGCTGTATAAGCAACAACACATAAGGCAGGTTTTGGAGTTTCACCCAGACATACATCCTCTAGCATACCCATGTGAAATACAAGCTGGAAGTGGAAAATCTATGGACCCACTTACCACTGACAAAATTAGGGCTTTAGACAGGTCTATGGAAAGACATTCACTTGACTTCACAATTTAAGGATAGAATTACAAAAAAAGAGACAGGCACACCTTTTGATTAGGAGAACATACATTCAAATGCAGGGTTCTGTTCAATGATGTCTTTGTTCACAAGCAGTCAATCACTGCTACATTTAGAGCCTCTCTCCTTAACCTGCAGATTCTTTCCCTGCTGTCATGACAGTCTTTTTCAGCCATTTATTCACACAGCAATGCACCGTTGAAGAACGCACTTTAAATGGTTGCTCATGAACCTGACTGATAATTAGAAAATTATAGATTGTGACACGAATGAATGGTCCTAAAAATGATGAGGCAAGCCTGAAGCACAGTGATGAAGGTCTGTATTCATTATCGGGTGTTACTGTCAGATAAGCACATTTATTTGCTCCTTAACTTGTGATCACAACCAACAGGGTCACTGTTTCTGTCTCAGTCTGGCCTGCAGAAGCAAACTCTCTGTCAGTGTCCTGTTTAACAGCTCTTTTAAGTGCAATCCCACAGCCACAATGCTCCATCATTTGTCATGGTGCTCACTCTCCTTGTGGATTTGAATAGTGCCAACCGTGACCATCAGATCCTTGTGTTTTTTGCCCTCCGGACAGGCAACTCATGTTCCTTACTTAAAAACAATGACAGGGTGTTTAAACCCCCAACTCATGGTCACTAGCTGGTATCATTTCCCCACCTACAGATCAATCAGACAAAGCGTGAACTGTGTAGCCCTCCAGCTTTCTGCCCTGCAGAGGACCACCACCTCTGCTCAGCCTACTGTTGGCTCCTGTACACACAGGGAGCAGGACCTGCTTACCAAAAGTGTGGGCTGCTCAGCTTTCAAAGTCACTGACTTCAGACACATACCTCAGCTTTATCAGCCACAGACCCAGGGGCCAGTTGTCCTCTGATACATAAAGGAATTCTCTTTATTACTCTTTAAGTGCTCTTCTTTAAATGTTGAAGCCAAACCATCATATCATTTTTTCCTTCACATCACTGTGAAGCGTTGAGGTCAAAGGGAAAAAAATCATATTTGTCAAATGTCAAATAATGAAGGTAATATAGATCATTTGCCCCAGGGAGACTCTGTGCTACTTTGTAAATATCAGTGACACCTGGCTGAATCCCAATCTCCTCAGTTTACCCCGTCATTTCATGCATGGCTTCTTGCACGCATACCTTTAATAAAAAAAAATAATGTTGATGTGCATCTAAGTTCAAGTTCAGGTTGATGTGACTGAGCAATAATCAGACCTACATGTTAAGCTCAAGTGATGAAGCAGGATCTCAGGTTAGAGCCTAGCTTAGGTTTGCAAACTTGGCTAATTCAGTGTTGAATCTGTCCTTGATCTTGATTTGTCCTCTGAGTTAAAGTGGAAAAGGAAGAGTGAAAGGAAGCTTCAGTGAAAGGAGTGAAGACTATTCCCTTAGGGTTTATAGTCAAAAAGCTCATGAAGTCCCACAGAGATGCTGCCACCTGCTGTGTTGTTTAACTGCTGGATATGACTTGCTATTCTGATTAAAACTCACTGTATCTTTAAATGTAAAAAGTAAGCTAATTCCAGTGCATATATTGCACAATCCTATAGTTTCTTGTTTATAACCCTCAAGAGATATTTCAAGAGTTGAATGTTAAATATACGATGTCCAAAGTGTTTCACAGACTCAGACCTTATAGGAAACTGATATTACTAACCTTAATAAAAATGTCCTCAGATTTGAGGGCAAAGCTGTTTTTCAGGACTTGGGAGTATTAAACATTGGCTCAGTTATTTTTTATCATTCACATTTTCTACCTCTACAATTTGAACTGCATAGACAGACTATACAATGTCCTTATTTCACTGGGAACATAATCTTATGTGAAAAGACTGGTCTGTGATTACCACTAACATACCACAAATACCACGTCTTTATAAGACAATCATTGATGGCACAGAGCAGAAGTACTTGTAATTCTCTGCCACTGATTGAAAGCAGTAGCAGAGGAGAAACAGAGACGATTGTAGGGGACTCTTTTTGTTGAATCGTCTCTATTTCATGAGATCATAAAGAGGGAAAACAAGAGCAGACAGCGTGACACGCCAAAGGCTAACAGCCAGTAGCCAGGGGTGGAATGAAGCAGAGGAGGGTGATGGCTCCACTTTTCTTGTGACCCTAACTCTTGTGTTAAAGTGAATTTGGAAATTCTTGCTAACCTGTAAATGTCTCTTTGATAAACAATGTCTGTCTGATTGGACTGAAGCTGCCCTGCTGGATCTGTAGATGTTCTTCCTTTTGCTATTGTTTTTGGAGTAAAGCCAAATGAGGTTTCAGGAAAGTAAGCTGCTGAGTGTCCTCGCTTTAGATTTGACAGTTGAAAAAAAAAAAGTGTGACAGGAATCGTGTCATCTCCTCTTCTTTTCACTGTATCTCTAAATAAATAAATCATTCAGAGAGCATGCTGACCTCTCTTTGTTACAGCCAACACATTTTGGAAATTCATAGGTGAAAGGTGTTTCTTTGGCAATAGAGATAAATTTCACTGGAACAAGGTGTTGTTTAAATTATAAGAAAGTAGAGCAGAAATGACGCACAACACCACAGGTTTCAGATCTGAGTCCAACAAGGCAGAGCTTTTGTTAAAATAAATCACTGCAAAAGGGTAAACCAGGTAGATCTCTATGCAAACACTTCAGCTCCTATCATCACACACTTACTCAATCAAACCGAAGTGGAGCAGAAAATTTTTAGTCACTGCTGCCATAACCCACTGACACTAACCTTTGCCTCATTCTCTGGACTACACATTGATTAGCATACTTCCTAAACAGAACATTTATATCCAATCAGTCCTGGCAGCTTTTCTTTAGAGACACTGCTACCCAGTGGAGCGCTTTTCAACACTAACTCATAAAATGCTGAACTCTGTTGCTAGCTTTATCTGGAATTCAGGATACATAGAGTAACTCCTTCAGCTTAGAGAAACAGTGAACTTTAAGCTACTTCCAAACCTCTAGTGTTGACTTTAACAAGACTGAACTATCCCTGAAAACCTGTACAGACATACAGGAGATGTATGAAAACTCCATCTTGTACATGCATTAGCAGAAACAAAGCCAGAAGCATTGATCACAAAGTGTCCTCAGCACTATTACTGTGTAAACATATGGTTGAGATGTTGCTGAGAAAAGCTGGGCAGACAAATCACATGCCGCTTTCCAAAGATGCATTCACCCAGGAACAAAACTCCTGAAAACTTCAGAAAAGTTTCAGGCAGCATAAGTAGAGTTAACCTAAATTTTCATCCAGGCTTTTCCCATCAGCCCCCTAGTAAAATATCCTTGTGAGGCTGGGCTGAAAAGATTTGAGAATGTAGCAGGTAGTATTTGGAAAACTTTATTGAATAAGTAAGTGAGTTGGGGGGAGATTAATGCAACAAGTGCAAACACAAAAAAAGGGATGGATATCAACATGTAAGGTCAAATCCTGTTTAAGAATGGGACAGCAAAAATGTCTACACATCAGTCTGCGCGCAAGTAATAGTGGTAATAATGTAAAAGCAATCATTATAGCACAGGTCTCTGCTACTTTATCTGCATTCATGGTGGAAGACTTCACACACTTTGGGCATTTTGGAAAGCAAAGTAACTAAACATATCTAGAAAATTTCAGGGGAGCATGTGTGAAAGAGGCTGAAACAGTTACGGCGTGTCGCTCACCTAAGATGAACCACAAACCATGGTCTTAATTTCCCATCTCTATACAATGTGTCAGGTGGCGTGGATGTTTAACATATTTCTGAGTCTGAGAGAGAGCAAGACCAGCTGTTCCCCCTTTTGATTCGATCTCAAGTCTCACTGTCAACGTGCTGAAGTGTCCTTGAGCAAGAAACTTAATAAATCCTTTAAACTGCCCCTGGTGGCTGTAAATTAGTTAACCTAATACTGATGGATGTTTTGCAGCCTCTGACACCAGTGTATTAATATCCCTAAATTAGTAACTGTGACATGTGACGTGATGTAAAAGCACTTGGAGTGGTCAGAACACTACAGAAAGTGTCTTATAAATACAGTTTTTTTTCATAATCTGATATCTCCTTAACTAATTTGCACTTAACACCAAACTATGCAGAAATCCTGCAGAGTCAGTCTACGCTTCAGGTGTAGAAAGACTATGAGAAGAGAATTGAGCTGCGGATGTGATATAAATCAACTTTATGAGTTGACTGGAGCTGTGTGAAGCTGTTTAAGAATGCCCTCCCAGACAAATTCCATACAAATAAATCTCTGCAAACCACAAAACAAGCCCAGTGGCACTAAGAATACACACAGTGAGTGTGGTGTTTACATTGCAACCACTCGCTGGGTTCAATCATTTAGTCACCATATATAAAATGCTCTGACACAGAGCTAAATGCGAAGAGTGTCTCACAACAGTAGTAGTTAAGAGTGTGGTGGTTTTGATGTTTGGCGATCATAATGAGAGAACAGTTTCCTAAAATGGAGAGTGGCTTCATTAGCAAAAAAATTCTAATTGTGTCTCCTTAATTAAGCTAAGAATAGGTTTGGGTTGCATGACATGGGGCTTTGTTTGAAGTACGGGTGTGGTTGTCAGCTGCCGCATACTGTTTTTACCACTTCACTTTATGTTGGAAAAAAAAGCCGACCTTTCATGTTTAAACGGAGCATGTATACATCAAGAACTGACGTGCCGATGAAGACTTTTGTATCGCATTAACAGCATCGCGGTGAGGGAGAGATAAAGTAGTGTGTTATGCAAGACTGTGAGAAGCTATCCACTTGAGCAATGACAAAGTGAAAAAAAACAGTGTATTATCTTGAATGTTTTTCTATTCCTTTCTCACAAAATTTAAGGTCATAAATGTCAGTGGAAGCAGAAATCAAAGCGGCCCACCTTTGTTCTGTGGGCATTCTTCTGTTGGGTCTGTAGCTACAGGGTTTGGGGAGAGAGTGACAGTTTTGTGGCTGTAACTCTACTGAGGCTCCTAAAGGCAGACAGGGCTCAAAGGTTTCTAGGGAACACTGTGGACACGAAGATCGAGTCGGAGTGAAGAATGCCAGAAAGCAATGAAACACGCCAGAGGACAAAAGGGTATCAGTGGGGTGAACAACCACCCTTTCCATGAAATCAAACCAGTGAACTACTTAAAAAGCACTCGGTACAAAATAAATCGAAATATTGAATTTACACAAAACTGCACATTTTAGAATCAGTGTGTGCTTTGGAGGGAAAGAGAGGGAAACTTTGACAAAGAGGAGGAAATATGGGCCTGCAGAGACACGAAGACTGCATCAGACTCCATCACCCCCTGTGAGACTGGCCTGAGGATGAGCTCTATGCATGTAATAATTTGTCACACACGTGTCCATGGATAGAAGTGCTGAGGAGTATTATGAAGCACAACACAGACAGTGTGTGGATGTAAGTCTCATGTGAGTCTGAGCATATGTTTTGTTATGAGTGTGTGTGTGTGTGTGTGTCTGTGTGTGAATGAACATAGCTTTGAACTCACAGTCATCTCCTGGCTTAGACCCAGGAGCTCCAGCTGCTGATCGATCTCCTGAAGTCGCCTCTCCTGCCCTCTCCTCTCCTTTATATCCTGCAGGACCTTCCCTCCTGACTGCTGGTCCCCATCACACATCCAGCCAACCTGTGAGCCACAGTCCTGATACACAACAGACACAAGGGAGCAAGAGACTCATCTCACATGTGGACCAGCTTGGGTGCTCTGCTAGCTTATTGGCCGTCACTCGGAAACATTAAAATAAAAGGATCAAGACCATAAAACAGCTCATCATTTGAGAGAAATGTTTCCATTCCTTCATGATTCTGCAGTCACAGTGTGCTTATCACTTTTATTGTCATCATTTTGGTATCTGAAAGATGTGGTGGTCAATGCCAAATGTTCTGTCTGTCTTTTTACAGAGAGGAAAAAGTGCAATCAGGTAAGTTTTAAAGGACCCGGTTTCTTAACCAGGGTCTGAATGGGGTCAGTGCACTAATGACAGCCATGTGCATCAGCTCCACATACTGAACCAAGTGGTCAGAAGGAAGGGAGAGTCATGCCCTGAGGAACATCTACAGACTGCTTATCTATTGTTGTTGCCAGATACAGGTTCATAGATTGTGATAAATGCAAGTTATGTAATTCGTTGTTTTAAAGAGGTCTTTGAAATACGTCACCAGCACTAAAATGCTGAGCTACAGTAGAGGTTTTGTTAGTGCAAAAGTAGCAAAGCAAACTGTAGAAAAACTGTAAACTGAAACAAAAAAAAACAAAAAAAACTTTAAAGTTTTGGCCAATTTCAAACTGTAATTATCCATTTTCAACCATCCCACACTTACAATTTTCCAAAAAAAAGATGGATAAAAATGGCAAAATGAAGAACCATGTAGAGGCTGACCAGTAAGTGACCTGTGGTGGGGCCATATTTAACTCTTACTGTAAAAAAAACACACACAAAAAAGCAGCAGCCAGGCTGAAAAACAGTTTGGTCTGGGAGAGGATGTTGCCAACCACAAGGCTGTTTTAGAGTGTCAGTCCAGCGTTGTGCGGTTGAAATCTCCATCTTTCTTGGTTAGTCTGGTTGCCAGAAGGGCTTATGTATGATCTAATATTGTTGAAATTGATGGATATTTCATAAAATGTTGACATCCAGAAAGGGACAAGCGTACAGCGAAATGGTAGGTTTCAGGAGACAGGGGGATCAGGCAGAAAAATGAAGTTCAACACTGAGTTACAAAGTCTTTTTTGACACATTTATGATAGGATGTAAACTTAGTTAAACCTGGGAGAGGAAGAGAGAGGGGGAAGAGAAGCCTCTTTCCTGGCTAATAAGCAAAGGAGACATGCTTACTCAACCGTAATTACATATTGCATTTACATACATTAGGCACTGTGACCTAACATTTGAACATTGGCGAAAACAGGAGTTTTCTGTTCCAATGTGTGTGTGTGGCTTTACCTAACTGTGCCCTCCCTATAGGGAAATAATGACAGCTTCTCTCTGAAGCCTCTTTTAAGTGGTCCTCACCAGAGCCCTTCAGTTAAGACTGTCTCATTCAGACTACAAAAGTCAGGACCACGACGGGATTAGACTCCAGTCATGCGCCAAAGTGAGAAACACTGCATCCCAACCAGGGAAAAATAAAAATTAAAGTGTAGCTTTACTACTATCCTAACACCACTAAATGCATGTTTCCAAAAGAGCCTAAATCTCCAGGAGAACCGTTTGTTTAATTTGGAAATGACAGCTGCCCTACTTTTCAAAAACTGTACACTGAAACCTAAAAAACTGTCCGCAGGGATAAACGGTGATAAAGCTTTCACTCAGCAGAGTTTAAATTAATTGGCGTGTGTGTCACGGATTTTCACACTGAATTTTTTGTGTGCGGTTAAATTAACACCCAATGAATTCTGGTGAGAGCTGAGGAGAGCCCAAAGCTTTGTCATAAAACTATACAGGTTCACTGAATTAACTGAATTAAACCATTTTTCCTGCTTTTGTCACCCTATTACTGTATCTTTGACTGGGACTACTATTTTCCTTTACAACAGTGATCAACAGCTTAGTCCTTCAAAAAAAAGGAAAATTTAACACAGAAGCCGGGTCATTTTACTATTTTTGTTTTGTTTCTGCATACATGCACATGTTAAAGTTAAAATAGCTATGGAATTCGCCATATGCTAATTTGTTATTCAGTGTCATCACATCAAACAAAGTGCAACCCAATTCCACCTCAATAAAAACCTAATTTAATGGTTTGTAAACCATTTATAAAATTTCAAATAATTTGAGGATTTAGAGACTCTGATGATATCTCTATACACAAGAGGCATGGCCAAAAACCAATAATGGAAGGCCATGATCTTTGATAATAATAATAATAATAATAATAATAATAATAATAATAATAATAATAATAATAAATTTTATTTATAAGCACCTTTCTAAACACTTAAGGTCACTTAACAGATAAAAAGAGTGGAATAAAACAACAAGATAAAAGTCGGTAGTCTGTAGGTTGAACAGCATTAAAAACAGACTTGGCTCTGTAATAGAAAGAACTGCATAGGCTCAAAATAAACAAATTGTGTCTATGCATCCGCAAATGTAGGTTAAAACTGTACAATGCAAAGAAGAAATCATATCTAAAAAGTGTTTAGTGTTTGGAAAAAATAAAAAAGGAGTAGAATTTATGGAGGTTTTCTATAGGAAGGCCAATCTAAACCTGCCACTGATGCGTAAAAGGATGCAGTTACTGCGCACCATGAGTGTTTCTAAAAACAAATGTGCCATGGCCAAGTTAGTTGTTTTGAAGTTAACACAATAGCTAAAAAAAAACAAGAGCTAACTGAATCCCACTGGTGTTTTGTGAAGCTAATCTGCTGTAACACATGAAATGAAATACAGAGCTGTTTGTGAGATCTGAAAGTTTTATGAGGACATACGAGTCAAACTGACACAGTTCAGTTCCTAATTCATAAAAGACTCAGTAGCCTGTTACTTCTCATTTGCATCATTTGCCCCAATGTTTCTACACATATGATTGATTAAACTGTTATAATATTTAAGTTCAGCATGTTCGAACCTTTCGCCAATGTACTGGTGAAAGATAAACACAAGATCAGTCTATTGTTCATGTGAAATTATGATTCATCACTTGGAGAGATGCATGGTGTTACTTGTCCATAATTGGCTCCTATATTTGTTCTTGTACATTTACCCCATTTATGCTTTGGTTTCAAGAATGTGTGTCGGCTTGAAGTCTATGTAAGGATAAATGGAGCATATAGGAGAGAGAGAGAGAGAGACAGTTTATCTAAACATCAGCAAAATGCTGGTAATTGTCTCTCCTAAGAGTAGCCACTTGACATCCTGGTGAACATGTCCAATAATCACATCACCTATCTGGGTCACAAGACCGCTGGGAGGCCACGAGGATCCAGAGTCTGTTTTCTTAAAGTCTGGAGAACATGTCAAACATAATTACCTTTCTGGAGGAAAGTATGTCAGCGTATTGATGACACATCAAATGGGTGCCTGGGAATTTAAAGCCGCATTAGTGTCATAAGTTAATATAAAGTGCAGCGTTTCATTCATATATATATATATACATTTGACATTGAGTGCCAGGTGCTCTCTGAATACAGAGTCAAGAGTATTAAAAAAGGAAAAGCTTATTCGTGTGTGATATGGCATCTCCTAAAGAGCTGTCCTTGTTTTACCCTGTGGCTTGTTTTGTGTTCTCACAATGTGAAACATTATTTGCTACTCCCAGGAGCAAAACCATTATTAGTAGCTAATTAGTCTGACTCTCAGATAACTTGAAGCAAACATGCATTTTAGCGGTCATTGATGATCAGTTTAACGGTTTCAAATAAAAGCAACGCATTCCATCCTGAAGTTGTCATGATGTTTTAGTGAGAAACATCTGCAGAGTTTCCGCTTGTGTCCAAAATGACAAAACAGGAAAAACTACGGAGCCTCGTTTATGTTTGTGATGAAAAACAAATTATGTACGTCCAAATTCCAACCACAATGAGCGTGCCATATCATGAGCTTCATGTCATGACATGTACATTAAATTAAATTACGTCAATCATCCTGTACAGTTTAGTTCGATGGTGGAGGGAGTCATTGAGATTGTTAGCCTGGGGCTCCTGCTCTGAATTACATCTATGGTTGGATTTGCCAAATATAACAGCTGGATCCTCTCATGCAGATGCATTCACAGAAACAACTCCAAACAGCAACAAAGCAAGGCAAAAATACTGGGTTGTTATTAGTTTTAAGGTCTCCTGTATCCTGCTGTGCAGCCCACTGTTTGCCTTCATGCACTACATGAGTCTCACTGAATGTCTAAAGCCAGAAAAAAAAACAGTTGAAGGAGCTTGAATGACCTTTTTCACATCCACTTGACAAGCTAATCAAGGACAACATTCACAAAGACAGCTAACTAATCCAAGGAAGCGTCATGCTGAGACCATTCTGTATATATGATCTAAATCAGCTAAAACAAAAAATGGTTGAAGAAGCTGTCGTCACGAGAAGCTAAATGAGGACTTCTGGGCATTTTTGCAAGGATGAAACAAACAAATCAAACTTAGGGAAAAAGTTGTCAATGGACTTTTCCTTGAAAAACACTTATGTGATGTGGACGCTGGCCAACATTTTAAACAGCAGTTTGTTTCAGCATGAAGTAGCCACAAAACTGTTCACTGGCTTTAAATCAGGAGGCCTTTGTAATATCAAAACTATAAGTAGGCCAGATTGAGTCACTCTGTTGTTAAAAACAGGCTACACAATAATGAAAACAGTGTGTTGTGTTCCTCTTCCAGTTTATTGGGTAATTAAATACAGTCCAATACAATAGGAGCACAATTATCCATATCTTTTTATCATATATTATCACAGAAAATTGTGAATTTGTTGTTTGTGGCAAAGAAACGTGCAATGCCTTGTAAATGAACTCTATTAGCGGCAGACACAGACTGAAAAGATGCACCTGGTTGTCGGCATCTTAGCGCCACTCTGTAATACAATTTGACAGTCTACATCACCAGAACCTGATTTCAATCAAAGGATAAGTGTCTCCCCTGAGTTTGCAGACAACACTTTTTAAAAACAACCCTTTGCCTCACATTCCAAAGGGACAGTGTTGTTTGATAAAAGGGAGCCAACAATGCTGACTCACCCTGGGAGAGCTGTGGTGTTCAGAGAGGGAACAGCACTTCCCTCTCTCTTCACTTTCTGTTTCTCTCTGCCTCTGTCCCTCAGCAGAAGCGTAGTACAAGCTCTAGCTGTGCCACGTGGACCCAGGCTACCCGCCAAGGCCCGTCCACATGCCTTGCCACGAGCACTCCCTGAGAGAGCTCAGGGGTAAGCTGTGTGGCTGGAAGCTTTCCCTCAATTTCTTGTATTTCATTCTCTGTCTCTCAGTCTGACATTTTGCCCAGCTTTGACCTGCTCTTATGTATCACTTTTATGAGGAAGAAGGTGCTATAATTCAGGCGCCTGCCCTGCACATTAAAAATCCACCTTAGGCGAGCTGAAACTGAAGGCAGGTAATGCAAACATACATTTTTGATTAGGCTTGAAGGTAGACTCTACTTCATAGCCCCATTATTTCTTTAACCTCATTCCCTGCAAAACTAGAGCAAATATCAATCTAATATGACACCAGTAGAGGCTACGTCACTGTTTGCACATCACTCTTTCAAATGTCCCAGATATGACATTTGTTTTTATCCAAGTTGGATTGAGGAGTAAATGACTACATGATTGCCAAAGCATTCCTTTAGTATTAGAAGATTTACTTCTAGGTCATCTGGACTTAAAACACGCTATTTTTTCTCTCAAAATAAGAGGGTGGTCTGGAGCAATCACGATTGAGTAGATCAAAACCTCCTGCTATCTCTGACAATCAAAGACGCATGTTTAGAGTGATAGTGGGTCAAAGTGTTCACACCACCTGTGTGTCTTAAGTATCTCTGCATAATTCAACCAGCGATCAGAGGCTGACATATGCTTCATCAGAGGCTTTTACTGCGCTTGTTATGGAAGATGATCTTGACTTGTGATATCCCCAGACCACCGTACAAACCACACAGTGTACAGCTTTAACTGGGGTTTAGGGAGACCTTCCAACAAGCATCAAGTTGCTACTATAGGGTGATTTTACGTTTGCCAAAGTATGACACACGCAAAATGTATCCAAGCAAAGAGCTTAAAAGCAGACCGTTGAGATATTTATATAAAGCATCTGGAGAGAAAATACATCCAAGCATCTTTTTGCACTTCTTGTCCCCCTCTGACACATGCTGCTGTGTATTGTCAGGCTCCGTATCTGACCTAGATTTGAGCTGCTGAAAGGTTTACAATGAGGTGGTACTTTGTCAGCAGTGAGAGACAGGACAAGGCTGTGAGCACCATCAGTGAGTACACAGAATGGGTGTCTGGATAACAGTTAGCTTTGGTGTGTCCGCAACCACAACTTGTGGTTCCACTTTAACAGTTTCCGGTATGGATTAAACAAACCAGATATAACTCTATGAACTTTTTAAGTGTTTACAAACTGATTAGCCTAACTTTTTATTTTTTTAACACAAATGGAGCTGTAATCAGTGAGATAAAGCGCAAGTATTTCAAGTTTCTTGTATCTCAGCTTTTTAACATGACCTGTTTATATTTTTAGCATTAATATGATGACATGGCCAATTTAATAAGATAAGAAGAACTTTATGTATCCCTGTGGGGAAATTCGGAATATTGTTGTTTTTCTTTTTAGTCTGCATTAGATCACCCTCACTGAGCTGAAATAGGACAATTAGTTAACTACAGGTAGCTAACTAACATTGGTAACATCAAATAACTTTATTATCTTTTCTACCATTTTAAGATAATTTTAAATATTGAAGTGTTTTTTGTAGTCCCTGAAATGGGACACAGCATGTACTCTTGAAAATCACCTGACTAAGAACACATATTTAACTTTCTTTTGTCAGTTTTTTGTTGTTTGTCTGTTTGTCTGTTTGTTTGTTTGTTTGTTTGTTCAAATTGGCCCCCTTGAACTATAAAGTAAACCAATCAGTTTGCACCATAGACTGCATATAGAATGGACAGCGTCTGCCTCCTGGCTGGATGAAGCCACTCCGAGGAACAGCACCCTCTGGTGACGGGCTGCAGTATAGGTCATAAATCCCGCCTCCGCCAGCAAAGCTTATGGAGCTGTGGACAAATTTTAGAAATTTATTACACAGGACATAATTTTTTCTCCCCCCTGCTTGTGATGTTGACATGTAGTTATTGTAAGACTGGTTTGTGCTCAAGTCCTCTTTTCTCTGTACAGCTCCATTTTAAAAAGTTTTTAGGGGTTCATGTTTTCTATGATTGACACCTGATACAGCCTATTGGCGTTTAAGGATTGCGTAGTTCACCCGGGGGATATGCTGTTTGAGCCAATTGTCACTCTCTGTGACTCTCCCGCCAAATGCATACAGTGCTACTGCGCAATGTTGGTTTCAGGATATGAAGAAAAAACCCGGAAATACAGAGAGCTTTTTGGCTTCAAATTCGTATGGCGGCAGGCGGAACCAAGCTGCCCATAGTAAATACAGTCTATGGTTTGCACTATCCCTCAAGGGTTTTGTCCAATCACCTCTTTCCATTGCCCTAAATAGCATAACACATAGACTGTATGATTGACATCGTATCAAAGACGGCACCTATTTGTCTTCATATTGGTTGTTTATTGCCATATTGCCAATGCTAACTCAACCTAATTTTTGGTTAACCTGCCAGAGGCAAAGGTGAGTTTTTAAACTGTAATAGTAAGATGTTCTTTGGATCATGGAGAAAGAGCAAGAGAGTATTTAGGCTTTTTTTAATCAAGAGCAGATGAATAATCCTCTGAGAAGTGTCAAAATGAGTGGAAAAGTCAAAAGTCAGATCTCATCCAAAGCAGGGAAAAACCTCCCCAAACCACTTAACACAACTCCTGCTGCTGTGGATAACACCATAGGGAGAGGCGTTTATAAGAAGACAATAAACTGGGTCCCATGGCAATTATAGGGTGGGGAAGGGTGTGGAGTTTATTCTTTTTTGCCAAGTAAACCATGTGAAAACACCAAGCATGCCACATATCAAACCTGACATCTCAGTTCTCATTGCAAATCTGTAGATAAGGACTCCTGCAGGATCTGTCAGCCACAAAGGCAGAAGAGATGATCTTAAAGTTTTCATGTTAGTGCACAATCACTATAGAAATGTAAATAAATCTCTACCTCTCGTGTTAATACTCCATTGGAGACACATCTAGTTACCGCTCGAATGGGGGCAGAGATCTGTATTCATTCAAACTCCTGGCACCAGTGAGAAACAAAACTAAGTCACATCCTATCCTGTTGTGAATTAGCATACTTTCAATATTTCAAAAAGGGACAAGAACATTGTAGTCTGGAAACAGGACAAATCCGTGAGTTCATGTTTCATTCGCTCCAGCAGATGCGTCTGATCTGTCTCCTGGTCGATCAGCTTTCCATCTGGCCTGATTCAGGTCAGGGCACTCATATTCGTTTATCTAATATGGGGCAGGTTTTAGGGTCGTTGAGGCATTAGAGCCAAGATGGTTGCCACTGATGTGGAACACTTTGGGTCTGTTATTGTGTAAGTATTCAACAAACCAGAAAATTATGAAAAAAGGGTAAGTAGGTAACTAAATCATGTCATGCTGAACCTCTGTGTGATAAAATAAAGCAAAGCAGTTTTCATTTGATTTTTGGAACTGGGCTGTTAATTTACTGCTATATTACGAACGTTTTTTTTTTTTTTTTTCTGATTGGCCGGAGTGCCCAGATTCATTTGTTCTGACGGCTCTTCAAAATAAAATAAAAACAAGCCAACAGGTACCCAACTACTGGAGCTGGAAAATGAGTCCATTGAGTATAGGCTTTCAACGTCTATTCAACAGAGGACAGTTGCTGCTTTTGTGAAGATGCCACTTAAAGTAAAGGGAAAATTGCTGTTTCATTATATTGCTTAGCCTTTTTTGTTCAATTTCTGGTCTCTTTCTGATACAGAGACAAATGCTGATAACATGTACAACTTGATTGAGTTGACCAAACCTCCACCAAGTGTTTTTTTTTTTTTGTCCAGTTTGACACAAGGTGCATTTTTCTTTTGACTTTCAACTGAGTCTTCTGGGCAAGGACAGAGCCAGTCTTTTGATTGGAGGTGGACAAACTGTGGCATTGACTTTTGCAACGATGGCATGAGATACGTATCTCTGTATGCATGGTGAACAGAAATTATTTACCCCTTCTATCACCACTTAATATAGTCTAACTTCCGACAATAAAATATCTAAAATGTGTCATATTCCTGTGGATTTTTCTGCTTTTACTTTAAATCTTTGTGAGGTAAATCAACTAGACAAGGTCAATAAATCAGATTTGCAATTCGAAAACAATTTCATCCACCCATGATATTAAAAATACCTTGAATGAACACACCCTTCCTACTATCCCTAAAAACAGCGTGTGGGTTTGACCCCTCCCCTCTAACCCTTCTAACTGCATCATTACTTACTTGTGAACACTGTCAGCCCTACTTTCAAAGCCCTACTTTTAATAAAAAGGTTGGCCATCCAGTCCCCAACACCTGCAGTCCAAATGGGTCATTGTTTTTGCTCCAGTTGAAGTGCGCTTCACTGTGTTAATGAAAGCCTGATGGGAGGATCTGCGCTATCAATAAATGGATATATGGAAGGATGATTTAAAGTGTAGTGTAAAGCACACTGATTGCCAAAAAAAAGTATAATCTAAGTCAATTTACTATTATAGAAACACTTTATGGGTAGGCTAAATACAATTGATCAGATTTCTAACATGAATCCAAGACGTGCTTACTCTTGATGGTAAAAAAGGGAACTAACCTATAGTTATGATAAATACAACATGACCGAAGCTTTCCCACAGCTGTCTAATTATACGACCAAACCAAATAGGATCCATTTGTCAACTAGCTGCTGACCACTTCATGTTGGTCAAAAGGGCGTTTTCCACCCAAAACTCTGCTCTCTCACTTAACACTTACTAGTTAAAATCATGGGTGCTCATCAGGAACCGCACACAGTGACCTCATAGTCCTACATCAAAATACAGCCAACCGATCCAAACAAAAATACAGCTGGAGTTACTAAGCAAACAAAGAAAGATTTGAAGCCCTGACGACGACAGAGGGGATTTGAAGCGATCCAACACTGGGACAGGGACTGAAAACCATGATAACACTCATTAATTTTTATCACTACCACACTCTGAGGAGCCACACACACAAACACACATGAACTACACACTCATGTAGTTCTGATCACACACAAATACTCTCACACCCATGTCACCAAACACCCAACAGCAGCTAATTCTCATGACACAGTCTTTCTTTCTTGGCTTTAAACTGTGGGTGGTGCAGGCATTACCACACAGCAGTACAGTAGGACGGGTGTACTGTACATCAACCCCATATACCCACACGTGTTTCTAATGACAGAGAGGCTGTTTCAGCTGAAGGCTGTGAAGAGGGGAGAGAATGAGGAATGCAAAAGGAGCAATGTTGTCACAAGAACAATATCAGCAGCATCCAAGAAAAACACAGTTCAAAGAGATGTTTTAATTCCATTCAATCCAGATCATTAAAGTAAGGCTTGAAGCTCTTTGACCTGTTTCCTAGCATCAAATATAATCAAAAAGGGAGCCAGAGGTAAAGGGAACAAGGCTCTTTTTCATCAATACTTTCCATGTGACTCATATGGTGGCCGTTTTTGGATGAAGGTTAAAGATTGGAGCATCAAGCACTTAATTTCCTGTATTCCGGTAAATTGTTACGCAAGAATTTGGGCCTTTTCTGCATCATTAAGAAGTTAAACTTGAACTCAAACCGCTGTTCTTAAAAAATATATGTAGGTTGGCCTAGAGGTGAGGAAAAAAGAACATCCAACTCGAAAGAAAGTAGACCTGAAATACTGAAGTCAGGGAGTTGACCTCCCTTCTTCCCTATATTTGATATTTTACAAGTTTGCATGACTGATAGGAATCACAGTCCGGGAAAATCCTGCTGCAGTATCATGATGAACAATACTGTTTCCAGCCAATCAGCTGAAAGTTCTTTCTCAATGCAGTGTTATTTTTTAGAGTTTTACAGACTTACAGCTGAAAGTAACCATTGTTAGGCCGACTAACAGCAGTTTAAAGGTTTATAAAATATGACAGCATTGAAAAAATGTGATAATCTACAGTTAGCATAAAATGACAGTGGCATCCATTGGTGAAACCAGCAATTGCAACATAATATGGTTGCATGCACTCTTATTCTGTGCAAATGAAAATATTTTGGCTTGTGAAAAACAAAAGCAACATGACGGATAAAAGTCATAATAGATTTTTAATTGATGTGATGTTTTGTGGAAGACATGTGGCTAACACAAAACAGCCCATGAAACCCCCTGCTTCCCCTTCTTCTCCCAGTTATCCTGTCTCTCAAAACAATGCATCATAACAACATGGAATTTCAAAAAGGACTTGAAACCTACTCAGAGATTTGAGTTGTAACTCGTGCTTATGTTGGAACTATCTCAGCTGGTGCAACTCCTGCAGTGATAGTAGAATCTAACTAAGCTATGTTTGAACTTATGCGCAGCCAATACAACTTAATGAAGGTCATTTTTCCACCTGGCACTAACACTCGAACTCCAAACTCAGAGACTTAAATCCATGTCTGACACTTTAAACGAAGAATTCATGTGTTGTACAAAAAGTGTAGAAAAAACGGGTTATCTACATTTTATTACACAAAAAAAACACATTTCTGGAGAAAAATGGCTGCAATAAACAGAGGACTGTTCACCATGCCCAGTGCATAGTGGTCATAATTGTAAAGGAATTGAGGCTTCTTGCGTTTGTTGATAATTCCAGATGAAAGGAAAAGCCTCTTTTTGAGCTGGTGTTCCTCTACCTCCACCAGCTCTGTGCTCTGTTAGGAAGGGGAGGGCTTCTCCTCTGCGGCAGTATATTCACAGTGCCAGGCCTCACAAGTTACACCCATGCTCTAGAGAAGAACCCGCCTATAGCTAAACCACTCCTCAGGTGTCCCAACAAGAATGCAAGATCTGCTTTTTTTTTCAGAGTATCAATCATGACTTATTGGGAAAGGGTGCCGCCAAGCTCTGAGGTCACAGCTTCAAGCCCTGACTACTTCTTTGTAAGCCAGTTCTCACTGGGAAGAGCTGGATAACTCCCTCCCACATGTGAAACCTGACAGATGATCAATCTGACATCAAGAGAAACCGAGAGACAAAAGCAAATGTTGAAACGTAGGCTGTGATTGAGTATCGAGGTGAAAAAAACACGGTTTTAAGAGGTGTTGAAACACAGATATGATGATCTCGTTTGTGTATTTTAGAGACTGAATTGGAATGAACGGAACAAGCAGGGTCCTGCTTTGCTGTCCAAATGGTTCCAGTTAGAAACGACTGGTGCAAGCTACCACCGAGAAGAAAGCTAACCGCAAAACAAAAGCATACTCACTTTTATGACCAACTCTAAGATTTACAGGCCCTTATGTGGAATGAATAACTGGTCCTGAAAGAGATTTATTGTCGGGGCAGTCTATCTTTAATGTGTGCCACAACAGTGAGACAGGGTTAAGGTAGAGTGAGGAAATGACTACTTTTCAGCCTATAGGTGTGGCATTCACCAACTTTTCCCTTTTTAATATATAAACTGCATGAAAACACTCGAATACAGTGATTTTTAGTAGTCTCATGGGTGAACCATCTGCTAATACTTGAGAGACAAAGGTCTTTTTGTCATTGTTTAATTCATATTTTCCATCATTTTAAAAGAAATGGCTGCATTAGCTGTTTCAGCACTAATGGAGAGCAGATGATGGATGATGGGGAGTTTTACTCTCCCTAAAAACTCTCAAATAGGCAGGATGATTAGGGGGTGGGATGAGAAACCAAGTAGGCTACATAAAGTAACACATTCATCTGGCCAGTTATATCACAGTTTAGTACTGTTGGCCAGAAATCCACTCAGGAGGACAATAAGGGAGGATCACCTTATTTTGAAAGAGCCTTACATAAGGCAATAGTCACATTTGTTGAGCAATGATGGTATTAAACTTTTGCATGAGTTCTGCATTAGTGCCACTATTTTCATTCTTAGTTCATTAAATCTGGATTCTTTCTTCATCCAAAACACTCCTCAAATATCACTTATTGGTCATAGACAAATCAGTTTGGGTCCAATCAGCTCTCAGTGGTAATGCGATTTGAAATGAAATCTTGACGGGAGTTGTGTTTGCTCAATACTTTATGTAATTAGTTTGCAAATTATTTTATTATGCTGCTAATCTATAACTAATATTGATTTGAGAGCTACCTGTCATCCTAGGCAGCTCTAATTCTGAGAATCCTTTTTTGAAACCAAGACAGCGAAACACAAATGACCTCAGAACTTCTGATGTTACGCATGGTTTTTGCCATTTCCTTATGACATAAGATGAATGACCAATGACATTTACAAGAGGAAATTCAAATTATTCTGCCAGTGACATAAACTCTCAGAGCGCTCTGTCACGGATCACAATCCGTTGCAGGTACTCCAGTTTTTCCCTATCTACATCCAGTAGTGATAGTAGAAAATGGCACCACGGATTCACAAAACTCTTGTAAAATTTTTACGACATTCAAAAACATCATTTTCCACTGACAGGTTACGCAAATGATGAGCATGCCATCTGGCCCTTTAAAAAGCAGTGAGATAAGCTCCTGAGATGTCTAACTGAGCTCACGTCTAGGAGAGGACCCAAACACACTCAGAAACCGAGGCCTGGAAAAACTTTACGGTAATAAGTGTTTGTAAAGCCGGTCGCATGTGGTCTGATGTGGCTATGATGAATGGATCGCTTTGTAAGCTTTGACATGTACAGCATTTAAAGGGAGGGTATTAGAATACAGTAAAAACTTTGACCAAAATGTATTAAATACAGACTGTTCATGGAATAGACAGACTTCCAGGAATCACAACAAACAAATACATAAAAAAAATCGTATGACAGAAAGGATGCATGAAACGTACCATGAACCAACTCAAGATTATAAGATAACATGACAAATGTCTACATGTTTGTTGTTTTATATCATCCAGGGCTCATATGGAAACATAGAAGTTCTTTTAATAAGGAAACAATAGTCTAAGCTAATTTCTTACATAAAGTTTACTAGCTGCAAATCAGGCACAAGAGGCTTTAGATTATGACCTTCATATGGAAACGTGGAAAAAAGGGGGATGGAAAGTGAAGCAACCCTCAGATCCAAATTACTTCAGCTTACATAACAGAATTTTCCCCCAGCTTACGAGTAGGAGTGTGTCTCCCTGATGGTCAATAACAAAAGGTTTTACAACATGTTGCCATCGTTGCCCTGCCATGCTGATCTTGTATTGTGATGCAACACAAGATGAGTGCATCTTAGATCAGCCCTGGATCCTGTCTAAAACACTTTTTTAAAACCCCTTTTGGTGCAATGTAGGCCAGTGCTATTAAATACATACCTTAGACATCCTTCCAATATCGGTGTATGAGCTTTGCACTGATAGGAACTCTTCTTTGGGAAGAAAATGGCGAAGTTTGGAGTCAATATCATTGAGCCGCTCATGGTCAGAGGGCTCTGGAGTGTAGCCCTGGCCTGTTGGAACTGACACAGCTCCCATTTCCTCCTGAAAGAGAAATATAGACGTTATAAGTAATGGCCAATGACTTATAATAAATATTGGAAACTTATATGATAAACCTATAATCTATCTGTGACTTGAACAACTTTGTGACAGTGCTGTAATACAGGTTTTAGATTCCAGTCAGACTCTGGCATCTGTTTTCAGGTCTAGAGCCAAATATTATGTAGATCATTCCACTCTTGAGTAGAGCAGGACGATTAATCAGATTTAAATTTCGATAACAACATTTTTATGAACAAAATTGATTCTGGCCCACAATGATCATCCGCTTCCTCCTATCCAATCACAAAAGGTAGCAAAAAATGCAACATTTACCTCTAAGAGCTGCAAGAGGGAGTTATCAGAAAATTAGGCTCAGCCAAATTGCAGCTCAAACCAGCAGCAGGTTGGCTTAGTTTACCAAACTGACATACAGTATATGAAGCGCAGCATAGCATAGCCATGTTTGTCAAGCAATGAATTATCATATACCATCAATCTTCAAACTTATACTATTATTCAGTTTGTGGCCAGGCCCCTTATCACAACTGGGATCTTGGCCTTAAGGAGTGATGAAAGGTTGGCTTCCAGTTTTCGGCTTAGACACTTCCATATTTCTGTTATAGAGGACAAGTTATGGTCACAAAGGCTGTGCACCAGCCACACATTGTGTGCATCAGATTCAGAGTAAACTAAATCACAGGCCATCTCTGTACAGTTTGCTCCAGTGTGTTGTGACTAACATGAGCTGTCAGCATCTCCTTACAACATCTCCATAAGTCAAGTCAATGGTAAGCATAGTCTGCTACAACTTGTTTTCAAATGTGCCATCTGAATAAATTTTGATATGACTCTGATTATTCCTAAACTGGGTATTTATAAAGAATCAGCTACAGATGCTTTTTATCCACATAATGGCAGCTGTTATAGTTTGAGGCATATAGCACAAGTTTTTAGGCCAAAGATGGAAAGCAAATGTTGGTAAATGTAAATCACATCCAATTTCATATTGCCAAAGTATTCTTTGATTACTGACAGCTGCTTATTTACTGCCTCAGGTAACCATAACCACATAAAACTGAGGAGCTTGTTAGGACAGGCGGTCATAATATTTAAAAAATAATAATCGTATGATGCAACCAATAAGTAGCAACTTGTGGTTAATGTGTTCTGGAGGATTCTGCCAAGACCTGGGTGCAGTTTTCAGAACTGAAGAGGATCCGTTAATGCCCAAGTCCTGGTGACATAAATTATGTGCCTACAATGTTATTACCATTCAGAGCAGCATGCTTCACAATAGCAGGAAGTCTTCTTCCAACCAATAAAAAAAAACCCAGAGGATCTGCACTCCCCTGAGTTTGGTATCTACCACCACAATTACTGTGGTTTTGTTCAAAAAGTCAAGGCAAACATCATAAATAGAACAGAAAGACATAAAAAAACCCTGGCGGCCTGTCCTACGGATGCAGAGCTGCCGGGGTCAGGCTAAACAGAACCGCATGTGAAAGGTAAGTATGTTCCCTCTCACTTCCTAGCATCCCATCTGACTTCAAACCAGCCTCACAGCTGCCAAAAAGGGCTACTAAAGCAAATCGAAACTGACTATAACAACAATCGAAGCTAGGATGGCGGAGGTAGGTTGACAGCAAAACACAGGTTCTCAAATGTACCATCCAAAAGAAAAAATCACTACCACAATCTCTTTTATCATCACACCCTCACTGTGAGGGCACACTGATAGCAGGTCTACATGAAAGATCCAGAGACCTGAGTTTCGTAGAATCACAACAGGAAGAATTGTTATGAAAACATGCTAATAAAATGAATGCATAACATGCAGCCTTCCATGTGAACTGCACATGGCACTTAACATCTGGTTCATGATCTGAACTGCGGAGACAGAGTCTTCTGCCCAGAGGCTGAATCAGCTGCCAAGCAGTCATCAAAACATGAATATGTGACCAGTGTTACTCTACAGACTGTCCTGAGGTTACTTAACGTGTTTGATAACGTGGTACAAGAGGCCAGATATCATACATTAACACAAATGACAAGATATAAGACCATAAAACACACGTTTATTGGTTTCAAATTGTGTTTAAAGGCTGTCTGGAAACAGGATTTGCTTCTAATAAATACTTGACATACTATGGATTTAATGTAGTTCATGTGAGGTGAAATGCCATTAAGAAGAATGGGGTAGGATCATCTGCTGTGATGCTGCTGCCCATAAGAATTCTGGATATGGAGGGAGGTATTAAGGAACTTAAAAAAAGACTCATCATAAGCATATGTTGTCTGTTAAGGCTTCATGTCGGCCTACCTCGCTGTCTGCCCCTCTGGCGTTGTCCTCTTCCTCTATTTCACGCAGGAGCTCAGCCAGACGCTTTTTCTCTGCCTGGCTCAGAAGCACCTGGGCCCCCTCACTACCGACAAGCTTTTGAATCAGGAAAAAAGAATCAAAAAGCCATTATTTACATAGCATTTCTACTCATCTTCAGTGGTGGCCTAGTGGGCTTAAAATATGTCTTTTTCTTGAGCTCGAGACAAATATTTCCTCACTGGAAAAACAAACAGTCTAAAGACTTGCTCCCAGTCATGCGATATACCCCAGCACTGCATTTGGCCCTACGTGAACTTTGACATACCTCAATGTTTCTCTTGACAAAGGCCTTCTGTTTTTTCTTGCCCTTGGAATCTCCATAGTGGCTGCCCTCAAATTGCTCTTCCCTTCTCTCCTCGTGGCCTACTTCAAATGATTCTGTCCAGCTGTCTGGCATCTTTTCACCTGTCAGGTAAGACACACTTCAGATGCCAAGGGGTAAATATTTAAAATTAGTCAACGCTCTCATGATAACACTTGGCTGAGCTTAGATAGAACAGTCTTTTTTTCAGCTATGTGCTCTTATTCTGTCATCTTATCAACCTATATTTCCCAAGGGGATTGATTTCATGAGAAAAGCCACAAGATCTTGATCAGGAAATTGTTCATGAGTTGCATATGGGTGAACTGTTATGCATTCTCTTCTGGAAAACTGCTTAATATGCGGGTAAGTTGACTGATGTCTGCACATAAAGCGAAAAACACAGCTGCTCCAAGTTCTATGAGCTCATGGCGCCATCAAGTGTACAATATATGCAGTAGAACTATGAGCGCAGAACTATAAGCCCACAGTTAAATCAAGGGAATGTAACATGTTGCATATTCTTTATATTTTCACTGGCTTACAACGTCCTGCAGATTTGCTGTCTCTGGTGTGGTCACAATCAGGAATCTGGGTTTGAAACACAGGCGCAGAGTTTTCTACCTCTTCTCTCCCTTCAAGAAAAGAAACGTATTTCAAGTGCCCCACTGTGACCAAATGAACTTTACACTCAATACTGTCTCTGATTTGAAAACATATGCCTGTTCTTACCAAAGGTTTCCTCCGAAGCCAAAAACAACCTTGTGATTCGCGCTTCTTGAGCACATTCAGAGTGATCTTTAGGCTTTCTCTGCGGAGGAATAATAAAAAATTTAACATAACACAATTAATTATATCAGACAGGCCACTTTTTCAGTGAAATAGATTAGTGGCTATTGGAGGAACTGTAAATTTTAAAACTGCCTGTTGCCTGTTGGCATGCCATGCTATGCCATTGCAACACCAGTCACCTCGATGGCATGCCACCAGTTTGCCATTTTACACTTTTCTAGCCTGTAAGCACAGCCACAATAGCAATAACAAGATCGCACATTGCATTGTTACATGCTGACCAATATCTTTCTACCAGTCTTCAAAATGCTACTCTTAACATGCAACTGAGTAGCCATTTGTATACTATTTCACTGAGGCAAAGGTTTATGAGTCTTTTACCTGCTGCTTGTTACTCTGTCCAGGTGAACATACTATTAGGTAAACCAATGACTTTCAGACTAAATGACTTAGATGGCATCACAGTAGTACTAATCACATACACTGTACAGAACAACTATACTTTCAAACACATGGAAGATGCGAGATGAAGACCATTACACTCCTGTATTTCCATTACCATGTTGGACATTAGCCTGATTTCGCCAGACCCATCACCCATCTTACACTCATTTTTCCTGGCAGGCAGGTCTGGAACCACTGTCATTTTGAACCATTTCCCACTGGTCTCATACATTGGACTAATACTGGTCGTTTATTTAGATTTGTGGCAGGTTCTGTGAAGATGATGACATGGGAGTGTCGCTTCAGCCTTTCATAGACAGCCAAGATGGCTGTTTCCTCTGCAGAAACATCCCTCAAATGGACTATTTTAAACTAACTATATGACGTTTTTTCAAATGCATGCCGCTGTCTGTTTACATTTGCTGTCACCATATCCATAAGTCAGTTGGTTGCAGATCTTTCCAATCACTTCTAGGAGCACTTCTGCATTTGGCTTTTGCTGGTAACCACCTAAAAGAACTTGAATTGAACATACTGAGTGGAATTGGTGAATATAATGGTGCACTGGTGGCATACTACCTCTCAATGGACTAAGCCACTGAACTACCAACATGCAGCTGTTGTACCAGCTTACAGACAGGCATGCCATCAGCCATTTTTTGATCATTGTAGACAAATCCAGTTTCTACCATGAACGCTTGCCAGAGGCTTGCTAGAAGTTTTTGTCTTCGATGCTTGGCTTCTTTTTCTCTGCGGGTCGCTTCAGATAATTGTTCATCAAGTCGTTTCATTTCCTCAATGGCTCTCTGGAGTTTGGGATCGTCTTCCTCTTCATTGGTCAAATCAGTAAAAAACGGACCTAGAAGACACATAATTGCTGTAGGGTGTCTGTTTACTTTTCTAAATGATTGTAACATCCCAATAGTTAGTGTACAACCCCACAGACCTTTGTCAGGAAGACCTCGGGCTTGGGGGCTGGTAATAGTATATTCGGAGTTGCTGTGCATCTACAAGGGATAGACAATACATCTTAACTGTGAACTACACCATTTTGTCAGTTATGAGGTTTAACATATCAATACTATTGTTTTGTTACCTTTGTATTAGTGACATCGTTGGACAAAACAACAAGAGACAACGGAGGTGCAGCTGGACCAATTCTCTTATTACGAGGCAAAGACACGCTCGACACACGGCTACCTGTTTTCTCACTTGAAGCAGGTCGAGAAATGTCCTCTAAACTCCCTCTGGTTATCTCCATTCTGTTATTTTATTAATCCGTATTTCAAGTAAAGGTTTAAAATTTGTCTGAGTCGCAATTAAATAGCTCTGAGTCCATTAACACGGTAGTAACACAACTTGCCAAGGTTTCTCGCTTGTATTGGTAACTATGGACGAAAACTCTCCCGGATGTTGTAACTATGGAAATATGCGTTTGTTACTACGGCCATCGGACGAGCGCGAGGCGGCGTAGTTGATGCCTCAGCAGGCTAGCCTTTGGAGAGCTAGCTGTTAGCTGCTAGCCGTAGTGACGCCAGTCGACTCGCCTAACTGCATTGTTTTTGTTACCTCAAAGACATTTCATGTCTAAGGCACAGCAAACACCTTGGTGATAAATGTCTTCAGTTTGACAAAGCGGGTGTGGAGGTTAAGAGGCCTTGCCGTTGTGGTAGGTAACGTTTACCGAATAGCTATTTTAATGTCAAGCTAGCGTAACATTAGGTAGCCTGTGAAGGCTAATATTGATCATCTCAGGTGATTTACCAAACCCAAATACGAAAAATGTTTTCTGTGATGAAGGTCGCTTTTTACTGTGAGATGATAGCATAGTTGCTGCCTGGTTATCATCCGGATGTTATACTCTGAATGTGAAAGTACTCTCTAATGTTTTGGCCTTGTTCCCATTTATCTTCGGATGTAGCTTTATTATAGCTAATAAGGGAGCATCGAAGCTGTGTGTAATACTGTAGGATGCCTCTGAGACGGATCCATTCAACAGTCTATTCGGTATTTTATATGTTAAACAGAATCAGCCCATGGCCTTTTCGAAGCTATCATTGATTTTGAACTTAGCTAAAACGGGTGGGATTGCTATTAGTATGAAATACTGCCAGCTTTTGTGACGCTCATACCGATGTCTCAGTCTTGTCATCGTACCACTGTCCCACGATCACGCCCATTTCTCTGGCAGCCGTCCAGGCTCTGCAGAGTACCTGCGCCAGGCAGGTGTAAGCAGATGCTCAAGGCTACAGGCAATTGCTTTGTAAGCGTGATGCATGATGCATTTATACCCACGAAAAAGCATGTTGTTTTTTCTGATCTTAACAGGTTGAGTTGACTCTGCAGGGGAAGATGAGCAATGGAATGGCAGAGTCAGCATCGAAAGCCTTTCTGGCCCACACCTCTGCCACTAAACGATCCTTCCTGTTGCTGTTGGTACTGACTGCAGTGTCCACTGGACAAGGGTCAGGTAAGATACAGGATTTAGGGTTACACTCTCAAACAAAGCAAAGCTGTGTTGACAAATCAGTTGCTTAATACATTTTCTCATATATTTTTATTGTCAAACTAGATATAGTTTTTCTACAACATCACTAGTGCTGATACTCACCTGGTAGCACACATCACAACACAGCCAGTCTGTATGAAATGCAGTGTATTTGTTGGTTCCTGCGGTACCATGCAACACCAGTGTTTTTCAAAGACGTGTATGAATTGGATTTCAGTAAAAGTGGATTACAGGCACTGGTATTTCCCCCTACATCATGAAGAAAACCAGAACCAGTATTGCAGCTGAAGCATTGGCTGTTGCTTTATTTAATACGACTCAGTGTTTTTGTAATGTTTTCACCCTTTATGAGGAGCCAGTAAAGTCCCTTTTTTCCCAAAAGGTTTCCATAGGTCATCCAGTGTGTCCCTGTTACAAACCAGGCTCAAAATATTTGTGTTTAGTTTAGATGTTTCACGGGATTTTTTCTTCTTTCTCCATCAAGGATGTGTGAGGCCAGAAATGGTCCAGAACAGCTGGGTAAATCTCACAGAAACCAACAGGGGCTTGTTCCCTGTGGGCACAGTACTGCAGTACAGCTGTGACCCTGGTTACCTGCCTGATGGACCCAGCATTCTCACCTGCACCACTGTGGGACGCTGGACCTCTGACCCTCCTCACTGTATACGTAGTGGTGGTGAGTTATGTATCCTTTCTTGAGGAACCAGTCTTCTATACCACTGAATAAAATCCTCCCACTGTGACTTATTTGAACAACCAGTTACAATGCACTTTGTCTTTTGGAGGATGTTAAAGCAGTTGTGGCACCCTGTAAAGATAGTTTGTTTATTTTTCCCTATCAGCATGTCCCCCTCTCTCCAAACCGGAGAATGGAGGCTACACCTGCCACCCAACTTCTTGTCGAATGTTTGCCCATGGCACTGTGATTGAGTTTTTCTGTGATGAGGGCTTCATTCTTACTGGGGATTATTACTACCTGACCTGTCAGGATGGACAGTGGGACGGCCCCATGCAGATCAGCTGTGTGAGCCAAGGTTGGTCAGACCTCAAACTCCTATCTGTCTGAATGCAGTCTGTTGGCTGAATCATGCCCCAAAATTAAGCACTGGTAATTACAGGTATTTAGTGTAATTATAAATTTGTCTCTTTTTCCAGGATGTATACGGCCTTCCACAGTGCAGCACGGCAGTACAAATTTGACAGACACCAACAGAAACTTGTTCCCTGTAGGAACAGTACTGCAGTACAGTTGTGATCCAAGTTACCTGCCAGATGGACCCAGTATCCTAACCTGCACTTCACTTGGACGCTGGTCTTCTGAACCTCCCCACTGCGTGCACAGTGATGGTAAAAACGAACCTCCCTGTAGAGCTTTTTGATGAAAAATTAAATCTGAGTTCTCCTGTTAATCTAGTGTGTGTCTCTGATGTTTTGCTTGGGTGTCTGTGACAGGTTGAGCCTCATTCCATTAGCTGCAGCCAAGGATAGTTAAAAATGGCAAATAAAAAAAAGAAACAAAATCATATTTGAAGGCAATACAGAGAGGTCCAGATGCTTTGCCTGCTTCACTACCCACAAATCCTTTATTATAGTGCTGACCTCTGATTTTGACATGTATTAACGTATGACATGAACACTGATAAAAAAGAAGAATTGTTGTGACCAGGTAATAATGTATTCGACTGCTGTCTCTTTTACAGGTTGTATACGACCCTCCACTGTGCAGCACGGCTCAACTAATCTGACAGAAACCAACAGGAGCTCATTCCCTGTGGGCACAGTCCTGGAGTATCGCTGTGACCCTGGTTACCTGCCAGATGGACCCAGCACCCTCACCTGCAGCGCACTGGGACACTGGTCCTCCCAGCCTCCCCGTTGTGTACGCAGTGACGGTAATGACAAAACTCCACTAAGCTCTCTCTGCATTTCTGAATCCTCCTGCAGGCAACATAAACCCTCGTCACATATCCAGTGCTGTACTACAGAATAAATAACATGAACTATCAACATTTTTGAGTCTGTTGGTGCTCTCAATAATAGCTGCACAGGTGGAACAACACATTGTTCTATTGCTGATGTGTTTGTTGTTTTCCTTCTTTTTTTTTTCAATGACAGTCTGCCAGCCTCCGTATCAGCCAGAGAATGGAGGCTACACCTGCCACCCCTCCACATGTGGGAGACTTTCTCATGGCACCGTGATTGAGTACTTCTGTGATGAGGGTTATATTCTGAAAGGAGATTATAAATACTTGACCTGTCAGTACGGAGAATGGGACAGCCAAATGAAGCTCAGCTGCATCATGGAACAAGGTAAAAAGAAAAAGAAAAAAGAGTAACAAGCATTTTACAAATCATACAAATGTCTGTACAGATGCATGACAGTTAATTTCCTCACAGATCGTGATCCAACTCTACCATTGGGGATGCCCGCCTTGTCCATAGTGGCATCAACAGCCAGCTCAGTGGCACTGATCCTGCTGCTGGTTGTGCTGTTTGTACTTCTGCAGCCCAAACTCAAGTCACTTCACAGGTAAATCTGCCCTCTTATCATGCCTCACTTCTTATATTTTAAGGTCTGTGTCTACAAAGCTTTATTTTTCAGGCTTAAAAGATCTGGAGAAATGCTGGAACGTGTTTAGATTAAGAACCTGTGCTTTATTTACTGATCCTAGTAGAAAATGTAAAGGCTCTCCCATAATGCAGCCCTTTCTGTCTACAAAAGTGCACTGTGCATGTAGCACAGTATTTATGAAAGCAAAGTATTGGCAGATGTTAACTTTCCCATGATCCTCTTCATCCAGACGTGATCAGGGTGTGTCTGGCCAGCCCATCTCCATCATGGTGGAAGGAGTCCAGGTGACTCTGCCCTCGTACGAGGAGGCTGTAAGCGGAGCCTCAGCTTCGGCTCTCAGCTCTGAGTCGCGAGTCCAGATAGTGCTATCAGAGGGTCAACATGCCACAACGCCAGAGGCTGGCCCCTCTCGGCCTTCTTCTTTCAAACAGCAGCAGTCAGAGATGGCTGTTGTTCACCCTGTACCACCCTCCTCCTCTTCTCCATCACCCTCTCCTTCATCCTCCACCTGGGTCCTGGAGCAAGTAGGTGCTGCTGCTCCTTCATCGTCAAGAAGAAGGCCTTCTGTGGGCAGTGACCAACACAGCCTGTCTCTGGACACTGAGATGGACTACTCTGATGGTAAAACCCCTTTTAGATTCACTTTCAACTCCTTCAAAATAACAGTTTGATTCTGACCTTTTTTTTTTCATGTGCTGTCCATAGATATGCCGTTACTGAAGGAGGCCTGAAAATGCTGCAGCCTTTTGACTTTACAGAGAAACACAGCACTTCGTCAGACCTGTTGTGATGAGCAGGGCGCCTCATGAGAGTTTGTCAACACAGCTGTCAACACAGAGCCCAACAGGAGAGGCTCTGAGTGAAGCTGTGAGTCACGCTGAAGATATCCTCTGACCATCCCAAAGGAGAAAGGAGAAGAGATTCACATGTACATACATGCTTACATTTTTATAGGAATTTCCACACTGTGTATGTACGTTTAATGTCGGGAGCTGGGTTTGAATTGTAGAGCTAAGAACAGGCATCACTGAATGGGCTAGAAGGTCTTTTTGGAAAAACTGAATGGGAGAAGCTGCAAACTCATTTGGGGGAGCTAATAATCTCACCAGTGTCTTGATAACTTTCATAAACCACATATCGCACCACGTTTGTAAAGATTCATTAAGTCATGCACCCTTCAAAGGATTTCTCGTGATCATGAATCGTTCTTTAAGGTGTTTGTAATCATGACTTGAATCTTTCCACAAGCTGTTTGTCCACGCAAGTATTGAATATGACATGATTTCTTCATCTGATTGTGGGCAAACCTACTTAGGATTTTTTTTTTCACGTATGCATTAAGTACATTTCATCCTTTCTGAGTGTCCAAAAGTATTACCCTCATATTCACACATGCTCCCAATGGCCTTAGCTTTCCACTTCTATGCACAAGTATCTAGAATATGTGAGATAAGGACTTTTAAAATTGAATGTCAGTAAAATGCCTCCACTGCTTGGTGATGTTTTGCGTGGCTTTGTCTGACGCATCACTTGTACAACAGAAAATATTGTTTTCTTAATTTATGCAGGCTGCTTGGATAGTCCTGTTTCTAGTCTTAACAGGAAGTTGTGTATTTAATTTATTTGTGTCCAGAATGCTGTTGATCAGCCATGGCTTCTTTTGATGCTTCCACAGCTCTCAGAGAAAAAAAAAAAAAAAGTCTTTTCACTTTGTCACTTCAGTTCTGATCTTTCTGCAGGAACGTTATTTGTGTCATTGTAAACATGAACGGGAAGGGACAGCACAAAAATGATGAAGTGTACAGATTTGTGTAATGCCAGTGGTGTTTTTTGCTTTCTTTTGTTAAGATGTTTCTTAAATGTATGTAAAAAGTTCTAATTTAAGTTTACTCTGTATATATACCATATGAAGACCATTTTGATTAAATATTATTTCAGGTGTTGAGCTTGGCTTTATACTTTTATTTTTTTAAAGTCGACTGCCTTATTTATTAACAACTTTGAAAATATAAGATAACATTTACAGACTTGGGGCAGGTCAATTATGTGTATCTGGATCAAAAGAGGTTGAAGGAGCAAACCCTGGGGTATTCATGGCTCCAATAGAGTTTTTGCCGATTTGCAGGTACACACTCATCGCTCCAACTTTTTTACAGCAATACCACGAAAAAAATGTTAATTTGCAATAAGGACATGATAATCAACAGTGTTGTAGCTTTACAACAAGTCTAAGAATATGCCAAAAAAGATTTTTTGATTATCAAGGTCTGAAGAATTTTAGAAACAAGCTGTGAAAGGGCCATTTATGTTTTCACCTTTTTTTCTCCTTGAAACAGTACTGATTGCTGTACAGTAGGTTGCTCTCATGCAACTGTTTTTTAATTCCTGAATAAGTTGTTTTATTAAGGATTTTAGAAAAGAGGACACTTTGATTTCACTTTTTACATTTTATAAATGCTCACTTTAAATTAAATCAGTTTTGGTTTTAGTAATACATTTAACTTTATCTGGAATCAGACCAAGTAATTCAGGGCATGCTGCTGATACAGCCTCTTTATATGTTCCAAGGCAAAGATTTCCAACTACTGGTATGTTTGTCCACAGGGAGCCCTAAAATAGACACTAAATAAAAATCCCTTACAGGAGCTTTAACCTAGAAAAATAGATTTGGGAATGACACTGGGCTATAAAGTAGTCATGAAGGACGATGATTCAAAAGACAGATGATAGGTTTGATTTATTTTTCTAAATAAAACCATCAATTTGTGCATTAAATCTTGCTCAAATGATCCCTTTATAAAATTAATGAATTTATTCTCACAATTCTCATACAAAAATATACATTTAAAACATCATCTAGAATCATTAACTTTCTACTCAAATATACACTAGCTGTACTTTTTACCATTTAAGAGGATAAATCAATAATTAGTATCACAGTCTGCACATAATTATGAATCTGTCCTGTGGTACAGCAGGCCTGAGTGAGAGATGTACAGATGGTATCAAGACACTGAGGATCTGAACAGCGACATCATCTGCAAGATTCAGCCCTTCCAGCACCGGGTCATCTGTCATGATACCATCACAGTTGAAGTTCCCCTCTTGGTCAAATCACACTTTCTTTGGGTATAGTTTTTTCTGCACAAAAAAAAGAAAACAAAGAAGAACAGTGACATTAGACTTCATCAAAACTTCAAAAACCAACAAAAGAGAGTGTGTAGAGAGGGTGTACATGCTTGTCTCCCACCTCCTCCCAGCCCCTCTCTACACAAACACACATGCAGCTGTGACATTTACCCTCAGCTGGTGGTTTGAATCTTCTGTAACATCTGAAGCACAGCGTTAGCAGAAGGCCCTCAGTGACCTGGAGTATGTAGTATATCAGAGGGAAAAGAAAAAAAGCCCCGATGACCTGCAGGGGAAAGGCCACCTTTAGGATGGCAAAGCACAGCTGGACATTTTGACACCCTGTTTCCATGGCAACGGTCCGGCTAAATCTAAAAAGAATAGAAAAGACAAATATTTGGCCACTTTTTTCTGATTTCGCTGTGTAACAATTTTCATGGCATGCCACAATTTTGATGCAACTGGAAAGAAATGACTGAGGAGCAGGATTTGTTTGGGGGTTTCACTTTCTCATATAGCTTACACTCTGTGCTAAAGGATGTAATTACAGTCACCACCCTCCATAAGGAGGTGTAATGAATAATCTTATTTAAAAAGATTACTGGGAGTATTTGGATCCCTCTTATCCACTCATTAATAAGAAGGACGTTTTTTATCACAAACTGTGTCTGAGTTCAAATTTATTTGTAGAAGTTTCTCAAAAGTTCTGAGTCTTAAACCAAAACACTTCTTAAATATTGCTCTAAATTGCACTGTGATTAATATTCAAAACTCTATCATATTTTAGTAGTAGTATTTCAAGAAATACAATCTGAAAAAGCTTTTAACCCATCTCATTAAAATTAAATGGTTATATGTAGAAATACATTAAAAAAAAACTGATTTGTTCAGTTACTTAGTTTGGATCCATCTAAAGCGGTGAGTAATTCAAAAACTCACAGCAGGTTTATAAATGACCTTTGAACTGGGACAAAGCAATTGCCTGAGCTGTTTCTGACTCAAACATAGATATGTGTAATGTATGAACACTCACTGAGGACTTTGTCTGCATAAAGTGGACATGACATATCCCATGATGAAGCCAGTCAGAGGCATCAGTGCTGCCACAGTCAGAAAATCAGGTTTGAGGATCATCCACACAACGTCTTTGATGGCAAAACCAGATACGCCGAACAATATGATGGTACAGATCAGCAGTAAGCTCAAACCACCCTGTCAGATTAAAAACAACAAATATGTTACAAGTTATTGCCATTTAAACCTCAGTATCCCAACATGAAGCGTACAGTAAGCCCTTTTTGGAAGACACAAGTGTTACAGTAGTGATACCCTCACACTATCGTGACTTACTGGAACACTAGAGCAGAGGCCACACGTTTGCCAAACATTACATCCCATTAAAAAATAAAAATAAAAATAAATACATAAACTACAAAAAGGATTAGATAAATGGTAAGGAGTCTCACTTTTTTGATAATTGGTGTATACTTTGGTCTGTAGTGATTGATGGCAATGCCGATGGCACAGGGCACCAGTGTAAAGATGAGAGCACTGATAATGCCGAGGTAGGGTACAGCATTTTTCAGACTGGGGAAGCCTTGGCAGTAGATAAAGAGCAGTAGAGGCATCATACCCAGGGCAGCAACACTGGAGAAAGTGGTCATTACAATGCTAAAAGAAGAGAAAAGACACCATTAGACTTAAATCTAAATGCATGCAATAAACTCTCATTTTGCAGAAAAATGATAACTGTCTGTGGTATGGTAACAAACTCTGCTAACACATTTAGGGAGACTCATATTCTCCCAAAAAGACAGAATCACTGTATCAGTGAGGGTTCACCTGAGGTTCATGTCTCCCTGAACAGCTAAGGCAAAAATGTTTGACAAGGACCCTCCTGGGCAGCATCCACAGATTAGCACAGTCACAGCTCTGTAAGACTGCATCTGAAATGATTTGGCTAAAATGAAAGCAGTCAGCGGCATGATGCCAAACTGGGCCACCAGTGCAATGGCTACACCTTTCGGCTTGAGGCAGTGGGCTTTTATTTTGGAAACTTCCATCGTGCAGCCCAGAGATATCATGATGATGAAGAGGCAGGCCATGGTCAGGATGTTGACGATGTTGTTGATTAAAGGGGGGATGCTCAGGAGGGCCAGGCCTCCGTTGTCAGTGGTGTTGGACACATTGTAGGGGTAGGTTATTCCATCGTAGACAGCTGTCACGTTCATGGTGTTCACAGTGTTGCAGCTTCCTCCTGTTACACAAAGCAAAGTTTAAAGTTTGAAATAAAAGTGGCTTGGTGGCTTGGTCATTTAAGCTTTCTGGATCTTTTAAAATGTTATTTTTGGCTTATTTGGTGATAGTTTTTACAGCTTTAGTTCACTTATAAATCCCCTGGTATGAACAGTTTTTGACAACTCAGTTCGTACAAAAGAAATCAGAAGTTATAACTGCAAATGTTCTGTAATTCTCTTATCTTTAAGTCTAATGAATAACTGACGGCATCAATGAGTTACTATATCTCTGAGAGTCTGAAAAATAATTCATATGATTTAAAAAAAAAAAAAGGGGATGAATAATTTGTAAAACAACATGGCTCTGTATTTATGAAAGCAGCTCCTAAAAAGACTTAACACTGTATTTTTCTGGGACCATTTTCAGCAGGGGACTCAGTGAGTATTTACTGGAGCAGAATACTGTGCGTAGGACGTTCGAAAAACATACTGCAGTGCCCAGGCTCAATGTGATAAGAGAAGGAGTATTTTTAAACAACAATAGCACTCTGGAGGCATAAGGACGAAGTATTGGATCAATATTGGATCAGGCAGGCCATAGAACTTTATAATTTTTAGTGGGGGGCTTTAGGGAGATTTTAGGGTGTGTTCGTTCACTTTTGTCTAAAAGCGCCAAATATGGCACAGGTGTAGCTTAGGGCATACTTAAATGATCTGGCTGAGGCGCCCGCGCCGGTGACCTCTGGGGTTGCCACAGCAGCTGGTCCAATATGGCCACCACTTGAACACGCTTTTGCCTCTACATTTAAACCAGATGAGCTACAAATCCAAACTTGGTGTCTATTTCATGTTTTTTGTTGGGTTCATCTTTATGATTGGGTGTGTCTGGACACCTAATTAGCATATTTCCAAGATGGCGGCTATGTAAAAATTAAGTGTCCCTTAACTTTTGATACTTTTGGCAAACTATTTTAGTTTTTTTTTAGCCATTATCCACCAAAATGTATTGCACATATCTTTTCACACAGATAGAATGTAAAGCTGTATCTTAAAGATATATCCCCCCCCCCCCCCCCCCCCACACACACACACACACACACACACACACACACACATAATAATATCGGTTTCTGTTTTAATTCTCTGTAAAATTTAGAAATTCTTGGGAGATTAGTTACTTAAGCGTCCGATGTGCACGCAGCAGATGTGTACTATCATACCAAATGTTATCTGAACTTGAGATATGCAGCACAAGTTGCACAACATAAAACATCTTCCAGCATATCAGAAGAAGCGTCTACCAGTAAATCCAGGGAAACCTTTGACCCTCTGAATATAGCGCAAATTTTTGCCCTAGTTGAGGATTCAGATTGCTCCTTCACAATTTCAAATTTAAGGCAACTCTATAGAACCCTTATGAATGAACGTAGGCATGTCTGTTGTTATAATGAACCTCACACAACAAGATTCAAGACACATCTCCTCTCTTTTCTGCCTGACTGGAGTGAACACCAGAAAGGGAGGGAGACGTACATTGCAAGTGTTATGACCTGGGGTCATATGTTTCCTGTTTCTTTTTTCAGCAGCACATTTTGTTTGTGGGTAACCCTCCCTACCTGTGGTAGGTGCTGTTCCTGTCTGTTTTATTTTTCAGGAGAGGACTCTGGCCTGATTGGACAGCAGCTGAGGAGGGAAGCTGTTAAAAGGGTGACTGCTGGAGGAGCTCTCTCTCTCATTTCCTTGGTCTCAACTCCCAGCCAGACCTGTGTTTCGTGGAGGCTCTTTTGTGTTGAAATAGTGGAAAGCTTTGTGAATTTTGATTTGTCTTCATGACAAATTGTTTAAGTTGTTTTAAGAGCAGTCTGGTAGGTAGGGGTGGGCAGCTATTTCATTTCAGACTTTTCTCGTGTTTTGGGTAGGGAGGCAGGTAAGACCCCCTGTATTTTATTTACTACACTTTTGTTTCTGAGGTAAGGTAGTTTTAAATAAGAGGTTTTGTTGGTTCTTTTGGCCTGTGCCCACCCTGAAGTTGACTACGATTTATGTTTAACAATAAATTAATTTAAGACTGCTAATTCTGGTTGCTTGTTGGTTTTCTTGGGGAGTTGGGGCAAAGGAGGGAGCACTTTATGTTACGTCCAGCATAACCCTAGGCTGGGTCGTAACACAAGCAAAAAGTGGCAGACAGTGTAGCTAGAGGCCATGATTCCAACCAGATTGATCAAGATGAGGCACTTTTGTTGACAAGGGCTGCCTTGGTTTTACACAAGTATTGTTTACAACCAGGACACAAATTTGATGGCACCTTACCTTCCAACTGTCTCATCTGTTCCTGAACCTTTAAGAGTATTCAATGACATTGTCCTTCAAGGACCAGGACTCCTCAAAGCCTATGAGGATAATACAGAAGATGACAACCTGAAGCCGAGATCAAAAATAGCATGTCTCATCGTCCAGTGTCAACATTACAATGCATATGGCGGCACCCATCATGCCTGAAAGACGGACACAATACGCCACAGCAAAGATTGAGAACCACCCTTTCCACTCTATCAGGGCCTCAAACTCCATGGCAATGGATGCCGTAAAAATGAAATTAATGAAGCTCATTTACAAGGGTTCTCAGTGTCGTATAAACGAGTCATGGAGGTGAAGCTGTCACTGGCACGTGCAGTGTGTAAACAGCACAATGAAGACGGCATTGTTCTTCCTACTAATCTTCGGCAGCATGTTTTCACCACCTATGACGTTTAAGCGAAACCAATGTCTTCAAAATGTCACAACCACAGCCGACCCCACCCCCCCCACCCCTGACATTTCATATAAACATCAGAAAGGAATCATGCATGTCAGAATTAGTTGAATTAGACCGTTTGCACCAGGTTTTACTCATAACAATGGCCAAGTTACGTCCAATGTCTTCAGATTAGCAAAACGCCACTTGGAACTATGCAAATTAAGGGTCTAGACACACCCAAAAATAAAAAAAAGAGCATTCCAACACATTTTTAATTGTCAAAACACACTAAATCATTTAAGTATGCCCTGAGCTACACCTGTGCCAAATTTGGCACTTTTAGACAAAAGTGAACGAAAATATCCCTAAGGCCCCCCACTATTTGGTATTTTCATCATAATTGTACACAGTGAGGCGCTGTGCTGACCTAGTGATTAAACTGAAACACCCCATCTGTATTTTAGCTAAAAAAAACTGCATACAAAGCTCAAAGTTCTTTCTTTAAAGCCATGTCTGCAGATCAAAAATCTTTGAGAAATATTTGACACAGACCACTTTAAATCTCTGCATTGGTGTCCAGTATCTTTTAGAGTTAATTTAAAGATTCTTCTAGTGGTTTGTAAAACTCTAAACGGTCTAACTTCAGCTTATTTATTAGATTTGCTTTTATCATTCAAGCCCGTGAGAAACCCTTAGGTCTTTCTTACTGTGCAAAGTGAGGCAGCTTTTTTTTTTTTTATTACGGCCCATGTGTGTGGAGCAGCCTAACTTAAGACTTGATGGTGGCACAGCAAATCCATAATTTTAAAAGCAAACTTAATTCAAGATCTACCTTTTCAGTCTGGCTTTTAACTAAATGTTATTTCGTTTACCTATCCTGTAATACCTTCTAAAGTTATCTTCTGTGTTCACTATACTGATCTCTTGTTGAGTTAAGCATGAAAGCCTAAAATGGTTTTAAAAATTTAACATAGGATCACTGGGAAAACCCATAGTTGCAACACACCACAGTATGAAGGCAGCACCATATGTTTTCATTTTCACATCAGTCGGCTTACACAACCAGATGAGCCCTTGTTGCCAAGTGCCTCTCACTTATTAACTTGAAGAGGCACTTTGCTGGTCCTGGGATGTCTGTGCTGAAGCTGCGTGATGCTGATAGTAAATATTGTCAAAAGTGGTTGTTAATATCCGTTATAAGGTAACTAAAACAGAACTGAAATGCAGTTCAGCGCGTTATTCCCTCTGGAAACTAGAGGACCAGAGCGTACTTTTCTCTTCACTGCTTTCAATAATATGTTACTGTATAATCTGCTATTCATTCATTTCAATGGCATATCTCAGAACAGGATGCATCCATATCACTTGAAGCTTGGAGCAAAGTGTCAAGCACAAGACATGACATAATTGATCATTACTGATTGGTAAACAAAACACTATCAGCTTCACAGTCTTCAGCTGCAGTCCAGCTTTTATAATTGATCAGCAAGTAAGAAGACAGAGGCAGCTGTTTAGGCATGCAGATTTAGACAACATGGATTCACCCTAGTTCTCAAAATTTGTTTTGTTTTTCTTTTTAATATTTAGAGAACTCACAACATCTGAGTCTAAGTGTGTGAATTTTCTCTGTTAATGTAATAGCTTTTGCATCTTTGATAATTGTTATGTGCTCAACCTTTACCAGGTGCCCATTTAAAATGCTGCATATTCATAACAGATGACGAACAAGTGACATTAAAATGCAAAGGGAATCATTCTGTGTTTATTTTGAATTGTTTTTGAAGTGAGATCGCAAATAAGAAAGTAATAGGAAGGCAAAATAATTTCAATAGTATCATTCAGGTTAAAGACAGCCATGATTTTCCTTGTTTTTTGGATTGTATTTAAATGAAATCACAACTGGACAAACACACCAAGACACAGCAGACCTTTACGTCATATTTGGATTTCATGATGGAAGGTTCCTGATGATAATAAAGAAGTAAAGATATGTCGTGATGATAGGCAAAGTAATAAAGGCTATTTCTTACCTTATTTTGGGACCAACCTCTGCAGCTTCTCTGTCCTCACCCACAACACTTCTTTCATTCTCTCCTCACATTCTTGTGTCTGACTCCTTTTCTATCACTCTGGACCCCCGTGCCCTCCCCTTTCTGTCACATGGGCTCATGGTAACAACAAGAGTGTAAACAGGGTGGCTGACAGCAGTAACAAACTTACCGAAAATACGGCCTCTTCAGGTTCTTGCTCAATTTTTTTCCCTCAATGTGTGTGTGGCTCAGATTTCTGGAGAAACCTCCAGCTGTCTTTTAGTCAGTTACTGGAATCCTGATGCATGGTGAGATAGCCCCATAGTTTCACTTTTTCAGGACACCGTGGGAAAGGCTAGTATCGGTGGGCTGGATAATGTGGAAAGAATGTAACTGCCTCTGTACCCCAAAAGAGGCACTTTATTCATTAGGCCTCACTTGCATGTGTAAACAGACCTTCAATTAAAATTATGCAACCAGGAAAGGGGGGCAGTCTGCCTGGCAGAGTTATCAGTCCTCTCAGAGAGGAGTCCTCTTTTTGTGCGAGGGTGCTTTGTACACTAGACCTTTTCTTTGGAACTCATACTACAGATGTTACACAAGGATTGAGAGTTGTTGCCTTAATCCTTAGAGTGGTTGGGGTGCATTGAAATCTAAAGATCTTGACGCAAAGACACTTTAGCCTACAGCAGGACTTGGGATCAATTTCAGAAGCTTGAATAGGCATATGCCTGGCAGACACAATGTTTTTGTACGCGACAGAGCTGATATCTTACAATGACACTTCCTTGATTGGGCACGGTTGCATTCACATCACCCCTGAACCATGCTGGAGTACATGTGTCATGTACAATACCAGCTCCTCAAGCAGACCCAGGCAGGGTTTCCAAGTTTGTATGACTGTGTTCACACTTATCAAAAGTACAAGGGTTTCAAAGTGTGCTGAGATCCCTGGGACCTGATGTGAAAATCCCTGATTCATGTAATTATTAGCTACCATGTCAAATTGAATGATGTTCTATCACATCTTATCACATATACTGTGTCATATCATATTGCATTATTTCAGGCTTTGTCAAATCACATTAGATTGTATCATATCCTTTTTTAAATTCCGTAATTTGATTAAAAAAGCAAAACTTTTATTCTAGCTTCTATTCTAGATTCATCACACACTGACATATTTTGAGATTTTATTTAATTGAATATTGATCATAATGCCTTTCAGCTCACAGAAATCAACATTCCTCTATCTTCAAAAATTAGAATACTGTGGAAAAGTCTAGTTTCTTGTTGGTTATTTCAATCCTGAAAAGAGCTCTAATCAGCAAACCAACTCTAAACAACTGCAAAGGTTTACTGAGCCTTTATTCTCTCACTTAGGTTCAGAACACACCACCACAATCATGTGAAAGTCTGCTGACCTTACAGTTGTCCAGAGGATGATCATTAACACCTAGAACAGGTTGTTGCTGTATCAAATCATATAATCGGAAAGATGACTGGAAGAAGAAGAAGAAGAAGAAGAAGAAGAAGAGGAAGAAAAATTCACATGTCGGTTGTCTCACTTGACATGTCTCTAAAAGTTATCTACTATTTACACAAGAGTTATAAAGCCTGGTGGCTGTTGGTGCAAAAGATCCTCTGAATCTTTCTGTCCTGCAGCGAAGAGAGAGGAGCCGTCCACCACCATTGGCCCTTTGGTCCATCAAGGTGTTGTGGGTGAAGTGGGTGATCCATGTTCTTTAGAATAGTCTCCACCTTCCTCAGTGTAGATCTCTTAACCACATCCTCCTCTGAGTCCATCTTGAGTCCTACCACAGAGCCAGCCTTTTTCACCAGTGCAGTACACCGGAGGACACCTTCTGTTGGGCTGGCAGCGACTCATTGGTAGAGTCAACAGTCTCCCAGTCGGAAGGTCGGGGTTCGATTCCAGGTTGCCTTTCACATGCTGAGGTGTCCTTGGACAAGACGTTTAACCTGCAACCAGTGGTGTTTAAATGGGATTAGTCAAAAACTGATGTGCTCTCCGCACAGCAGCCTCTGCCATTAGTGTGTGAATTTGGTGTGAATGGGTGAATGTAACATGCAATGGAAAAGAGCTTTGAGTGGTCAGAAGACTAGAGAACATTTATATAAACATAGTGCACCTACCATTTGTTGTATAGCCTACATATTCAATGGATAATAAATCATGCATAAATTAGATCGTACAGTTGGTATTCAATTAATGTATTTTATAATGTGAAAGAAGCTCTGTTTGACTATATCCTGTTACAAAAAACACATTCAGCTCCTGATTCTAAGGTAGTTGTAGGTTTATAAGCAGTGATAGATTGCTGCAGAGGCTATTTAAAGGCCCTATGGAGGCAAGTGTGCAGCCATGGATGGTGAGTGGGGGAGGGCAGCCAGCGAGAGCGAGGCCACCATCTGGCCTCTTGATCATATGCTGAGAGGAGCACGGCTATTGCCCCTAACAGGAACTGCTTAGAGTAGACTACAGCATTATGATATCTCAGAATCCTATTTGCATTTATGTTTTATTTAGAGGATGAAAACGAAACATGTTGTTCAGTGTATGCATGTGCACACGTCAGTATACAGCACTTTCGGTAATATAATGATACGCTGAAATAAATGTGTGTTCGTACACTGTATGAAAAATGTAATGTACTTGAGGAGGACACTGAAGGATGCTCTTGTTTGCAACTTGTGGGAGATAACGGGATACTTTGATGGGCGTGTCCAAATTACTTTGCTTTATGGGAAATGTCGTTCACATACAGACCCATCACCGTAACATGACGCGGGCTGGCTTTTGGAACATTACTCCATTACCCATAAGTCGCCGCTCCTGTACGCCTGCGCTGTGAATGTTTTCCTGTCCATGTGTAGGCGAATCACGTGTAGAGGAGCCGTTGGTCGTCCTGTATCTGCTGTAGCGAAGCTCTGTGCTACATTTGATTTGCCCCCAGTTGTCGCTGCACTTTGTTTTGACAGCTGCTTGTTTTCTTTTCTCATATCTATTTACCGAAGAATGAGTGAAAACGATGACATCGAAGTCGACAGCGATGTATGTGGTTTAGTTTCCTATAAATAGCTAGCCAAATATTAAACCAGACAGCAACTTTAACCGTTTCTGCCAACCTGACCGTGCTAGCTAGCAGAGACTTTAGCCACCGTAGCAGATAAATAGAAAGTGAGCTGTAAAAGTATTTAAGGTGAACTATCAGACTGGCTCGCATGAGAAGGTGTAGTACATATGTTAGATGATAAAGGTACACCATCAAATAGTTGAAGAGTTAGCAGTGGCTTGCTAGCATAATGATTAGAAAGCAGCCGCTTAGCTGTAGTTGCGCATTAACTCGTGTATTTACGTTACGGTAGTTGACAGCGGTTGACAGTTGACAAGAATGTACCAGGATTAACTGGGGGGAAAGCGAAGAGTTTACACCTTTAACCTTTTCAAAACCTTATAAAAACCGGATCAGTATTTAAATGATATGTTACGGTGATGTGTCAATGCAGATTGATAATAATTTACCTGAACAGTAGACACTTGCTGTGCCTCTTTGGTTGTGAGAAAGGGAATTGAACTGTGAAAACTGAAATGAACTTTAACTGGATATGTTGATTTGTATCGAATTCTCAGTTAAACCATTTAGTAAAGGGTCTTGATATTATATTACTTAACCGAAAAAATAACACAAGTCTTTGAGGTTATTTTTCTGTATATGATCTGTTATGAAACTGGAAACCTCTTGACCTACAGCAAAGAATCAATTTTATTGGCCAAGTTAGTGTACACATACAAGGAATTTGACTCCGGTAAACCTGTCCTCTATGAACAAATATCAAACATGAAATATTACAAAAAATGTCACCAAATTTTGAGTCCGGTTTGAACGACGTCCTTTGCATAAACATGTCCTTCTTGAGTTTGAAAAACAAAAACACAGTTTTTGCTCGAAAATGTAGCTATGATGCTATCATGTTTGATGAGTTGAGTGCAGTAAACCTTATGAGGAACATAATACTGAGTGAAAACACGTCCATTTTGGCCTTTTCGAGCACTAGTGCCGTAGTTGCACAAATAGATGCGCAAGGAACAGCGCGCTTGACCGCGGTGCAAAACGCAAATAGGACACGAGAGACGGCTGTGTTTATGCTGTACTAGTTTTTTTTCACCCCCGAGAAGCAACCTATCAAGTTTGTCAACTATTTTGCTGTATTCCTCTGACCGTTTGAGAGGCGTCATCCTACAGCGGGAACCCAGCACTGCTGCTGGACTTCACATCGTATGAGATCCATATTTTTATATGCAACCATGACCAGTTTTTACATTCTCACTAAAATGATCCATGTCGTTCGAACCAGCTGCCTTTAATAGGCGAAAGGTGCCGCATGGTGTCTGAAAACACTTGCATTATGAAATACTGTCAGATCGGGAGCCTGGGCATATTTGTCAGAGCTATGGATTCCCCTCCCCCCTTTGATTAAGCTGGGATCTCCAGCTTTACAGCTTTGGAAACACACTGAGCACTGTAGGCCTGTTGAGCATACATGTGTGGATACTCTATGGTCAAAGATTCAGTAAACCACAGGGAAAGTCGTTACTTATACTTCATTTGGTCAACTTCTGGTACAGGATTAGAATTTATGATGTTTAATGGTTTATTCATAAATGGAGGACTTGGATGGAAAAGGCGTCTCCATCATAATTTCTGTATGACTGTAATTAATCACTTTTTAGTCAAGTTTCTGCAGCTAGTGTCCACATTGGTGACGAGGTTCAACTTGACAGAACGCTGTGTTCCTGAGTTCTTGTTGATCTAATTTGTTATTTAACGATGCAATTTGGCACATTTGCCTCCAGCCAGGAACAGTATTTTCTGCCCTGTCCTTTAATTATTAACCTGAACCGCATCCCACCTCAACTCTTGTCATTCATCTTCAACAGGCGCCCTTGTGCAATCAGGTCTAGCTTTAGGCTGAAGGTGCTAAACAAGTGGATGTAAACAGAGGAGATTACTACAACGATAGGAAACTAAACAAAAGTGAACAACAAAATTTTTAGTCTGTAAACACCCCTTATCTTTTCAAACAGCATACTGAACACAGAGGCTTTTGAAAGATAACGCTGTGTCATATTTGTACTTCTTTCAGCTTTGGTTTTTCTGTGTTTATTTCTGCTTTGGATTCTTGTGGAAATCACATTGACAAGAAATCAACTTGTGCTTGTGTATTTTGTTAATATGATGTCTGTTCTCTGTACAACTTCTTTACCTTTGCAGGCAGACAAGCGAGCACATCACAACGCGCTGGAGCGTAAACGCAGGGACCACATTAAAGACAGCTTCCACGGTTTACGAGATTCTGTGCCTGCATTACAAGGAGAGAAGGTAAGCGGAAAATGTGTTTATATTCCTAAAACCCTTTATTTTAGTCAGAGCTAGTTAGAGTTAGAGCTTAGCACCCTTTTTCAGACTTCCTCAGTGGCTAACCAGAGTAAAATATGTCAAGCTTAACAGCATAGCCAGTCGGAGACTTCCATTGTATCTTGGAACCATTATCAGAAGTTAGCATGCTCTATCAGTGTAGATTTTGTCATCATAGTGTTAAAAAGAAAGCCTTCAAACCTCTCAGTAGCTTAGCCACCTCACTGCCAGATATGGGGCAAAGATTGAGCAACTACAGTCATTTTTATCCATCAGCAAATCATCAAATTACAAGTGTGAACAGAGTAGGTCAATACAAGAGATGTCAATATTAAAAGCCCCTCAAAAAAAAAAATCCACCAGTCTGGTGCAGGGCTGCCCCCTCACTAAGTGTGAAAATACAACAAGCAGACCTGTTTTTCTTTAAACAAAGTAAATGAAGTAAGTAAACCACATTTAAATTAGTTTGTCATCGATGACATGATGACAGCTCACCTTACTTACTCTCCCCCCGCCAACACACACTCACCTTTCTGCACACATCAGTCTGCCCTATGTGCAGCTGTTTCTTCTGCGATGTGTGCACCTGTCACTTCCTGTATCATTCAATCACCTCGTAATATAAATATGATTTAGATTGGTTTTCACCAGTGATCTCTTACAGGAACTGGGGCTCAAAATGAGGAAGCTTAGTGCTAATTACATGATAATAAAACAATGGAAACCAAGGCTGTGACATTACTCTATAACATGAGGTACAGACAGCTGGACTGGATAAACAGAAGCGTCACCTTCAAATCTATCTATTCAATGAGGCTTAAAACAGCTGAAAAAACTTAAAAGGGGCTTTATAAATTCAAGTTATTGTTATAATCATTATTAGACCATAAACAGACCAGTCACAGGGGGTCCTTCAAAGCCAAGCAAAAGGAGCAGGAAGAGCAGAGTGAGCTAAGAGCACGAGGTAAGTTTATACATGAAACAAGTGCCTGACGAGAAGACGGCCATTTGTACAACAAGAGAAAACCCCTCATAGATGACGAGGCTCTATGCACTGTGCGTGTAGTGGCGCGTATAGTGTGAGGCTGCACTGGTATGGTGAATAATTCATTTTGATTGCAATTAACACTATCACAGTGGTAGCAGAGAGAGTAATGTTCTTCAAAGCTGTAAAAATGTCTGCCATCTGTATTTTTTCACTGCTAGTAAGGTTATATGTATATCTATTGCACTGGTATGGAGAGACTAAATCTGAAAGCAGGCAACTGGTGTCAACATTTCTTTGTGTGATGCAGCTAAAAGCAGATTATTCATCTTCTGTTATGGAGTTATTTTGCTGTTTAAGTTTGAGCATGCTTCAAAATGACTTGTTTTTTAATCATTTTAGTAATCCAAACTAAAAAGTAAATTCAGCATGTACTGGTAAGACACTGTGATATCCAAATAACATGTACAACCTGAACAAATAGACACTGCAGCATTGTCCCCATGCTCTTTGAAATCTCTGCTGACAGAGTTCTGTCAAACAGGCTTCTCGAGCACAGATTCTAGACAAAGCCACCGAGTACATCCAGTACATGAGGCGAAAAAACCACACCCACCAGCAAGACATTGATGACCTAAAGAAGCAGAATGCACTGTTGGAGCAGCAGGGTAAGTAGAGGAGTTGTTTTCTAACAGGATTATGGAGATTTTCAGTTCAGATATCTGGCAAAAGTGGTGTTTGCTGCTGTATTTAATGGCTCCTTGTGTCTGTGTACTGTATGTAGTTCGGGCTCTTGAGAAGGCCAAGGGGAACACTCAGCTCCAGACAAACTACTCTTCTGACAGCAGCTTGTACACAAACCGCAAAGGGAGTGCGGTGTCCGCATTTGACGGCGGCTCCGACTCCAGCTCAGAATCAGAGCCGGACGAGCCGCCCACCAGGAAGAAGCTGCGCGTGGATGCCAGCTAAACTCGGATCAGGCCGGGTTCACCATACAGACTCTCTTTGGCCCCACCAGCCACCTTGACTCCTCCTACCTGTCCTGTCCCCACTCAGTCCTGTCTTTGTACACCAGTCCAGGTGACAAAGTTGAGACTGTGTGAGAGAGGTGCTCTTATGTATAAAATGCTTTTACCTTCCTTTTTCCTCCCGGCAAGCATCCCGTCACTCCTTTTTGTGGCCCAGCGACAACTTTTCAGACCCACACAGTGAGGCAGCTCTGCAGTTTTGAAAGACTTTAAGCTTTTCAAACCTCATATAACCTTTCGTAATCAAATGAGGAGATGACATGTTCTGAGGCTTATGTGAAGCTACATAAATAAAAAGATTTTTTTTCCTTCGTTGGACTTGTGACGCTTTACCACCTTTGACAAAAAGTGTAATTAGGAATAGTTTACCTTTGTGATATTGATACTTTTCCACAAAAGAATGTGAAGTTGCTTTTGAGAAAAAAAAAAGTGTAATGAAAAATGCAACCCTCCTTATTAAGTGTAGGTGGCTCAAGTTTTTGTCCTTGAAAATGTTTGTGAAATGAAATGAACCCTTCTATTTATAGTAATGCACCGAAATTGGTTTTGGAAACCCTGCTGTCTGATCTCTGTTCTTCTTGGCCTGGATTATTCCAGAGAACACACAAGGAAGAAGAGGCTGACCCTCTGGACTCAGCTGATTACTTTCCCTCAATTTTTATTATTACCAGATAAAATGTGGGTGTAATAAAAGTCCCCCAATGGATGCTGAATGTTACGCAATGCAGTTAAGGGCAGTGACCTTTTATTTTTGTTGATGAAAGTCCTTTCAGTGTGTAGTATATAACACTGTATACTCTTTAATGGTGTCAGCTCTGCAAAGAAAAGCCTTCCCTTGAAATATTTGCCTGTGCTGGGAATGTTTATCTTTCTTTTTTTCTCTCCCCTTTTTGCAGAGGTGAAGTTAGTGTGTACGTAATCAATATTTGTTTGTTCCATTCCGTGGAAATTACAGGTATGTTGTACATACTGCCAACGGTTGTCTTGCAAGTTGAGGCATACCTTTGTTATGAAACTATAAATAAAACTATTTTATCCTTTTGGGATGTACTTGTGGCTCAACATGTTTTTAATGACATTGTAAAGTAGCTCTTTAACACTATATTAAACTCATTTAAGGTTATCTAACAGTAATTATGAAGGGTATATACTGAATTCTTGCAGATACTGAAGTAAACACTTCAATAAGTAGCATCAACACAAGTCGGGGGGTAAGAAATCCCAACATTTAAACACCTTTCATTTGTACAAGGTTTTCTCTTGCATGATTTTGATAAAATATCTAGTGGCAGGATCAATACTAAACAGGATCAGTGGAAATGGAAACATGACAAACGTGTGTTCATATTGGTAAATGTAATCAAAATATTAACTTTGGATGTTAACCCAAACTATTGTAGAAAGGGCGGAGCTGTCTAAAGCTAATTTAATGTAATTGCCATGTGTTCCTTACCTGGATACTGCTCTGCCTTTCATTGTTTAAATATTGAACTAGGGATCAGCTCAGTGATGTGTTCCTGCTGTCCCTACTGCAAGAGGCAGCCTCTTTAAGGATGCAGGTTAGATGCTGCCTTCTTGGGTTATGGGAAATCTAAGAACACTTTAAAAATAACGTAGTATAAGATTTAGAAAGGCTGGTGTATTTGACCGACAGTACAGTGCATACTGTAATAAGAAAGTACGAGAGCAATGGAAAAACAATGTTTGAGACGTAATGCATCCAATGTTATTTCAACACAAATAAGAAATATAATTATATTTTCGTGTATCTGCAATATTTGTCATTCGTTAAACTTTGAATAATTAAATAATTAGTTTAGTCGAATTACACTAATTTACATAACCTGTTTTTCGTGACAGTGTTTAGAGTTTGGGCTGTTTTACAACTTTCCTTTTTTTCAGAAGCAGGACTTTCCGGGAGACTCTGAAGGCAGCACACAACAACATCATGCGTGAGAACCGACATCACTGAACTCAGCTAGATGGGAGAGTCATGCTTCTCTCAATATTTTAACTTTTTGCCATGGCTAAACAGTACGACGTTTTGGTCAGGTTGCTCATGCTTGGAGACTCGGGGGTCGGGAAGACTTGCATGTTACGCAGGTTCGCGGAAAGTGAGTTTAACCCTACACACATATCCACTATCGGTAAGTCCAAGTTTTGAGTGACGTTTCTAAAAGTTATCCTATGTCTGTGTTGGTCTCATAAAAGCGGATACTTAATGAGACTTTTGTCAGACTAAAAAAAATAACCGATGCTGCAGCCTGTTATTGAAACATTTACCCAGTTTTCCTGTGGTCAGAGTGTAGAAGTAGGCCTATTTAGTAGGATTAGTGCAAAGTGCCTCAGGTCACAACAGCCTTGAAACTAACTGAAAAACCTGTCAGTATTAAGACAGCTATACAAATAGAGACTATGCTAAAATAGTTATTTTTGAATGAATTACGTCTCCAAACTGAAGTCTGAGCAAGTCTGTGAAACATGTCTCTTAAACAATGACAAGGAAGGTTTTTAAAAATGATTTCTTTCTCATGTCAGCTTTTCATTTTCCTGGGTGTTTGTTATTGTTCTCCCATGTTTGTCCTTTTTGTTTAACCTGCTGATAGATCAGCTAGTCTGTGCTCTATGTCCATGCAGCATGCCTCTTTTCCTGACTTTTAGATAATGATTTGTAGAAAGATGGAGAGACTAGTTTTTAAAAAAAGTTTATTTCTATTCAGTTAAACAAAGAAAATAGTGACTTTGATGTTTTGCAGTAGCAATAGCTTGTTGTGGCTGTGAAAGAAAGCCCCGGAGCTTAAAAGAGAGCTTAAGTCAGGGTCGAAGGTTTTTAAGGTGAAGCTACATTGTGGGAAAGCTTTATAGGATTAATCAAAGTTATTCGAGTGCACAGTGCATGAATTCTCATAGCTACTACATAAATAATGGCTGTTGGATAGTTACAGTGCCTTGGTCATCTCATCAAGTGTGCATTAGTTTCTCACAAAATGATGTTGTATACCTCCTATTCCTGTGTAAGGTCCCCCTATAGAAATGGAGAATACCAGCACTGAAAATGCTGTAGTAGATGTTACAGAAGAAGCAAACGTTTTAATGTATTTAACATGTCCTCTATCAACTCACTGCCACACTGTCACGACTTACTTAAGTGGAGCAGAGCCACTGTTAATGTTGTAAACACATGTTAACAAAATTAAGAAAGCTAACAGAAGATGACACATGATGCGGTGACATGAATAACCCTCTCCTCTGGGATAATGCACTTAAGAGTAAATTACACCGTTATCATCATTTGAAAGGACACTGTAAAAGAACACCAGAAGGAATTTTAAAGCATCTAATGTTTTGAAAGCGAGCATGAAGAATAAAAAAGGATGTTTCACAGTCACACTGTCATGGCTTGTTGGGGCGCTTGAATGGAACAGGGCTATTGTTAATTTGCACATGTGCTTCGACCACTAGTCACCAGACTCTCTGTATAAGATCACTAATAATTTATTTTAAATCCCACATTTTATTGCATAGTAAAATATATCAGAGTGAAAAGTATCTTGAAAAAAACCTAACCTGGCATGTACTGCATAAAGCATGATTGGCAGATAAATAAAGTGTCTTGGAGTCACATGGTTGGGGCTTACTCTGACACTTAAATGGGACAAAGCTGCTGTTAATGTGAATTGCACTTGTGTTTTTTCAGCCATAGTTAAAAAAATGATAATAAAAAAACACCAGGGAAATTATCAGTAAATGAACCCTGACTGAAAATAGCAAACCCCATATAATTTGATATACCACATGCTTGGATAAGGATAGATAACTATAAAAAGGTCATGCCACAGTTTCAATGGCATCTGATTCACAGCTTTTATACCATAAGAAAGGAAATATCTCACAGTCACATGGCTGTGACAAACTTGACATGACAGAGACATCATTAATGTCATTATATCATGCATCTTTCCGCTTTCAGGGAAATTATTTAGTAAATTAGTTTAAATAAAAATCATACAAAGCCTTTTCTTAACACAGAATAGTCGACTGTATTTAAATAGAATAACTCTTAATTGACAGTTTACTGTCATCTGTACAAAGCCATCATTTGAAGCATCTGATGATTTCAGGACATGAAGAATAGACGAATACATGTCTTACTGACAGCAAAAATATTGTGGCCAAAACAAAGCAATTGTTAATGTTACTGACACATGCAGTCTTCTAATGTGTAATTTTATCATGATTTATCTATGTGATTTTTAGTGTCTGTCATAAACAAAAAAAACTCCTCACATAAGCCTTAACCTTAGAGACAGACATTGTTCATTAAAAATAACGGGGGGCTATTTAGAAGGCCTTAAAGCAGGATTTTTCAGCAGATGTTTCAAAGTTGTTAGTTTGACTTTTTGTTCTTGTGATGTGGCATTTAGCATTGTTTACCCTTCATTTATTTGTAAAACTTCTCACTTCTTTTATTTATTTTTTGTGAAGGAGTTGACTTCAAAATGAAAACCCTAGAAATAGATGGTGTCAAGGTGCGAGTACAGATATGGTAGGTGAAGTGAAAATGTACAATTTTGCTGCATTCATATTAACGAACGTGCAAATGCCTGAATGATTTTTGTCTGTTGATGATGTGTTTTTTTTTCTGTGCAGGGACACAGCTGGTCAGGAGCGTTATAAGACCATTACCAAACAGTACTACAGGAGAGCACAGGTGAGCCCTCCACATGAACCATCTCTGGAATTCAGTTACCTTAATTGATTATTGTTATCATGTATTTATTTTGCTTTGGTGAATTGTCGTCCAGGGCATTGTCTTCGTCTATGATATCACAAACAGACTGTCCTTTCAGCACCTAGCCATGTGGGCCGGTGATGTGGATGAAGTAAGACATTCAGCACTCTTGTTTTGCTCCCCTGCTGTCCCTGCCTATTAAAAGTCACCTAGTATTTGTGTTATCACTCAGCTTTATGATGTGTTGTGGTTTAGTTTTACTGACAAGAAGATGAAGTCCCTTATCTCTATCATTTTTGGGGTTCTTTTTGCAGTTTGCCCCAGACAAGGTGCAGAGGATTTTAGTAGGAAACAAGAGTGATGATGAGCCCAGCAGGCAGGTGACAAAGGAGCAGGGAAGCAAGGTTTGTTGGATTGTTCTTTAAGGTTTTCTTTTTCTTTTTAAAATAAAAAAACTGTGCTGTTTACATGGAAATGCTCAGAAGCTAACCTGACTGCTCAGTAACTGAAAGATTCAGTTTTCTTATTTAATTTGCCTTGCATACTATTCACCAAAGTTCAAAAGTGCTCTTTAAATGCAACTTTTATGAGGTATTTTTTGTTCACATAGAATATAATTGATTTTATTTTAGGAATAAAATAAAATTAGACCCAGTTACACTTAGCTGTTGGCCCCTGGCACAATAATTAAAACCATAAAACCCTACTCATAAAAAAAGACTGCTAAGTGAAATCACTAAAAGTGCTCTTTTGTTGTTTAATTTAAGTTTTTTGAGGAGAAACCAGCCAGATTAGCTGTTCAGTGCTCTGCAGGCAGAGGAACAAGAATGTGTCACGCCTGTGAAAAGTGTAAGAATAAAAGGGCTTACTGCCGGCAAAGTAATACGCCAAAGAATTCCTTAATAAAGGGTGAATTTACACAGACATTCATATCAGGGTCTGAGTCTCTGAAATTAGCCAAATTACTTAGTAGGGCTGATGTGGTGTGCAACAGTTGGTAGCCTAGCTTCTGTACTAGTTCACCAGCTGGTTTCCCGATTAAGACGCTGACCAGGATTCCCCAGCGGGTAATACACATCCTACTGAGAAGTACCTCATACAACCCCACCTTTAAAAAAATCCCTTAAGACTGTGTGGATGATTGGTAAACACTCAACACCAAGAGCAAATTTATGTTCCAGCTGATGACTGCTAGTCTGTATTGTTCTCAGTCTTGGTAATGCCACAGGAATCCCCCCATGTTCATGTTGGAGTAATGTTACTCTGCTATTGTGTTCCTCCTCTGCTTGATTATCTGAGATAAACTCTGTGACTTTTCTGTGGAGTACCTTAATTTTGTTTTATTTTTAACCATATCCACCTGGACCTTGCAGCTTGCAGAAACCTATGGGATGGACTTCTTTGAGACCAGTGCCTCCACTAGTACCAACATCAATGAGGTAGGACACCCTGTATGTCACAAAATAAACAGTCAAACATGTCAGGGAACTCCCTGTTGTGCTTAAATTTACGATGTTTATTTTTCCTCCTCCTCGTTCCTTCAGTCCTTCACGCGAGCAACAGAACTGGTGCTGCAGGCGCACATGAGAGACGTGGACGACCTGTTGGGATCTTTGGATGATTACCTGGAGAAAGCTGCTCTGGAGACAGAGAGAAGCACTCAAGAGACTAATGACAACACCCGAAAGACTTGTGCCTGTTAAAAACGAGAGATGTTATTGTGCCATGGCTCAGGCTAAAGACAATTTTTCTCCCCACTATGGCTTTACCCTGTTATTAACAACCTTCTTCATACCATGACCTGCTGGCTGCGCAGGAGTTCAACTGGTTTCACCTTTCAAAGTTAAAACAGTGATATGCTGGTGAATGTGGCTACCACATGCAACCAGCAGGGGGCAGTTTTAGTGCTTAGTGAAAGAAAGGAGTGAAGTAAAAAAATGCTCTAATTTACACAAGTGAGCAGTTTTCCTCAATATCTGCATTTTTTTACATTTTCTCCTTAACATAGATGATTTGTAAAGGCCCATTGAAAAAATTATTTAGGGAGCTGGAAACAGATACATGCTCAAACATGGCAGCCTGAGGATGATGAATAATTTACACCTTGAAACTCAAACCATGCAAGGGTGGAGTCATTTACACAACAGACTTATTTCCTTGTGAGAGACAGTGCTGTGGCTTGTCCACTGACCTTTCTGAATGGAGTACATATTTATTCTCCAGCTTGAATGTACAGTTTTTTTATGAGTATGACTGTCACTGCTTCCTTTTCCAGTGCATCCCAGTACTGTAACTTTCCAGGGTTTTTTGAGGTGCCATACAAGATGTAGCTTCATTCTTAGTTTTGAAACTCAAAGATGTTCAAATCAAGCCATAAATGAGTGAATAAATGAAAGTTATTTAAAAGTAGTTTATGGGGTGTTTGAAGCGTGCTGAGTCACTAGGTTTGGACTGAGAGGGAATTAAGGTCCTAAGAGAGTTTAAACAGTTGGTTCATTCATTTTTTACGACCTGCTGTGAAAGGTGGGTGATCACATGTTAAATTTTAAATGACTGGTGAAATTGGATACATGTGATAGAGACACAATTAAGTGACGACCATGCCATAATGAACATGGTTTCTCAGTTTAACACTCTTAAATGTCAGAAGCACACTGTAAAAGTAATAAGATTGAAGAGTTTTTACAAGTAAATGGCATTTTGGTGCAAAAATGATATTTGAAACATACACTTTTCAAAGTTTGTCGATAATAGAACAACACATCTCAATGAAAATCATGCAAATCATGAAAACTCTGACTATATTTATCAGTGGTTTCGCCAATCTATCCAGAGTGTGTCAAGGAGTTTTGTATGTCAACTGAAGATCAGTTTCCTGCAAAGTCATTTGACACTCCTGAAAGGCAGCTTTCTACCCCAGGTGAGTCACGTGACCAAGCTGTAGGGTACAGTCACACGTTGAGATCCTTTCTGCCTTCAGTGTGGAAGCACAGGAGACAAGATGACGTTCATCGCCAAGACCTTTTATGACTTGAGGGCCACCACGCTCGAGGGAGACTCTGTAGATTTCAATGTGTTCAGGGGCCGGGTAGTCCTGATCGAGAATGTGGCCTCACTCTGAGGCACCACCACCCGGGACTTCAGCGAGCTTAACCTGCTTCAGAGCAAGTACCCTCACAGGCTGGTGGTCCTGGGTTTTCCCTGTAACCAGTTTGGATATCAGGTAAGATAGGGGCAAGAAAACTCATAAATGGCTTTATATGCTGATGATGTTTTATTACAAATGTAGAATATGCTATTTTAGCACAGCTTTGAATACTTGAATGAAACATTTTTCCAGAGCTACACATGATCCTCCCCAAAAGATGTTTCAAAGACAATACCGTTTCATTACATCATGCTTTTTAAACATGATTTTAAGCTTTCTCCCTTTATCCCAGCCTCTGAAAAAGAAGCCTTGTCTAATTAAATTTACCACAAAGCAATTGAAAAAGCAGCTCGATTGCAGAGTTTGTACATTGTAGCTGTTATTTTGGCTGTGATGCTGCAATTAAGTTTGAAATATCTGCCTGACACTCTTATGGAGGGTGATACTGTTTGCTGCATTGCAATCAGCATAATTATTGGTTTGACAGAAATAAGAGACAGACTATGAGTTTTATAGGCATATTGATGTGGAGTAGAAATTCAAATGTAAATGAATGCTTCTGTTTCTGTAGGAGAACTGCAGCAATGGTGAGATCCTGAATTCCCTGCAGTATGTGCGTCCAGGTGGCGGCTATCAGCCCAACTTTACCATCTTTGAGAAGTGTGATGTCAACGGCACAAGCACACACCCAGTGTTTGCATATCTCAAAGACAAGCTCCCCTATCCTGATGATGATCCAAGCTCCCTCATGCAGGACCCCAAGTTTCTTGTTTGGAGTCCCATCTGTCGCACGGATGTCTCATGGAACTTTGAGAAATTCCTCATCGGACCAGAGGGCGAGCCCTTTAAAAGATACAGCAAGAAGTTCCCCACCATTGACATCGAGCCTGACATTCAAAGACTGCTGAGATTAACAAAGACCTAAAATTTGTCTCCATCTCTTAACGACTCATCATCCATCACACTCAAAGCTGATATGCTGTCCTTCACACTTTTGAGCCTTATTTAATGAGGGTGATATTCTGAAAAGATAAGGGAATATTATCTGAGGCCTTATAAGTGCTCAAAAGTAGTGGAAGAATGAATTCAATGTATTTAAAAAAGAAATTTACAGTTTAATTAAAAGATTAAATGTGGATATGCATCACAAAGACTGTCACTTTCATTTGGCATCTTTTTGTTCCTGTCCTACCCTAATCTGGCCAGCAGATGGTGCTACTGGCTTGATTAAGCAAATAGAAAACTTCTGTCATGATTTTATGAATTAACATTCCCAACACATATTCCCACATAATGTTGGCTCTAGAATGAAACCCAAAAAAACTATTTTCTCCCTCACTATGTTTTTAACTGAACCACGAGCTGCTGTAAAGATCTTTGCTTCTTATGCGAGGTCCACAAAAATAGATGATGTGTTTGGATGAGATCCGTATGGGCATACTAATGCGGCTTGAAATACAGTTGGAAGGATGTGGAATCATGATGCACGTCACCACCGCACTATAAAACACTCGTTTAAATAACCTGTAAGTCATTATTCTGCTGAATGCTCCCTCCAGTCTGCTGATTCCCTATTTATATGTTGACATTTTCAAGATCTTAGTAGCCTGATAAAACTGCAGGAATGCTCTATTGCCACAGGAACACCTAAGGACATGTGCTAAATCATGCATTCAGGTAAGTATTAACCTCGCCATCTCCATCTCCTAATGAGCTCTTATCCAGCTTTCATTTCCTCTGCACAGTTTGCATTGTTTGCAAGGTCTTGCAGATTAGCATTGGATTTTCTGCACATCCGCTCCCATTCACATCAGCAGCTGATGATGTCAGAGCCACAGGGTACACAGACCAGGCAGTGTCCTAATGTGTTTGGCAGGTTGCTGCAGGGACAACAGTGAAACACCCTGCCACCTGACACTGTGTTATTTCTGTTTGCAGATAGCCTGACTCTGTGTCTTTGCATATTACATTTTCCTGTTTGTGTTGTTATGACATATACGGGTGTGCTATTAATATATCTCCAGAAGGATTCCTGGTCTAAAGTTGACAGTCAGGTAAGTAATGTTTCCTATTAGAATGAGCAAATATTGGAGGAGTACTACCAGGGGCCCCGTCCCCCTCCATGCACTGCTCTCTTACTCACATAGCTTGCAGAAAAATACCACCGAAGATTGTTTTTGTTGGAGCAGTGAATCACTGATCCAGCTCTCAAAATAATACATGCCATTAATCAAATGAAATGATAAAATAAACCAAGATCACTGCAATGGGATTTAAATATGGCATCACATCTGAACTGGTGTCAAATGTCACAAAAATTCACAAAATCTGTAATCAATCCCATAACCAGTGCATTAAAGGTTGTAGTCTCTGTACATGGGTGCTTGATTTAAACAGGGCCCCATGTCATGCAATCGTTGATAGACAGATGCTCATGGATAATCTGATTGAGGTCTGTTTGAAGGCTAGTAACATTAGTCTCTGCATAGGAGTTACTGAAAACATACATATACATCATATGGGGACACTTTGATTTATTGTGCAAGACTGCAAAGTTTCCAAACTAACACAGCCAGGGTAAATTTAAATAATAAAAAAGTAATATTCTACTTTTCTTTGGTGTTTCTCTCAAGCTGTGCATCATTTTGGGTTTTCTGTTTTGTTTACTGAATATCAATGTGGTGCAAATGCAAGGTGCCTTTATTGAGGGAGTCACCATGTTAAGCCTGAATGTATGCTTCATTATTTTTGGACTGATCTTATAGCTGGTTGAAAGAAAAAAGAAACTCTAGATGGACCTCTTAATGGTAATCAACAAGGCAGGAAAACATGCTGTTTACTTGACTTTAAAAGTGAAAAATATGTAAAAAGCAAACTTAAAATGTTGAGGGGTTGGTGTGTCTTTTCTATTGGTGGCTCCTCAATCCCTTGGTAAGATGATACTACGGTGGCCGAGAACCGCCACTGCTGCAAATACAAAAGGATAGTTACCGATGTAAAAAAAAGAAGAAACTGAAGCCCGCTGCAAATAAAAAAAGAAATGGTGCCGTTTAAAAAAAGACAGAACGGAGGTTAACGACGCAAAAAAAAAGTGGCGATGCAAAAAAAAAAAAAAAAAAAAAGAAAGAAAGGGGGACTTGGTGTGAAAATAAAAGGATGCAAATAGAAAAAGCCACAGAAGACAACGGTGAGAAGACGAGCAAAGAAGTAAGTGGAAAGGTTATTGTTTAATTTCGCTTCATGTGCTTTACAATGTGTCATTTGGTTAGGCCATGTAGTGCCTGAGTCGATATGAAATTGAACTGGAAGGTGCTGGTGTAGTGTTAGCTTTGGCTAACACGGGAAACCCATGATGCCCCTAAAGACCACCCATGAGAGGAGATTCGAGCTTGGTAGCTCTATGGTTCGGTTGTTTTACTCTTAGAAATAAGTACGCAGACCCCTCGCTTTTTTTCATCATTAGTCCCCGTCAGCTCACTTCCATTGTGGCTTTTTTTTATTTGCACCCTTTTAGTTTTGCAGTAAGTATTTATTTTTATTATTATTTTACTTTTTGCATCGCTAATTTTTTTGTCATTAACCTCTGTTGTGGCTTTTTTTTTTTTTTTTTAATCTGCACCGTTTCTTTCTTTTATTTGCAGCAGGCTTCAGTTTTTTTTTTTCATCAGTAACTTCCGCTGTGGCTTCTTCTTTTTTTTTGCATTCTTTTATATTGTGAAGTGGCGGTTCTTGGCCACCGTACGATACAGCTGAATTTTCCACTCCTCTGCATTACAAGCGACAGAAACTCTTTATTGTTAATGGGGATTGGTTCTGTTTACATTTGGCAATAGTACAAGCTATCACATTGTTTATACAATAAGTGGATTTACTGACCTTACAACAAATGATGCACCTCTATGCACTTGTATCTGACAGTTTGATTTTAGACGCCTGTGGATGTCCTTGTTTTCTCGGTTACAGCAAATTAACATTTAAAATTCATTTAGTGGGCTCAGTTAAAAGGTATATAATGATTTTTTCAGTTAAAGTTTGAATTGCTTGTCCAACATCTAAAGAGGTTGAATGTATAGTTTAGCTGACCCTTGAAAACCTCTTTTAAGTGATTTATAAGGCAGCAGCATCACCAAAACAGGCGTATTGTGCCTTGATGAACAGCTCTCATACAGTTGTCTTTACATGTGAACTTTATTCAAAATAGTCAAAAAAACAGAATTTAGTTATTACAACAATGTACATGGAACCACAAAGAAAATTAATAAAAACTTGAGATAAATTTACATGGTCAGAAACCTGTGCATTCAACACTGAGAGAGACCTTTTTGATTCGTCTTCTCTCCGTCTGCTCGCTCCAGGTGTGCCCTGTTGCCACGGTAACGTTTGCTTTCCCCACGTTTGCCCATCTCTCGCGAGACTCCAGAGGGAGAGGGAAAGAGAGAGAGAGAGAGAGAGAGGGGGAGAGAGAGGGAGAGCAGGAGAGGGGAGTCTGCCTGAATGATCTCATCCCTCCAGCAGCTGCATAGCGCAGCCAGGCGAACACGTAACTTTCTATCAAACTTCCAAGTTGCCTTTCGGAGGAGAACACCGGAGCATTTTCGCTTTGAACCGGAGAGGAGGACACGTTTCCCGCAAAGGTAAGGGAAAAGGGCTGCGCAGTTTGTGTGTCGAAGTAGCTACTGGACTTGAGTTGAAACAAAAGGAGGAAAACCCGCTTGGTATTATGTGACATCTGAAAGCTTGAGTGAAAAAGGAGAAAAGGTGAGTGGGAAACGTAGTGCTGTCTTTGTGAGGGGTATAGTTTGTAGTACAAGGTGTATACACTAACATCTGTCGGCTGTCTGTGGACAAAGCTTATCATTGTGCCGTGTCAAGGTGCTGTGTGGAGCCTCTACGCAGTGAGTGCCACTGTGTGTGTGATTTTTTTTTTCTTTTTTCACTCAGTGGGGTTGGTGGTAGACGAAAAGACGATTTTACCCAACATTCAGTGGGGCTGTCAAAATGTATGTAACCGCTGCGTCGTTGTTGCTTTATGTCAAGGGCATTGTTCCCAGCACTGCTTAAGGTAATCGATTCACAGGTGGTACCATGAACACAACGACAAATAACTTCAATGTGTGGATGTCACCTTGTGTAGCAGTCTTTTTATCATTTCATCTTTCAATAGGTTTTGGTACAGTCTGCACACGAGGGTAGATCACAGACAGGTGATTTCCTCGTGCCACATCTGTCTGGCCCTGGAAGCTCTGATTTGTCCATAGCATTGCCTGTTTATCTTCTTCAACAAATTGGATGAAGCTGGTTGGTTGTTGGATGTGGTGTACAGCCTAATCAATATGTCATCTGAGATGTATTCTGTCCAGCAACGTGTCCAGTCATTGTACCATTGGTTTTCAGTCAGGTAACACTCAATCAGACTCATCTTTGAGAGACTGTTTTGACACATGGATCACACCAGCCCTGGCAGCGTGATAACATAAGGTCTGGCATCACAGAGACACAATGCAAACAGAGATTTGTTTGGACAGTCAGGAACAACCAGGGACCCGTGCCAACCTGTTCAAAGTTCAACATATGCAGGATTGTGTCCTAAATTTGCATATTTACATGATATCGAGTGTGTCAAGCCAGGGCTCCTGGAGCTCATAGCAACCTGCTCCTGTAGCTGTGCTTATTGGATAACTTGGCAGGAGTCAGGTGAATTAAAAGGAAGCTTTTGAGTTTGGCTTTTGGGCAGAGATCAAGGATTTTCAGCATTCTTGATAGGCTTAGCTGACCTGGCATGACTGATCATAGAGCTGCACTGCCATTTTTTTTTATGTGAGTCTAATCTCAGCTTTGTCGCTAAATCAAAGCTATTACTCAAAGTGGAATGCATCTTTTTTTGTGATTGGATTTATCCTAGAGAATTAATTTCATGCAAATGCAGCAGGTTTATATTGCAGTTTTGGAATACATCCATTCTTTGTTGTAATCTGCCTCAATGGGCCTAATAGTCTGTTTTTGTGCTGCTGAGGAAAATACCTTTCAGATTCAAGGCATCTCATTTACAGAGACTATTTTAAAGCCATAGCAGAGGGACATCCATATGGCTGACAAATGAAGTCCTTCGACTTGCTTTTTATAGATGCAGCTTTTAATCTGTTTTATTCCTAGAGAAGAAAAAAACAACTTATTGCTTCTCACATTTCTCATCATTATAAACAGTCCTCCCCCTTGTCTTATTACCAAAGGACAGTGTTTCTATTTCCACCTCTGCATCATCTCACACAACAATAACAATTGTTTTTGTCGTCATTTGCCGTGCTCTCATTTTAAGGTGCCCACACGTTCACAGAGGTTTGCTTCCTGTTGCTATGCTTATGTTTCTATTGTTTCTCATGGCTTGGCTCACAGGGAATAGCTCAGCAAAGATAAAAGACAACAACAACAAGAGGAGCATTGTGCAACTTTTTAATTTGCCGCTCTGGAATGTGTCATCTGTAATTATACTAAGTGGCCATCATTAATTTAGCCTGAAGTAACTGTTTATGTCCAGTGCACAGCGTTGATTGTTGCTCTTGGTTCTTTTACGGTCTTGGTGTCTCAAATGGACCAAATTGTAGCTTCCAGTATTTAAAGATAAAGCCGATGCAGAAATCCCAATTACACTTCATAATGATCTTCCCATTTTAAAAGCAGAGTCAGATATATTGGTACAAAGTCTGAGTTTGGTCTCCAAAGCTCATTTTCTTGTTTGTAAAGACTGTACGGAGCTTGGTTTGATTGTATTGGATTGATAATCAGGCATAAACTAAGGGTATGGCTAATTTGACTTTGCTTGTGTTTAGGTTAGCCTCGAGCTTGTTGGACTGAAAAGTTTCCAACATGGGGACAGCTTCTTTTGGGCATCACAAGACCATGTTTGGAACCAATGGGTGACGTCAGTGTGAAAGCATGTCAATGCTTTGCTGTCTATGCTTTTGACCGGGCAATTTTTGCTATAGGTAGAACATAATCATGGTATGGCAATAAAATGTATACTGTTGTCCTGACCATGAGATACAGCCATTGTGATGGGGTACTTTTCCTTTTAGGGTTCACATATTCAATTTAATCAGTTCATTAAATATTGTGATTGTTACATCAGTTTATCATAACCTCAGAATTGCTGCATATTGACACTGTCACTTTAGTTGGAAAGGTAGTATAAAGTTTGTTTCCATTTTGCTACCTCAGGATTTCCTCTCTATGTTTTATAGTGATTTGCTACTGCTTTGGTACTTTCACAAATGAGGGTGGAAATCATAGCGTTACCCATGGAATGTTTACGATATGGTGGGATATTATATGGTACAGTATGGTATGATACGTAACAGTGGTACAACTTCCATTACTCAGTAGTCTTAATTCAATCTTTTGGCACCGTAAGAGCACTGATCGTCTTCTGTGTCATGCTGGTTTGTAACCATAGGATTGCATTTACAGTTCCTCAATAAAATGGGCTGTATTTTTCATACAGGTCTCATGGACCAGGGAGTCAGGCTATTGCGGGTTTGCCAAAACTTTAGTTGCATACATGAGTGCATCCTTGCTCGTTCCTTTTGTCTGGTGTATTGATAATTGTATCACAGAGATCAGGATGACTGTATGTTGTCACATTAATATTTATTTCCATATATGTTCACAAATTTTTTTGAGTACAGGATTTTCCAGACTACTTGATCTCACTCTTTTTTTTTAATGTGCAACTTCTCCTGACTTTCCAGTCTTTAGTTTGGGCCTCTTCCGCAAACAACTTCCTATCCTTGGCGGCAGGCTAGAAGGCATATTAAACAGACCTTGAGTTGTGTCCCTGGATGATCTAGTACACTAACATGATGACCAATGTCACTTACAAGGCCAAGCTCCCTGTGCGTCTCCGACAGACACAGAATGAGTCACATGTGCATGAGGTCTGGTACGATATTAAAGGGGAAGCTTTGCGAGTTTGAAAAATGAGTGATGTGTCTCACTGGTATTAGTCAGCTCATACGCTCAAGTCAAATGACTTGATGATAATTTGCCCACCGGTGTTTTTTTTTTTTTCACAGGACTGTCTTTTTTGTGGGTGACTGACAGGGTCGATGGGTTTGACTGTAATGAGGTGTGAATACTGGGTCCGCATTTCCTGCTTGCTAAACTGTTGGAATGCTCTTTCTTTGTGTGGATCGGACAGGCCACCGTACACCGGCCAATGAAGGAAGGCTGAGGGCTCGGAAGCTACAATGGCAGTGATGTAATCCCTTTTCAGCGCTCTGACACTGAGTAAATGCCTGCAGACAATGGAAAAATCCCCTCCTCTTCATCCCACCTGCCATAAAGTTTGGGGAATTTTTGACCCTGGAATCACGACCCTGTAATTATCTTTGAGGGAGATTCTTTAGGATTTACTGAAACTGAGGCAGCACGGTATGGACGCAGGTGCAAAGTGCTGCTTTTGTCTTGGATCTGAATTCGTCTGACTGACGGTCGGGTCTCCGTGTGGAGGTTACACATGCTTGAGAGCTAAAGCAACATCTCTGCAACTGGTTTCTGTTGTCCTGCGTCCAACTTTTGAACTCCTTACCAAAACCCACAGTCATGCAGAGATCAGACACTGAGAAATTTCCCTTTTCTGCTCCAATCAAACCTCATACATGTCCTAAAATAGTATGACACAACACAGAGGTTGCTGAATAAAAGATTAAAACATTTTGACGAACGACCACGACAGTTCAGAAAACTTTCCGTAATGAAATGTGGGATCGAGCTGATGATGTGTTGCTGCAGGCTATCTCTCCGCTGCCACACGCTCATGACGTGCTCGGTATTGTCTGGACATGTCTGCCAGTCGCTACACTGTCTCTCTGTTTGGCCTGCTTACTCTCCCTGGAGCGGATTACAGAACTCTCTGCTCGGGGAAGAATCAAAACATCAAGCGGAGCTGCAGGCCCCGTGCCCCATGCCGAGCTTATGTGGGCAGCGGTGGAAAATAATTCCACATACAAAAAAAACAAAAAAAGAAAACACATAGGTTTGTGCTGTTGTCCCTCCTGTGGACAGAAATCTGAGAAGCAGGCAGGAATGCGTGAGGGCTTGGTCATGGCTGAGCTCAAAACAGATCTCGATGCATAGACAGGTCTGTTCAGCCAGTCTTCATTCCTGCTCATGCTTACAACTGTTTTTGTTGCTTTCAAGAGCCTTTCTTTCCTACACGTGACGTGTAGTAAAACAAGAATGCAGGCAAAACAAAAACACTGTGAGGCTTTTTTTCTCCTTCACGTTCTCTAAAACACTCAAAGCATTCTCGCTGTAGTCTATGTTGCGCTTCGTTTCCTGTACTGAAAGTCAAAAATTCCTTCCTTATACTGCTCCTAAATTCCACATCCTTTGCTTTGGGACCAGGGAGTCCATTTCCATCCTGCCGGTCCCTGCTTCACTCTGAGTACAGCTGAGTACAGGGAAGAATAAGTCCACTGTGAAACAAAGGCTGCTTTTTTTTCTAGATTCAGATGACTTTTTAAACACACAGAATCTGTAAGTACACCATATGAAAAGTGTCAGGAATGTGCTCCTCTTATTCTTCATGCTGTGTGATCTTCAAGTTCTGTCTCATTGCCTCATCTTTAGAAATACCCAAAGAGTCATATGTTAAAATAGTTTAGCTTTACAGTAAAATACATCAGTACTTTATTTTATGAATTAGGCCACAGTCCTCCCTATCCCTATGTTGCTTCAGGTGCTGGGGGCAGATAGGGTTGACTAATAACAAACATGGCAGCTTTCCCAGCCTTTCCTCTCTTGCTGCCTGTTTCCTGTATGTTTCATTGATGTGTTCCTGGATACACTGCTGGCAGGCAGCGCTGCTGTGTGAGAAACATATTTGAAAATTGAAAGCTGTTATGTAAATATGGATAACCTGCTTGTGTAGACTGCAAGCATACATTTATTATGGGGTTACACAATAGATTGCAAACTAAGCATTATTCCAGTTTGTGCTGTTATGATAAACCCATCGAGTCTGCAATATCAGGGACTAACCGTCGAGTTAAAAGCAAGAGAGGTTTTGTTTTGTTATAGAAAAATAGACTTGTACAAAAAAATGAGTGTTGGTTTTTAATCACATAGTGTCACAATGCCCAGCATAAGTCAGTATACCCCCTATTTATTTTTATTACTTAAAGTGTTCTCAGGGGTCTTTAAATTGTGATCATTAAGTTTTTACCAAAAATCGTGTAACCTGTGTCATTTACAAGGGCTTTTCTCCCGCAGAGCTCCAGGAGATCATTGGTAATTCGCCTCTGAGTTGTGGGCGGAGACTGCTCTGCGCTGCTCTGCACACTCCTCGTCACGTTAGCTAGTAGCCTAACATTGCTGGTGTAGTCGAAGTGGAAGGTAACATGGGAGCTATTCAGTTCTCAGACACAATGTCTTTAGGGACATGATGAAAGCTAATATCATAATTAGCTTTATTACAATGATTGCAGTCCGCTAACGCACACGCTTGTTCGTCCACTGTATTTCTCCTCCATATGCAGAGTGTGGCTTGCATAGCGGGGCTCCGGGGGCGGAGCTTAGATTGGTTACATAAGAAATCTCACTGTTTCTGAACCTGCTGTTTGTGCCTGCCAGAGATTCACAGCAATTTGAATGAAGAAATACTCAGAAAAGCAATCTTGCATTTAGTTTTCTCATGATATGTCCTGTAGCATCAGTTAAATGCCGTATGAACATATAAAAAACAAGAAAAACATGATTTTCATCGGAGTGGATCTTTGAAAGTAATGTATTACTCAATATCTAGATCAGCAAAAGTACACTTTTCAAAGTTTTGACAAAGCTGAGTTTACCATAACATTTTATTTACCAAAAGATGAAAATAAGGGTGATATGGTAACTAAAATTTAGCTTTGCTCCCAGAACTTTGATTGGGGTGTACTCATTTTTGCATCCTGATTTTAAATTGAAAAAATACTATTTTACTGCAACTTAAAAAAAATCTTGTTTCAATCAATGGCTGGGGGAGTATTTTGTTGTATGGTCTGACATAGAAAATGTTGATTTTGAAAGGAAACTAAAGGTTTTCTGACAACTGTAAAGAGGTGTACTCATTGGTGGAGGTGTACTGTATATTTGTACACAGAAAAATAAGGATCTCAACTATCAGAAGAGTGGGGCCAATCTGGGCATTTCCTGGTTGATTGTGATTGACATTCAGACTGATCATCTCACCCTGATCCTTTTCTTCAGTTGTGAATGAGCTCAATTTGCACAGAACGCGAAGACTCAGGATTTTCTTAGGCAACTGAATTCCTGGTCAGTTTCTTCCTTTAGCCGAGTGGTTATAGGAACAGCCCTCAAACAATTTCATTCCCATTGTGTGGATTAAAATACTGCCAAACCGCGTTGCTCAGTTCCATATTTACCCAACAGTTTGGTCCTACAGTAACAAGAATATTCAGAGTTTGTTGAAATGTGTGGTAGCTTTGGTGCTACCAAGTAAGGGTGACAACAATCAGGTCCAAAACTGAGCTCAAATCTAGATGTTTCAGGGACTGCTGATTTGGGAAAGCTTGCCGGATGAGTTTGTAACCTTGTGCCCACAGGGAACCCCCTCCATGTCATGTTTAGAGGTTACCGTGTAACTGTTTATGACCGCGGGTCAGTGGGCCATTGTTAATCTTGTCCATATGCAAAAGCTGTTGCACTGTAATATTTATGTGAAACACCATAATTTAACTAAACCAAGTGCTTCCAGCGACAGTGTACCCTGTAAAAGTCTCTGCAGAACCAGCACTTAGATCTGCGGTTGTTTATCATAGCTGTCAGTGCTTAGGAGTTGGTAAGGGGCTGTAGTGCTCTTCTTGTTTTTACACGGTGCTTATTCTAGACTTGAATGCAGATTAGGACCAGGTATCTTATGGCTGTTTGCTACTAGGAGTTGAAAACCTGCATCTGCTCACATCCTGCTTTACTTGTTGTTAACCCCCTGCCTCATTTAAGTCCTAAATCAGGTGTTAAAATACTCAGAACATGTTAGGCACCCAAATTGCAAATGAATGCCTCCAGTCAAAACTTGCATGTTTTCCTCCGCCATGGCTTATGAGGATGCGGCGGCTTGGTTATTGCCGACCAGGGGGACAAAGCTAATGGAGAGCGGGGGGTGTTAATTGCCGTCAGCTCCACTCTGTGTCTAAAGACCAAGACTTAAAGAGGAAAAAAATAATTTGGACAGCTGTCTGAGTAATAAAGCTCATGCTAATTTGCTCTCCTCCTGCTTTCATGTATTTTAAAATAAGCTATACTCGGTTAAAAAAAAAGGAAACGCTTCACTCTGGGCTTCTCTTTCACACAGGATGTGTCTTGCACGCATGTAGCTCTGCAGCAGGGTGAACCACAGTTGCAGAGCTGGTCAGAGCGTCCCAATGATTGCATTGCAACAGCAGCACGCCATGAAGATTTGCACTGTGATTTTCTGGCACAGACTTTGATTTAGCGAGGCACCCCTGTTATGCAACACTAGCTGGCTTATCGCAGTCCAAATGACTCTGTATGAATTGATTAACTCTGCGGCCCGACTGTTTATAATTGGACTGGAAGTGCACTGGGCTATGCACTGGACACGTGCCAAAATCAATGACGGGGAAACGGTGTGTGTGCATAACTTTGCTACTCCGTTGTTGTGGATTTTGCGTTCTCATTAAGCCTCCTCACATTCAGATCTATGAGTTTAGGCTCCACTTGGCATTTCTGACAAATAATACTGATCACTGTGGCACACCTGAGCTCCTCTCCTCTGAGTGCTTAGCTGGAATTAGGCTGCCTCTCTAAGCTGTGCGGGGACAGCACAGTCAGCCCGGCTCCTCCTGAGACATGGCAGAGAATCCCCCAGAGGGTTTTCAGCAAGGATAACAAGCCCTGCCTTTGTGGCCCCCTCCTTATTCTCTGCACTGGTCCTTATGTCAACTCACACTGAAGCTTTTCCCTCTTGTCCCTCGCAGTGCAGCACATGGCGTTACCTTGGTAAAGTGCTTACCTGGCGAGATCCTATTCTCCCTCTCTCCTGCCTCCATCTCTGCAAAACTCAAAAGGGTTAATTACTAAATTGTACAGAACGTCCTGTGCACTGGGAAGCTCCATTAATGTCAGATGGCAGCACAGCAGCTCTTTGGCTAACGTGAGGGGATATTAATCAAGCTTTCACCTTGACTTTAGCCTTTCAGGATCACTCGCTGTGTTTTCCTCAGACTTCTGCTCTCTTAGCTGAGCGTTTAATTGTTTCTAGCAGCACAACTGTTATTAGTCTGTGGGGAATCCTTGTACAGTTGAAATGCATCCCATTAGGGCTGCTCCTATTCATCTAAGCAATCAAATTATCCATTTAGCTTCTCCCTGATTGCTGCAGAGGTGTATTTGCAGGCTAAGCAGCTGATCGATTGATACTTGACTGATGAAAATGAACTCTAAAAAGGGAAGCGTGGGGCATTTTATGATGGATCTGTTTGTATTCTCCGGGGGGACATTTTAAAAGCCTGTGGTCAATGCTGCTATAGAGCTCATGTTTCTTCTGTTTGCTCAGCAGGGTCCTAACCTCTCACAAACCACCTAATCAAACAGCTGTTCCACCGTAACACCACTTCACAACAACCTGCCCAGACAGATAAAAAGCACAAGCGAGCATGTGATTCCCAAAAATATTTCACTCTTAAAATGCTATTTAATCCAGGCAATGGGTTCTTACTGTGGGTTTTTGTTGCCTGGGAGCTTTCCATGCCTTCACGGCTGCCAGTGTTTCCATTCTTTCTTCCTGAAAGACTGTTATCTGATGCGAGGACTCGGTTATTGTGTCTGTGTTTTAGCAACAGATAGTGTTGTTATTGTTTCAAGGCACATAAAGGCTCTGATTGTGTATGGATACCCTTGATTAATTCAATGTTTGCCATGAATTAAAATGTGCTCTACTTTATTGCAGTGAGGGTGGTCTCATCAGGATTCTTTCCCCGTCCTCTTGTGATTCTGCTTGTTTGCTACCTGTGTAATCAGGGAGAGGATATGAGGGGATGGGGCGGTGGATGACTTCCAAACATCACAGACATCTGTCACATTGACACCTCCGCTGCGAGAATCTGTCAAGCTGCTGTCAGCTGACCTTGCCGCTCACTCCCAGTTGTATACGAGGAGCTAACTGCAGTCACCCTTGCTCTCTAACTCAGACCACAATACAAAAGCAGGTTCTTGAATGAACCCTCCTCCACATTTGCCGATTTAATATAAAGCAATAAAGATTTAAAAAAGTGAATTTGAAGGTCAGCAGAATGAGGCAATGGGAAGCGAGAGGCAATCAGGAAGCTAAGAGGAAGGCACACCTCTGCCAAGGCCAACAGTCCGGTCTTGAGAGATCCGCAAATCTGCCACTTAGCCTGCCTGGTAAAATTAGTCGACTGTGTTGTTATTGCTCGTTCAGGAGGCAGATCTGGATCCAGACCAATTTTTAAAAGGTCCTACCTCGGCCCTCACAGCGAAATTCATTGGAACTGATTAGCAGTTCTGACAATACCAAACACATAAATCTACTGTTTATAAAACCGAGATGTAGATTACTCAAAACCAATAAAGAGACATTTCATCAGAATATATTTATGTGGTCTGTCAGGGGGGAGCTTTGGTAGTCCAGGTCTTCATCACCTCCATTTGACTGATCAGAAGAAGCTTTACCTTATTCTGGGAAACTTAATAGGTGCTGTAAGGTAGGTGTGCTCCATGATGAAGGAAGTGAGGGTAGAGTGAGGAGAATGTGGTGGACAAATACCAAGAATAGCACTTCTGCTAATATGAATATTTGTATTCAGAGGAGACACACTGTTAGAGATACAGGAGCTGCAGCGTCCACTAACTTGAGCTACAGCTGACTACATCACTAAGGGGTGTCTGCGTTTACACATTATGTTGAATGTTGATGATTAATGCAACTGAAGATAAGTCATCAGCACCAGTTTTCACAATCACTGCATTTGTAGTTACTGCACATTGTTAACTAGCCATCAGGTGTAACCAAATACCAAATGTCCTTAGTTGAAGTAGGAAACAGGATTTTCCCATAATTCCCCCCGGCGGTCCCTTCAGGCCATGCTGCCCTTTTCCCCTGACATTACCAAAGTGGCTTAATGTAATTGAGTGACCAACATTACCATCGACTGCCTCTAAGCTCTCAATAACAGGGCTAACATTTCAGGATTGATCAGTTTGTGTCAAGCAGGAACAGTCCACGTGATGATCAGTATTCCACTAAAGATTTGTTTATGTGTCATGACTGCTTGTTGTCTCTGTACATGAGGGTTTTCAGGAATATTATTGACCGCCTGCCTCAGTTTTTTCCACTCTTACTAGCCACGGGCTACAGGAGTAAAGGCTTTTATTGGCCCGTGCCCAGCTAGGACTTGAACCGGGCAAGTGCCCAATCCTCAGAGATGGGCGCACTCATGCACACAGCATAGCTCTCTGGCATGCAGTGTGTGACCACTGGATGCCCCCAGCCCGGAGCGACCAGGAGTGCACGCGACACTATGAAGCACCAGCCTTCCCTACAATCAAACACAGTGATCTAATTGACATTTTGATTGATGACGGCTGACCCACTCTTTATTTTGTACAAAACTTCCCTGCAGCTCCACAGCTCTACTGCTTCTGTGCTGATGTGACATTGATCCAGTGCAGCAGTCAGAATAAATCTGAACATGCTTCATACTCACTCACAGAGTATGAGCAGCACTGCTGGGCTGCACTGATTTGTTTTGCTCGTGAGTGCCTGTGATCGCAGAATGAAGTAATAGCAGGTTTGGAAGTATTTGGCAGCCCCCCCTTCGGCTGAGCCCCATCCCCTTGCTGCTGGCACGTGGAGAGGCTGAATTATAGACGGCAAACACAAACTATTCACTCAGCCTTCCTCTTTGCATCAACACTGTTAATTATGCTGCTCGCATCTTGCATCCCTTCTATTTTAATCCTCAACTGATGGAAAGTACTCCATCCAAAAACACAAACTAGAACACACACACACACACACACACACACAGAGGCGTGTGCCAGCCGCATGCTGAGCTGTGAGTACTTGTAGAGGGGCATATTTACCTTTTGTTAGGTGAATAAAGGAAACTTTCCCCCTATAAACACCTCCCTGCCCCGACCCACATGACCCTGTTTAAAAAGACTCACTGCTGGGAAGTGCTCCCATTGCAGCGGGGTTAATCTGAAGGGCTTCCCTGCTGAGCTAAGCCAGACGAAACTGTGTCAAACACAAGTCATGCCCACATTTTTACTCCAGTGTAAAATCTGGAAGTACTACGATATAGTAGAAACTAATCCACCAAAGTGGACGACAACAAACAGTCGTCTCTCTGAGAGTGAGGACTTAGTCTTAGAAATCTGTCTCCTGTAGGGGTCACAGAAACATTTCTGTATCAATCACAGAACATTTTCATTTGGAGAAAACGCTGCAGCAGGTATGCAGTTTGGCTCTGTGCCTGTGTGGTAATGGAAGTGCTGCTGGTGTGTTTTCTCTGCAAACAAGATTGAGGTAGTAGTCATTTCAAATGTTCATGAATGATAAAGCAAGGCTGCTTTTTTCGTTGAATTGTCAGACATGTGTGGCGGCCAAGGACACTGATTTGTCATCACACAGTAACGGTATCATAAGCCAAGATGAGATTAATATGTGACGAGAGACAGTCATTAAAAACGGCTTCTTCTGAGGCTGTGTGTGTGTCAGAATCATAGATGCAGGAAGAGCCTTGTGAAAGCAGAGTCACAGTTTGAGCTTTGGTCGGTATCATTAGTTTCTGGCACTGGTTAAGCTCCCTTTATGATACTCCGTCACTTTAGTGCCACATATAAAAATCCATGTACCTTTATAACCAGTCCACCTGCTAATAATCAACCTGTTATTGTTAACGGAAGACCACACTGACCCAACAACAACCATGTCAGAAGCAAGTTTTGCATGAATGTAATGTTCGGTGTGTAATGCCCATGCCTGGATTCATGTGTGTGACAACTATCACTACCTTAACTTCAGTTAGGTAGCTGTAAACTCAAAATCAGACAAAGCTAATACAAGAAAAACCTTTTTTTTATGTACAGTAAATGATAGAAAAAAGGGTCAGTCACAGATTTGTGTGTGTTTTCAACAGGAATGAACTCAGTTAAGAAATACTAATCCGATCCGATCCAAATCCGAGTTGTGATATACTTCACCTTTGCCTGTACTGAAGAACGTTAAAGCTTTGGTTCATGGAAACAGCAAAGTTTACAACAAGTAAAGCATGACGGAAAATGTCAGAATGTGAAATATTTCTTCATCATCCTATCAGGGATTGAGAACAACAAAGTCACTGGTTCAGAGGGTTACAAATCACAGCCAGCTCTGACTTTGAAGCCTCAAGAATGTAATCCCTTTAGAAGTTTGGCAAACAGCTAAAGCAGGAAATACTGCTGCAGAGCCTTTGACATGCTTGTGAATGAAAGTTAGTCGCTGAATATTCCACTTCAACATGATTTCTATGAAGCTTCTCTTCATTCTGTTTTTAATCCAAGAGGATGAAAGGACAAGTGGACTGGAAGGACTCTAGTAGTGGGCAGTCTGATATCAGTTTGAGACAGGTATGGAAGAAACGGTTTTCTCTGAGGGCTTCTGGGGAAAGAAAAGGTGCTGTTGTTGATGTTTGCCGAGACTGTTTTCCAGAACAGTCTGTCCCACGAGTTGCTCCTTAAATTAACTGGTTTGTCTTCTTGCAGTTTCTCTTTTGCTTCGTCACGCGCGTGTGTGTGAGAGAGCTTTTGTCTCTGCGTGTACCTGTCCGTGTGCATCAGGAGCTCACCGCCTCTCTAATGGAGTCCTCAGGCTGGAGACTGCGAGCGGAGAGAGGAGCAGGGAGAGGGAAAGTGCAGCCCGAAGCAGACATCAACTTTTAAGCTTCAGAATCCCGACTGCTGCAGTTCAGGAGCCAGGCAGGCAGGCAGGCAGCCGCCTCATTATAATTTTTTACATTCCTCTTCAGGCAGCAGCACACTCTTCCTCCTCCATTGCTCTTTATAACGCACCGCTTTTAAAAGCTGACAAGCTTAAATCTGAGCTTTCTCAATAAAGACAAGTCATCTATAGCCTCCCGTCAAATATGAGACACTAAACCAACTCTGGCTCGGCCTCTCTAGATGTAATGTATTTATGAGGCATGAAGCCGTAAAACTTGTGTGTAGACTTCTGCTGATGGAGCTACAGACTTTAAACTGACTGAAAACAAGCCTGTTTAAGACTGTGGGCTTTTCCAGCCTTTATTTTGACAGCCTGGCTAATAGATTAGAGTCTCTTCTTAACTCTAGACAGAGCAGACCACCTAAGCTGAAGGCAGAGCAATTAGTTTTTTTTTTTTTTTTAGCAAAGGTAAATGGCTCTCTAGAAGTTGGACAAAGGCCCCTTAGTGTGAAACCCCCACCCACCCACTTATCCGCCCAGATAATGACATTGAGAACAGGAACAGGTTTGCCACTGCTAACTTTAAACTATGTCAAGTGCTTCAAGTGTCTATTTATCCCGCTGTCTCTCCCACGTACACTGTGAAACCCTCCGTGGATAAGAAAGGAGAAAGAGCGAAGGACACCCTGCTGGAGATAATGGAAAAGAATATATCCTGGCGCTCCTCCAGAGCTGTCTTCTTTGAGGGAAATTCGCTCTGCCAGTAGTTAGCTATGCCCATTTACTTAGTGAACTGTGCTGCAGTGATAGCGTGGGGCCCAGCGTTGGTGCAGAGCAGCCCAGAACAATGGTGATGATGATGATGAATGTGGATTCACTGCCACTGGTTTTGAAGTGCTCCAACCACACGTGGTGTGTGCATCGCATGTGTGCTCAGTTGGACCATTTGGTTCAGTCTTCATGTTTTGGTTGTGCTTTTATTTTACAGATGATAGCTTAATCTAAGATGAGCCCGTAGCTTTAGAGTGCTTCATAACAGACTATCACTTAGACGGTCTGTGTTGCTCTATCCTCTCAGAGTTTGCCTGAACATGCCTTTCTTCTCTCTCCCCCCTCACTCACATGTTCACCACTTCCTCTGCTAAAATTGGTGGAATTCCAGGATCTCGCCTCGCGGTTGGGTGACGCGAGTATCGTTTGTCTGCCAGCGGGGCCTGCCTGTTTTCCTCTCAAGGTGTCAGCTTTTCAGGTTTGCTCAATCAGACGGGCAGGTTTGTGCCTGGTTCTCAGCCAGATGCACACGCAAGAGCAGGTATAAAAAGAGTGAAAAATGTTTTAAAAAGTACTGCAGATGGAGAAAGGGGAGTGGTGGAGATGCTTTCTTACTTCCTGTATGTGTTGTGCCTCTGGGCAGCCGTGGTTGAGTTACACCTCTGAGGATGTGTAGAGACCCCAGTTAACCCCACACTCCTCAGGACGAGGTTGTGGAGGAGGCAGATGAAATACTGTTGCTGCTCTGATTTCCAGAGTGGGGCATAAATTTAGGAGTTTGTTTCACTCCCTGAAATCTTTTTTAATTGTCTTTCTACGATTTTTCCTTTAGTTAGACTGTAAATAATAATAGAGAGAGAGTGATAGTGTCAGAAATGACCAAGCTTTAAAGGTGAGATCTTTACTAACACGTGCCAAACTTTGAACCTTCTCCAGATCTGACAGGCACTGTGAGAAGTTTTTAACAGATTTTAAAATAACCTCCCTCTCATACCGACGCCTCTACATGACCTAGACTGGAAAATAAAACTTTCAGCAACTGATATTTTCTTTACACTGATTTTAGGAGTCTGTGTTGGGGGTTTGGAGCACATAGCACTCAAATTTTGACTCGATCAGGATCAGCAGAAACATGCGTATCTTCTGTCAGAGGGTTGTTTTATTCAGAAAAAATCCACAACTGCAGCTTTTCTCAGTAAAAAGAGCAAAATGCCTGTGAGCAGTATTCAATGTTTATGCCTTTTTCTCCAACACTTTGTACATGATTATTCAGGATTGTTCTGAAGCCACCCTCTCAAAGTCATAGATTTGAATCATCATTGAAGAAAACATCGATATCTAAACTCTTGACCTGTGGATAGATCACTGCACATAAGCAAGATGAGAGCTGCAGCATGACAGGTTGTACATTTAAGAAATAGAGTCTTTACAGATGCCAATTGTTTTTTTTTTCTTTTTTTCAAAAAGATTGTGGAATAAATTTCTGTTGGATTTCTGAAGTGGTTTTTCTTTGTTTTTGGATGTGGATTTTTAATTGTTTTTTAGGGGGCCAAAATGTTTGCAGAAGCCTCATTTTCTCATTTCAATCTTGGGATAGCAACTCTTTCACAAAAACAATGAAAATGTTCAATATCAACCCAAAAACAGGTGACATCCTGGGGCGCGCAAATGGCCAAGCGGGTTAGCGCACCCAATACATGGGGACTAAAGACTTCGCAGCGGTCGCCGGCTCGATTTTGGTCCCGTCCATGTGCTGCATGTCATCCCCCCTCTCCCCACATTTCACACTGTCCTATCTATAAAGGCAAAATCGCCCCAAAAAAAAACCAAACAGTTGAAATCCTGCAGCTGACACAGTACAGCGGACTTTACTTAAAAAACACAAAGATTGAAGTGTTCTTAGGCCAGCTCTGAGACAGCCCCTTTGGGAATCAAGTCGACATGCATCTTACAGGTAAGACAGGAGAGTCATGTTGTCAGACGTACATGTTTAGTGTGTTCAAAGGTAAAAACAGTCGTTCTTCAGAGAAGCCCATTCTGATTGACTGAGGGATTTGGCTTCATGTCAGATACAGACAGTCTCACTGCATTAAATTAGACCATTACTGTTGCACGGCATCATTACTCGCCAAGCTTGGAACCAATCAGCTAACATCAAGTGATGTTTTGGCCAAACTTTAGTGTTTTGACTCTATGTAGCCAGAGGTTTGTGAAGAAGAACTTTCAGCCAAGACCCCCTTTGGCGTGTGTTGCTGTTGTTTACAGTCCCCCTGACAACAGTGGCTCTTTCTTGGCTGCACTTGCATGCAGATGTCTGTTTAAAGCAATTAAAAGAAGCAAATTTGTCGTCGCTTGACAGCCAAATTGTTCTCGTGTTGCAGCACGGCCATTCTGTCTTCATCCTGTCCTGTCTTGTGTATGACCAAGCTCAAATGCAAAGTAATGGGAAACTGACCACAGACATAAGATCGATGCCTTCAATAAGAAGTGCTCAATGCTAAAAGATCCTGATATCATTCTTACTTTGGTACATGCGCGTGCAGATAACTTGTGCTTGTGCCTCTCTCCAGTCCATCTTCCTGCAGCCATCTCCTCATCCCAAATGCATCCTGTGCATCCTTTGATGCTTCTGTTTTACTTGTTTCCAAATTCTGCTTCAGTGTTTATCTCATCTCTAACTCTTCAGTCCCCCTCGCATCTCATTTATTTTGTTTTCCTGGCAGGCTTCAAACACACAGCCGTAGTGAGGCTCCCGTGCCAGGCAATTTTTCAAAGACTTCACTATGTTGGAATGAGGCCCCGGTGTTGCCCAAGCCAGGACAGAGGGACCTTTGTGCCTTCTGCCCAACAGCTCAGGCAGCCCTTGGAGCGGGGAGAGATTAGGAGACAGGGAAAGCCAGTGGCCTAAATGGTAGGGTGCCTGTTTGAAAGCCAATGGTGTCGGCCAAACAGCTCCTTAGCCCCATTGAAGCACGCAGTAATTACAAGCTTGTAGGGCAATCCCCGGGCTCTTTTGTCTCGGCTTTGGAGACACTCGCCCAGTTCACTAAAAAACTTCATTACTACTCTGTTTGGAGTCCTAAGACCAAGTGTCTTTCAGCTTCAGTATGTCGTCATTCATCTGTGAGACATTGGCAAACCAAGCCAGCTCAGACAGACTACTCTCCAAAAAGCCCCGACTTTGAGAAAGTGTAGCCCAGCTCTCTTAACTGTGAGCTTAATGGTGACGACTCATGACTTGTTCTTTTGCTGACTCTCATATTTGTGAATCATATTTTAAAATCTCAGACTGTAGGTCCATGCTGCTGATTCATCACGACATCTGCTACCTGACTCCTGTCTGACTTCCAGATTTTATTCCATGTTGTGTGTATGTGTGTGTGTGTGTGTGTGTGTGTGTGTGTGTGTGTGTGTGTGTGTGTTTTATCACAAGATCCTGAGAAGTCTCCTGCCTGAGTCAACACACGCTGGCTGAGTCGTCATACGGGCATGTCAATTCATCAGATCACAGTCCTCTGTGTCTAGACTCGCTTCTACAACTAGCACAACAAATTGAAGCACCTCATAGGTGTGCGGTGATCTCACCCACACTTTGTTACATAAGTACCACAGCTTTGCTTCACTCTCAGAGGGGTCGGTGAAGCATCTGGGGGGGTCAGAGCCTCAATTACATGAAGTTAACCTTATTTAGAAACAGGCTCAGGCTGTCAGGACAAGACCTACAAACCTGTGAATAATTTCTCTGTTTGATTATAATAGAAAGAGAACAACAGCATAGACTGGAATAACTGTGAACAAGCTTCTTAGTTTAGGCTAAGCAACATTTAAAAGGATTGTAAAAACATGGTGTTGTTTGCCTTTATTTGATAGGACAGCTGAGGAGAGACAAGAAGAAGAGAGTGAGGGAAGACACACAGCAAAAAGTTTCATTTGGGAATAAAACCAGCAACCGCTGCGACAAGGACTGTAGCCTCTTAATCAAACTACTAGGCCATTGGTGCCCCTGAGAAAGTGACTTTTAATTCAATGTAATTTTTATTTTTTTATTAAATTATAGAAATGTACAAACAATAAGACATAGCAGTAAACAAAAAGTACAGTTGTCCGAAAAGTTGTTAAAAAAGAGTTTTAAATTAAATGTATTCATCGTCCATCTTTCAAGGTTTTTAATAAATTCAGAATATTCAGGGGGTCTTCTGTTTTAGTTTTCAACAAAACATCCATATCAATATATATATATAATATAAAACTTCAACTTCAACCGCTTTACTTTTATTTTGTGTTTGCTGCTATGTCTGATTGTCTGTAAATTTCCACAACTTAACCAATAAAAAAAACCCACCAGATTCAATTTAAAGTCACTTTCTCAGGGGCACTGAAGAGGACCCCCTGAATACTCTGAATTGATTAAAAGACTTGAAAGATGGACATAAATGAATGTAAATTTTGCTTATGTAATGGAGGTTGGTGTTAATGTCAGGCAGGTGTTTCTTGAAAGTAGTTCCGTCTCATTTCTACAACACAGACAGAGATGTGATTTCAGGCTTGTTTAGAGACTCATCCAGTCAGACAGTTTTGTCATTGCCATTAAAATACTGAAAATTAAAATGATCACATTTTGATTGAATTTTCACAGTCAGGAGAAACTCTGAGGCTGCTTCCTGCCTTCTCTCTGTGTGTCCATCAGCGGGGAGATTAAAGGCCCTGCTTTCTGGGACATGCATGGGTGTTTTGTGTGTTGCCTCTATTCTCTTGTGCGTCCCTGTGGACACTTGGCAGTGTGAGGGAATTAGGCCAAATCCTCCGGGACTGGACCTGCAGTTTGACTCACATTCCCTGATTATTTTCACTTTTACTCATGTTCGAGAATTAAGGGGTTAGTGGGACATGAATTAGTTTTTTAATCACTTAAAGAGTTTTTTTTTTACTCTGTGCCTTTACCCTGAGGAATAGATGTCCATTCACAAGACTGGTGTGTAGTCTGGGAGCTTTCTTATGTGGCTGATAAGAGATAGGAGTGGGAATATTATCTTCCAGATTTTGTATCATGTAACCATGAAGCTTTTGTGTCCTGGATTTGAATCTCGACTTGTTCCGACCATTTCCTTTGATGGTCTTTCTTTGCTCATTATCAGACTTCTGTTCAGCGTAGTCTCCATAGAAACCTCCCATTATGAACTTCTTGTGTAAGCACCCTACTTTACTCCTACTTAATGTTTGTGGTTAAGAAAAAAAAAAAAGGAGGATCTTAATATTAATGCAAAAGAAAAGGACAGCTTGTTGAGCACTCCGCTGGGACACACATTATGCCTGTTAGTCTTACCTGAAAAGCTCAGGCTGCATTGTTTTGCTTGGTATTGGTCGAACAGACGCTGTATAATAAGCAGAGCTTTAGAGGTTTGCTGTGAGAAAACACCAAATCTTCTGTTTTGAAGAAAAGCTAACACTGGATCCTTTGCCTTGGGCCATCTAAGAACTGAACCGCTGCCAGAGACATGCGATTTTACTCGTACACTCTTTTTCTTTAAAGAATAAAAGCATTATTTTTTTACAGGGACATTTGACCCATTTTTTGATAAATGTACCTCTGTGCTAATAGTTTTGGTCACAAGGGATTATGCACTAATTTCCCTTTCTTTGACTCAAAGGCCTTGATGCTTTATGTTAATTATTATCACTCAAAGCAAAGGTGAATGTCTTCCTTTTGATGAGTAAATGTATGTGTCATTGTCAGCACAGACTTTGCCCTGAAGCTGGGATGAAGTGTGAAGGTGGTTCTGCTGTAGGCCCGTCACAGTGCTGTGATTGCTAGTGGCTAATGTGATCACAGCCACAGCCAGGCAGCGCTGACGGAGCGCCGAGCCTTAATCTCCCCCAGTGTCTTCACTGCCAAATTGGCTCGATTTGTCAGGCAGAGGATCATCACTCACTTCTCAGATGACTTTCAAAGGGCCTCTTTGCTTTTTGATGTGCAGCTTGGGATATTGGTTGGAGAAAACTGCAACTCTGCATAACAATTCACTAATGTAGTCTGCTGAAGGAGCACACACGAAGAAGGCAGACGAGCTAACCGTCAGTGACACAGGATGGTGCAGAGGTTTGCCAGTTACAAAGATTGTAGTTTATTTATAGATCATGCAGATGATTTTACTGTCACTTCTTTGTAAGTTTGGCGTGTGGCATTAGTCCTGAGTGGGCTGGTTAAAATGCCAACTGAGTCATCTTCTTTGCATAAATACACTGATGATAGCAAAGGCGTAATTTTGCTTTGACTTTCAAGAATTCAAATGACATTCATACATTTTGAATTTGGCTGAGCTTTCATGTTTCCTCCTCAGTGCGTGGTTTGAAAATGGCTTCAAAAAGAGGGTCCTCTTATCTGAAATGGAAGATGTCAGTAACTTTTCATGTACTGAAAAACCATCAGTGGGGGGGAAAATAAAAAACATCTACGCAGGTTTGTGTTTTTGAAGTCCCGAACTGTTTTCATGGCATGCATCAAAAGATGTCCTGTTGTATGAATTTTTAATGAACGCTCAATGTGAAGAATTTTAAGGGAAACGTTGCTGTACACTCGTCTTTATTCTTACTCTACATTTATATGCCTGCTCCTGCACTGTGTAACTTGGGTGGAACTGCAAAGATCTCTGGCAGTGAGCCCTGAGGGTGAACACCTCCTGTTCCTGTATTAGGTTTGGTATATTCCTTTGGACAGACATAAAGTCTGCAGAGTAAGTTGATGGAAAAAGAAAAGACAGAGTGACGGGGCAAAAGGCAGATGAGGTAAAAACTCTCCCCTCTCTCTTGTTCTGGTTTGTTCTACTAGTTTGCGAGAGAGTGAGCAGCTGTCTGAAACTAGAAAGTTTGAATAGTGATCACATTCAGAGGGCTGTTTTTCTCCAATCAAGTGTGAAGGCGTCTGATAGCAAATTCTTCATTTCTGACCTCAGATGTGTTGGTGATTGTCAACTCTTAGTGTTCAAACTAACCCATTTTTCTTTTCTTTTTTTAGGATTGTATATTCAGAACAAGAAAAATGCCAAGGTGCAGCATTGTCGCTTGAATCAAGTTGAGCACTAAAGAAGCAGGTCTCCCATTTTCTTTTTGCCTCCACGCCTGCTGAACAAGACAATCAACCTGCTCATGAAGTCAGGGAGCAGCATCCTCTCCCAGAGGCAGCCATGTCTCTCTGCTAAGTGCCTTTAGCCTCCGGCACTGGTGTCATGACCAGCCTGAAGCGCCCACCTATGGAGCGCACAGTTGGGGGGACCATCCCTGCTACTGATGAGTTTTACACCCGCCACCTCCGTATGGTAAACGGAGGAGTTTTGCCAACCCGCACGGACAATATCCATGCCACTGTGAGCACAGGAGTGCCTAAAATGGGTGTACGGGCTCGGGTGGCCGACTGGCCCCCAAGGAAGGATGTTTCAGGAGCCGTGTGGCAGACGCCTACAGAGCCCGAGAACTCTGGTGTGCCCTCTGCTGGAAAAAGTCACATCAAGTTAGGCTCCATAATGAGCCCTCAGGACTCGTCTATGCTGCGTAACATCCACAATACTCTGAAGAATCGAACTCAGACCCAGGCCAACAACTACAGCCTTGACACTCGTTATTTAGCCCCAGACTACAGAGGTCCTGTACATAGAAACCCTCGACAGAGACGCATCCGTCAGCGCAGCAACAGTGACATGACTATCAGTGAGATGGAGGCCAGTGGAGACAGCGGAGAGGATTGGGGTTCACCATCAGGAGCAAAGTGGTCTCCTCTTCATCGTGAATATGGTAGCACCTCATCAATAGATCAACACGGGGCGTCTGGCGAGAGCTTCTTTGAAATGTTGAAGGGATATCAAGGGGACAAAGTGGACCAGCGTAGCCCTGCTCCAGCCAAACTGGAGGACATGCTAAATGTTGGGTCAAAGCAGGCTGGTATTGATCTCCATGAGGACGTTGTAGATGGTCAGCCTCCCAAAGCTAAAGACAGAGATAAACCCCATAAAAGACGGACTAAATCTGAGACCGGGGGCGAGTCTATATTCCGCAAGCTTCGCAGTGTGAGGGGTGAGTCAGACTCTCCTAGGGCGGGATCTGATGTGGAGGACAGCCGGACAGATGACATGGGCCCTCCTCTGAAACCCTGGCTGTGTCAGAAAGGTTTTGCACACTATGATGTTCAGAGCATGCTCTTTGACCTCAACGAAATCACCCAGCTCAGACAGACTGCAGGCAAGAGGAAAAACACCACCACAGGGGCGTCTGCTGCTGCTGTAGCCTCGGCTACCTCCACGCTCTCCTCCACACACAGCCTGCCTTACAGCTCCCCGAGCGGCAGCCAGGAGGAGCTCAGTTCCAGGGACAGTCCTGGTCTGGACGCAGGGGACGAACAGAGCAATGAGATGCTGCTGAGTTGCCCCTGCTTTCGTAATGAGATCGGATTTGATAGCATTGGCAGGCGCAGGCTGGGAGCAGCTGGAGGAGGGTATGATGGGCTGTTGGTTGGAGGAACCAATAGTAGCAGCTCAGGAAGCCTGAGTGGTGAAAGCAACCTGTATGAAACATCTGTGAGCACACACTGCACTAACGCCGGAGTAGCAGTGCTGGAGGGACCAAAGGAAGGACCCAGCACACAGAGCGAGAAGGGCAAACAGTACATCGTAGAGCATGTGGACCTGGGAGCGTACTACTACAGAAAGTTCTTCTATCTTAGGGGTAAGAGTCACTCATGAGCATGTGAATCCGTGTTGTTTGAAGCTGATGTTCTTAATGGTGTCTTTGCCTCTTTTCCACCACAGAGCACTGGAACTACTTTGGGATAGACGAGGCGCTCGGTCCGGTGGCCGTGAGCTTGCGCCGCGAGAAGCAGGAGGAGGAAAAGGAGCACGGCCAGCAGTATAACTACCGCCTCATCTTCAGAACCAGCGAGGTCAGCCAAAGAGTCCTAATGTTCACCACAACCTCAACATTTAAACCGCAACTGATTTAGAGTTTTCTCCAAATGTAGAAATCTTTTGCCTTTTTTTTACAGTATATCTATAATTTTAATGCAATCGAGTCAAAAGGCCCTTTTATGCAAGTTGCTTTTTAACCAGCAGCAACCTCAGGTGTTGGAGTTGGTGTTGAAAAGTCTGTGCAGAAGTTGAGGCTGCCTCTAGAAAACCAAAGAAATCTCATAAAATTCAATCAAACAGACCACTTTTTTCAGCACCATCAAACACACTTACAACTTGGTACAGAAAAATAATCTTGGTCTTTTCCTTTTTTTTCTTTATTTAAGACATCTGTACAAGGATGCTGCTGCTTTGATTATATCAATATGGCACAGATCAGCATAATTAAGGGCTCAGCTAATTTGACTGACAATTTGGCCCACCGTAAAAGTTTGGCCGGCGGTAGGACTAAGACCTTAACTCCACTTGTTTTAGCAAGAAGTGAGTTTAGGTCTGTGTTGCAAGTATGGAGACATTACAGCCATCTTTGAGCTTCATAAAGCAGTGGGTGACATCACCGAGACTCTGTGTAAACAGTCTATTTAGTCTATTTCTAGATATGGGAAAGGAAAGGAGCTACACAAGTTGGCTATGAGAGCTGACATGAAGTTTGTTGACATATTCGTGTTAAAGACATCTAAACCTGCTCATTGGGACCTTAAATCTTATTTGTCTACAAAGGCAGTCTTTGTGGTTCACTGTTTCTACTACATACTATAAAGACTAACATCAAGGTAAATCCAGCCTTGGTCTTTATTTGATAATCTGCAAAAACCCTGAGGCGATACAGCTGTCTGCAGATATTAACAGTGTGTGAGGAAACTTCAGAAAGTGTGCTCATCTTCCAGCCTTCCAGGCCTGTCAGTGCCCAACAACCTCAAACCGCTGTGTGGAGAGCTCTGCCTCTGTGTCCCAGCAAAAATAGACTGTCATATTTAGCAGCACTCTCGGCCCCCAGTCTTCTGGAATTTTTGGGTTTTCAATTTTGGGTTATGCGCTTTATTACATGAACGTACATTCCCAGACAGAGGGTGACCAGCCTGAGAATGTTTGTTGTGGACCGGAGAAGGACAGGTGCAGGTGATTAAACCCCCGCACTTTTGACCAAAGTGCTTCAGGACCCTCGCTCCCTCTTATATCTTCCAAACATGGGAAACACAGGCCCATTGTAAACACAGTCCCTGTGCTGCTTCAAGCTTGCAGGGGAGAAAGTCTCGGCCTGTTCCAGATGCTTATGATAGCTGAGAAATTGAGATCACTCCCTAAGCCCGGCACAATGCAGACTCTGTATACACAGAATACTTGGACAAGCGCTCCTTGCTCCTCATTCTCTGTTTAACTTTTTATTTATCCAAGCCTTCAGTCAGACTTGTCTTTTTGAACCCCCTTAAAGACCCACCCCAATGAAAATCATGTTTTTCTCGTTGTCTAGATGTTCATATGGCATTTTTCTGATGCTACAGGACATATCATGAGAAAAATAAGTGCAAAATTTCTGCATTCAAATCTCTGTGAACCTCTGGCAACCCAAACAGCAGGTTCAGATACAGTGAGATTTCCTACGTAGCAAATTCAAGCTCCGCCACCACTTGGAGAAATTAGAGAGAACAATCGCGGAACAACAAGCGTGTGAACAATGCTTGTAAGAAAGCTAATTATGATACAAGCTTTCATCATGCCCCCAAAGACATTAGTGTCTGAGGGATGCATAGCCCCTATGTTACCTACACATTGTGCTACACAAGCAATATTATGCTGGAAGCTAACTCAAAGAGGAGTGTGCAGAGCAGCACTGTCTCTGCCCACAACTAAGAGGCGAATTGCTAATGAGCTACTGGAGCTCTGCAGAAGAAGTATTGACACTGGTAACGTGATTTTTGGTGAAAAATCCATGATCACAATTTTAAGACCACTGGGGAACACTTTAAGTTGTAAAAAAAAAACGATCGAAGTGGGACTTTAAACATACAATAGTGTGATCATAGGATATAGGCTACTCGGACCACAGTAGCTCAGGCCTTGTGTCTGGGCAGGCAGGTTTTATTATCGAAGTGGAAAATCAAAGCATGGCGAGGATTCCTGGGATGCATTCTTTCTTTCTTCGCTCACACTCCTCTCTGTAATCTCCATCCAATCAGCTGACAACTCTGCGGGGCTCTATCCTCGAGGATGCAGTGCCTTCCACCTCCAAGCACGGTACCACAAGAGGGCTGCCCATAAAAGAGGTGCTGGAGTACCTCCTCCCTGAGCTGGATCTGTCCTGCCTCCGACTGGCCCTGAATACACCTAAAGTCACAGAGCAGCTGATGAAACTAGATGAACAAGGGGTATGAAATAAGAGCAAGAGTTGAAATCAACAACAGAGTTTGAGTCTGTTGAGTTATGGTGTTTCTCTCTATCCTGACATGAACTGCAAACACTGATATTGTTTCTGCCTCTCCCCTGCCGCCCAGCTGAGTTTTCAGGTGAAGGTGGGGGTGATGTACTGCCGAGCGGGTCAGAGCACAGAGGAGGAGATGTACAATAATGAGATGGCTGGTCCCGCCCTGGAAGAGTTCCTCCAGCTGTTGGGAGAGAAGGTTCGCCTCAAAGGCTTCACCAAGTACAGAGCCCAGCTGGACACCAAAAGTAACAACCTCTCAACACACCTCTTTATCGCACACATATACACACACTTACATAGTTTGATCTTTTACAGATTTGTTTTATTTTAGGTGGATCTGCTTCAACTCCTTCTTAAAGTTTAACTTTAGTTTTAAAAGTGGAAGTAAGGTTGTTTTCACAATTCACCCAAATTTATAGGATGTGTACTTTGCTCCTTTACCTGCTTCTGGTTAATATTTGATTTACCGGACCTTATTTTCTCCCGTCCACTTTAACTTAACTTGATTCTTCTCTTAATTCCTCAGTCTAACAGCTGACAGTCATCTTATCCACTTTGACACAGGTCCTCTTTTGTCTAGTTGTTTGGGCTGAAGTGAAATTACATCCTGTCTTGAAAAGAAAACACACAATGCACGTTTGGAAAAGATGGATTGCAGCTATTGTGCTGTGAGTCTCAACACTGTGTCGCTATTTTTCCCGCAGCGGATTCCACGGGTACTCACTCGCTGTACACGACATACAAGGACTATGAGCTCATGTTCCATGTGTCAACTCTGCTGCCTTACACACCCAACAACAAACAACAGGTAGAGACTGAGAGCCCTGCCTTTTGTGGTGCACCATTAGTTGTATAACAGGAAGTAGAAAACTCTTTTATTTGGAAACAAATATACCACAGAAAACCTTGGGGGAAGGGCGTATTGTTTGGATGAGTGCATGGTATGACTTGCATCAGAAACAAATTTTTTCCAAGTGCATTTTTCATAATGTGAAAACACATACGATTGATATTCTTCTGCTGTCAGATCTAGGTTTTATTTATCTACTCTTCTGATTTAAACTCTGTTATTTTCCAGCTGCTGAGGAAGCGCCACATCGGGAACGACATTGTGACCATTGTGTTCCAGGAGCCCGGTGCTCACCCCTTTACCCCAAAGGCCATCCGCTCTCACTTTCAGCATGTCTTCATCATTGTACGGGTGCACAATCCCTGCTCAGACAACACATGCTACAGGTGAGCTGAGTCTGTGTATAAGCAGCAGGTAACACCCATTGTTTTACAGAGTTCCTACACAGGTGGAATTTCCATACTTATCCATATCCTAATTTTTTAGAATAACTTTTGTAACTACCTACTTTTGTATTTTAGAAAACGGTATTTGAGAACTTTGGTAAGAGTCTGGAAAAATGAATACTTTTTCCATACTTTATTTTTAATTTTTTTCCATACTTTTTAAGATCTGGAAATTGATCAAATTTATTTTCAGACTTTTGATACTTGTGTAGGAACCCTGGTGTTAAAAGGCATACTGTGTTTTCGCCCAAGTTACCACTCACTGTTAATGTTTAAAAGAGAGAAGTCCAACATACCTTTTCTCTAAGGGCTTACATATTAAGAATGCGCCACCACGATTAACAGATCTTGTAGGCAGCTCTTTTCTCTGAAGGGCTAAGGTTAAGTCCTGTCAGACTGAAGAAGAATGAGGTGGTGTTGTTGCATTGGCTACCATTTTGCTTTACTATGTTTACCTGCCGCTCGCCTGGTTGCTGTTTTGCACACACAACTCTCTGCAGGGATCATATGGCTCACTCCTATATTCTGTCCGCTCACGGCGTGAAAACACGTGCAATGTCCTGACTTTTTTTCTTTTTTTTTTTTTTGTGCTTTGTGGTCGGTGTTTGTCAATAAAAGTAAAGCAAAGGAAAAGTATGTTCATGTGTGCTGAACAAAACCTCTTCCTGGATAAATGCAGGTTTGCAAACTTTGACAACCCACAAAAAGCCTTGGAGAGGTTTTCACTTTACTGCCTCGGAGGATTCTGGGTATAGAGCTGTGACTGACTCTGAGGCTAAGGTTAGCCCGGCAGCTTTGGTTATATATGACCGTGTCTCCAAGACTTAAGAGACTAATTACAATTTTAAGTAGGGCAGACTGACCAAAGCCTGTAGCTATGTTGGATTTAAATCTGCTTTTTTCTGCTGTCTCAGTGCAGGACTGCGCTCTTTTTATAGGACCCTTGAAAAGCTAAACACCACTTTCATCGCTACAAGCTAGTGTTGTTTTTACGCAGGTAGCTACCGCAGCATTAAGACAAAAGCATTGGCTGGAGGGCATGGGTCAAACAGAAAAGCCATTTGTTGGGTTGTCTCATCTTTCTGGACCGTTAGTGTCGATGTCCTCTGCGTCTCTGCATAAGTATGAATTGGTTTGATTATAGTTAAATACAGACGTCCTGCTGTAGTAGCTGTCAAACTGATGAAACATTTCTTCCTCTTCTCCTCTGGCTGATTCTTGTCCTCGTGATGATCAGACTGCAACTCTGAGGCATTCACACTTCTGCATGGCTGCCTCAAACACACACACAAACACACAGAGTTTCTGCACACACACACACATTATACACACATATTTGCTCCCTCTCACTCTCATACTCCTGTTTCTCTTTTTACCTCTTTCTTATGCTCACTTGCACACAGTTACACACATGCACACACTTTTTCTCCTTGCACATCAATTCACTCAAAGGCTCGCTCTTTCACACACTCCCATAATACAAGCCCCCCACACAGACACACACACACGCACACACCCACCCCCCTGCCTGCCACTTTGCCTTTGGGCTACATGAGCCGGAATGGTCTGAAGGAGTTAGCGCCATGCACATGAAGTACTCTCTTCACCCGGACATGCATGTGAGTGCGGGCGATTGTTGAGAGCAGAGTCCCCTCAGAGCTTGCAGAGTCTATCTGAGGAGCGGACGGGTCAGGCCACGCTGCTGTCTCTGAGATCACACCCGCCTCAAATTTGGGCTAATTTATTTTGAGCCCCTTTTTTTTCATCTCCGGCCAAATTGTTGACCAGCTGCTGCGTCACCACTGACTGGCGGACACTTTCTTCCGGTGCTTTTTCCAGGCCAAAGGGGGCATGTTTCAGTATACACTCTGGGAAAAGAAAGAGGTAAACATGCTGGTTCTCCAGGTTTGCTTTATGGATGTAATGGAGAGGTGCGGGACACAGAATCCTTGAGGACAACTTGGCTACCCCACCCAGAGACGCTGACATACTATCAGCCTTTCACTTCTACCCTGACTCTGTGGAACGAGCCACCACATGTTAAAGACTGAACTCCTGACTGTTTGTCACAAGTCTTTCCATGGATGCTTCCCCTGAATGTCTGGAAGAGGTTACTGCTGCCTGCAAGAGGAAACAGGATACAAGGATTTGCCACACCATCCCGTGTTGTGTCTCCTAAATCTCAGACTTTGGCTGCAGAACAGAACTGAGTTGTCATTAATCCTGGAAGTCTTGTCGCTTGGCATAGATTGCATTTAAGATACAGAGGATCTCAGTGATAGATGATGGTTACGCTTTGGTAACACCAGGAGGTGAGTTGTCCTGTAGGTGTTTGTGTTGACATCAGGAGGTGGTTGTGTTTGAAACCATGCTTTTCAGCTGACGTAGTGATTTAACTTTGCAACCCACTTGATCTTTGGATCTCAGCGGATCACCAAGCAAGATTTAAAAACAAATGCACAAATTCTTAAATGCAAACATACAGGTCAAGATTAGATTTTTTTTTACAGGGATTATTTCCTTTTTGATTTTTGTTACCATGTCATAGAACTGTGTCTTTCTATCCGGCCTAAGCCCATGCCAGTACAGAACTTTCTTCACATCTCTAATCTCCACAAATAAAAAGCATGTAAGGATTTGTGGAGTCATCAAGATATTAATAGCCTGTTTTATGCCTGCTGCTGAGATTTGGATAATACTCAGGTCATATTGAGCCAGACCAGAGCTTTAGAGGAGTGAGTGGCCTGGGGCCAGCAGGGTGCTAATCTGCTGCTTTCAACCGCTGCCTTAAAGTCACACGGGGCCAGCAAGGCAGATTGCATAACTAAACCTTTGTTTGGGATACGCTGGCTGGCTGTTTGTGCTCACTAGCTCGAGCTGCAGCACTGCTCCCACGTAGTATGATGTGGCAGAGAGTGGCAGCATGTCCGCACTGGGAGCAGGCCTGTCAGCTGTGATTGAATGTATAGTATTTATACGCTGGGTTTAGTCAGGCATGCTGTGCAACATTTCTGCTACAGGCGATGGAGGTCTTATCTGTTAAATGGACTGGACGGAGACTTGTCAGAAATATCACTTCAGCTTAGCAGAGATGTCCCGCTTTTCACAAACTTGTAGGCGTAAGTGTATTTGCTGCTGACTGCATGGAGTATATACTGTATGCCCTTATAGCCTTCCTCCATTTAATCCTCACACTGTAGATATACACATAACACCAGCTCGGCCTGCATGATACCAAAAAGACATCCAGTATGGGATTAAATAGTTTTATTTTGTGACAGTTATGTAAAGTATATGAGCAATAACTTACATGTTCAGTATGTTTGATTCGTTTGCTGTTTTTCATGTTTTACAGAGCACATGTGTGTGCAGCATGTGCGTCTGGAACCTACCATAAAACCAGAAAGTACTGTTTCCACCTTTGAATTCACACCACTGAATATGAGGAATGTTGTGAGCTGACAGATAGCTAGCTTTATCTCATCTGATGGCATTAAAATAGCATGAAAGTATGGGCGCTATTTCAAAGCCTCTATCTAGTAGTTTCAATACTCGCACAATGGGAGAGGAAGCATGCCTTATTTTTAGTTTTTGCAAAAATTCTGATTTTTATCAGGTTCATTTTTCAGTACCAGTAAAAGCTGTGATTGATTGTGCAGCTGACGGATCCAACAAGATTAGCACACTTAGCTTTGTCCCTCTTCTTTCACACAACAGGTATGATGCATTATTAACTGCACCTGTTCACTTACTTCAAGTAATCCAACTCAAGGACAGTCATTGTGTGCAGATGGAATAAGAGCAGCAGAGGGTAACAAGAGGAGAGCAATACCTGCAGGAATTCCAACACCCTCTTTTATATTCACAAGTGAAACAGGTCAAAGGCAACAATACCTGAGGGAGAACTATGTAAAGACGTCCCCACTGTGTGTGTTTTTTTTAAGCTCGTGTGCTGTTTGTCATTGTAGTGTAACCTTTTTCCAGGGAAAAAGTTCTGTAATATTTTTATGTTTTATGCTGCTCAGCTTCAGTCATGCAGGTTATATCGTTGTTGTTTTTTTGGGTACTTTCAAATGTAAAATACAATTCTTTATGTGTTTGTTGCATACATATATAAAATTATCTATTCAGTCTTTAGATTTTTAGAATTTTAAATAAAGAAAAATGAATACCAAGCCATTAGTACTTGTCGATAGTGGGTGGATGTGCTGCAGAAGTCTAAATCATGTCCCACTGAGCAATAGATGGCTATTAGACGTCTAGTTTTTTTTTTTAGATCTAATTTCAACCGTCTAGATTTTGTATATTTTAGATGGAATTTAGACGTTGCACTTTAACCGCTTTATTGATAACTATTTATTTCGAAAAGCAACTGTGAGTTGCATAACTGATCTCCAAGTACTTTACCAAAATAATTATGATAGCCCTTGAGCAATATACAGTGGAGTATGGATATAGCCCAAAATTAGATTGAGTCTAAACTTGGTCTAAATTTAGACGTCTACAAAACTTTCATTTTTAGACCTGTGGTAGCCTGATTTTAGACCAGTCGTCTAGGCTACATTTAGACGTCTATTAGACCTCCTTCAGACCAAAAATGCTCAGTGGAGTGTTTTGCAGGAACAGGTGTAGGATAATTGTTGTGTTAAAACCAAAGTGAACTTAATCCCTCTGTTTTTGTTTTGTTCTCTGCAGCGTGGCTGTCACCCGTTCCCAGGACGTCCCCTCCTTCGGCCCACCAATACCCAAGGGCATCACCTTCCCCAAGTCCACTGTCTTCAGGGACTTCCTGCTGAGCAAAGTCATCAACGCTGAAAACGCAGCCCACAAGTCAGATAAGTTTGGTGCCATGGCAACACGCACACGGCAGGAGTATCTACGGGACTTGGCTGAGCGCCACGTGACCAGCACTCCTGTTGAACCCACCGGGAAGTTCCCCTTCATCTCTCTAGCTCACAAACGACGGGAGAAGGTGCGCCCGTACAGCGGGGCGGAGCTTCGAAGCCTGGGGGCGGTGACCTGGCAGGTCCACGCTGAGGATCAGGTGGCCGGTGCTGAGCGCGAATGCTTACTGGCTATTTCAAATGACTTCATCATCCTGTTGGATCAGGACGCCAAAGCGGTCGTGTTTAACTGTGCCACACGAGACGTGATTGGCTGGTCGACAGGAAGCCCTGCCTCCATGAAAATCTACTATGAGCGTGGAGAGAGTGTGTCACTGCGCTCCATCAACAACAACACAGAAGACTTTGGCGAGGTTGTCAAAAGACTGGAGGTCAGTGGGGCAGCGCTACTGTCTGTGACAGTATGTCTCATTAGTACACACCATCTGCTGCGGCTATCAGAGGTCACACTGAGCTCAACAGCTCATAATCAACACACACACACAGTCCTTGTTACTCTGTCTTAATACAAACTACTTTTATTAATATATTTACATTTTAGTGAGGCGTCCAGAAAGAGAGATAAATCAGAGGAGACATCTAACACAGAAAACAATGTGTCGAGGAAAATATACATTTCTCAAATGAGCAATCTGTTATTTCTCAATGAGTGTAAAGTTTAGATCCAAAGTCTAGTTGATGAAAATGTTTGTAGCAAAAGGAAAAAGTACTACTAGCATCGTCAGCCTTCATAATGTAAAAGACAATAACAATCCCTCCTTGACAACAAAATAAAGTATTGTTGATGTTATTATTGCAACATAAGAGCGCAGCATCTAATTATACAGACAGCAAAAAGCCACAGCTGCTCTTTTAACTCTATGATTATAAATCATGCTGAGCACACACACTCATCTGATGATATGGTATCATTACTGAGGTTTTTAATATGGTGAAGGTGAGGCTGAACTTTTTAATGGAGCTTTCATCACAGCTTGCTAGTCTGTGATAAACAGAGAGAGATTTTCTAACATCTGCTACCAGTTCTGGTATTTTCTCCTCCTCGAGCACATTTTTTTCATCTCTATTTTTATTTTCTTTTATTCTGGGAATCGAAGTATGCTTGAAAAATTGAGCTACCTGGAATTCTGCTCCTCCTGTGATCTACTCCCAAAGTAACTGTGATTTACTTTTCTGTTGACTTCCCAAAGGCAGAGGAAGAGCCAGACAGAGTGTCTAATGGCTGCTAATTATCATGGGAGTGTACAGAATAGTTCAAATTAAAGTTTTAAGTATTCATCCTTCGTGGTTTAAATGTTTGCATCAGCTTGGGTGGGATTAGCACCACTATAAGAGGTTTTAAAGACAGTTTACCGTTAACACAAAGCGTCTCTTCTTCTCTTTGTGTGCTGTAGCTTTTGACCAAAGGCAGTCAGACCACAGAGATGACCCTGCGCCGTAACGCCCTGGGACAGCTGGGCTTCCACGTGAACTTTGAGGGCATTGTTGCAGAGGTGGAACCCTATGGCTACGCATGGCAGGCAGGGCTCAGGCAGGGCAGCCGACTGGTGGAGATCTGCAAGGTGTCGGTGGCCTCGCTGTCTCACGAGCAGATGATCGACCTGCTCAGGACCTCTGTCACTGTGAAAGTGGTCATCATTCCCCCACACGAGGATTCCACACCTCGAAGGTAGTGGATTAAATAAGAAGTACATTCGATGTATGAAAGAGTCTGTTTTGTACTGCTGTCTTCTCTAAACACTTCATGTCTCAACAGAGGCTGCTCAGAAATCTACCACATGCCGCTGGTGGATTACAAGAACCACAAAGAGGGGATGCCCTATGAGTTAAAGTTCCCCTTCCGCCCAGCCAACAACAACACAAAGTGGCCACGCACGTCATCCAGCCCTCAAACTCGCCCTGCTGGCACAGGAGGAACCCTGATCAAAGCCCCACCACCAGACTTCAGTGAACGCAACTCTGCTGCTATGCCTCGAAGTGTGTCCAGTGACGGCCGACCCCTCAACCACAAAAGGTCTCAGAAAAAAAAGCAAAAAAACAATCACACTGAACACATGGAGGCCTGGCTGCTGTTGGCGTTTTCTGTCATAATAACTCTCTTTTGCGTCATCTCAGGTATTCCCCCGGGAACGACAACTATGCTCTGGCCTGCTCCATCGTGATGGGACGCACAATGCACAACACAAACTCACCTGCCACGCTCTCCTACACCGACACCATGAGCTCCGGCCACTGGAGGCAGAAGTCCATGCCTGATGGGTAGGTTTTTCCGCACCTCGTCATGAGTTTCCGTGTGCTTTCATTCGCCTGCTGCACGACTGAACAAGAAAGATGACATCTGCGTCTCCCCCTCTAGGTTTAACAACAACTGCCAGTCCCCTGTGTCTGCTGTGAGGCAGGGGGCAGGTGAGGGGGCCAATGGGATTAAAGCATGCTCCAGTGTAGGATGGTCCCGGAGTGTAGAGGGGGAGGCAATGAGCAGAGCGGGGGACAAAACAAATGCAGGTAAGAGAAGCGGAAGTTTCAGTATTGGCAATAGTTGATAATACATAGAATAATGCACTTTTTATATACTTTGATTTTACTGTAAGCGTTTACTGTTTATCGGCAAATCTAATCACCAATATGTCTCTGCTTCCTGCAGAAACTAGTGTTTCGAAACCAGTGATCCCTCGTCCACAGCTGTTGGAGCAGAGTGGCCACATATCTCCTAATAAAGGCGCCAAGGTGAGCTGGAAGCAACAACACTTACGCTTCTTTCACACATGCACAAAGTTTTGGAAAATTTGACAGAATTATCCAAGTGAGCTGTGAGTGAAAGGAGGAAGATCTGAGTTCATCACCCAAACTTCACCTAGTGTATTCTCTGCTAGCCTCCTGGTATCATTTTAGGGTAAAGTCTGGGTTAGGTCCTGTGTATGAAAGAGGATTAGTAATAATAATTATTAATAACAGGAAGGAGATTAAAGCCGAGGTTTTGACATTAAAGTCGAAATTTAAAGATTAAAAGAATTGAAGTCATGTCAATAAAGTTGAAATTTCAAGACAACAAATCGAAATTTTCGAGATTAAAATAGAAATTTTGAGATTACAAAATGTCATGAATAATGTTAAAATTTTGAGATTAAAAAAAATAAAATTTTAAGATTAAAGTTGAAATTTTGAGATTAAAGTCGGCATGAATAATGTCAAAATTTTGACTTTTTGAAATTTCAACTTTAACCTCAAAATGGTAATTAAAAAAATCTCCCTCCTGTTATTATTTTTTTCTCTTTTTGTGGCCCATATCCTCTTTCGTACATGTGAGGAAGCAGCAGCTAATCTTCAGGATAATTCTCTGCTAAAAGTGGCGGAGGGAGTCAGCAGAGACTGTTGATGATTCTCATGCAGCTGGTGTTCTGTATAATTTTGCTATTTGGTTGAAAAATTCCTGCTCGAATTGGTAACGAAGGTGTACAGTTTGCACTTTTTATTAATGTATTCAGCTCACAGTGGGATAGTGGGCTGTAAGAATTGGCGGCATGTTTTTGCACACTAATATGAATTTATACCAGATTATAGGAAAGGTTGATCATAGTGGACCAATAGCCTTTGTAAAATAATGCACTCTGTACTGAATTACTTAATACCACATCTATGACAGAGTATTAGGGCCACATTGAGAAAAAAAACCATGAAGACTTTGAGATCAAGGTCGTTAATTTACGAGAACAAAGTCATTACTAACGAGAATACAATTATTACTTATGAGAATAAAATCGCAATGAAATCATAATGATACTTATGATAATGTGGTGCTGATGTGCCAAAAGATGAAGTATCTCCTTGTTTGTGAAACCTGTATTGAAGTACATTGTCATGAAATGCCCCATGGCTCTCATTTCAACATCTGTCATCTTAAACAACAGGTTAGAATATAAGGACTTTATTCTGACTTTATTCTCATAAGTAATTATTTTATTACAATGTTCTTAATCTCGAAATTTCGACTCTATTCATGAAATTTATTTTTTTATCTATGATTTAGTATTTTATAGTTTTTTTTATTTATTTTTACTTTTATCTCGAAATGGAAATCAAAAAATCTCCCTCCTTTAGTTATTTTTTTCTCTTCTTGTGGCCCTAATCCTCTTTCGTACACATCACTACTGTCCGTCAGTAAGATTTTCAGAGAAGCAAACCTTCATGGACTGATGTCCCCTTTTGAATGATACTCCCACAGGGGACAAACTTCACAATATAAGATTAAAGAACAGGGTCATGAACCTTTTACTCACTTCTCTTCTCCAGTATTCATTTCACTGATCTGTCAATATGTTTGATTTCTTGTCACATAGATGGAAAAAAATTGTTGCTAAAGTGCACATATTTGTTGCTGAGTGCCAACTTTTTAAAAAGAAATTAACATTATCACAGTCGTTATTGCCATTTTTTGCTTGTATCATGTATTTCTTCATCCATCTACTATCCATGGCCCTAGCTAGAGCAGCTGCAGAATGTATATACACCTAAACTATCATTGCTTAAGCAAAACTACAACATTAGGGAGGGCTACGATTATTATTTTTATTATTGTGGAATCTCAAAGTGGACGACTCTGGAAGATTTTTCTTCTTTCTGCTCCTTTTCATTCACATGTTTGCGATTTTTCCTTGTTTGTATTGAATGTTTCATACACTAACAGTATGAAATAAAGTATCAACAACAAAGTCATTTTATATATTCTTAAAATATTGACGAATGGTGTGATTTATTTCCGTAGCCTGATGGTCCGTACTCATCCAGCCAGTCAAGCAGCAACACACTCTCCAGTAACGCCTCCAGCTCTGCCCACAGCGATGAGAAGTGGTACGAAGTGGGCTCACGTTCAGGAGTACGCAGCGATCTCGAGCTCAACGGCTATCTCCAGGGCGCCTCCACCGATAGTGGCATCGACGCCACCTCCTTTACTGCCACGCAGAGCAGCACAGCTTCCTCCACCGGTGCCTTCAGGGCCAAAGACAAAGTCCCCTGGCAGGAAGACTCAGCAGGCAGCCAGAGGACTACAGACACTCCACCTCCTGCAGCGGACGCTCTGGTCGCCGTCACAGGCAGTGAGATCCCTGCTAAGAGTCCAACCGCTTTCCCTCTTGTTCCTGATGGTGGATCCTACAGCCTGAGTGACGCCGCCTCCCACTCCAGGTGTGCTGCGATTTTTTTTTTTTTTTTCAGTCAGCAGGAGGCAGCTCAGGAATTTCTGCTCTTGCATCAATGTTTCATTAAACAGACAGTGATTCATTGTAGTCCAGATATATACTTGGCTGGCTCCAAAAGTCTGCGGTTTGGCATCAACAAAAGAAAAGAGGGAGAATAAAATAACCGCGTGTGCAAGCGTGAGTTTGTGGTTTTGCATTTGTATGTATCCCATCTACCGGTGCCTGTGAAAGAGAGGCTCTGCTTGAAGTTTCTAGAAATGCAGACTATGAGCTCAGCGCTGTTCCCCCTCTTCTAAATCCCACTTCCTTTGAATACACTGAAGCCTTCCTCCCTCTCCTCTTCGCTAGGCCAGAAATAACTCGGCTCCACCAGACCGGGATATAGGCAACTTTGTTTCAAAGTATGTGCGTGCACATGTGTAGCGGCTGACAGACAGTAAACTTTTTGCTGTGAAAATTCAATCTGAGGAGAAATCTTTGAAAGTGAGAGAAAACACGTTCAAGGACACCGTGTCCTATTTTTTTATCCATAAATTCATCAGTTGATCCAGTCTGTGGAGGAGGAACGATGAACCAGGGGAACTACAGGGTTTTGAGAGGACTTGAGTTTAACTAGAGGAAAGGTGACCTTTACTTTGGAATTAATGTTTGATGAATTATTTTAATTAACCAGCAAAATTAAGACACAAACCCTCCATGAAAAAGCAACAATGTCCCATCACTCTTCCAGCCCCCATCTCAGGAAATTTAATGATCACATGAATTTCAAACCCATACTCATCCTTCACACTCCTTCTCCTCCTCCTTCTTCCTGCAGCACCCTCAGCTCCGGACACTCAGGGAGTCCAATGTCACCACAAGATGACGCAGCTGGCAGGGCCACATCCCCCACTTCACAGGACTCCCCAGGGGCTAAGACCTTCTACCCCCGTCAAGGAGCGACCTCTAAGTACCTGATAGGCTGGAGGAAACCTGGAGGAACCGTCAACTCTGTGGACTTCGGCAGCACTCGAAAGTAAGATGGGGACAGTTTGAAGTGCTCAGCATCTGTAGATGTTAGAAACCTCTGCTCCTGTAGCGCTGCATGTTGTGAAAACAGTCATTCAGCTTAAAAAATGTGTCCTGCTGTTTGTGCGCTTTATGTTGAAGTGACCAAACGTGGACTGAATATTTAAGCCTCATGTATGGCTTTAAGTGTTCACCTAGTACTGCTTTTTTTAATGGTCCAACACTGCCATCATGTGGTGGAATTAAGGCTTGAGCTTTCTGTTTGACAAATGATTTTTTTCCTGAGATTGAAGACTGAACATAATTGTTTTTCTTCATTCTTTCAGAGCAGCATATGTGTCATTGCTTCGCATTGAATTAAATGTTAGTGATCAGGCGTCTTTTATTAACTTGATTCCCTTCCAGTCCCAGAATCTGAACTTTTATGACCTTCTGTTATAAATCTCTGTTATAATGCGCCATTATTTGGATTTAAGAAGTGTCTTCCCCCTTTTTCTCCAGACGGCACCAAAGCGATGGTCTCCTGGGTGGCCAGCCGCAGCTCAGGGCCAACCTTCGGGGCGCTCAGTCACCCCAGCGGCACACTGCCAAGTCTAGTCTGGAGGAAGACCTGAAGAAACTCATCACGCTCGACAGCCCTCCACCAACAAATGATGAGAAAGTATGGAGAGAGACTTTGGTTTTACTGACTAAACTTGTGTTAATGTTGTAATTTAGTAACCCAAAATGAATTCAGACAAGAAGTAATCACTCACCACAATAATAATAAAAAAAATGTAATGATTAAAAAATATAACTGATTTATTTCAGCAGAGATTGTGATTATTAAGGATTAATTACAGTTTTAAACACATTCAGAAAATACTTATTTAATTGAAATTAGCCACATTTAAATGCAAAGAAAGCTATTGGTAGTCTTTTTTGGAGTGGTCAATCAGACTAGGGCTGAGGCAACCATAACGCACTTAACCCTCACCCCAGTATTCCCACTCACCATACCTCAGCATTTGTTGAACCCGCCATAACTGCCCAAGAACTAATGACAATAAACAGCTTACTTGATGCAACAGAGAGCGCCTGTTTTTCCAGCAGGCTTACATCTTTTCTACCCTCTCAAGTGACCATTTGTCGACGTTGTTGGGCCTTTGTGAAGTGCCTGTATCCGTGCCATTATATGTATTGTGTTTCTCTTTCTTTTTTATTGCATTTTATCCTTGTTGTAAAGCACTTTGTGATTTTATCTATGAAAAGTGCTATATAAATTAAATTGACTTACATTTTGAATTCAGACCACCCCGTTGAAGGCTGAACCTACATCTCAATGTGCTGGGAACGACTGCATGAAGAGTTGTGATGTGTGAGTTTGTGGTTATGCAGGGCAGTGAGGAGAAAGATGCTTAGAAATCTGAAATGTAAGCCAAGAGTGAGTAGCAGACTATCATAATGATATCTTCAGATAATAATCGAGTGGGTAATAGTATGCAAACTAACAGATGCAGGGATAGAAGACTCAGCCTCTGTGTTACTGATCATCTTGTCCACTTTGTTGTGAAGTGAAAGCGATTCGTTTGGTTCCTGTTGCACTTTGTAACGTGTCTCATCTGATTCCCGTCACCCTTCTCTGCAGCCACTGTTTCCTGCTCCTCTGGGCGGTCGTCGCTCCCTGCAGAGGACCCTCTCAGATGAGAGTATTTACAGCGGGCAGAGGGACTCATCCTCCAGTGGGCAGCGTGACACGCCCACTGACCTTCTGTTCAGCTGCTCCACCATGCCGCGCTCACCCACCACACGCCATGGAGCGAGCCGGAGAGCATCACACAAATCCCTGGGTGAGTTTGGGGTTTTTATAGCTGACCTTAGATGAGTTGGTTGTGTGATACATATTGTCCCGTGGACCTTTTTTTTTTTTGTCCTAAAGCAGGATTATGTGATCTGTAATACACTGCAAGTCCCCAGATAATCTCCTAAAAGAGAAAACAGACGGGCTTGGCTTAATACCTACCATCTCAGTTTAAAAGAAGCATTATTTGTGTCACAGTCGTACTTCTTCCTGTACTTCTGTCATGGGAGAAAAGGAAACAAAAGCCCCTCAGTGTGATTTACTCTGCTGTTCCTCCCTCCCAGGAGACCTTTCATCCTCAGAGAGCTCTGAGCTGGAGCAGGAGAGGAAGAGGCAGCAGCTGCAGGACTCAGCTCTCATGCCACTGCCTGACTCCGGGGCAGATGGCCCGCTTGACTGGGCCCACCTGGTGGACGCTGCGAAGGCCTTTGAGGGTAGGAACATGTCATGATTTTAATTCCTCAAAGCGAAGGTTGAATACTGGGAGACATGGCAGGTTTCACCAGAAGATGGCACTGTTGGTCTAGGTTCCCTCGTTCCAGGTGTAACCGTCTTTTCATTTCTTTCTTTATGCAGAGCAGAGGCTGGTGTTCTTGGCAGCCCAGGAAGAGAGCGCCATGGCTGAGAGCGCAGCAGCAGCCGCCAGCCCTCAGCAGGCAGAACCTCAGGCAGCCCCGCTGAGACAGCCTTCACCCGGGTAAAAGGCCTCAGGTCATGGTCTGAGACCAGTGTTAGCTTTAATCCTCTGTGGTCCAGCACTGTGTCATGGTAGACCCCCTGATCAAACTCTACTGCAGCTGATATCTCTAATTAAATCTCTGCTCTGGTTAACCACATGCTAAACTGTTAAATCAGCGACCATAGGGTTTGGCTGTAAACAAAATCTCTGCAGCTGCTTCCCTCTGAAGATTCAGTTTGTTTCAGCTAATGTCCTGTCTGTCCTTTTCCAGAGAGACCCCAGCCTGCCTGATGGGGAAGGTCAGCCAGCTGGAGTCCATGGTAAAGGCGCTACAGGAAGACTTGAAGAAGGTGAGTTATTGTTTAATAAGAGGAAGCCCCCGGAACGGAAAAATTGAATTACATGCAACATAAACGCCACTCAAGCAGATTTAGATCAACAATATGTGATAAATCCAATTTATTGCCCAATTTGTAATCCAATTTACTTTTTAATGTCAGTGTTGCAGATTGCTCACTCATGTCTTTGTCACCGACAGGAGAAGGATGCGAAAGCCACACTGCAGATTCAGATTCAGAGCCTGAGAGAGGACAACCAGCGTCTCCTGGAGGAGTCTTACAGCGCCTCGGCTAAGCTCAAGAAGTTTACAGAGTGGGTCTTTAACACCATTGACATGAACTGATGCACACAAGTCAACAGCTGCTCGTCACTAGGAGTTTGACCACTACTCAAACTGAACCTCTGTGCTGCACATACAGCAGAATCACTCACCATGTGAACTGTTTCTTTTAAGCATTCAGAACCAGTGCCAACATGGACCTAACACGACCGCCCTCCTTCAGCCTTGTGAATCTGTGGTGCCATCGCCATAAAAGACTACATCAAATTTTCAAGGGGGAAAGAGCAGCAAGCAGCGTGATGGTTTTTCAGTTTAGATCAGCATGCACTCCCTTCCTTTAATTTCACAAATAATAAGAAATGTTTCTTATTGACTGGATTGTTGGTATCCCGCATGTCAGAGACAGCAAGATGTCGGCCTAAAGGGATTCAAGCCTCTGTTCCCATGTAGCTCCTAGGCTAACCTAATTACAAGTGAACAGATTTTCAATTAAAACCCCCCAACACAAATTAAATTGTGTTCCTCCCATGAAAGTGAGTTAAAAAAAAGCCCTGTATTCCTCTAAAAGAGGTTGACATTTTGAAAGAATGAAGCGACAGTGTGCTGTTGATTCATTATATTAAAACAATCTGAAATCAAACCAAATAGGAGGAACAACACTGATTGTTTTCTTTCCAATCAAGAGTAAATAAGCTATACCTGACACGATGTCATCCTTCATACTATGCTATGCTTTTTTGTAGCAGAGTGGGTAAGAAGAAACAGATGGATGGACCCTGTATGTAGCACATAATTGCAAAACGCTGTAGGGTCAGCTGTCTGTCTATAGAGCCTGTGTAATAAGACTGTACAAGTGTATCTGATGTTTAATTCCTAGAGGTTTAAAAACAAGTGAGTCTTATATAGGACGAATGGTCACAAGCTTATGAAAAGAATATATATTGTAATGAAAATACAGGACAATATTGGTGCCATAAAAATAGAGACTGATAGTAAAGTGTATTCAGAGTATTGTAAATATGTGATGTAACATTTATTTTCTCATCTCTGCCCTTCGATATATTATTTAGAGTATTTGTGACAAAGATGACGGCCTAATAAAACAGCAGGATGCAGTGAGAGATCTGAATTATTCATTTAACACATAAGAGAATATTTACTGCTTAATCCAAAGTTTTCAGCAGGGAAATACTTTTTCAGCCCTGCGTGCAATGTTGGATTGAGAGAGAGAGCGCTACCTAGTGTTGACAACATGTAAAATGCTACATGAGACTGACCCTTTCTCATTTCAGGGCTCACTTTAAGGCCTCATCTGATCCTGAACTCTCTCAGTAGATCATATCGGTACTGTTCCTTATATGAAAGTAAGATATTGTGTAAATCCTGAAATTCCTTCTACAGAGTTTTCTGTAGATCTGATCCTGAATAGCCCAACCTGAATCTGTCCTGTAGATTTCCAGACAAAGACCTTATTGAAGCCTCATAACTGTTTCCTTTTGTACTCGAGAGACTGTGCAACTGTATATAAAAAGAATTTGATATTCATCAGAAATTTGCACCTTCATTCTTATTTTTTCAAGATAACTTCTGATGTATTCTGCTTTATGGGCTAGGTGTTAGTGGAGAGGACCAATATGAGAGATAAACTGGGGATAAGACCACGAGCCAGAGTCAGACCAATGAGTTCCGGGCCCCCCATGAGCACAGCAGATCAGCCCCTGCACCTTCATTCTTTAACATGTGTGGCAGCATGTGAATCTGTTTCCATTGAGCTGTGATGTGTAAAAAATGTTTATATCTATTAAAGATATTTTGTTGAATTACACCTCGTCTTACAGAGTGGTCTCTCGGCTTTGCAGGTATATGCTTCACACACCATTAACATCATCATTGATACTGCCAAGAAGGATCCAACTTGTAAAGTATTTAAATTAACAAAACCCCGGAGCGTAATCTACCTGCTGGGGTCATGTAAAGTGCATCTGAGAGTAAATGGATACCTGTCAGGAGGGCTGGTAGGAGGTGGGATCCTGCTGTTGTATTGTGATTAACATAGAGCTGCTGTTTTTCCACTTAGGCATGATTACCTGAAGCAGTAGCCCTGACGGAGACAAGCTGAGATCAGACAGACTGATGGATGAAGATAACAAGAGAGGGGCCGGGGTGAAGACAAGGATGATTACGAAACCGAAACACTACTGGAGAATGTCTTACAGACCTCCAGCTACACTGCAAAACTGTCAAAGGGTATTTAGCCAGGTAAATAACAGGCGTAAATATTTACAGTTTGTCTTGTAGTACCGTCAAGGTCACAGGTATAATAGATAGAGTTGACTCCTCTTGTTCATACTGGCAGCTTTTAAATCCACTATTATGAGGAAGTCACATGAACAAGGTCCCGATCCAAGGCTACGACACCTAGATTTGTCAGATCTAGACTAAATTATCAAACTCTGACACACTCCTGAAAAAAAAAAAAACAGTTTTAGATTTATGAAAACTTGAGATGGTTTGTGAAATACAAAAAAGGGCAATTTCACTGTTCTGTTTTCTTCTTCACCTCTACTCTTCATCAGATCTGATATGAAACCCTAGGTCCTTTACATGTGAGTCCTCTTAAAACACACTTTTAGATTTGTGGATCAGGTCCTGATCCTGAATCACAACACCAAGACTTGTGAGATCTGGATTAGTTATTCTTTAGATTTGTGAAAACACACGAAACAGCAATTTCACTGCTTTTTTCATTACAGTGGGCCAGGTCCTTATGTAGGACCACTTTACTTAGACTTCTGAGACGTGGAGTGAATGACCTTATACTAGTGCCACTTTAAGATGAACCAGGCTAGATCCTAGGCTAGATCTCACTCGTCTTTGTATTGTGGTTCTGAATCAGGACCTATGGTGCAATGTAGTCTGGTGGTGAAAAAGCAGTCTTAGACGATTTAGTCCAGATGCCACAGGTCTATGTGAGGTTTTGGAGTAATGCTAATGGCCCCTTCACTTCATACACTGTGGTGGATTAAATTACATGCTATCATCTTTCTATGCAAGCATGTTCCCATTAGCATAGCTAACTTTTGACATTAAAAAAATGTTATTTTACACATACAGTATCTAGTTCATCATCTTGCCTGTTATCATAGCATGGTAACATTTGCATATTTGCAGCTAAAAAAAACTGATTTCAGCTACTGGGGACATTTGATATTGACCTGTTACTGGGAAAAGGTTAAAAGGTCAAAAGATGGACAAAGATGTGAGTGCAGTAAGAATACCATTGGTAAATTTTAAATGAAACTGTATTAACACAGGTAATGTAAAATGTAAAATACAAAACTTGATAAGCTCTCTGGAGTGTTTATAGACTGACTCAAGGTATGAATATGTAGTTTCATGCCAGGTCTAACTATTTATCTGTATAGCTTCATTCTGTTCCATGGGCTTTTATTTTGAAATATTTACTTAAATATGTTGTTTCTGTCTAATTCATATTTTGTCTTGTATGAAACCATACCTTCGCACCCTGACCTAGAATTGCTCAGCAGATCAGCAGAGATCTATTGAATGCAAGGAAACAGTTCATATGGAGAGTGAGGGGAAAATGGAGGTTGAATGGTGGAATGTGATCCATCATAATGTAATTCATGGACCCATCTGTGGTCGTATCTATCAACAGTTTAGCTGTGATTCATGTCTCTGAAGGGATAACTGCAAAGAACAAATGTAGCTTCTTAACCCCAGCTCCTTTCTTGCTTCTCAAGTTGCTGGTCGGACCCTAAACCTTTACCCTAAACCATTCTCTCCCAGAAACCACACACACTATACCACAAGCCTGCAAAATTTGTCTCTTGAACATCACCACACAAAAGCAAATGAACTGCAACACTGTAAAGGCCAATCAGCAGATCAACTGAACAACATTCAACAAAGGGTTATGTCGTCTTTGCATCATATGGCTTTATCAATCGCGTAATACAGAACTGAGCTATGATGGCAGAGCCGGCTCAATTGTTTTATAGAGTTCAGCACAAATGCGAAGACCTACACAGGCTCTTTTTTCCTAGATAAAACCTCATCTCTTACATTGGTATGCTGCTTGTTGCAAGCTGGCAAACTCCACTACTCTACAAAGTGAAGAGTGGGAATGCATTTTGAGGAGGTTCAATATGAGCTCCTGTCTCTTGCTTAAAAGTTCAAGTCTAGCTAGTTTGCATTTCTGTCATACATATAAATCTGGGAAATACTGCAGACTTACTTGATATGAATAAATGATAGGATAAATTTCTATGAGAGTCTTACGAAATATCAATCTAACATTTAGTTTGATTTCAGCTTTTTTCATAACCAGCTAAAAACTCCTCACAGGAGCTTTAATCACTTCGTACACCGGCCTGGTCCCTGTAGTGTCATGTGTGTGGCAAGTGTTGCTGCTCTCTGGCAGTGAACAGACTGTTCAATAATTTAGCATTAATGCAGATTATAGCAGGGCCGGCCCCTTTAAAGCAGATTAGAGAAGTGACTGTCTGCCTGCCTGTCACCTTGTTAATGATCTCTCCTTAATGCCCAAGAAGCTCTTGCAAAGATGTGCTGATGGCAGGTCACTGCAGTGCGGTGTGGGTCAAGTGTGAGGTTTGTTTTAGTCAGGGGGGATTGTTGCATTGTTGTTGCAACATGGTAGAGAGGAATAAGTGAAGGGGGAGGGGGCTTTAATGTACAATTCTGCGCTTTTCCTGCAGAAAACTATTAGAGAAATGTGTGGGGTAAGCACCGTGGGCCGGCCGATGGACTCACAATGTAATAGGCACGCCACTCACACGGGTGTATGACCCCTGTTTCCCATGGTTACCACATTATCTGAGAACAGCAGTTTTAAGCTGACTTCATATTTTCCGGCTTCCTCTGCTCACACCTAAGGAGAAAAAGGATGAACTTTTTGATAATGAGAATTCCGCTCTCCGTTTGTTTCACTGGGATTTTGTCAAAGAAGTCGTTCATCTGAGGTCTTCCTCTGTGAGAGGAATTTACGGAGGGCCTCAGATGTTTTCTAAAGCAGTGAAGCGGGGGCTTAACAGAGTCGGGACCTTTACTTAGATAACAACACGCCGCTGAAGAAGAGAGAGAACGTGTAGTGAAGAAAAGAAAGCAAGAAAGCTCTTTGATAACTGGTGAACTGGTTCTGTCAACACAAACATCTGTGCATACATGTGTGTGTATACATGTGTGTATATGTGTGTGTGAGTGTGTTCACGCTCCATGCATGCATTCACAAATTGGCTGGGCCATGTATTTCTGGAGTATCTTCCTCAGGGGCTTTTGGGATCTCATTTATGGCAGGAAAAAAAGGTTCACTCGTTCTGGTTGCCATTTAAGCTTCAATGAATCCTGAGTTTCAATGAAGATGGAAGAAAAAGGAGGAGAGCGGGGAAGAGTGGAAGAGAATGAGTGCATGTTTGCCATTTCTCAAACATAAATATGTGGCAGAAATATAAGACGATAAAAGCGTCAAGATTGTAAATAAAAGTTGCAGAAATCTGCCGAACTTTGGATTATAGCCGGGGGAATGAGTCAGACAAAAGCCTGCAGCACAAAAGCTTTGAATGGGAATTGAAAAGCTTTATCTCTAAGGCTGTTTGCACAAACAGTCTGGAATATGTATTTATAGCCTGCATGTGTGTGTGAGTATGTGTGTCTGTGTGTGTGTGTTTGTGTGTGTGCGCGCTCAGTTACAGTAACTTGTTTTTCTATTAGCATTTCAATACCCTCCTAATGAAATGTTTCTCATTTTCAGCATCGGTGGGCGCTGCTGCAGTGTGCATCCCTCTGTCCTCCTTTCCTCTTCACTGTGCATCCTGTGCTCACTCTGTCTCTCTCTCTCTCGCTCTCTCTCTCTCACACACACACAAACACACGCTCTCTGTGTCTCTCCTCCCTCTGTTTTCCCCTTTATACCCTCTCTAATTCCTTCATCCCTCCCCCTTTTTTTCCAACTTGATCTGCTCTCTCTACCACACAGCATCTCCCTGCCTCTCTCTCTCTCTCTCTCTCTCTCTCTCTCTCTCCCTCTCTCTCTCCCTCTCACTGTCTCTCACACACTCACTCTTTCGCCTGTGCTCCGGCTCGAGCACATGCAGACAGAAGGAGATGGAAGGAGGGGATGAACGAAGCGCACACATGTGAGGATCTCCTGAACTGCCGGGCCAAGGAGGAACTGGTGAAGAGGTAGTAGAAGAAGAGGAGGAGGAGGAAGAGGAGGAGGAGGAACAGAGGAATACTGCAGTGACCAGCCAGCTTCTCTCTCTCACTCTCTCTCTCTCTCTTTATATTTCACTCTCTCTCTCTCTCTCCTCCTCACTGCTTCACTGCTTTCATCACCCAGTCTTCTTCATCCCCTTCTCTCCCCCTCTGCCAATTATACCATGAACCTACCTGCTGCTTGTTGCTAAGGGGAAGCCGACCGAGGAGAGGGCAGAGTGGACCAGGCGTTATTTTGTTTCCAAGGTAATACAAGCTTCAGTAATGGCAGCTGTCAGGTGTCACAGATGTTGCATTGCACTGGGCTGCTCGCCTGCTGTGACTGAACTCACAGTCAGTGTGGCTCAGGGATGTGTGTATGTGTGTGTGTGTGAGAAAGAGAGTGAGGCTTGCTCGGTGCATGTTTGTGTATGAACTCTGGGCATCTATTTGCTTGTTTTGTTGAGCTCTGCTTTGCTAATACGAGAGTGTTTGCAATATCCTGCCTCGTCTCATAAATTGGTGTTTGCTTGGATTTGTGTTTGAGCATGTGAATAGAAGCACACATGTACTTCACAAGTGGGCATGTTGGTCCTCTCTCCCTCTCTGGTAAGTGTGTGTATTTCACCCATTTCACTGTGGCACAAGCTTTCAGTTAACATCTTGAATCAGCCCTCTGAGGAGTTTGATTTGCATGCTTGAGCAGCTCAATTTAGCGGAAGTTGCTCTCTAGAATCACAGCTTCCTGTCCACAGGGGACAGATCGCCACACTATTGTTTCTTTTAAAAAGCTGCTTTGTAATCTATACCGTCTGCCCTCCTATATGGCCCTGGAGGGGAGGCGCAAAGATTAGCTGTCTAATGTGCTCAGAGTCTGAAAAAGAGCACATGTGTCAGCCAATGGGGAGCCCGCACTCTGCACTTCTGGTGGCAATAACAAACACTGAGGCGAGAGCGGATGATTACTTATTCAATCATGCGCATCACTATGCTCCATGGTGTAGTAGATTAAAGTGTTCAACAATGGTGACAAAGCCACCTCGCGTGTCTGCTTGTGTGCTGGTGGTAAGCTGAGTTTTAACAATACAAGCGTTGCCCCTCCCTCCCCCAGTGCCATTATCTGCAGATGTTCCAACTTGAAACACCGCACAGCTTCAATTACATAATTCGACTACTTCAAATCCCATTCCAGCAGCTGGCCCTTTGCAAGATGCAGCCTGTTATTAATTCAGGAAATGTATGAAGGTGACAGTATGAGTGTCACATGATCTGCTAAATGAACACCCTTTAATAACTAAATATATTTTACTTCATAGGAGGGGCTATTTTATGAATTTGAATTCATGTATTGGTATAACAGTCTAATCCAAACCCCCATTTACTTTCCTCCTCTTTGTAAAATACTAAAGCATGGTGTAGCCAGTTAAATACACACATGTGCTTTCTTTGGTAAAGGGTATTCAGGGCTAAGAAGGCTCTCTGAAGCCGAGGCGTCAGCCCAGGTTATGAATATCCTGAGTTAAGCAGAATTAATTCTCATGAGGGAGAAGAGGAGGGAGTGAGGTTGGGGGGAAGCAGCCTGTATAAAGATATGGGGACTGTGCAGAGGTTGTAAATAATCCCTAAACAGCAGGTCCAAAAGCAATAATGCAGATATGAGGAAGTAATATGAGAAATTCAGCCAGATCGAAGATAACCTTCAAATGTTTGCAGCTCATTAAGGCAACACATACCAAACCTGACAGACACAGACTGTATGAAACATGGCTGTAGCCTCTGATTGGATACTGCAGGGTGGTTCTGAAGCCCAACAATGGAAATCACCACTGCTGACTCAACCTTACTTGGGGCAAAAGGGTGTGTCAAGGTGGGCCTTTAGCCTCTGTGATCATATGAACAATGGGAAAGGAGAAACATTTGCTCAAGCAAAATTAGGATATGATAGATGTGTTGTTGCTGTTGGTGTCCCTGGGCAGGGATGACCATTCATGGAGGGATTCAAACTCTGTGCCCCAATTTCTGGTAATTCCTGCTTTTGAATAATTTCTTCCCCAGTTTTAACCAGTCAAAACTTGAAAACAGTGGAGAATGCTTTCAACATTGCTTTTTTCGGTCGATTAATGTCATTGCTAAAGCTGTTGCTGTTTTAACCAATGGAAAATATCCTTAATGCACTGAGAGTCCAACACTGATTTGTCTGTCAGTCTTCCTCATAGTGCAGCTGTTGCTCTGCTGGCACAGCTTATCATACTGAAAGGACCTGCTGCGTAACGTCAGGTGGGCCAAGTGTGATGCAGACAAGCTTAGTTTTCTTTTCAAAGCACCAGGCTACAAATCTGCTGTGTTAAGCAAACACTGCATGAGTCCATTTCCAGCCCCATAGGCCAAAATAGTTACACAGAAAGCCATATTAAAAGTAGACATAGCATGGGCTGCTCAGGATCAGGAGAGCACTACAACCCTTGTGTTTTGTCTTCATTGGCATTATATTATTTCGTGTCCCTATAGGCAGGATGGAAACTACTTTACTTTAAGCAAATTTTTAGAGCTGTTTATCCATCACTTTTAGCAAATTCTATCGGTTTGAACTGTTTTCAAATAATGATTTGTTTTTACTTCACTGTGGTTTTTGTTGTACTGTAGAAACACTGTGGTGTTTTATGCTTTGGGTTTGACTTTGTATCTTAGTTAATATTCATCTTACATCAGCCTACCTGAGCTCTCTTATCTTTTTGTGCTGTGACAGGCGTCTCCTTTCTGAGGAGGCAGCTTACATTTTGACAGCTGAATGTCACAACAATAAAGGCTGTAGAAATTATGGTTTCCATTATGGGAGAACAGAGATGCTGAGTGATGCTTATCAAATCCTATTTTATGTTCTTTCACTGACTGTTTTTGGGCTGTTATATTCACGTAGTTTATCCTTTTTTGGACAGGACTGCGTAAAAATGGCAGAGGGGGCCAAAGAACCAGTGGGTGTGGGCACCACCGATCCAGAGGAGGACTCCCCGAATATGATCGTTTATAGGAAGGTAAGGCTGGCTCCATATGTGTGTGACAGTTTGTGGCCTATAGGTCGGGAGAAATACTGGCTGAAAAGCAATGACCCTTAGACCGGCTGCTGACAGCCCACTGGTCCGTGTCAGTGTGTATCTAGCACATACTGGTTTCACTGTCAGGTGTCAGGGAGCCTCTGTGTCAACCATCCTGAAACAACCACAGCGTTATCTCTTTCTCCCGGTCCTTTTCCCCTTGTCAGGACTCTCTCCTGTAGCATCGCAAACTCCAACCAACCAATATTTTAATAAGATCTCATTCCCATCAGTGAGGGTTTGGCCTGTGAGAGGTCCTTTAATGTCAAGGGTAATTATCCCATCCCCATGGCTCCTCATTCTCAATAGCTGCTGTTTGATTGGAGAGGGTTTGCAGTATTGGTGGCTAATTACGAAGATGTTCAGTGTTTGCTGGAAGCAGCTGATTCTCCAGGGCTGGGAATGGAAACAGCCAATCAGCTGGTGGTTATTCCTCCTCAGCTGACAAGTAGCTTGTTATTTCTCTGCCAGCACTCTGACAGCCCACTTATAGAAAAAAGCTGCTTTTGATCAGACTCAAACCACAGGATCCACTGCTCCCACCAAGCCTGCTGTCTTGATTATGGGTAAAATGTGCGCTATAAGCAAGATGGAGTTGACAGATCCTGTTCCACTGTCCTAAATCTGCTGTTGCGTTCAGAGTCTAATGATTGTCCATTTTAGAAAGCAGCGTAAACAGATTAGGGGGAGGACTGGTGAGACTGGATGTGAAATCAATCTCGACAGTGGCTGCATTGAGGGTTAGAGTTATGTTTCAGGCACATTGTTGCATCTCTGTCCCACAGCTCACCTGTAAAAACTGTCAGGATCCTCTTAGTGCGCAGGATCTTGATAAATCTATCATGTTACTTCTTATAATGATACTGCTTTAAGATTATATGATACCAAATAGTGTCAAAAGCCAGAAGTTTGCAGCTACAATACCAGCAGTGAAAACTCCAGCTGCTGGTTAGCAGAGAAAACTTCTAGTTTTGTGAGGAATCAAGAGATGATAATCAATGATCCGATCAGATCAGACAAATGGCATCGAACCCCAAGGTCCTGTCAGTCAAAAATATCTGAGTGCTGTCTGTTCTGCATGAGTTTGTGTGCCTGTTCTACATGGTAATGCACACATTGTTTATTCACTCTTCTCATTATCCTCTGTGTACTGTAAGAAGCTGTCACGCTGCACAGACAACATGCTGCGCTTGCATGAAACACCGGGCAGCTTCGTGGATTTCACAGCAGAGCCTCATTATGTAACGCTACACATGCCTGCAGGCGATGCATTTAAACAGGGCTAGTTTTTGCTTGTCAGGATGCTGCCTGAAGAAATATTCATTTCATGTTTAAGTCATTCGCAGCGACAACGGACAGATGATTCGAGGAGTGACAGGCCTTTTCTGTTCCTCGTGCTTTGAAAATGTGGGTTTGGTTTGAAGCCTTTGAAGAAGACAGCTGTAGCTGAGTGAGAAAACACGCAAAACTAATAATTAGAGACCAGATATCCTTTAGTATCTGCTCTCAACACGCTGAAGTTTAAATGAATTGACTTGGGGGTGTCATTTTCTGATATTTGACCTCAGTTCTGCTCACTCACTGATGTCGCAGAGGTCAAAAGATAGGGAGGCGCTGGGTCTCTAAGGGCAGAGCGCCCATCGTTTCAGGAGTCTGTGGGTGTGCAGCCTGGCGCAGTGTGAAGGCGCTGCTTGCAGAGAGGCAGATGGCCGCCAATATGCTCAGCCGCCTGGGAAAACACTGGCAGCTTCATCCCAAAGGCCTGAGCTGCTGTCAGCTGGAAGATATCAGCATCATCCTGAAAGGAACAAAGAGGGTGAAGAGATAAAAATAATCCAAAGTGTGGGCAGCACCTGTGTGAAATGTATAGAAGGTAAGAGTTGGTATACTTAAAATACTCCCATATCTGTAGCAAAAGTGTAAAGTTAACTGTGTAGGCAGCCACACAAAGGTGAGTGTGATGTATTTATCCATTAGAGAGGCTGAGTACCCAGGACTGGAGGAGGTTATCTCTGTCCATGCAGTGCTGCTGAGTTATCCCTTTCTGTGTCTCTCCTCTTACGAAAAAAGAGGAAGTGCAACAAAGCAGTCCAATAACTGCAGGATGTCTTTCAGCCTCGAGAGTTTGTGGATACATTTTAGAGGGAGCAGAGGTGCGCTGCAGACATACGGCACATTCACAAACACAGGATCCCACATTCAGGCTTCTGACTCTGATGTTTTGTTTGCGCTTGCTATATTTGGCATGCTGAGCAGACAGAAAAAAAGGCGGGTAGATGAACAGGAGTGGCACCAGGAGACACACAATAAAGACATTAAAACCATGATGAGACACACCACTGTGCTGGGAAATGCAATTAAGCTGAGGAGCGAGTCCACTTCGCTGCTCTGAAGAGATGAAGCTAAACTCTGGATATCTGGCGCATTTTGTCCTCTAATTTACTCCTTTTTCTTTTCTGTGATGCTGGGACTAAAAACTGCTCTTGATGATTTTGGCAGCCTGGTTTTTGACACACTTTTAATTGTCTCCCAAAGATTAAAAAAACCCATCCTTCTCTACTCAGAGTGAGTTAATGTTCCTGCTGTACCGCTTCCTCAGTTTTTCAGGTCATTAAGTGTTTGACGGGATAAGTCTTGGCAATCGACGCATACCTGAAGGCGGGTGTTAAAGTCATAATATCTGTGGTGCAATTACACAGAACTGTCATCCAGACAAGTTTAGGAGCCATTTGTGGGGGAATATTAGTAATGAGCCAAGACAGGAGGTTCAGAGCACTATTTGGTGCTAGTGGCCTTTGGGTGCAACTGTGTTATTTTCTAGATCAATTCACTCTGACATTTTCTCTGCGGGTAAATGGGTGCTACAGTGTGGCGCTATAAAAGCTCCATCTCTATGAGTTAAACTAGTACAAGGAATCCAATTTATAGTCATGCTAACGGCATGGGTGTGAGACAGCTAGGAAGTTCATAACTTTGAAACAAACAAAACTGTCTCTGTATTTGTTGGAGTGTCATTCACATGTACTTGGAGCTTTTAAGGATAAAGCCATCTGACCGTGGTCATGCCCTTGTTATTGCAGAAATAGCTTTTCTGGCTATATATCCTGTTTGGGATCCTTTTTGTTGAAGGAAAACTGCTTTACTTTTGGTTAAAATATAAAGTCTAATCTGTAATCTCCCTGCAACTCAGAAAAGTCACCTTCATTGCAAACTTGGCAAAGACAGAAGATGATTGATTTTTCTTTAAGATGGAGCTGTGAAAAAGATGAAGATTAAAGTTGTTTTTTTTCTCCCCTTTCTTAATTTTTTTTGACTTTTACAGACAGCTAATAATAAAAGCACTTCAATGGCAGTTGTTTCCTCAAATTGTCATTCCCAAAAAGTTGATCCTGAGCTTACATTGATTTTTACTGCAGCAATGCGTCAAAATGACGTGACTCAACATGGGGTTACTGCCGGGGTGTGTACATTATGATGAGATTCTTTGGAGATTTCAAATAATTAATACTAGTAGCATTGGGATGTTATGTACTAGGAGCACACACTTCTTTTGCAATAATTTATACAAAACAAAAAAATTGAATCGGAGCAGTAGATGTTTGAGAAACTAATAATTTTTTGGCTTGTCCCATTGACCTCAATGCAATTAAACTGCACGTTTTAATATATAATCTATCCTACAACTCTTTAAGCTATAGGACACTACAAGGCACTATTGTATAGGGGCCTGCTGTCAAGTTTATAGCCTCAGTGCGTTTCCCTGTGGCCCTAATTAGGATTTCTAATGAGAGTCAGCTTTTTATCGTTAATCAAACTGCTCTTAAAGTGATTCAATGATGCAGATATTGGAGCAGTCCCTGATTAGTGAATTGGTCTCAGCTGTGGGCCTGGCCCGGGGGGGGGGGGGGGGTTCACAGGTTGCCATGGCAACTTGCAGCTGTTTGCCTGCGAAGATAGACGCATCGCAGGCTGAGGCAGTGAAATGAGAAAAAGCTATTTTTAGCTTTGGCGCTGATCTAACATTTGGGCTTATTCTGACGGTAGCTCCTATCGGGGAAAAAAAAGAAGATGAGGATGCTAGTGCTAATGAGGATCTGTTAGTGCTGAATGTAATAGCACAAACAGAGCGCTCACACCAAGCACGAGTAAAATCATCGTCTTGCTTAATTCGTGCAAATCTAGATGCGTGAATAAATAGTATTTACTCGCTTCATTTGTGCGTCAACAGTAATTTCAACGGTCATCCCTGCCAATTGAACTAGCGAAATCAAGTGATAGACAAAGGTTTATTACAATTTACCAGGTAATCTGACCTCCTCACTTACTTGCCTCTAGGCAAGCTCCTTTTTATTCCAGTTTCGGAAATTGAAAGAAAAGATATCATATAACTCGGGACACCCACACACTGACATGATCAGTTTGTCCTCCATTTAAGATACCAGTGAACTACCGTCTGTTTTTATACGTCACATGGCAACCTTCGTGCTGATTAGTTATAGCGACGCGAATATCCGCTCAAGTTGAGACAAATTCAACTCCCGCCCAATTCGAGTCATTCATGCCACAGTGTAGTAGCGTGTCTTTACATCGACTTAACATGTAGTTCATTCACGTGAATGGTTTTACTCATGCTTAGTGTGTGGAGACAGTTAGAGGCTCAGTATTTAAACTCTGTATGTCTCTTACACGAAAAAAATAAAGTTTCAGATAATTTCATGCAACTTCTCTTACTCTAGCCAATGATTTCACCCATTCTGGCATGAGCATTCCACACAATAACACACCCATTATAATCTCAAAATTTCTCCAAAATTGATCATGGTCATTGAACAGTGAGTGATCAAAATACTACAGGACCTATCAAAACCTGGATTAACACACCTATAGAATAAACTTGTGTCTATATTTTACATTTTAAATGGAGTCTCTAGGCTAAAATATGCTGACCTGCATCCTGAAAAATTGGTTTACAATAGGGAAAAGTAATATCACAGCGATCAAGCTGCACGTTTGATGTATAATTTGTCATACAACCCTTCAAGCTTTAGGATAAATAAATGATTAATTTTTTTTTTTTTTTTTTTTTTTTTTTGGGGGGGGGGGGTTGATGTTGCTCCGGGGACAAGAGGGGGGGGGGGGGGCAATGGGTATGGATGTAATGAGATAAAGAAAAAAGAACTTTTACACTTTTGTATAGGGGCCAGTGCCTCAGACTGTTTGCCCCATGGCCCTAATAAACTGTGTAATCTGAATCCAATCAATAACATCAGTACATCACTGGTATTACTGACTGAACTCTGATGAGTGTTTTTCAGTCAGAAATTCTGCATTATTGTTTTTTGTCAATGGCTGCAAATGTAAGCTCTTCTGAACACCATTCCTTGTGATCACATATAAAAACCATGCAATGGTTGCAACTAGTAGTTTTAGGAAGTGTCTTGCTAAGGCCACTTTGACATGTGGAGAAGGAGAGCTTGGGCTGACACTAATAAACCTATGTGTAAATAATGGATTTGCCAAAAGATCCTGTTTCTTGATTACTTAACTTAAGCTAGCTTGTTAACGGTAGAGAACACACAAATATCTATCTATCTATCTATCTATCTGTCTATCTATCTATCTATCTATCTATCTATCTATCTATCTATCTATCTATCTATCTATCCATCCATCCATCCATCCATCCATCCATCCATCCATCTATCTATCTAATCTTAATTATGATATCAGTTTTAATTGTTTTGTGTCGTGACATAAATGCAACATAAAAATGAGCACTTCACAATGTTGTTAGGCATTTTGTCATGCATGTTGATATTTAGGTCAGAGTACTGCTGCGGTAACAAGAACAATAGAGCTGTAAATCTTAAGTCTTGCTGTTTCTGCAACCTTTCTCCTTCTTTTTTCCCCTCCTCGCTCATCCTTTGTTTAGCCTTTCTTCTGCTTTTTACCGATTAATTATTGAAGCTCATTACAAGCATTCCACCTTTAGAAAATTCTGGTCCCCTGAGATCTAATCTCTGACCGTTCATTTATTCATACCAGACACACATAGTTTTATCCATGCGTGCACTTTAAGTGTGAAGATGAGAAGATTTAAGCAGAGAAAAAATGAAAAGATAGCAAGCAAAATGCCATTACATGCTTAAACAAACACAGTATTTCTAAGTTAGATGGAGAGATCTTTGAACTTGCATGTGTGATCATGACAGTGTTTTGTTGCTGCTGTAGTTGCAGCTCTGGAGTGACTTACACAAGCTTATCATTGCCATGTCACCTCTTCAGTTGGGAAGATATTGAATCCTGCACAGCCTAAGTGAGAGATGGCTTCAAGACGGGACGCAGAGGGAGTTTTCACCACTCTGACTCTGGCAGATAGGGATGATGTGGAGACACTGCAAATGTTGTTTTTAAAGTACAGACACTGAGTCTTCCTCGGATGGCTACAGAAGATGAAATTACTGTAAGTAACAGCTTCCCACACTGTCCATTCACCTACCACCGCAGGGTCTGACAGCTGGTCGGGTGTAAACAGCCAAGAGGACTGGATCGCTCCAGTTCAGCTGGTCAGTGGGAAGCCCGCCTGCTCGTCTTTTTGCTGCCTCCCATGACTCACTTTTTCTCTCTGAAGTACCCCTGGGGCCCATGGAGGCTCTATCTCTCTTCTCTTAGGTCCAGCTCTCATACGAGGTGTCTACAGTTCACTATTGGCTGTTCCTGTGTGCACTTAAGATAACACAGCCTAGCTAAACACTGTGGATATCACTCCTGTAGTTGTAGGGATGAGCTCTCTTGGTGTTTTATCGCATACAAGCATTTTAACACCGTCTCCTCTTTCACCATGGAAGCCTTTATCTGCAGCGCTGGTATGGGCTGAAGCATCAGGGTCATGCTGAAGCCTGAGTGCCTGCATGCTAAGTGCCAGTGTGGGCTGCTTTCCTGGTTGGGTCAATAAGATAAAACAACAGTAACAGTGTAAAGCGCTATCTCTTATATAACCAGCTCCTGTGCTGTGTGTTGGCTCGTCTCTAAGCAGAAGGACCAACACATGAAAATCCTGAAAGTCCACAGGAAAACAAATCATAATTGGATAGTAACTCACAGTGTTTTGGCAGCATGTGCTCTTAGATTATTCAGCTCCTCCACAGAGAATCACTATGACTGAAATAAAAGGCTTTTCTCCAGTGGGGGGGATCTCTGTCCTATGCCAGAGCCTCTGCTGGTTTCCCACCCTGTTTGCACATTGCTGACCGTGTGCACTTAAAGCTGCACATTAAATAATGCAGACCCTGTTTCTCTGCTTCATAGAGCTGAGGAGTAAAGCTGCATATGCATAGGGTGACGTTAATAGGGTGCGGTATGGTTGGAGAGGTAGGAGGTTCTGCTGTCACCACAGGGTCTCACTTCTGAACTCCTTACAAGTCTTTTCTCTGTCACATCCATCTTTGAATCCCATGTTACCTCCTCCTGTGGTCTGAGTGACATCTGCATGTCTACAGGACACTGAGCCAGCTCACTATAGAGCAGCTCAGATGAAAACGCCAGACGTATGTAAAGAATTACAGCAGCTAGACTCAAAGAGGATTTCCACTTTGGATCAACTTTCCATTAACCATCTTTGATTGATGTTTAATACCATCAGCGAAGATGCTGCTGCCAGTTAAATTGTTGTCGATGATGCTTTTAAAGAATAAACTCTTGTGTCATCATGTACGGTAAATACTAATGGGTTATTGGAACCAGCTCTGACAGTAGTGTGTTAAAAGCTGCTGGTCCCGGCTGCCTTGGAGTGACAGTCTGACAAGTTTGACAGCAGTGACTCGCCAGGCTAACTGTAGCCCTGCGGTACTGCTGACAAACTGGATTAGAGAAAAAAAAGGATGCAAAAGAGAGAACAGGCTTTAACAGTCTCACATGGTTGTGTCACATCCTTTGAAAACAAATGACTTCACAGTAACAGAGACTGTATTTAAATACAGGTTTACCATTTAAAGATGAGAGTCAGGGTTAAGAATCGGATGGTGGGGGAAGAAAGTTTCACACTTTTGGTGCATGGATAGAAAAAGCCCTGCCCTCATCATACTTGGTTCTTGATCTCTGGACAGACAGAAGTTTTTGGTTAGATGACCTACATAAGTTTTCTGATGGTGTGAGATGGGAAGACAGTCCATTTACTGCCTAAAAATCAACAACAGGGTAAATTTGTGTGTGGGCTAGTGGAAGAAAATAGAGGAGGAAGAGTACTGGATCAAGATTGGTACTTTTGAGGACACCAAAGAGGATAGTGGAAGGTGAAGAGGTTGAGTTTAGACACTGAAGTATCTGTTGCATAAATGAGAAGAAAACCACTTTAAAGCAGGACTATAGAGGCCCCTACCCATTAGGGTTAGGAGAAAAAATCAATACAGCATAGTATCACGATATTTTGTCTGGTGATATATTCTATCATATTGACCAAGTATCGATTTTATTCTAATTAATTGTTAATATGAAGTCAAATCTATGATAATGGAAAAATAAAATCAACTGTCTGTCCAGTGAGGTTGGCAGAGGTGACATCATAGAGCAGGAGACAGTTACTGCAACAAATAAATGTAAGGTTTGCAAGATGTGCTGCATGAAAATAAAATACTGTGTAAATAAGACAAACATAAAGGAAAGACTAATGCTAAATTAGCTAAACAGTTAAAAAAATTATATAAATTACAATGTATTGTATCGCAATATGAACTGTATTGCAAAATGTTAAAAACTGCAATAATATTGTATTGTGGCCCTAAGTATCGTGATAATATTGTGTCCTGGGGCCACTAGTGTTTCCCACCCCTACTGCCCATTGTTGTAATGTCAGTCAGAGTATCACAATCTACAGCATCAAAGTGTAAAACAGTGGGAGTGACTGCTTTCACTCACAAAGGGTCACATGATTAAAACTGAATTCTGATTGTTGCTCTTCTCAGATCGACAACCTCAAGCAGCTTTTTTCCACAATAATGTTTCAATAGAGTGATTCAATAACTTAAAAAAGAACTGAACTTCAGGTCACAGAGTCAGCATCTCTGTGGAAAAGTCGTCTTTGCTTGCAAACGTTGCAAATACATGGAAAGCCAGGGTTCAAGTAAACTCAAGGCAGTGTGGAAAAGAGAAATGCGAGGTCCAGGAAAAAAGAAGTAGTCTCTGTGTGGAAAGTTTGACGCAGGGTACAAACTGGCACTGAAAGAGGGGAACATTCACTGATTACAGTTTGGAGGAAAAGATTACCACAGAGAGAGAAAGAACACAAGAAAAGTCTAGGAGAACCTGAAACAGGAGATGAGGTGGAAAAGATAAAGGAAATAATGTGAAATACTTTACACTGGCTGTGTAGCCTGTAAAAGTTCAAAATAAGAGCTCAACGTGAGATGTAATCCAGGAAAGCTTTGAAACCTTGAATTTTAAAAAGAGGATAAAATAAGGTCTGGTTAGTGAGCCTCAGTGTTGCCATGTAAATCTGTGACTCTTATGCATCCAAAACTCGAACCTTATGAAACAGTATTTACAGAAGCTTTGTGACTGTATAAAGCTTTGTTCTTCTCTAATGTTCCAGCCAGTTTCGCGTCATTAAATCACAAACTGCAGGAGCTAATCCAGAGTTCACGTCACATAGAGGCAGAGGAAAATAGATAAATGTGTGTGGAGAATGAATCTATAATTTACTCTTACCAAATTCAGATGATAAAATTGTAATAGCTATAATGCATTTAGTATGCGGGGGTAGGATGGTTCATTTTATTTTGCCATAAAAAGGACTTTAAAGGAAGAGTTAAAAACGATGACAATGAGGAAGTGGTTCAACTTTGCTGCTCATGTGCACACACCGTACACAGAGGTGATACATAGGTTCACCAGGCCTCATATATTAGACATGACATCCCATTGCTCAAACTAAATCATTTTGTCCCCAGTGAATCGACCCTTGTCCCACATATTAAAGTAACTTCTCTTAAATAACTAGACCTCACTTTACAGACCCTGGATCAGACCTAACACAGTCTCATCCCAGCATGCACTGATCTCATATTTTTAAAAGTAAAAACAAGTCTGATCATAGTGACTAAATTGAGATTGGTTTATTAATTAGGAGCTGCAAAATTTCAAAAGTTTCTCTATTGTTACTCATAAGTAAAAGGCCTATGATTTAAAAAACATGCATCTAAAATCACTCTTCCCGATTAGCTCTTCTTTGTTTTACGCAGTTATCTTCCTTCTGCTCAGATTTCAGCTGCTGTTTTTACTCTTGAACCTCTGGGGATCTTGTCTAGAAATGCTCCTCGCCTCCCCCTCGTCCTGATTTCACACTTCTCATCAAAGAAAATGAGTATTTTTGTCACTTCTGACATTTTTTTTCTCTTTTCTTGAGGGATGAGACTGTCCTCAATACACTGGAAAGAGCTGATAAAATATGGTTCTCTGGTTTTTCTGTAAAAAAAAAAAAAAAAAAGGCTTCATGCCGCTTCCTGATTATAAGATATTTAACATTTTGATCTTTGGATGCATCATTAGTCTGGTCTGTCTGTGCTCTAAAGCTATCAGACGCTCTCAGGGAATGAAAAATAACAGAAAACTCTTTAGTGTGATTTGTTCACACATCGTGTTCAGATGGATTTTAATTACCTCAGACAAAGAGGACAGATGATTTAAAATTTCCTTATATAAAAAAACAATGAAATACGCTGATGAACTGCATGTTTAATAACCTTGAGCTACATCTGCCAATTCACCAATTTCTGTTGTTTGCTATATGATGGGATATGTAGTTTTAGAGATGATCTCCTTTAAAAATAGCAGCTCTGACTCACACAGACAGACATATTGTCATGTTGAACCTCAGGTAGTAATCGAGTGTCTGTTGCCGTTTTTGTGAGACTCTGTGGTTGTCTCTGGGCTTCAGCTGAAAGAGATGAGTCACCCAGGACCCCAATGTTAATCTTCATGTTCAAGTAGTCAGTCTGAGCAGGCCCCAAAAGCATGAAACTGCATCCCTAACACCACGTCATCAGCCTCGATTCCCTTCAGACCACCGTGACGATGCAGTTTTTGTTTTTCCAGATTAGTCCTTCTCTACTGTTCCCAACCTTTTATCGTAAATTGGACAATGACTGAAATGTCCCATGGTGTCCTTTTAGTTAAATACAGCTGCAGCCGAGAGCTCCAAACAACCCATTTGTCAAAATGACAGTGTCAACCTCTGCCACGCAGGGAGATTTCAAACTGCATCAATAATGCTTTTTAGGTTGGACTTGCTGATATGATGTGAGTGAGTTAGGTAATCGTGACAGATTTTCTTCTTTTTTTTCCTCCTCTGCTTTGAAAATAATAGAAATGTCCTTGTGGGAGACCTTGCTGTGTGGCAGTTCCCATTTCCACTCCAATCGCTTAGTCAATAACTCACACGGCAGAGGCCAAATCCATAACAAAGCCGTGATTACTTTCATCAAACTGAGTGAGACAGTGAGGGAAATGCTGGACCTGGACATTTTACTGGCTTGTTTTGGACTCAGGAAACCATTTGAAATGTATTTGAGGTATGGTCTACATGCACACATTCACAGGTAATCCTGTAACCTGTATCTCCTACCTACCACAATGAGAAACCCTTATGAATCCAAGCTTCCGTCAAAACAACTTGAGCTTTATCTATTTTAGCACTCCAATACAATCTAGCTCTGACACCACTGCATTGACTTTAAATGGAAATTAGTCTTCATTAATGGAAAAGAGGGACGGTAGGAAGAGAGAGTCCAAGCTTTTAGTCTGGTAATAGTCATCAGAATCAATCAGGACGAAAAGAGAGAGAGGCAGAGCGGCAGTGATGGTGCCGCAGTTGGGAGGTAACACAAGGAGAGGCTAACATGGTTATTCCCACGCTTCAGAGGAACAGCTGGCAGCAACAAGGAATTACACATTCATAAGTATGTGTTTTTGTTTTTCCACAGCAAAGGCTGTTGGTATAGGTTTACCTGTGATACGGTTCAACACCTTTCCTGCAAAAAAGAGAAATGCAGTATTCAGTTTCCTGCCTAGCTGGGGTCACCTCAGTGCACAAGCAGATTTCTATAAACACCCCAGTCACCTATTTACCTGCCTTTGTTTACAAGTTTTAAAGCCCAGGCTTTAAATAACAGGTGATACTATTAACTTTGTAAGCACTTAAGAGGCCAGAAAACCAGCATCAAATCTACATTATTAGAAACTTTGATGTCCCTGTGGACGAAGCTGTCATTGCTCATCTTGTCCTCTTTATGCTTAGCCAGACAAAAAAAAAACAGCTCTTGACATTAGTTTAAGTCAATTTTATGAACATCAAAAAACTCCTTATAGGGGCTTTACAATTAGCCAGCATGAGGGACACTCAGAGATTTCTACTCTTTTTGCAGCCAAGTTAAAATCAACAACAAACTGATATCAACTCTGCAAATTTAGTGACATGAAAAAACAGCATTTCTGGGATTATCTGTAATCTGTTATGTGTTTTTAAAAAATGACAAAATTTTCTAAAGATAGTAATCTCATTACGGCTCAGCGGTGTAGTCAGTCGCTTAAGCCTAATTCCAGGTCTTGCTGTCCACATGGGATAGTATAGTATAGATAGTAAGGATAATATGATCAATTTGGATCCAGTCCAGGAAGTCCAGGGGCTGACTGGCTTTTGTATTGAAGCTTTTGTATCTTTAGATAGTGGGAAGGCACCAGTTGAGCTCAGTCAGTAGAGCAAAGGTGCCCCATATGAAAAGGCAACAGTCCTTGTCGTTCTAATCAGAGGACTGAGTCCCAGCCTTGATGATATTGGGTGCATATCATCTCTCTCTCTCTATTCCCGCATTTCTTGTTTCTAGGTCAAACTGCCCTATCAAATAAACGGAAAACCTGTATAATTAAGCTTTGAAAAGGAGTTCTGGCTGCACTTACATGCAGGTTTCTGTTTTTAAGGATAGATAAGTTGTCAGGTTACCACTTAAAGCTTTTAGATGTTTTTACAATGAATTGCATTCTTCCTGGTTTTGCTCTCCATAGATGGTTTTTCCTGCACACATACGATAGATTTCATCATGCACTTTGGATCATCAGAATTTCTAAGTTAGTAAAACCCTGAGATCATAAAGAAGATGCATTAGCAGATTTAAAGTCTGTATAAAACAAGTCAGGGCTTTGGTACAATCAATGCATGAGACTTTGCAGCATATTCTCACCAATACAAAAATGTCAGTGGCCACCTAAAGATGGATATTCTCTCAATCCGTCTTCATGTTTTCAGTTTTAATCATTGATTTTGACAGGGATACCCCATCCGCGGTCAGGGAAATGCTTTCAACATTTGCCTAGCAGAGGAAATATCTGGACAATAGCAGTGCGCAGAGTCCTCCTGCAGGTGTGGCCGAGCACATTGCCTTGCTAAATTACAGCCGGCTGTCAGGCACAGATAGCACACAGCTGAGGATGGAAACAGAAAAGGACACTTCACTTCACTTTGAAATATGTTGAGAGGATATTAGATCACAAAGCATGCCTGGTCCCCTCTCTGGGAAGCTTATTCAATAATTCAAGGGGGAGTGATGGTTAGGTTGCAAATTTGAGCTGTACAGACATAATAGATGGTTCATTTTTGGCTCCCTAGAGGTGAAAGAATCAAAGATTTATGAGCAAATTTAGTCACTGCATGCTAAGTAATGCCCTGGATAGCACTGAGGGGGGTCTGTTGACATTATAGATAATCAATTAGCAGTGAGTAAGGACTTGAAGCCATAAAACACCTACTGTATAGCTCACATTTTACTATCTATTGATTCTATCTTTCAGCCAGTCTTCCACAATAAGACTCTGTAACATATCCTGTAATGAAACACTTTTTTTTGCCTGTGAAACTGTCACCTTAGACCTCATTTGGTTTCCTTTAAAATGCGGTTAGAGGATGATAATTGGATGACTAGCATGCAGGGGTAGAGGTTGACAATGTGAAGACAAGTCCGCTGCAGGTCGCTGTCAGGAAGACGAGCCCTCCCCCGCAGGCTTGAGGCCATATTACAGGTGTGTGTCGCTGCCTGCTGCCCCGTGGCACTGCGAGATGAGATTTTCCCGCCATGTGTCACCCCAGCTGCCTGAATTTCATTACCAATACCTGCCAGTTGGACGTAACAAGGCTTTATTGCCAGCGTTTCAAATCTGTCACCCAGCAAGAACAGGGGTTGTTTTCATAGCACCTCCAGATTGTGCTCCAAGAAAATCTCCAAACGCTGTTCTGTATTACACACACAAAAAAAGGCCTGCTGGTGGAATTGCAGCTCACTTTTTGACAGCAGGTTCAGCATGTTTGGGTTTCTAAAGATCTTTAAGGGTCTACATCTACAGGCACATTCCCTCCTCTGCCCTCCATTAGGCCTCCTTTCTCTTTCATAACAACCCTTTTCACTTTGTCCTTCGCTTGCAGTAGTAACACTTTTCACCCTGAAAGCTTGACAGCACTCTTGCACTCATGTTGAGGCATCCAGCACAGGTAATAGGGACGTCAGGTTTGCAGTAACAACAGTGTGAGTAACACCACAGAGCACAGAGAAGGAGTGCAGCTTAATGATACACAGGAGGGCTATAGAAAAATCTTTTCTTATTCCAGGAGCCATGACAGGAAATCTATGCATTTTGAAAGGTCAAGGGCCTCGCTTACTCACTGGTTGCATGTGAGCATGGGAGCTCATAAGAGGGAACACAGAGGAAAGACACAACAGAGGAAAGACAGTGTTATTTTGAGCTGAGGTAGAAACTATGCACAGAACTGCAACACGACGCCTCCCGACAGAGAGAGGGAATTAGGAGCAGATGGCGCTAAAGAATGATGACATTAGAAAAAATGAAGTCGAGCATTACTTTAAATCATAACTTGGCTAAGCTGATTAAGCCGGGACGCACCATTTGGCTGCTTACTTCACACTTGACACCGAACACTCATTCAACAGTTTACTAATGACAGACTAAAGAACCATCTGTGTCTGTTGTAAAGGATGGAGCTGAGCACAGATGAGAGACTTTCAACCTTTCACCACCTGCATTTAACTGTTAGCACAGGAACACGCTTGGACATTTCAGACCACTGGTCGGGGTGCTGGGCATGTGTCTTTTGAGTACATCGAATATCATGCATATACTACATCATAGTACAAGAGTTGTTTGTAGCCATCCTCTCCATTGGCTTGAAAACATTATTCTTGCAATTATATTTAAACAGGTTTGATACCATTGACTTTATATATAATGCATGCAACTTTTGAATTGGCATAGGTTAGTTCATCAAAAGCAAATATGAAGTACTGGTTAAGCTGCAGGACTGATGTCCCACATTTGCCTCCTAAAACTTCATTCACTGATAAGACGCCTCTGGTTGGTTCAGTCCACAGTGGAATAGATACCTGTGCTGATTTGGAGATGACACTGGTGGTTAGTCAGTATCTTTACATGCAGTTCACAGAAGTGGACAAAATAATCATGGTGAAAATAGGCATACAGTAATACATGAGTTCAAAGTAGTAGTTCTTTATTGGTCATAAAACGGAGAATAGACAAAGTAGAAGAAGCAGACTGCTAGCGGGCTCCTTTTTAATGGCTTGGGTTAATTTTGGTTTCATTTTGGTTAAAATCAAGCAGCAGCCGCCATCAGCGAACTGCCTGGTTCAAAAGACAGTTTCAGATTTGTTAACAAAAGGCTACCATGGAAACATGGATCGGGACCCTTCCAGTCAGGGAGGTCACTTCTGGTAGAAAGTGTGGAGGTCATGGTTTCTTTTTCACTTACTCTCAGTTAAACTATTGACAGACAGCTTGATTAGAGAGTAAAAATTACCAATTTTACCATTTAATTAAAAATATATTATGATTGAATGAATGAATGAATGAAATTTTATTCAACCAGAAAATCCTCATTGAGATTACAAATCTCAGGCAGACAGCACATTTACAAAGTTACAGACAGATACAGACCTAACAACCAGCTAAGTCAGAGTCACAGAGCAGAACGTTTTCAGTCAAAGCACTTACAGTCTACTTCACCTTCCTCTAAAGCCTTAAAACAACAACATAACGATTTATAAAAAAGAGATGCATCGATTTCCTAATCCCTCCTCTTCTTCCCCTCTCCTCTACTTTCCCAAGAGATTAGTAAACTCTGTGATAAGAAAGTTCCCCTCCTTTGTGTGAGACATCAAGATCAGGCTTGTGGGCCCAGAGAGAGGGGCAAGACAGACCTGGGCTTGAAGATGCCGCCCGCTCTCTTCCTCTCTCTTTCCTCTCCCCTCCTCTCCTCTCTTTCCCTAACCCAATTACCAATAGGCCTTGAGGAATGGGACCAGCAGGAGTGGCGTGTCAGGGGACCATGCCGACATCAAAGACAGACAGATGGCCCTGAGGTTCACCTCCTCACACCAATCTCCTGCAGATATTATTATGTGATTAGTCGCTGCAGTGGCCCAGATATGAAGACCGAATGAAGATGTATCGATCGAGAAAGTGGAAAAGCTTCAAACTGAACTTAAACTCTGTGTCACCTCTTCCACACACAGCACCAGCCTCCATGAGGCGCTGAACTCCTAAATTGGCAGCATCAGTGAGAGTTGTACCTGGTCTGAGGCCCACATAGGGGCTTTATACAGAGTGCGTCCTCACCCCTGTCCTCAAAATAGCTCAGTGTTATCTGCTGCCTCCCACCGAACACTGTCACACCGTTGTTGATTTCCACTTTTACATTTTAGCGGCTTACCCCCTGTCTTACATAACAGGGAGACTTCAGAGGCTAGACTCAGATTTCTCCCTAGAAGACAGCAGGCTGCATGAGGAGAGAAAAAAAAAGATAAATGATAGAAAAGTCTCTCTGCAAGGAACTTAGAAACTGACAATCATGCAGATAGCAGCAGATGCTTTTCCCTGCTACAATCTGTTAGCTTTCTCTGCACCAAGCTGTCACATCCCACCTCTCTCTCTCTCTCTCTCTCGCTCTTTCTCTCTCTTGTTTTTTTTATCACTCCACATGCAAATATCATTCATCCATGGCTGTTCCTAATGACACACTAGCAGCTGCAAGAAAACTGAACCTTGTTAGGACCTTTACAAGATCCCACATGCACTCAAAATGCAGGTGGTGTGAAAGTGTTTGCAGGGGAAGTAGCCTGCCTGCATGTAAATGGAGTTAGTTAATGACCTGTGGGGTAAATTTTGCAAAGGAGTAAACTGCAGGTGATATGATTCAACCTCTCCCAGGGTTTTGAAACCAATTTCTTGTCAGTTTTTGTGTAATCTCAGAACCTGAGGGCGTATGTCTGACAACCTTATCTGCCTTTGAAATGATGGATGACGTCTTAGGTATCATGGCACAGGTGAGAGATAAACAACTTTCATCAGGCATCTTTTTCTGTGCACAGCATTGTGTTAGATCAAGTAGGAAATGACTGTGTATTCAGATCAAAATCACAATAAAATTCCCCCTTTTAGGTACATCTGCAAACTCTTCCACTCCTCTCCACATATCTGTAAAAGACACATCATTTTACCTTTATTCACATTCCCAGGGAAGCCCCTATTCATCTGTGCCTACTCAGTTTTACTGTCGATAGTGAGTAACCCAGAGGCTTTACTCTGGCTGATTTTGTTTGTTTGAACCTGAAATAGAAAAATTTTCTTTTATATTACTTGCAATTAATGGGTTTTAACTTTTGCCAAAGAAGCATCATTATTATGCATTTTTCCGAAGGTAATTATGCAAGCTTTTGCAGGTGTGTGCTCAACAGGAAAGAAATAGGAGAAATACTTAGTTTGATGAGGGTTGGACTGATAATTTTTGAATTATTCAGGAGGACTGAAAATATCAAAGCTGATTGGCGTTTATGATTGGCAGATTTGTTGACAAATTTTGACCTTTTTTGTTGGTTTTTCAAGCATTTTTGTCTTTATTAGTTGGGAAAGCTGTAGAAAGAGATTAAATGTGGAGAGCAGAGAGCAGGGGAAGACATGCAGCAAGTAGTCATGGCAGGAAGTTGAACCAGTGATCACCACGATGAGGACTACGGTCTTGATATAATGGGCACTTAAATCACCTGGTCCTCAGTGCCCCTCAATTGATTGGTTTCTATGAAGAATGGTTTGTTTGCTGAATTTGTTTGCAGGCATCCGTTTACTGAGATATACTATTGTTAGACAACCTTTGATGAAAGCCAGGATGTTGTTACAGTGGATTGTGTTCCCTTTGCTTTTTTAACATACACATCAAATCTGCTGATTTCTGATAAGTCAGTACTACTCAAACTTTCAACACACTGTAAACAACAATTATTTCCTCTTATACCAAGATTCAGTGAAATCTGCAAACAGAGATATTTTCCAGGCCTCCAAAAGCAGCCAGTCAAATGTGTGGCTGCTGATACCCTTCATTTCAGACAGTGTCTCTTTGAAAAGTAGCCTTTGTATCTGCACAGGCCACTTTGTTTTAGAGTGGACTATCTATTCAGACTCCTGTTTTGCCTGCACTCAAGCCCTTAGCAACCCATGGAGTATCTAACAACAGACACGGACAAGAGGGGAGCTGATCTTTTTCTGTCCTCCTTGAGTCTCATCAACAGAAAGGTGACCTGATGAGTCACTGTGGTTTGTAGGCAGGCCCGTACACTCCCTCTCTCTTTCCTGGTTGTAGTCTCTCTTAGCTTGGCAGCAATTCCATCTCTATTTTGCTCTGAAGCTTTGATTATAAGATATATCCTTTTGATTTGAAGAAGCTTATTAAAACCAATTTTTTAAAGAAAAGAGTCAGAAAGCACAGACAACAAGGTTACCCCTCCCGTCCAAAAAGCCCCATCTGTAATTGTAATTTAGTCGAGCTGGCTTTTTGCCCGTGCTGGAGCCGAACTTGACAAACTTTTAATTGCTTCAGCTCCTCTTGCCTCTGTGTTGCCATGGCAATGGAGAATCTAGGCTGACACATGCACCCACCCATCCCAGTTTCCTAAATCTCCTCACTGCACCCACGTCAGCTACCATAAGGGAACCTTGACTGGCCCAAACAAGCTCCAAACAGCCTCATCAACACTCTCTGTCCCAACACATGGGTCCAAGTGGTTAAACAGTCAGACTTTTCTGCATCTGAGCACGTCTCCCTCGGGTTTGCTCGGCTTAGTGGCTAATCAAGCAGCGGCTAATTGGACTCCTTATACAATGTACAATCGTGTACCTCCGGGCCTCTTTGTCAGGACAGGGTCTCTGTTGTATTGTGGTCACTGGAGACAGAGAAACACCTAAAGCCTGCTGTGTGACTAAATTACAGGGCCAGATTAGAGGGAAACTTTTGACCAAGAACTATGACTTGCAGATCCTATGGAAATGCCTAGATTTAATCGTCAGACTCTGTATTTAAATGTAGAAAATTCTGTTTTGGTTTTTTTTTATGTGGTGTCTGTGTTGTCCAAGTAATATTGCACAACCAGGTTTCAGCAGTCCGCTCTGGAGGCAGTCAGTCTAGAGAGCAAAATTATGTGGACAATATCCTGGCTCTAAATGCTAGTTAGCAGACGATGAGTCATTTATCTCAACAAAAATCACCAGGTAAATACAGCCAACAAAATAGTCTGGGGAGAAAAAAAAATGCAACTCTATAAAAATAAATCAGCGTCATATTGTTATATGAGCAAAAACCTGTTAATAAGTGAATCACAAGGAAAGTGCTTTCTCTTTTGTGTTCATACAGATGAAGTTAGCCAGAGCAAAGCCTCTGAATGTGAATCAGGGACTTACTGCAGAAGGATGAATGGGAGGTATTCATGTTGCAGACATACTTGAGTTTTTGGTTTGGATATATGATCGCTGTATGATCCAGTCTGACAAGGAAGTCTTGGTTGTTGCTACTGGATACACCGTAACACCCTGAAAAGTTGGCCATCACCCCCAGAGGCATATCCTCTGATGGTTTCAGCAGTCCGCTCTGATGGCAGAGGCTGACAGTAAGAGGGATTGAATATCCTCAGTGGATTGCAAACATGTTTACCAACACTCAACGTGCTGCCTCATCCTTGAGAAATCCTAAAGAAGCCATTCAACCAAACAATGCAAAGATGCTCCCCAGCCACTTTACATTTATCCTTCAACAGACTTTCCAGGAAATTATGTAACTCAAAAGAGCCAGATTGCAATGAAAAGGATTTATTTTCTCCACGTCCAAGCAATTAACTCAAATGCATTTACAATACATCGCCGCTAATGATTGCAGGGATTACAAATGAGCAGCATTGGCAAAAGGGAAAATAATAGGGAATAATGTGCATGTTTGCAGCTGCAGGACCTGATGGGAAAACATTTGTTCATTACCGAGAATGAAAAAGTCTTTTCCTGCGGGGCTTTCCTGTGGAGAAGGCAATTGGGATCAGAAATGGATCAGTGAATATGTGTCTTTTAGAGCCATTAAGACCGGCTGATGCCTCGCTGATATAAAATATTAAAGGCAGCAGGTGACATTTCAGTTTTTTTTTTTTATCATTAATGACAAGAATTTGTAAAGCTTTGAGGCAACTGCTTATGTTGTTGTGCATGTATTCACATGTGCATGGCCGTGTGCCAGCCTTTGATCGAGTGATTAATTCACACATCTCTGCAGCAGGATAGGTTTCCAACCATCACACTTGTTTGGCAGGGCTTTTCCAGTCTGCTGTGCAGCTCTTTGTGTGTGTCTGACAGTCACTTGGCAAAACTCAGAGAGTGAGATGATGGTAAGAGAGAGAGAGATAGAGAGAGAGAGAGAGAGAGAGACAGGGGGATCTTCTCTCTCCAGCAGGCTTTATTCTCACCTCCATCCCCCGGGCTCCACACACCAGCTGGAACTCACTTAATTATGCACCCAGTGTTGCGCAGAGGTCACAATGGCACTCAGAAAGTGTTGTGTGATTGGTTGTGTACTTTTGGAAGTTATTTCCAAATTCAAAGTCTCACAAGTTATAGTCTAAGACAGAGTTTATGCAATAGAATATAAGCAATTGCTCAGGCTTTTGTTGGAGTTGCATTTAAATTTGTGCGTGTACAGATAACAGAGGAAAAGTTTTGACACAGTCTCTATCGTCTTATTAAGAACCAGCAGCAATTTCTGTCTATTTAAAAGCCGGGGAACATTTTTGATATATGCAAAGATAAAAGTTGGCACAATTTGAAAACTTTTTTGACGGATGTGTTATGATACTTTGCCTTACGATAGTACATTTCTCACCTCTTTACGTACAATAATACGATGACTATCCGCAACCTGTATGCACCTTCTGGATTCTGCATCCCAAGGGTGGTGATATGTGGCCTTTTGCAAGGAGCGAGTTCATGTGTTTCAAAGCTATCTGACCACAGTGCTGGAAAATTAGTTTGAAACATGTTCCCAATTTTGTTTCATTTTCTGTTTGCAGTGTCAAACAAAGGTTATTGTAGCTAATATCTCTGTAGTTGCTTTATGAAGTGTGTTGGCAACTCCACAGCTTATATCAGCAGTCGAAATGAAACAAGGGATCAGATGAAAACCATCCGTTAGTTTTACACACAGTCTTTGTCGCTCCTTTTATTTAAGCACAACTTATCAATAATGAATACCTGTTGGATTTTACCGTCAGGTATTTCGTAGACAAAGTTGATCAATGTGAAATAGGACACAAACATTAAAAATGAAAAACCATGATAAGTGCAAATGCAAAGATTAATAAAAAGTAAACCTGGTCTTCTGTAAGAAATAAAAGGACAAGAAAATCAAATCAAAGAAAATCTAATGCTGTAAATAAACAAGAGTTGTATGGGACAAAAATGAAGAACCGATCCACTGCAGAGGGAGCTTAGTATGCTGCTGGTGTTCGACTAGCCCACAAGTGTCTGCAAACATAAGTACAGCAAAGGACAGTCTATATGACAACTCACTCTGGGTGAGGGCCTGCTGTGTTACTTCTTTTCTGTTAGCCACCGCTCACTGTGACGAAACAGATTCAGAGTGGAAAGCTGGACATCTCGGCTCAAATCCCCTGCAGCTGTCAGCTGTACAAAAACCCTATAAATAAGGACAAAACGGTGGGTGAAATCTGCTAATTTAGAGAGCTTTGAGATAAAGGAGTTGGTATTTATATGTCTGGATAAAAAACAGTGAATCTGGGCCTAAATATAGTAACTAATTATCTTCTTATAGCCTCCGTCATTGCTCACATTGAGCGCAAAGTTTGATGCAGTGTAAGAGCTGCAGTTGTCCTGAAATTACACCCCACCTCCACACAGTTAGGATGAACTGCTTTTTAATTCAGCGTTCACAGCAAATGTATTCAATGTTTTTGTGATGATGTAGGTGCCTGAAAGCATTAAGTGCTTTGTGTTCATCTCAGAAAGTCTCTGTGCCAGGGTCAGATGATTAATGTCATTTCAGACAGTATTCCCATGTTTTGTTGAAGTTTACCAACTTCAGATTTATTCATTTTTAATGAGACTCTAGAGGATACAGTTGAACTGCAGAGACTCCTGCTGGGTATTGATTATTTAGATGACTGTGAAATATGTTGAATACTCTCATGGTGTGTGTCAGACATACTTCAATTAATTTCTTTAATGCTGAGGGATTATTCTCTCCCACTAGAAACATATGAGACTCCTCTTTCAGTTTAAGGGCAATATATCATATTTCTGCGAAGCAGGAAAAATCAGCCAGTTGCTCTTTATTTAGAAAGCATTTTATATAATAAATAAAGCTACTTTTTTGTATGAAATGGCTGTGTAAAATACTTGATTCTTAATGGTACATCAGGTGCACAAAGACACAGAAAGAAATCCAAAATATTTCCCTCCTGCCTTTAAAAACTATGACTAAAAAAAAATCCCCTTTAGATTGTAAATCTGTAAACATGAAAAAGAGGTGGAGCATCCTGTCCTGCAATCCAGGCTATGGCAGTAGAGCTGGTAAGTGGTCCTTAATGCTGTTGATTGCTGCAGAGTTTCTTGAACCATAAATGGCAGTGATAATAGAAGGGATGTTAGAGGCCATGATATTTACGTTGTTTGCATCCAATGGTGTGTCAACCCAGAGATTAAAAAAAAAAAAAGGTTGAATGAGGACAGAAGTCCAAGCTACCTCGTCTAACATTACCTTTAATGGAAACGTTCTGTTTAGCAAAATTTATTAACAAATAAGTAGGCTGGCATTTGACCATCAGCTGAAATGTTCACTCTACCGTTTACTTGTCCTCAAAGTAGTGTGGTGATGACCTGTCGCCATGGGATCAGTGGGGCTATTTTTAAATGTATAATGATATCATTTTTCATGAAATAATTCTTAATCAGTATTATGAGTCAGCTTGTTAGTCTTTAGTTGGTAGTAAGTAAAGGGAATAAGTTAATAAATAGCAGGTTGAATTAACTACAGTCTATTCCGGTCCTAGTTCATGTTAAGGTTTTTCCTCACACTGTCAGAAGTCTAATAAACTCTCCCTCACCTTAGATTACCCCCCATGTTTTCAATGTGTCATTGTAGCCTACTGATTATTTTCTGTAGAGTTAGAGTTTTACATAACCTTTGACTTCATTTGAAACTTGTTTCCAAATAATTTGAAACTTTCTATAATTTCTTCATTTTTCTTGATTATCTGCAGGCAAGAAATTAATCTTCTGGACGATCACCTGCACGTCCGTCGTTTTTCCCCTCGAAGACCCAAATGTCTTTCAACAATGACAAGTGAGCCTGAGCTGGCTGATGACTGCTGAATCATTAATGATGCTATTACCGCCTGATACATCTTTTAGGAGCAGCTGTCTCATTTTGGAGGACTGGGCCGGTTTTTAATAGCTTCGTCTGGGGTCATTTTTGGAAATAGTGGCACACGGTTTCAATCAGGAGTGAATGTTTCTGTACTTTTTTACCCCAAAGTCCACATAACGCTTTACTTCGTGGTTATTTATGCCTCTGAAGCTCTCATTTAGATGATTTTATTTCACTTCATTAAATCCCAATTATAAAACCATGTTACAGGAAGCAGCGACTCCAGATTGTGCAGGCTTTTCTCGACATTAATATGGAGAAGATGCTTTTTATTAACTCCAAGCCTTGATATTATTGTCCTTCTCCTCTAGCTGTTCCTTCTCTCTCCCAAATGTGACATGAAGCGTGTATTTCCTACCCTCTGAGCATAAACGATAAGATGGACAAATGAAAACACTAACAACCATCGGGACAAATTTGGCCACACGTGTTCGGCAGAAGGCAAACATACGGTGGCAAGACACACAAGTGTTCTCTTGATAATCATTTATAGAGCTCAGTGGCGAGGGGCAGAGTGCTGTTATCGCATGCTAGCAGCAATTTTCAGCTCTCAAAACCCCTCCATGCCAAGCTGAAAACACCATTAGCTCATACACACAGGCGATATGATGTGCACTTCCAGCGGCTGTGCCAAGTACTTCTTGTCTGCTGTCATCCTATAGGGAGATAATGAGTCATTCTTTCTATACTGCTAAACCCAGTGTAAGGTCCATTATTAGATGAGAACAAAAGGACTTAATCCGTTCCATGTTGTTGTGTCTCAGGGGATTTGGGGAGTCCTTCAGAGCTGGATCGAACGGAGCTGATTTCAAAGCTTTTCTCTCCTCTTGTTTTTGCGCGGAGGGTTCGTCTTCAAAGGGGAGATTTTGATGTCTCAGTGCTAATCTGCCGTGCCCTTCGTGTAAAACTGTTTATACTCACATGTAGGCGAAAGCAGACCAAAAATACCAAGGCTCTGATCGCAACACAGAGGGCAAATGTAGTCCCCCCCCCCCCCACCTCCCCATGTGAGAGATTTATCAACAAGAGTTGAAGCAGTAATTCTGCTCAGTAGATGTTCAATAATTCATGGCCAAGACGCCCGCTAAAGCTTATGGTGAGAGATAGGTAATTGTCTTGCATCGCAGCTCTCTCACCCTCATCTCTGCTGTTATGTGTGTTATTAAATCCATTCACATTTGGGTGTTTTGTTTTGGATTTATGGGCCCATGTATGAATCATCCACTTAATGCTTTGCCAGCGAGGATGATTACCTTTGATTATAATGGTGGTTGAGTAAATGCGCTGTAACACTCTGCACTTTTCACTGGTTGTCCTCTTTTTACCCTGCACTGCTTTTCTAAAAATATTCTGGATTTTTGGTGAACTACCATTTAAAGGCATATTAAACAGCATTTCTGGGTCAAAATGGCCAAAAATCACCAGAGCTGCAATTATTTGTGTTGTGAACTCACATTATCCTTCATATTTCAAACAAGGGAAATGAAGACTTGGCTCTGAAGTCAGTCAACACCATTTAAGGCTTTTTAACTGAAATTTTAAAAAAGATGAAGAAACCTCATTTAAAAGAAACGTAACATGATGTCTTCCACCAATGCATAAATTATGTCAGAGTCATATCAGAAAGTTTCATTGACTATGTAGTTGTGAAAAAAGCAGGACTAAAACTTGCATAAACTAGCACTAGTTCACCATGAAATCAAACCATGCCCATTTTTTCTGATATTTGATTGAGAGATGTCTAGAGGTAGAAATTATATACTGTGTTTTTAAGTAACAAACAACACGCAACATAACATAACGCAACATAACAAAACGCAACATAGCATAACACAACATAGCATAACACAACATAACATAACGTAACATGGCATAACATAACATAACATAACGCAACATAACATATAGCAATATAACATAACATAATGTAACAAAACGTAACGTGACGAAATGTAACATGACATAACGTAACATGACAATACATAACGTGACATAACATAACATGACATAGCATAATGTGATGTAACATTAACGTGACGTAACATAACGTGACATAGCATAATGTGCCATAACATAACGTAACTTGACATAACATAATGTGACATAACGTAACATGACATAACATAATATAATGTAACATAACATAACGTGACATAACATAATGTGACATAACATAACGTAACATAACGTAACATAACGTAACATAACATGACATAACGTTTAATGTCATACCTCCTTATGACACCTGATTTGTTGTGTGGTAACATACTGTGATCTAAGCTTGTGTCCTAACGTTATGTTATGTTGAGTTACGTTCAGTCGTATGACGCGTGATTGTTCATATTATACTAGGGTGTGCCTTAATGTATCCTATCATAATGTCTCATTTAACTAAATGTAGTGTCATCATTTCGTATGGCAAACTTTATTGTATTAATTGTATCATATTATACTGCCTCATATTTTAATATTTGACATACATTTAAGTTGTTTAATGTGTATGCATGTATTTTCCAAATTCGTTTAGCATCAAATTTGTTGTACATGTTGTCTAGAAAAGTTATAATCAACAGTTTCGGCTGTTTTGGTTCTTTTGACATTTTCCTCATGGGACAATGGTCTCAATCACCTGTTTCAGTCTTCTTTGTAGCAGCCTGCTTTGTATTCTTTGATCATTTTAACATTCAGAACAAACTAGATAAATGAGCAGGTTTGCTGCAGGAGTTGACAACCTGTGATTAATATGCAGCTCACTTTACAGCCAGTAAGCCAGAATGGAGAAAATTTAAGACTGTAAACTGGGGTTCACTAACTAGTAGGCTCCTTTTTACCCTCTATGGGGGTAATTTTCAACCAAAGACTAATCACATACTAACATACTGTGATGCTGTACTTGACAGCATAGCAATCTTAAGCTAAATGCCGTTGTCAGCATGTCAACATACTTGTGATGAAAGGGCCAACGTGCTGATGTTAGAAGGTATTATATTTTTCTTAGCTCACAGGGTAAGCATGTTCCCATTTGCTAGATGGTACACCACACAATGTTGAACAAAAGCTGGTGGAAACAGACATTATTTTAGCAGTTAATTGATCAAACCTAAATTCTTTCTGATATAAATTCTACGGCAACCCATGAACTCCTGAGCTATTTCAGGACAGGCTGACAGCACGGATTAAAATAGTTTAATGTTGTAAGCATGTGCAGTATACTGAGTTCAATATTTTAGAGCCTCTCTACCCAGTATGGAACTGGGACTTGCTTCTCTGTGTTAAATGATAAATGAACAGTGAAGAAAGGCGCAAAGAGAGAAGAGGGTCCACATTCGTGTGAACTCAAGCAGGCTGTCACGCTGTGTGTCTGTGATCGTGACTTAAAGTTAGCTGTGTGTGGAAGGATCAGAAGGAACATCCATTTCAGATGACAGGAAACAGAAGAGGCTTTCCTGAATCAGAGTATGTGGAAGCCATGAGTTGAACCCTGGAAATTTACCTAATCAGCTTTGTCATACCTAAGAAGTGAGTATGTACTGTATGTGTGCAAGCATCTAAGTGTGCTTATGTATGAGACAGATGCTTAGGGAGCCATAAAGAATTTAATAGCAAGCGCATCAAACTTAGCCTACGCTGCACTGAGAATGGTTTGCTGCTGATATTACAGCCCAGTGTGCAAAATCAGGATTTTTTTTATTGATTTCAAGCGGAACATCATCATCTAACAGCACACAGTGCTCACGTCGATACAGGACCTGACCTGGCTACTTCTGCTTATAAAAAAACCTGTTCAAGGACTTCACTAAACACAGATTCCTTCAAAGCAGATCACATGTCTCTCTGTGTGTTTGTGTTTTCAAGACTCTGGATTGATTTCAGTTTGTTTGCATATGAGTGTCCATGTCCTTGAGTGGCTCGCTTGTTTACTCGTATGTGCTCTTCCTTTCGTTGCGGCTGAGTGGCGAGTCGAGCCGTGCTGAGCCTAATTTTAGGCTGCCATTGTGTGTGATGTGTGTGATGTGTGTGTGGGTTCTCTGGCTGTTTTGAAGGTGTGATGTTTATCTCTGTCTCTAGGGAATAGCAGTGGCAGCCTTTTTCAATTGGCCCCAGAGCTTCTTACTTAAGCTGCCGTAACAGCTGTGTAAATCACTCTGTTTTGCAGCTACTTTTAAATACCTAATCAATACATATAACCTGCCTTGACTGAAGCCCCATCTATATTTAAGACCTCAGCTTTATGGGCTGATTTCAGCAGGGTGTCAAGAGATTGGTTTCCTTAAGGTTATATCCAAACCCTTCTGGAGAATATTTAGATTATTTTGTTTGAGACCTCAGGCACTAACATCAAGAGATAGAGTTTGGCTGATTTGTGGGTTTCACATGGTGTCACACAACATTTGTGGCACCATTTGTAGGACTGACTTGGGACCAGATGTTAGTAATTGCTGTCTACTTCGCTGTGCGCTATGAGGATGACAGAGTTTTAGGACCATAATAATCAAGTCGAGAATCTGACAACTATAAAGCAAGCAACTTCCTCCAGGAGAATGTTATGATCATAAAAAAGAGCTGAAAGATGTTATGATGTTGCACTTTCACCATATCAAAGGCAAAAGCAAGATTAAATTCATAAAACAAGTCTGTTGAGCCTGAAATCACTTCTTATCATCAATTTTCTTTGTCTAGGTGACATTCTTCACAAGCGATGTACAGTTTTTTCTCAAATTCAGGGAATACTCTGTGAAACTTTGATAAATAATGTGATGAATCAATATAAATGAGTCAGTTTGTATTTCTTGTGCACATATGTTAAATTTTTCTATATCAATAGTGGACAACATATCAGGCGAAAAAGCTCCAACAGAAATCTGACTGTAATCTTTAAACATAAAATTATTGAAAACCACTCAGATTGTATCAGACACAAACAACGACTAACCTGTTTAGACCTTTAACCAATATATTTGTCTGCCCCCTCTTTAGATCGAAGACATCGTGACACGAATACAAGATGAGAACGCAGGAGGTGTATCCATCCGGACTGTCAAAAGCTTCCTCTCCAAGATCCCCAGCGTGGTTTCAGGTTAGTCTGTGTTCATTTCTGTGTTTGTTTTTTCCTCTTTACTGCACACGACTGATGTACATCACACATTTTCATGTTAAGCAGTTCCTCCTGTGATTCTTCGTAACAGGAGCTCTCTGTACTTGATGTGCTGATAATTGTGTGTTTGTTTGTGTGCATGTATTTGTGTGTTTTGTTGCCTCACCCCTCCGAGACAGACTCAGTAAAGCAAATATGACCTTTTGGGCTCATTTAAATTGCAACTACTACTGTTGGAGGCGGATGATGTCTTTGCCGATAAGACCTTAGCTCAGAGGAGACAGCCTGAAGTGTGAAGCTGCCCTTGTCACACCACAGAAAAGCATATTTTTCCCTCTCTCTCAACTGTCTCTTCCTCTGTGTGCACATACTGTACTCTGTCATGTGTCCGTGTGTGGATGAGTCACCGGTCTTGGACGAGGGGGACACTCCCTCTTTCCCAGAGGTTGTTTCGGAGTCACTCCTTTGCATGGTTCCTTCAAGCCAGATGGCCTCATGACCTCTCTGCAGCCTCTGCCAATGACACAGGCTGCAGAAATACTGTGCTGTCCAGGATCAGTAAGAGAAAGGCTCCAGGGACTAGAAACCTCTTAACATTACTTTGTGACAGTGAGTTGGATTTGACAGCTCCAAACAGACAAAATCTCAGTTGAATTATCTCTATGAGGAGGCGCTTTTTGGGGCGATGAACCATGGCGTTTATTTTTGCAGACATCTGTAGAGGTGGCTCTGTTTTTGATCTGAACCCTTAGTCCCTTCCCAAGTTGCCAATTGAGACTATTAATAATGCACGGAAATTATAATCTTGTTCTTTCTGACCACTGGCCACAAGTCGAGTAAAGACCAAACACAAAACCTTCAGATTTGCTTTTTACAATTATGCATATTTATAATTTCTCTGTAACTTTGAGACTTATTATTTGAAAGACAATTTGTTATTTTTGGTTCAGACTGTTCAAGTGAGCCTAGTCATTTACAGTAAAACTGAGATTCACCCATGGCCTTCTGTGAATTCCAGGTGCCGACATTGTCCAGTGGCTGATGAAGAACTTGTCAGTTGAGGATCCAGGTATATTGCTGTCTTAGATGTGACGCATTATAGAGAAAGGTAAGGAATTGAAGGAGGGAGTGCTTTCAAATCTGTCTGTTTGCCTTCTCTTGTGTCTACAGCTGAGGCCATCCACCTGGGGAGTCTGGTTGCTGCACATGGCTACATCTTCCCCATCTCAGACCATGTCCTGATGCTGAAAGATGATGGAACTCTTTATCGTTTCCAGGTACAGAAAACTCCACTATCGAACAGCTGCTTATATATGTTTAAAGGCCTGTCAATATTTCAAGATGACTGGGGGATATGTTTGTTCGCTGACACTAATGAATGGGATCCTGTATAAAGCTTATTACTCATCCAGCCAAGGTCAGTACTGTATATGTCCACAGAGGAGAAAGCGGGATGCAGAATGGGGCTTAACAGGCAACTCAAGCAGCCTGTCAGTGGGGTGTTATTTTCTTGCTCCATCTGATCCAGTATGAACTCTGACAGGTCCCTCTGACGGCTACAGGCTTGGCTCAGCTCTGACTCATTACTGTGACTGACCCATTAGCATCTCATTTTGGCAAGCCGTGGCAGCGGCCCCCCCCCCAAACGGGAGGCTCTGAGCTGGCCGCACGCTGGCTCTGCACTTTTCCCTGTCACCCATACTGCCCCTCCCTCCCCCCCAATCTACTTCTGAATGCATTTATCCTCACCTCTACTGCTCAGGATTAAAAGCCATTATTGTGCCTGCGCAGGAAGGACAGTGTGTGTCACACTTGCTCATTCAGCGAGGGCTAAAAATATTCCCTCTGATGTTATCGTGATGCAACAGGCCCACGTCATCAGAACATATAAGAGTCTACGGAGCATTTGAAATGCACGGATTATTGACAGGGGATGTGTCTCAGTCTATAAATAGACTCTATCTCGGTGGAAGACCCAGATTTAATAACAACTCTCTTCTGTTTTCACAAATGTGCGCACTTCCCCTCTGAATCAAAAACAGCAGTGATGATGAAACTGTGTAAGAGCGTGATAACCTATTAGTTCATTACATTCAAACAAGCACGCTCATCAGCGCCAGCTTTAGCTCTTAGGCTAATTACCGTTATGAAAAATCTGTATGAGTACCACCAACTTTTAATTCTGCCCTGTTATTAAGAATGCATGATAGATGTGAGTGATCCATAATTAATGGACTCTGGAATGAACTTTGAATGGATAATATCATTTTGCAAAAGACAATTAAATATGGATAGAAGGAAGATAGCTACTAATGTTGCCCTGATAGATATGTGCCTCCAACAGACGTCATGAATCATCGTCAACAAAATGAGCTCCCCATTGGCTTCTGTGTGAAAGTGCAAAGAGTGTGAGTGAAGAAAGAAATGAATTTTAACATTCATATGAAAGACTGTTATTATTTACCTCATAAAGCTGGTTTTATGAGCAAATAAGCAAAAACTGAGTCTGTTTTTTCTTTCTCCTTATGTTTTCTCAGTCTCCGTACTTCTGGCCTTCAAACTGTTGGGAGCCTGAGAACACAGACTACGGTGAGTCACACACCGTCTCTGTCTTTCTCTTTATTTTGAATTTTTGCCTTTTTCTTCAAAACAGTCAGATCTCGCCGTCGCTTTTGGCTGTCCCATTTCCTCCAAAGCTGAAAGACAGCTCATGCTGCAGATCTGTTGTTGACACTCACTGAATATTGATCCACGAGGCCATTCCCTGTAATGTATCTGGCCCTGAGGAACCCCTACTATAGAGAGTCCCGGGGGATGAGATCAGCCAAACAAAATAAAGGGACAGTCACTGATATGAGCACTTATCAGATCTCTGTAGCTGAGACCTCTGTCACATCCAATCAGGATCTTCTATTTTTTATTTATTTTTTCACAGAGAAAATAACCCATCTAAGAAACTCTCCATGTCTCGCTCTTTCCCTCTTTCCCCTTCAGCCATTTACCTTTGCAAGCGCACCATGCAGAACAAGGCCAGGCTCGAGCTTGCCGACTATGAAGCTGTGAGTACACTGTCACTTCAGTTTAGCCCTTTCCAGGAAGCTCTTAGTTCATTGTGCACCATTATATGATGACACTGAATTTCTAGAAAAGCTAAAGAGCAAGAACAGAAACAGAGTCCACCGGGATCCTCAAATGCCAAAATCCATTTTCACCAGCAGAGAGCTTTATCAAATTACAGACTTTTAAACAAATCTGTCAAAGTCATTTATTCTTTCAGGAGCACCATTTGGCAGTAAACAGTGTAGTCATTGACCAACCCCAAAATATGTGCAGACACATCCATAAGCCTACCTGGAATCAGCAGATCAATACAGTCTCAGGAGGGGAATAGCTGCAGTGCTTATCTCCTGCTGTTATATAAAAGCCCTGTAGTTCAATATTCTGAATTACTCTGCAACTATTGTCCAGTACACTTCCTTTCTCTACCAGTCAGGTCTCTTTATGACTTCAGGCCTTATTGCTCTGTTTGTTTTTGTGTCTTCTAACTTGTACTCATGATTATTTCTGTCTTGGTAGGGAGGCCATGCACTGATTCTTTAACAGATGCTAGTTTGGGATGGCACATTAGATAGTAGACAACTTTTATTTGTGTGAATTTGAGCTTTGTAACAAGGACAACATGAGCTTGGATTTGTTCAAAGATAACAAATAAAACCAAAAAAGAAAAACTCAAGAGCGCAGCTGAACAAAATATCTTATCTTATTGCTACAACATAAAAGTCTGTCTTAATAGCATGTTGTTTGACCCACGACTTCATGAATGATCCAGAGATTTTTAAAAACTCTCTCTCTCTCAACATGTTAGCTTGCGAGTGTTTTTAGAAAATTTAGGATAGGTTCAATTTAGGACAAAGCTTTAGGCTAGATTGTTCCCCGTTTACAGCCATAGACTGTAGGAAATGAGGGTGTCATAGAAATGTTTCCCATTTGTTCACATCATTTAAGTTATTACATCACACTGACAACTAAGTAAAGTACAAGCCTCCCAGCCTAAAACTCAAACACTGCCTTACAGCGGCGGTTTAGCAACATGCATGCTAAGAGGTTGCCTCATCTCTGCACCAGCAATCCAAAGTCATGACATGCCATCACTGTGAATGGATAATGTAATCATCTGGGTGCCTTGAATTCAAATAACCTCCCCCACTAATGGCGCGTCTGATTGGCTCCTGCAGGAGAACCTCGCCCGGCTGCAGAGGGCCTTCGCCAGGAAGTGGGAATTTATCTTCATGCAGGCCGAGGCTCAAGTCAAGTGAGTAAACGTGTTACTGTGACATGTCACCACCTAATGTCAGCGTGGCACACACTGCTGTCAGGATACAGAGCTGAAGGTTTATGCATTCATGTTTATGAAATTCTAACCTTAAGCTTCATGCATGACCAGGATGTTCTTTCCCGGAGGAAGACAAAACACTTTTGTCACTTTGGCGTCGCACCAATGCTTTCTCATCAACAATGCTGCATTCTTATGCTCTGCTTTGACCTGAGGGTTACTTACATTACTGTATACACACACACACACACACACACACACACACACACACACACACACACACACACACACACACACACACACACACACACACAAAATCCTGCTAACTTCTTTCTCTTAGTAAGACTTCCCCCTGGTGGCTCTTAGGTGTAAGCACAGCAGTAATCGCTCATGTCAGCAAGTCAGGCAGACGCTTCTTTCACTGTCTATAAAAATCCTGCAGAGTCATGCCACTGTTTACTGGCTGCTGTTGTGCGATATTGAAAGCATTGAGACTTGTTGTATCAAGGGAGTAAACAATGCAGAACAGAGGCGGATCAGTAAATGTCGGTTCTGTCAGAGCTTCGCTTCACCAGCACTAAAACCAGACATTGATCGCTGAAGTAAGCTGACAGGTTAAGACACACACACTTTAGTATTTTGCTCTCAAATCTGATTTGTTATTGTAATGTGCATGGATGTTAGGGGGCAACTCAAATCTCCAGGCTGATTTTTTTTCAAATTGATCTTATAGTTCAAAGATTTCTGCTCCATCTATGAGTGCTGTTTTTTGGTTTGTTCACAGGATTGACAGGAAGAAGGACAAGGCGGAGAGAAAGATCCTGGACAGCCAAGAGAGGGCATTCTGGGACGTCCATCGACCAGTGGTGAGTCAGGGCCAGAGCCATGAAAAAAAAAATAAATAAAGGGGATTATTTGTCAATAGTTGGCCAGCTTCGCCCGGAGAGAAACTGGACAGAGAAGTAAATCAGCTTGGCTATCAACCACCATAGATGGAGTCAACTTTACCATGTTTACCAAGACTAAAGAATGAGTGATTATGACACACAGATTACTGTTGATACAAGAAGATACTGTTATGAACCCAGAGAGGAAGAACAAACCCACTCTCCCACTTCAAAGCGACCCAAGACTCTTGTTTAGTCAGAGTCAAATTTGTTGGCTCTGTGAGTGTGCGTGTACCGACAAGAGAAACAGCTTTGTGTTGATGTAGTTAGATAGACACAGGCGATGCGTGCCAGAGAAGCACTGTTATCTGACCCAGAAATAACGCTCCATGTCTCCTGCCACCTCCCACAGCCAGGCTGTGTCAACACCACAGAGATGGACATACGCAAGTGCCGAAGAGAGAGGAACCCACACAGGGTGAAGAAGGTGAGCAGAGGAGACTGAACTGCTGAGATACATGACATTTGAGCTTCACTAACTTTTACATGATGATCTCTAGTGTTATGACAACTCCTCATCCTACAGCCGTCCCACACAAGCCAGATACTAAGGTCATTAATCTCTCATCCGTATATTAATGCACTTTTATGTTCAGCAATAAGAATACTTTGGGGGTGCTGGATTGGCCCAATGGTGAAGTCATGTGACCTACACTTAGTGGCTTTGATCCTTATGCAGATAAGATTCTCACCTGTTTCTCCAAATATTTCAATAAAGTGTATACTTTCATTTCCTAGACCTGTGTTACATATAAAAAAAAAAATCATTTTTTATTGAACCTTTATCAAAGTATTAAAGCTCCTGTGAGCAACTTTTGGTTTTGTGTCAGCTTTGGCGCCCCATGTGGACAAAGCAGACATTGCTTTTCCTGTTCTATTTGAATCTTTAGAATCATCTAACAAAAAAATTAATAATAATAATCTTCATTTTAAAAATGTTGCCCCACCACATCCCTAAGCATACCAATAAATTAAGGACCTTTGAGACGTTAAAGGCCCAATACACACATCATGAGACCAGTATGTGAAAAGTCCAATATCACACAGCTGTTACCTGATATCCATCAAACTGCAATATTATTCTGTCAAGATTCATCAAACTCCTACTCTGGCACCAAAGGTCCAACACGCCTAACTTTCTGTCTCTTTCAGTCGGTCTACGGTGTACCAGACGACGGGCAGAGCCAACCAAGTCCAGTCCACATCAGCTCTCAGCCCACCAAGAAGACCACCAAAGAGGATGTTCAGAAGGAGGTAGGTGACACTGTGACAGCCCTCGCAGAGGCCATTACCACAGTCAGCCTCACACATCCATCATAACGACAGTCAGGGACACAGACTGATGAGCTGCTCTCTTATTTAGCTTCCTCATTACCCTCTCTCTCTCTCTCTCTCTTTCTCTCTTTCTCTCTCTCTCTCTCCCTCCATCAGATTAACTTCCTGAACAGCCAGCTGGACAGACACTGTATGAAGGTTTCCAAAGTGGCCGACAGTCTGATGAGTTACACCGAACAGTTCATGGAGTATGACCCCTTTGTGTCAGCCACAGAACCTTCAAACCCTTGGATCAGCGATGACATGTCCTTCTGGGACCTGGAGGCGAGGTGAGGCTGGAGCAGCCATGTTAGGATAGAGGCCAAACTCAGTGAGGGCAGGTATACAGTAGCTCTCTGTGCAATGTGAGAGAAACTGACTCTTATGTTTCACTGTGAACAGCCGAGACCCCAGCCAGCAGCGCGTGAAGAAATGGGGATTCTCTCTAGAGGAGGCACTGAAAGATCCAGCAGGAAGAGACCAGTTCTTGAAGTTCCTGGAGTCAGAATTCAGCTCAGAGAACCTGCGGTGAGGTTCTTCTAGTAAGATGTGTCTGTCTTTGAGCTGACTCAATCAATACTTTTAGATTTAATTTTTGATCCCCTTTGTTTTTTAGAGATAGAATAATAAACAGAAACATCAGTAGATGCTCTCACAGCTCTGCTGATGTTGCCTGCATTGCTGGACAGGATCTAATATCAAGGATATCCTCCGTGGTGTTTAGCTCACTGGTTTAGAGTGCTAATTGACTGTTACAGAAACTAATGTTGCTACAATGTTTGTGAGTTTGATACAAAAGGAAATTAACAGGTTTTGCCATAGTGACAACAGACAGGGCATATTTGTGTTGCTTTTGGCCAATCACAGCCAAGCTATAAAACCACATTACCGAGAACTACTAATTGAAAACTTTCCACCAATTAAGGACCAGCCCATTACTCACTGAGTGAATGAAACAGACAGCTGATCAGCCATGTTTTTGCCACACTCTGTTGTGTATTGCAGGGAGGTTGTTACTAATTAGATTCAATGCTATTGTAGGTTCTGGTTAGCGGTGCAGGATCTGAAGCGACGGCCACTTCAGGATGTGTCCTCCCGGGCTCAGGAGATTTGGCAGGAGTTTCTGGCAGAGGGAGCACCGAGCCCCATCAACCTGGACTCTCACAGCTATGAGCGGACCAGCCAGAACATTAAAGACCCTGGACGCTACAGCTATGAGGATGCTCAGGTGCACTGTGGTGTTTCTGTCTCATGGCTGATTTGACATCACACGTACGCTTTCACAGATGCATGAAAACACACTTTACAATACTAAAAATAAAAAATAAAACAGACAGGGCCGGCACACCTGCGCCTGGATACAAAAATACGAGCATTACTCCTCTAGTGCTGCGCAGAGAGCTGAATAATGGAACAAAAAGGTGCTGAAACTGTAGAACTAAAAAGCTGCTTTCACTGAGTTCAGATGAGTTTCTCCTCTACCGCATGCCTGTGTACACACAAACACACACAACAGACCTTTATTTCCTTCCCCCGCAGTACCACTGAACCCCTCCACCCCACTCATGTTACTGAAGTGATTGAATGAGAGGCCACAGAGGAACAGAAAGAGAGAGGAGAGAGGAAGAATGACGGAGTGTGTTTGTGCCAGGGCCTAATGAGGCGAGTAATGCCATGAATAGGTTGTTCACCGTGGATTCCTCTGCTTTAGAGTGGGTTGCTGATGTGTGACGTGGAACGCCTCTCACTGGCAGGACATTACTCAGCTCTGTCTCACACCATGCAGTCGTTCATATCAGTACACGAAGTTTGCATCACCTCCCCTGAATCACAAACACTTACGACACATTGCATTACAACTTTAAGAGCTCATTTATTTCTCTACTAATAGTTGGCCTCTTTTTGACCTCTTCCTCCAAGGCCGACTTGAACTTGAGCTTTTCTTTCTTTCTTTCTTTCTTTTGCAGGAGCACATATTCAAGCTAATGAAAAGTGACAGCTATGCACGCTTTTTGCGATCCAACATCTACCAAGACCTCCTGTTAGCCAGAAAGAAGGTGAGCTGCACTCACTGACCCTTGTGTCACCCCTTTCTTTTGTCACTGTCAATGCATTGCTCTTCGTGGTTTCAGTCTGTTTTCTAAGAAACTGAATACACATATCAGGTCCATGTCTGTTGTGTGTTGGTAGCTGAAAATAGCTCTCAGGGTCCTACCTTGGTTGCTGAGCTGCAATACTACAGCCTGCAATGTCTTCATAGTGGTGAATTGTAAAAAGGCATGTTTCTCAAACACATATCATTGACTGTATAAAAAGAAAGATGACTCCACCTCCTCCCATTGTAAAAAAAAAAGTGATGCCAAAATTCTCCAGAGAAGAGTGCTGACAGTTCGTGCATTTGGAGGAAAGATTAGCAGATGAGTTTCATGGTCCGATCTGCAGTGTTGATATCCTGCACATGAAGTTAAGTAATGAATGTATCAGTGATGATCCCTCAGGATGAAACAGACCACAGCTAAACTGAGTCTTGAGGAAGGTCTGGTGGTAGTATTTGATGTTCTCTATCTTCTCTGCTTATCCAGTAGACACAGTGCTGCAGGGTCTGCATTTGTCAACATAGCTGTCAATCATGACATGACACATCATCACATGATACTAAATAATTCGGTGTATTTAATCACATCTGTAAAAAAAGACGATGTCTTATTTTTAAGCTTTCTAAGGGGAAAAAGCTGAAACTCTGAACAAAACACTGAACAAAATAATACACATGTACACCAAACAACTGTACATGTCAAAGATAAATTTACACAACATATGTATGTCAAAAACAAACAGATTGAGAAGGAACATAATGAAGCAAAGAGCTTATAAGAGCTTATATTTCCATCACCAACAGTCCAGTTTCTGTAGGCTTTGTATTTAACTTTTTTGTACCACCGGGTAGATAAATTTGCTCATCTCAACAGTAAGAGTTATGAGATACGCTGACTGTGACTCTCACCAACAGATGGTGCCTCACACTTCCCCCTGGTCACCTGTCCGAAAATGGGGACATTTTTTAATCAAACAAGTTTTTTTTTATAGATTTTTTAATTTGAACACTATTTGCTTTAAATGTGCTATCAAGCTGTCAAAAAGTGGCATCAAAAGATTGATTTACAGCTGTATGTGTCCCATCAGCAACTTGCCCATTTGCTTTTGGGGCCCAATCTCCCGGATTAAAGCCTTTTTACATGAAAAAAATATATTTCTCTGCATTGTGTACACAGTACAAAATCTATTCGTTGTGTTAGTCGGACTGAAACTGGACTTCTAGAATACACATAAACATGTTTTGTCTAAATGAAAACTCACTAAATGAATCTTTTGTAGTTTGATGAAAGAGTTATTGTGAATAAATTTTCCCTTGCATGTATGATCAGGGTTTATACTGCAGCCAATCTACATTTATTGGCTTCACTCCAGGGTAACTGTTGTGTCATCCATCTTTTAATACAGTCTGTGGCATGTATATATGAAAGACACGCTCAGTTGTGTACTTGTAGGTGTAATCAGATAATGAAATAAAATGCCAGAGATCAGGAAACTGAGCAGGATATGATGAAATTAAAATCAGCCACCACCCTAATATGCAGTCGTATGCAAATTGATGAGTTTACTTAACATTGTTATATATATATAGACTTGTCCAACAAATATATCAGTGATCATTTTTTAATAATTCAGGATCTTAGGGTTTTTACTTGAATCCGGGCAAAGGTTTGCACTACAAAGCAAGTACATAATGTCATTTGGCAGCATTCATTAACTCTAAAAAAGGTCTGCCAATAGATGATTTGACTTTTTGATGAGACAGTTTACAGAGCAGTCAAAGGCAAACCCACTGAGCTCAAGATGCAGGTGCGAGGAAACTGCTAAATTATGTAAAATGTCAAGGGAAGTGTTTTAAAAACATGATATGCCAGTGCAGGCAAACTGCTGTGTCGCAGAGGATCAAGCAGCAGATCATACAGTAGACATGTCAGGGGAGGAGAGAGTATGTCTCAGTGTTGTTGTTTTTTTATGTCAACACAATCTGAACAAATGTAGCTGTTTTGTGTAATCTAGAGCATTTCAGGGAATCACAGCTGCCTGTGTTCATGCTAGCCTCTCTGCCCTCTCCTGTTCAAACACTGCTCCTCCTGCTGGCCTGTCACTGACCCCGCTCCATTTTCTAAAATTGCAACTCCAACATTGTCCACGGCCCTCATTTTTGCAATGCTTGGCCTTCCCCCTTTTTTTTCCCCTCCTACTGACCACATCACCCCCGTCCCCTTCGCTACACCCGTACCTGACCCAAACACTCACCCTGCTTCCCCCCCTCCCAAAACAGCAGCCAGCAGACACTGAGCAGGGCCGCCGCACCTCCTTGGAGAAGTTCACCCGCAGTGTGGTAAGTCATTTGGAGCTGGGGCTGTTCATATCACAAACCACACTGGCTGGCTCACAATCAGTGGCTTTTTAACCATTTTACACTCTATTGTGGCTCTTTGTATCTGTAATAGGATGTGTTTGTGATTAACATGCTAGTTACATGATCATTTATTGTAATTTGAGAATTTGAGGTAAAACAGCACCATGTCTTTGTGAGATTTAGTGCGATTTATAAAGCATCTGAGTCTTGTAATGTGTTTTAATTGATCTTTCAGGGCAAGTCACTGACAGGGAAGCGCCTGACAGGCCTGATGCAGTCATCCTGACACCTCCTGTGCTGCTGGGGCACAGCCAGACCCTGTGGGGGGGTCGACAGCCGCACGGGGGCACAGACAGCGGAGCTGGGCTGGACAGGTCTGCTGTGGAGGCTTACAGACTCTGCTTGGTGGACTGCTGTCTGACTGGAAGCACTGCTAAAGCACTGGGCTTGATGGGGACCCAAACAGGACAGGAAAAGAGACAACAGCGGCAGAGGGACGCCTCAGACATCACACCACATCGCATGCAGCATACAGTATAAGCACATTCAGACCAGGTCTGCCCTCTTTCCATCACTTAGTCTTCAGACTGTGGACTAAGCCGATCTGTTTGTGTTGTTTTTATTTTATCTCTGTACATGTGTGTTGCAAATTAAAAGCACATATCTGGTAACGTCACAGTATTCATTGATACATTTGCGGCATCATCTATAATGGATTAACTTTTAGTAAAGTTGTCCATGATTTAGCTGGGGCCAGTCAGATATACTCAGATATACAGAAGGTCAAAGACGCACATCATCATGACTGAATACAAAACGACAAAACTCTGCATACAATGGTGTAATCACAAAGCAGCCAGCAATAAATAATGTGTTTGGCAATTATTTTCTGTTTTTAGGAATATATCCAAACTCTTTTATATCTTTGAAATTTCTAATATCTGTTCCTTAAAAAGCACATGCCATTAAAAAAAAAAAAAAGAAAGAAAGTTTGGGCAGGAATCAAGAATCCCAAGTCTGTTTTTACCCATAAGCTTTACTGAAGAAGTTTGTGAAGGTATGATTTCCATGCTTCATTACATTCCAAAATCTGGCAGAAGGGCTTGATGTAGCATTCACACTGCTCCCTGCACGTGTCAGCAAAAAGCTGTCTTTGTTGAGGATTAACATTTTGTTTCTACAGCAGTGCTTTGTAATGTCACTTATGTGCAAAGCTGAATTTAATCCAGTTTGAAAAGTAGTTCAATGCTTTCACGACAACCGGGCCTCCAGTTTAAAAATGTTCACTCTGCACTATCTAATTAACAGATTTGAAACGTGTGTGGGAATAACTGAGAAGCTTCAACTCAAACACGGCCCACATGGCTCTGTGAGTAGCTGTGATTTGAGGTTTCACTTTAGTCACGCTAGAAAGAGCATTTGCATCCTTGTCAGGCTCCTTCTAGACCAGAGTAGGTGGGAGTTTCCAATGCCATGGGTCCATCTAGTGGTGGTTAAACCGCAGGACCAGCATCAGAGTGTTACAGGTCTGTGTGAAGCTGTGGTCACATCATGATGTCAAAAGTATTTATCCTCCATTTATGGAGATATCACAAACACAGGCCTGCAGCCCAGTAATCATCACTTTTTGGCAGGGTTTGTTTTTACAGCATGACTATTTGATTTGATATTTTATCAAACCTGCCCACTTTTTGTTTGGCAAATTGTACGCTGTGACTCTCCACCTTGTAATCGTCGTGTGCTGGAATGACTGTGAGGAAACTGGTGCATGTTCTTTGACCATCCTGAGTGTGAACTTAGGAGCAGAAGGGTCAAACTCCAAAGACAGACATCTTTAGCAGAGCAACACTCCTCTGTGAGCTAACATCAACGCACTGAAATGCAACTGGGATCACTGTTTGACCCGTCGTGGACGCCACACACTGACCATGAAGACCTCAGCGCTCCACTGTGGCTTCACACTTCTTCTGCAGACAGAGAGCGATTGAACTGAGAAGATTGTAGTTTCAACAGCTCCACCATGAGGCCAGTGACTGCTATTGTGACACTGCTGAATGAGTGAATCATTGATTATTTTCTATTAGAGTCATTTCAATGCACTGTACAGGTCATATTAATCCTCATTGTTATCATAAACCAGTAACCTCTTGAGTGTAAAGTAGAGAGAGATGCTAAACTCGAGTCAATGTACCAAATGTTACTCTCAGCACAAACACTATGACACTATGTACAGGATGCGTTGTAGGTGTAAATCGGCTAAATGTCATTATCCAAAAGCACACTTTATTATTATTATTATTATTATTATTATGATCATTATTATAATTATGATATGGGCACATTACTATGCATGTAACATATTCAGGGCATTTTGTGCTTTTAGTTTCTCAATCAGCAAGATGACTACTGGCACACCAAAACACTCAAGCACCTGCTATCTATTCATGGGTACCAAATAATAAAAACTCTGGACCTGTCTGCACTGCTCTCCTCATTTCTTGTCTGAATCTGATTTTTCAATGTTTCGTGCAACAAGGTCAACAAAAATTCACATCACAGACGCCCTAAAATAAATGAAGATTTACAGTCAGAAATCTACGATCTTTGTACTTGTGGTAGAGCCAACTCTTGCTAACATCACCCATATAAAAATGACAGGCAGGAATGTCAATAATTTTGGACATGAGTGTAAGTTTTGGACACAATTATTTTATTTTTTATTTTTTTAATTCATGGCACTAGTTAGTGAAGTGATTATAAAAAGTTTTCCAAATTCTTGTCCATTGAAGTCAGAGTCCAATTTCATGACCATCGACCAAGTGTTTGTAGAAACACTTTGAAGCTATAAGCCTCAGATGAAAGTGTGCACTATGCATGTCTATAAAGCTTTAATTAGATTATGAATTTCATTATAATTATGATCATCTAATTCTGAAGCAAGCGGTGGACTGAATGGCTAATTGGTTTGACCTCTCAGGGTGGAAACTGTGTGTTTAGAAGAGGGAGTAAGGGAGTCTCAGCACTTTCAAAGAAGTCCTGTGAAATCTAGGGAAGCTATTTTTAATTGGATGTATGCAGAGCTGTGAGGTTTTTTTCATTTTTAACTGCACATCCAGGATGTATTTTAGTCATTTGTTTCTTTTAAACAGAAAAATATCCCTCACAGTGCATTGAGACATCCCCCGTCTGTTTACTCAGTCAAATTAACTTACCATTGACACACACACACAGCAGAGGCACAGCTCATTAACTGCTACAAATAACTGCATATGTTTTTTATGCAGGACATAAATGTGACATTGGTAGCAGTGCCTCCTTCTATCTAATTTAAATGCTAAGAGATCAACAAAACAGCATACATACAGTTTTTAAAAAAATGCTGTGTACGAGTCTACCACAACTTTATGTTTTGTCTACGCAGTACTTGCTCATAAAAATGAGTCTAGAAGTATTTCAAATTTGTACAGATGCCCGCTCAGTAGGCCTTGCACATCAATCTATGATGCTCTACATTTCTGTAAGTGTCTAAAAAAGGTCTTTACACATAGAAATAAATGAGTACCCAGCAGACCTGCAATGTGCTCAGTACTCTGTCCAAGTTAAGAGGGAGCTCAGGGGTCCTACACAGTCAGGAAAAGTTCCTCAGCTCTCCATTTCTATTTCTTTTTTTCCTTCAGACTCAGAACAACTGGAACAACTTTTTTAACCATGTGCCTCTTTGTTTAAACAGTCGGGTGATATGGGTCTCAATATCCAGTCCTGAAACTGCTGTAAACCAGAGCTCAGTTGCATGGACTGCATGGGGCTGAGAAGCATAGAGTTTATTCTGTTTGTATAATAATTTCCATAACGTTACTTCATGTTATTACGTTTTTATTTTCTTGAAAACTAACAGAAAATGTTGTCCTTTTTCAGAGTATTTTAATTTTCTGAGCGGCACCTGGGGTCAGTGGAATATGAGTTTTGGAGCATGACAAATTTCGTAGAAACAAAAATCCCTGTTGGTATTAACTTGGCTGCACCATAATCCAACTCCTGAACACACAGAACCTGACTGCTTACCTGTGAATTACACCGTGCACTCTGCTGATCCTCTGTAATATTCCGCTGCCACTCTGTTATAAAGTAATTGTACTTATTCAATAGGCTTCACATGAAACAAGCTTCTCTAACCATAAGAGCTTACTCTGTGATCCTAAACCCGTCTTTACACCTGCAGTTAACAGTCAGAGCCCATATAGTGCTGGAAATAAAAATTTCTCACAGAGCAGACTCCACCGCTCCCACAAGGTTCGACCGACTCATTTGTGATTTCTCAAACAGCACCTTACAATCAATAGGTGCTTGTTGTGCTGAAGCCTCTTTTTGCTGCCTCATTCCTATTTAGAGTCCCGAGCCACCACCTCTCTCACACACTCAAGAGGTGTTGTGTTTTTTTTTCCCTCGTCTGCTGAGAGTCTGAGGGTTGCTGCGACCTATTGATTCAGTCTAGGATTCTTCTGCTTATCTGCCGCCTATACAAGAATGACCCCGCTCTGTCTTTCTAAAAAACAAAACATCAAAAAAAACAAAAAAAAACAAAACCAGCATGAATTGTTACCGTTCTTTTTTTTCCTTTATTTTTTCAGAACAATAAAAATAGTTTAACAAACAAAGACTTCTTCATTCTCTCAATTTCCACTCATATATTTACAGCTGAAGATGAAACAAAACACCCAGTCATGTCCATTTCATCTCCTCTTGGCTCCGATCCCACCCTGATCCTCCCTCTCCACCCCCTCCTGCAGGCTTGACAGGAGAGTACCAGGGCCTATTGCTGTGTCTTTGACGAGGTATACAGGCTATTCAATGATTGGTGACACTTTACTCAGAAGCAGACATCACTGACTTTTGCATTTACAGGAGCTTCTCCTTCGTTCAGAGCTGCACCTTTCTAGGCCTGTTCATAAAGGGGGGGGGAAGGTAACATTGAGCAGGTTATGATAGATGACATGCTTACACTAACAGGTTTGACTTTGGAAGATTTTAACGCACAATGACCCATTTCATTGTGGGAACAAGAAGACGAGATCATAAGAAGTCTCTGATCCATTCTCTGTCAGGTGGAGAGATAAACTGCGGTGTGGAGGGTCCCTGAGGGAAGTGAAGAATGCAACAAGTCATACCACACACATATAGGATTAATGGTTAGCTTCAAAAACGGAGCGGCTGTTATTACATTGCAGCGATACTGAATCATCACGAGGAGGGACACAGAGCTCTCACGCACTATCTGCAACCTATGGACCTCAAAGGCTTTTTGATCCAGAACTTTAAGCACCTTCTAAATGTCATAAAGCAATTAGACCCTCGAAAGCACTCGACCAAAATGTCACACAGCTTGGACAAACAGTTTTTGCTTTTACAAGGTGTTTATCGGAGATAACTCTTTCTATTCACAATCCACTCAGACTGTTGGTTTCAAACAGAACTCGGAGGTTTGTCATTGAGAGTATGACACCAGGTAAAGTCAGAAGAAAACAGAAACACAGGTAAGTGTTATTGCAAAGTTTGTTTTTGTTTTTTTTTTCTTCTAAAAGCATGAAGACTGCAGAATCCCGTCTCCCTCCAGGGAGTTGATTATGACAGGATCCTCGTGTGGCGTCACTGTCCCTCTGTGCAAACTGAATACAATCAGGTGAATCAGGGCTGAGTGGCTGAACAATCAACAGCAGAGGAAATGAAAGATGCCTGAGTAGTTGTGGCTATTGTGCACCTGATCAGGACAGAGGTATCGGTACAGTCTGAACGAACCCAAGATGTCGTACCAGTCAAACTTTAAAGAGTTCAAACACAGAAATATTTTACAACAGAGCAAAAATGCAAAAAAAAAAAGAGCTAAATTACTACGACTCATTTGCTGCCAGAAAGTAGAGACAGAGGGACAGAAGCAGTAAGATAAAACCTGTGTGTCAGAGTATTAATACAGTAATCCAGAGGTCTGCATGTAATGTTGGTGGATTTGAGCACCATCTCTATGGCTGAGGGTCAGAGGGGGTCACTGGTCCAATCAGGTTGGAGGGTCATGGCTGTCAGAGCTGGTTTCCAGTGCAGAGCGGCGGGCTGGCACAGTGATGAGGATAATGACGTCTTAGTGTCACATCGTATCACGCAGCACACACAGTCACAAAGCGGGAGCGGGCAGGCTGGGCCCCAAATGCACCCATTGGGCACAAACAGTCCGTAAGGCCGGGCCTTTAGTGTTCCCATAGTTTGGTGGTGCTCCAGCACAGTGCAGGAAAGATGAAATGAAGCTGGATCTACTCACATTTCAAATGTTCTGAAGGGATCAATACATATCATCAGGGGAGCTTTTGCTTCAATTAAGCTGAATAGACTGGAGAAGAGCTGGATGTCCATTCATCCGTTTCAGTCCGTTATTTAAGGCCCAAATCAGGAGGGACATGAAGGCTCATTAGTTTTTCAGAGATAAATCCTCTTCTTCATTGGTCACCCTCTCTGCTGGGCCGCATGCCGATGTGCTGAGGGCTCCTACAATAAACAACACAAGCAACACAGGTTACACTGGAATTACACTCGTGTTGTCAACAATGATATTCTACCCACTTCTTCGAGCTTTTAAAGGTACAGTGTGTAATATTTGATGTTATTTGACAGTCCAGACTTGATAGACATGGAGCATGGTATTTATAAGTATCTGAACAGAAACACAGTTTTGTCCTGGTTGACTTTAAATGAGCCTTAAATCATCCCAAATAAAGAGGTGCCATGTTTCTGCAGTAGAAAACTCAAACGTATTTGTAAATATAGTAGAAGCTTGACCACAAAGGGTCATACCTATCATGCATCAGCTGAGCTTCTTTAAGGGGGTGGAGCTAGACTCTCCGATGGTGGTCACAGAGAGGAGGATGTTGTCAACTAGAACAGCATCCGCCACTTACTCCATAACTAACTGGTTAAATACAGGAGCACATCCAGTGCTAGACTCAGAGCATCACAGGAAGTCATTCTTGCCTGTGGTCATCAAACTTTATAACTCCTCCCTCTTTGTGTCACACACTCCGTCTGGCACTGGACTTATTCTCATGTAGTAGCTGTAAACTTCTCTACTGCATGTAATGACATTTAACTCTGCAATCTGTTTGTAAAATGGTCAAACTTTAATTATCTAAGAGTGCAAAACTGATAATGCAGTAACATTGTTTATTCAGCTAACTGTGCAATATCCCACACTGGATATACACTCTTGTGCTCGTGCATAGCTTATTTCTTAAACACTCTGCACTTTGTTAATAGCTTTATTTCTTATGTTCTGCACTTCTTGTTAACCATTGCAATTTCTTATTTATTCTTATCAAGTCCTATTTCTATCCTCCTTCTACTAATATTTGTATTTACAAAACACAAAAGTTTCATCACATTCAACCTTACACTGTTATTAACTTGGGGGGGTAACTGCCATTTGTAACTCCTTGATGATCGATCTACTTATGAGATGGCTGCAATTTTTTTTTTCCTGTAGGATAAAAAACCTTATTGCTTACCTTTCTTTTTTCCCCTCTCTATCTTTTACAACTTAATTTGTATTTTCTTCATTTCCAAATATTTCCAGTGGCTTGTGGAAGTCCTTTCATTAGTTCCTTCATTTGCGTACAAGTTTAATCCAGAGTTAGAGCGAGATTAAAAAAAAAAAAAAAAAAAAGACCTTCATCATCACAGCGACTACTGATTCAAAAACATCCAGTAGCTTTAAGTATGGGTCTACAATGACATTCAACCAGCTCCCAGTTCAACTGTTTGGGAGATGATTTACTTTTTATGCATTTTAATCTTTCATTTTTTTTCTCCAGTGTTTTTTGTTCATAATGTTTGCTCCTTCCTCTCCAGTGAAGAGAAAAAAAAAAACACTCAAAAAAACGTCTTCATCTTCTGTTTTGCATGGAGAACAAGTCACTTGTCAAGAAACACTGACAGTTGTTCATTGCCTTAAAAGTTAATATATATATTTATATATAAAAAGGTGTTCATAAATTATTCAACAATGTTCAGTAGATAAAATACCACTCGCATTTCTGTCCTGAAATGATCACTTTGTGCTTTCCACAAACGAAAAAAAAAAATTGAAAAAGAAGCAGCAGATTTTTGCCAGAGGTTAATCCTTATAAAAAAAATTGTCTTTAGATCTAAAAGGTTTTCTCTATCTGTGCCGGTTTGTTATTCCGTTGCTGTTTGTGCCGGGCTCCTCAAGCTCATCATCCTCAAAGCCGTGAAAGGTGGAAGTGTCGCTCTCAGAGGTGGTGCCGAACAGCTCCTCCGCTCCGGCAAAAGTCCCGTCCTCCTTCTCCTCTCCACAGTCGGCTGAAACACAGAACAGAAGCAGAGTCAATTAGAAAGAAGATGAGAATCTAGGCAGCAGTCCCTTTAAAAGGAATCAACCTGGACAGTAGAGGTTTTTTACTTACTTGTGCATCGACAGGCTGAGAAGGGAGACCCCGATTTACCCGTTTTCTTGTTTGAGCCCTGGCATTTAGTACAGTAGTTGTTGGGAATGCTGGTCCCACCTGGACCCTTTGGACCTGCAAGGAAATTCAACCCCACTAAAATAAGATAAAATTGAAGGGTTAATTAATTTCACCCTGGACTGGATCGGGCAGACAAAACCTCCTAAACCTGCACCACCTTTTTGTTGTGTGTACTTTATACTGATCAGCTCAATACAAACTAACAACCACTCAGATGTCCCAACAATAAACACGATAGGTGCAGAAATTATTCACTCAGTGACTGAATATACTTAAAATAATTCCATCTTCTTTACTGAATGTTCAATAAAACAGTAACACATTTGTGGATTTACCTCCGATTTGAGTATGTTAGTTATTTTTCCAGTTGAGTGTCTACTTTAGTTTCTTCTTAATTTTTACATTATGTGGATACACTAATCCACCTGAACATCAGGACCAATGGCATCATAGTTTATGCAATTACATCTGCACTCTTAGTTACTGTGATATTTTCAGCAGCACGTAAACTTTTGTCCTTCAAGTTGATGTTATAAGCAGGGACAATGATCATGAATAGGGATGTGAACGACGACGACGACAAGGACCAGGGTGCAGTGACAAACTAAAGAGGTTAAAAGAAAGAAAACTGATCCAACAGAATCACTACTGGAGCTCAAACTGCTGAAAGTGAATCCTGGTCCTGATTGAGAGGTTGTCATAGCACACAGTACTGCGAAGGCTGCAGACCAGTCAGGGTTCCCATACTGACCCCTGTCCAACAATGGCCACTTGAAGTGGACTGGACCACAGAGCAATGGAAAAAGTGGTCTGAAAAAACATGACGTTGTTCTTAGTTTCCTCAGTTTCTAAAACTGATCCAGTCTCTGTGGGGTGTGCCAGACAACCAAGTCTGATCCATGGAAACCCCACCTCAAAAGTTCCAGGACTTTTATGACCTGCTGCTGGCATCTTAGTGCCTGATACCACAGCACACTGTCAGAGGTCTAGAAGAGTTCAGGTCTTGTCAGGCCAGGGCTGTTTTTGTCCTGACCTGATCAGAAGGGGGCTTGCACCATACAAGCCAGGGGGCCATACCGTTTTGGGTGATCGCTGTTTGTATTTCAGCTTGTTGTGGAACTACTGTCATCTTTGATAGCTCTAAAAATCTTTCGGGTAGAAATACAAACATCTAATTTACAAGAAATATCAGCGTTTTCATCATGTTTCCATCTTCTGCATCCTGTCTGTATCTGTACTGAGGCTTTAGCTGAAGGCTAAAATATCAAAATAAACAAATTATCAATCTTTAAAAAGGCAATGGTTTCCAAAGACAGAGCGTTAAATCAAATTGGCCTCAGGCTTAAAAATGGTGAAACAATCAGTGCCAAGCTTATGACATGTTTGTAACAGTTTGCACAGCAAGTTGGTGGTTGGATCACAAAACAGCCATATATTATAAAAATGTGTGATTTTGGTTTGCTTAATGAAACTACATTATAGATTACAACATATCAAGCTTAGAAGTTTGTCTTCTTACGTTTGTGTCTGTCAGTCTGCTGAACAGAGGGGGGTCTGGTCACCACAGAGCTCCTCTCTCCTGCTCGCTCCTCCTCTGCCAGGTGGGAATGGGTGTAGTGGTAGCTTAGTCCTGTACGGTTCCTGTACCGTTTTGCACAGACTGCAGCAGAGGGCACATGTTTGATTGTACTTCAATGCTTGTTTAATTTCAGTCTCTAGAAGTCAACTTAAGTTTTTTCCTGCTCAAGCCATTTTTATTTTGAATGTATGGTCTCAATGCTATGAAAGGGAAATGGTTGAACACCTTTCTTAGACCAAGTGAGGTGGAAACGTCCCTCAAATATAGAGCATAGTTAAAAAAATAAAAGAAACAATATGAAGAGCAAGTGTGATCTTCTCAGTGAAAAATGAACAGGTTTCATGTGGTGTTAAGAAGAAGGGAACCATTCGTCTCCTGACTCTACAAAGTCTAATTGCAAAGGCATTTTGAAAAACAAACACAACACAAACATGGACAACTTAATAACCACGTGTCTGTTTCAAAACGCCAAGAGCTCTTACAGCTTGAGAGGAGTGAGATAAAACAGGGGCCTAATCGATATTAACAGCACTTATGAAACAACTTTAAAAAAATGATCCCGAAGAAAATCTACAGTCAGAAAAAAAGACAAGCAGTCAGGTCACCTGAGGTCGAAGATTTTGAGTTCGCCTTTTGTTTGTATCTGTCTGAAATAGAGAAGAAGCAAATCAAAAGGGAAAACAGCAGATGAGTAAAACCAAAACTAACCTCCCCCGCCTCCACATATGACTTGCATGCATGAAAACACTCAGGACCGCAGTGACAACTTTTACTTTGTTTCATCCTGTGGCTGCATCTCTAATAAAAAACACTTTCTTGTGTCAGCTTTCTTTTTTCATCCCTGGCCTAACAGAAGTCATTTCATACATATATTGTACGTGCACAGCTAATGCATAAAAACCCACGTTATTATTATTGTGGGTAATTAACAGCCAGGGAATGAATAACCAAAACCTTTCAACTGTGAATTTGCACTTTTTCTGACTTTTTAGCAGGTAAACAAAGAAAAGTTTGTTTAATCCAATGGGCTCTATGCACAGCTCCACTACTTCCTGAACTTCAGGCAGCTCCTTTACTTCCTGTCTCATATTACATATTGGACAAACTGATTAATCCAGGTGTGACTGATCATTGTGACTAGTCAGACACACCTGGATTAATCAGTTTGTCCAATAATGTGAGACAGGAAATAAAGGAGCTGCCTTAAGTTCAGGAAGTAGTGAATCGGTGCAAAGAGCCCATTGATGAAAAACAATCTCAGACAAAGAAATGACTATTTTGATCTGCGCTACATGAAGGAAACTTGTGACACAACATACAGTTTAAAGTAAATAATCAGTCCTGGACCAAAAAGGTTTTCAGAAATAATCTGATAGTTTGCAAATCTGTATAAAAAAAGATGCCTATACAGTATAAAGGAAAACTAATACAGCTTTAATTAGTAATGCTTAAGGATTGCTTCAAAAATCACCAACAGCAAATAAAGAAATTGCCATATCAGTCAACCCTGAATTGCAAATCTACCTAATGAATAATTACACTTTAAAAAAACTCATACTACATGGTTACTTACTGTCACAGACATATGGCTTATCATCGTCCAGGTCAGCCTTCCTTCGGCCTGAACCCCGACCCTGAGAATGAACATCAACATATTGCATCATCAATCTTTTTTTTTTTTTAACCAAGACTGTTTCAGTGTGCACACACAGACTTCTACATCAGAAAGTTTACTAATGGTGGCCACTAGTGATGACAAACAAAGTACACCAAGTTTCACGTAATTTTAATGCAATAAAGTTGTAGAAGAAGACTGAATGCAATAAGAGTCGAACTAATGTTTACTCTGAAAACAAACCAGGCAGTTAAAGACACTTAGTGAAACTACAATTCTTTTGGGTCTCAGATGCCAGAGTGACTTCAAGTAAAGTAAACTTGTTAAAATGAAAACCTGGCAAACATTTGGCCACTTACTCTTCCTTTGCCCCGATGTCTCCTCTTGGGAGTGTCTACCTCGTAGTCATCATCATCGTTGAAAGCATCTTCTGCTGCATCTGCCTCCAAAACCCTCTGAGACACATCAAGAGAGAAAAATAAGGGGACAGGCTGTTACAATACTCAGATTAAACTACCAGCTTTCTCAAAAACACTGGGCAGCAGAGAGCAACTGAGACGGGAAAGAAAACAGTTTTCCAGTATTTAATGCAATCTGGGTGGCAGATGAAGTGTGTAGTCTGTTTTGGTATGTTTTGATAGCTTTTTTTTTTTCGCAGTGATATGCCTGGTTGAAGAGGGAGCCCTCTCTTCCTGCATGTCCTTCCTGTAAACATACAAGTGTACACATGTATATGAGGTGGAATGTGCAATCTTAAGATAGGACTGATTGTGACTCCTGCAAAAACAACTCATATCAGCAGTGTGCTCCACTTGCACGGCTACAAACTAGAAACTGCAGAGTCATGATTTCTAAATCTATTCATATCATGATGCTGAATTACCCATTTCCATTTCTGAGTAAAAAGCAATCAGGAGCTCAGAAATTAAGCAGTCTTGCTGAAAACTCCTCTTAGTAGTGAGCCAAAGAGTCCTGTAGGTCAGTCGGAAAAACTTGGCAAGTTGCCTTGACAACGAGTTTGGGTGCAACACTTGACTTTCATTACCAGGGCTCCTAATCATTTGAGTGATATCACTCAACATTTAAAAGGAAAATGCTGTGTTGATGAAACCTCATCTGTGAGTGTGTATGAGCGAATTAGCCCCTAATGAGTTTGAATCAATAATGTTGTCTGAACTGAAGCGAACGACGGATAAATACAAACACACACACACACACACACACACACACACACACACACACACACACACACACACACACACACACACACACAGTGAGTCTTTGAGACTGAACTCACCTGGATCTCCAGCAGGCTCTCCTCGTCGTTCTTAGAGTTGTTTCTCTTATCAAGACCCTCTCCTCGAAGCAGCGCCTCCAGCGTGGTGCTCTGGGTGGGTAAGGTGTCCCTAGACATGAGGCCACCATCTGCACGAGGACGACAACAAGCAACACTTGGTTAGAAATATCATAATATTCACAGATTTATGACAGAATCTGTACATTCCCAACAATAATGAGCAGCCGTGGTTCGGCATGAGCTGCTTTCTCCGTTTACAGCCTTGTGAAAAACAGCCGTTAGTGCTGTCACCTCTGACCTCAGTCTACAGCATTCAAAACCTCTTTTCTGTTATGTCTCTTCTTCTCAATTCACGCTCGACTTAATAAAAGCATGTGGCCAGAGTATTTGTTTGTACAGAGGGTGTCATCACAAATGACCTCACGCGGTTACATAACTATACTGCCGTGTAAGATTTGAGGTATAGCAATCTGTGGAGGAGCAGGTTTCATTCAAGTATGCTCATGTAAGACTCCTGTAAGAAATTAAAATATTTTTGCTTTGTGGTCTTTTACGTCTCCAAAAGTAGTCTCAGTGGCAGAGATGTTGTTTTTATCATTCCTCTCCTGGAGAATCATCTTCTAGTTTAAGCCAAGGGGGCAAACACCGTCTTTTGAGAGTAGTTAAGGAAAAGGACTCTTGATTCTGCTCTGAGCTTGAACTAACTTAGACCTTCAAACATCTCTACATCTTAAGCTGCTCCATATGTATGCAGCTCAGTTCAGACCGCGGCCAACTTTGCATCTTTACTGCAGTTTTTGTGCTTTATTGTCCCCCAGGTTTTCCATGGATTGATGTCCCTGATCCATCAATCCTTTCAAATAGAGACTGTGTCTCTACTTTTAACCCTTCGGCTCCACAGTGTGTGTGCACAATGTTAAGTTTATTTTTTGCTCTGGCTGATGGCGCCATGCCTCAGGAACCGTTTCCTCGAGTGTATCAGAGCAGAACATAGTTCAATTCAGCTAGTCTCACAAGGGAGCGTCCTCAAGATCATCATCACTATCTACACAGAGAACAACATACAAGCAATAAGTTAATAAGTCTTGAGGTTGATTTAAAGTCATTTGGAAATTAATTTGTGATTTTTGTGCTTCTACTTTGGGTGATGGCGTTTTATTTTGAAACTGATCAGAGCGGCTGTTCTTGTGTCTGACTTCCTGTCCAAGTCAAACTGCTCTGTTTCACTTTGATTATTATGTGTCTATCGTGGAAATGCAAACGGGTGTCCACCTGCTGGTTGTTTTAAAGACGCACTCTGATTAAAATCATGTTTTTCTTGTTTTTTATACGTTCATATGGCATTTTTCTGATGCTCCAGGACATGTCATGAGAAACCTAAATGCAAAATTGCTTTTCTGAATATTTCTTCATTCGAATCACTGTGAATCTCTGGCAGATCCAAACGGCAGATTTAGAAACAGTGAGATTTCATATGTAACCAAGCCAAGCTCCGCCCCCAGAGCCCCGCTGTGAAGGCCAGATTCTGCATATATAGAGGAGAAATACAGAGGACGATCGTGGAACAAGCGTGTGTTTGCGGATTGCAATGCTCGTAAGAAAGTTAAATATGATATTAGCTTTCATCGTGTCCCCAAAGACTTCAGTGTCCAAGAGCTGAATCGCTCCTCTGTTACCTGCCACTTCTGCTACACCGACAATGTTAGGCTGCAAGCTAATGCGAAGACAAGTGTGCAGAACAGTGCTGTCTCTGCCCACGACTCAGAGGCGAATTGCTAATGAGCTACTGGAGCTCTGCAGAAGAAAAGCCCTTGAAAATGACACAGGTAAGGTGATTTTTGGTATATATATATATATATATATATATATATATATATATAAAACCTTCATAATCACTTTTTAAAGACCCCTGAGAACACTTTAGGTTGTAAAAAAAAAAAAATGATCGGAGTGGGACTTTGATGGTTTGGGACTTAAAAGGAGAGTTTGCATTCCCCTGTAGATACTTGCTCAAGGGTATTTGCTAAAAAAATATCACAGAGTAGACATATAGGCCGGCTTTACATGTACAATTTGATGTTATTAGTTTTGCTGTGGTTTCATATAATGTATGGACAATAGATGGAAAATAGAGTCCTGGCCTGAATAATAACTTTACTGACAGGACAACGAGAACACATCATTACTTCAGCCACAGCTTTTGCCAGCACAGACGCCTAAAAATATTATGGCTGTCACTCTGAAACTGCATTGTCATTGCTGAGCTTTTACCAGTGCTGCACTATGCAGACGTCAGGCTGACTGAGTAGCTTATCGCCACAACCTAAAGACATCATGCAGATACCTCCTCCTACAGGTGAGGATCTAAACAAACAGTGTAGGAGGCGAGCAGGTTGAGCAGACAAAGGCAGAACAAGCAAAAGCTTTGACAGTCAGTTGGAAATCTTATTTACACAATCTTTCCTCCTCAGGAAGCCTCGTGGTCATCCAACTGCTTTGTGGATGTGCGAAAAGAGAACACACTTCAAAGCCCCCCTGACTCCAGCTTTCTGTGAGCCCTTCATCTGAGCGCCGCACTCACTAGAAAGACTTCTGCGGAATATTGAACATGAGGTGCTGAAGCAAAGACGACTGCAAAGGTATGAGGCAGATACAGGAGGTAGGCGTGAGAAGCAGATACAACACGCTCCTCTGAAACGAGTCCTCCTCCATGCGGCGGCAGCCCCTCACCATTGTGTCTGCACACGTTGACTTTCAACTCTCCGCGACGAGACAGACCCCCCCACCCCCCTTCCCTCCCTCCCTCTCAACCCATGGGAGCTGGGGGGGCTAAAAATAGAGCCGGCAGCAGCCTGCAGCATGGAGCTGATTCTGCATGCAGCCCCAGTCTCTAGCACAGCATCGGTTAGACAGCCAGTCGAGGCAGCGAGACAGACTCTGGCTGCTGCCCTGTGCCAGCCACCTCTGGCCAGCTGCACAACATGCTCCATATAAGAGACGCCAGGTTAAATCAGGCCACGTCTCCCCTCCACTAGCACTTGCAGACAGCACATAAAATCCGCTGTTACTGGAGAAGGAAGGGACAGCGGGGTGGTGGCAGCGGGGTCTTAGCGAGCTGGGTGGAAAACAATAGGCTGCGATTGGATGTGTTGGAGAAACAAAGGCTTGGTTCATACGCTGTCTCTCAATCTTTCTTTCTCCTTCCAGGCTCTCTTCGTCTTCCTTATCTCCTTCACTTCATGAAAACAAGTGCAACGCAGACAGAACGTTCAAACTTGGAGGTTTAAGAGTACTAGAAATTTAGATCAAAGCTCGATGTAATTCTTCCTGAAACTACAAGAACAGGGTGTCTGCATGAGATTCTCTCTTTTGTCGTGTTCATTCCTGCGGGTAGTGTAACATCCCAGTGGGCATGCAAGCCTTGAGCACAGAATGGACCAGATACTTGAGCTAAGCAACTCTTGCTACAAACACACACACAGACAGACTGCATGGCAGACTACGGGGAGAGATGAAGAGATGAAAGAGTTTCCACCGAGAATGAGACAAAACCAATCAGCGAGGGAGAAGAAAATAAGATCGAGGGAGAAAAAAGAAGAGAGGGTAAATGTGTTGAGTGAGCTGTTTCAAGTAGCGGCCAGAGAAGCCAAACTCCATTCCATAACATTTATTAAATACTGTCTGCAGCGGCCGGACTCTGTCTCGCTGCTCCCAGCAGTGGTAAATCTAATTACATGTTCTACTTCTCACAAAACAAGTTTACCAGCCGTGGCGAACACAGCCACATTTCATCCTCTGAAAAATGACTGGCAGCCTGTTCTGCTCAGTGCGCTGAAACAAGAGTGATATGCTTTTAGCCAGATTATTCCAGATCATCACCAGTAATCACATGAGCTGAAGGAGCTGGTGGAGGTGGGTGGGAGATGGGTGGGGGGTTGGCTGAGCGGGAGGAGAGAACTGAGAGGAGCACAAAGTGACAGGAGAATGATGTGTGGAAAGAGGTATGCAGGATCTTACCGAGCTGGAGACCGTAGATGCCCAGGCGAGGATCTGTGGTGTTGTGCAGCCGTCTTTTCTTTCTCCAGCAGCGGGCTGGGTATGTGTACATCTGCCCGGCTGCTACCCCTGACAAAACAACAAAAGCTGTTAAAGCTTCTTTTTGTACTGTCAGACACAGAAACCATATCTCTGTGTCTTATCTGGTCTTCATGTCTTTGAGTCAGATTTTAACACAGATTACACTAATGTTTTTCTTCAGTTTGAGGACGGGCATCAGCACTTCTGTTTTTCGAGTTATTCAGGGCTTCCCTTAGAAACAGCGCAATTTTGTAAGTAATGCTAACACTGACATGCACCATGACTTTGCTAACTGGCTGATGCAAGATTAAATGATAAACAAACCATACTTTAACAGCAGGTTTCTCATTTTTCTGACCACACTAAACACTTTTACACTACATGTGGCAGCAGTACATAATTCATGAAATATTTGATGGTGAGCTCTTCTGTGATTGTAAAAATATTTAACAAAATATCAAAGTTTTTTTAACTGATTATTCATCAGAACGAGTTGTTTCAATATGGCACAAGGCGATTAGCTTTTGGATCAATGTAATCTCCAGGTCCATGTGCAGTGGGAGAAAAAAAATGTGCTGTGAGGTTGCCAAACCGAAGAAAAATGTGATATTAACAGATGTTCTGAGGAGTCTGTCATCTAAACAATGGTCTGCTAAAATACAGATGATGGAGCAGCTGACCACATTTCTTCTCGTCATTCGTCTTACATGTAAAGTAAGCGTGGCCTTGCTAAAGAAGGGCTGGAACAGCATTTCAGTACATGGGTGCTAGGTGACGGATTTTGATGCTCTACAAACCCAGAAAGCACGGTCACTTTTCTCCAGACCTGTGCTTTTGCATCATAGTTAAGCTTAGGAACCCTAGTGCATCATTAAGCTTCCTGTTTGGCCAAAAAACAGGGCTTTTAAGGTCCTTACACACCGGGGCCGACACGAATATAGAACGCCAATTCACGAAATATTCGGAGGCGAATTTTGACGCGCCTGACTATACACATTAAGCCCGATGCAATTTTGCAACCTTCTGGGGGGAAAAAGACGCATCCCAGGGAAGACCTTTCCGGGGGAAAGTCCCGCCTCCTTTGCCTCTGACTGGCTAGAAAAGCTGGAAACACCATCACACGCTCAAGCCAAACGGTCTGCACTTATAGCCAATCAGAGGCGAAAACGTCGCTGATGTGAACGCTTGTATTGACAGGATACGGGTTCGAAAAAAAAAAAATTGACATCCGAAATAATCGCACAACAAAAACGGTCCCAGTGTGTAAGGACCTTCAGTCTTGACAGATGTTGACAGAAACTTCATTGAAACATGTGTAGGGTGATTAGAAACCGATAAACTTTTCTTTACACAAACATTTTCTGATGATTTTCTTCTCTTTACAATTTTAGTTTAAAACATTTCACTTTGTTTTTTTTTTTTTAACTGAATCAAATGTTGATCGAGCTGACCCACTTACAAACAAACATCCACATGGCTGAAAGAGTTAAAGTGTGGTAAAACTAACTTAATTTGAACATGTTGAATTTGTTACGGTCAGTTTTCATATTTAACATTTCAGTAACTTAAATATCAATTAATCAAAGAAATGCAAAATTATTTACAGCCCTGATTAAAAGGTTATGCTGATGCACTTTTTTACTAGCCCAAACACCTCATTCTCACTTAAAAGTTTATGTTTTGTGGCTCATAAGTGTGTGTGTGTGTGTGTGTGTGTGTGTGTGTGTGTGTGTGTGTGTGTGTGTGTGTGTGTGTGTGTGTGTGTGTGTTTGCACACCGGGGCTACGGTGGTGTCGTTCCATCCAGATGTAGCAGTTGTTCTGGGCCACGCCAGTTTGCGAGTCCAGGAATGGCAGGCGGACGCTGCGTTCAGCACACAGGCGGGCATTGTAGCTGCGGCACTGCTCAATGGCCTCCTTATAGAACTGGTCACCCAACCTGCAAGAGAAAACATCAGCAGAGACGCTCAGAGACACTGGGTGATAAGCTGGACTAGTCACTAAGTGGTATCTCTGATATAGAGATCAGCCTTTCTATCATATATGACTGCCTGGATAATAGCCTGTTGCATTGTTGGCCACAGATCATTAAATCAGCAAGCTGAGACATCTTCAAGCTCTGTATTCAAGTCCCTCTGAAACACTCCACAACCCACATAACGCTGTTAACGTCTGCTAAAACTTCTCATCAACCCTCTTCAATGTGATATCAATCTGACAGCAGAGTTTCTGAGTCGACTTAGAGCTTCCCGTCAGGAAGAATTTGTGAAAAAAATAAAAAGGGAAACCAATAACAACATTACAATGGCTCTTCTGCTCCCACTCCTGAAGTTAAACATATTATTACCGCTGTGGACTCTTTGTCTGATCTGATTTTAGACAGGCTGTGACTCAGTTTGTGGCGCTGACTGAGTCAGATTGTCGCATCAACAGAGAATGTGGGGTCTGATACGGAGTCAGTCGAGACTCTCGCGTTTTAGTTCCACTTTTCTTCGTGCCACTGAGATTTTGGCAGTCCCTCAGGGTTTCAATGTTAATATTCGGAGTGAAATGGGGGAGGATATTTCACATTCAAGCCCTCCATCGCTGCCACACGCCTGGTATGGTAATTAGCCTACTTAATTAATCTCAGCAGAGTGCCTAGCACAAGGGCAGGTTATAATTTGACTATATCAAAGATGGGGGTAAATGCAGCTCCTCTGAAATCACAGAGAGGTACTTTGAACATGATTTCCACAGCCTGCTGTTATATCACAGGTTAAACAGGGCAAATAACAGCTACTGGTTCTTCAAGTATTAACATCTCCACGTCTGGATAATGAAGTTCCTGCACATGTTCCCAATTACAACATAAGGAAGACGGCCATTTTGGAGGCTAACTAATGAGCTGCAGGCTGAGAGCGAAGCCTGGAATCTGGAACTAGAGGCAGAGGAGGTGGGAGCCTGATTTGTTAGCGTCGTCTTCCAGACCCCGCTCTCTGCCTGCCTCTTCACGAGACAACATTCAGTAAACTAAGAGCGAACAGTGTGAGGAATGTCGTCCCGCACAGAGCCCACTGCTCTGCAGTTCAGTGTGGACAAAGCCACAGTGTATGTGAGGCTTCTGGGAAAGAAAAGCTTCGTGTCAGTGTGACTGAGAAGAGTAAACAGTCACAGGTACAGAGGAGGGGGGCAGGCAGGGGCAGAAAGGTGTGAGAAAGAGGATGATGAGGGGGGAAGGAAAATAAAAACAACCAGAGAGGGGGTCAAACAGGCGTGACAGTGAGACTGGAGGTTAAAAGCTGACAAGCAGATTATTATTAATCATTCGAGGACTTTTTCCTTCCTCGTGTTGCACTCCTAAAAGGATTGGTGATAGATTTGGTCCATGCTTTGTAAAGGTGTCACAAGGTTTTTCTTTGCACAGGGGCAAGAAAACAGATATACAGTCAGGGATGGACTCAAATCAGACTGTCCACACAGCTAAGCTCATAAACTCAGAGGTCTAACAGCTTAACTACTAGCTTGATCAAATATTTCCTTTAAAGGTGAATTGCCTCATAAACATATTAACACACAGCTGTGTAACAGAATGTGTGTTTGCGTATTTATAATCAATAACACGTGAAAAAGGGTTTCACTTCCAACAGTAAATCCCCAACATACACTAAAGTACTTTGCAGCCATTCCTTGATATCATCACACAGCTCTGATGGGACGCGGTGTGACATATCAGTTTACTAAAAGCACACCAGCTGTAAATGCTCCCTGAAGTCTGCTTCAAGTGCGCACTTAAAAGGGCACGCACCGTAGAGCGCTGAGAAACTCGAGAGATTACTCCAGTTGAAGAAATCAGGAGAGAATGACAGCGATATGACCCCAGAAAAAAAAAAATAATCGAGCGGGGGTTTGAGGGAGGACAGATGAGTGGGGAAAGTCTGTTTGTGGGTGCTTGCTGTCTGAGCCACAGCGCGCTCTCAAACACCCCCGAGCGGCAGGTGCGCAGGCCGAGGTGAGAGACCTTCCTGACAGTTGTAATGAGTGACGAGACCCCCACTATCGACCACCGAAGAAGACACAAGAGGGGAGAGTGAGTCATGCTGACGTTCACAACCCACTGACAACTTTTCCTCTCTTGTCATGTTTCTGTTTGTACACTGTCCTTTCAAATCAAAGGCCTTTTAAAAACACTTAGGTTACACTCTGATGATAAATGGCGATACAGAATCACTCACACAAAAGGCTTCACGTATTACTAAACAGCTCTAACAAACACACACGCATATACACACTCCTGCCACCTCTGTTGTTGACAGTAACACCGTTTCACTCCTGTAACTGCCTCCAGAGTCAGCTCAAGACTGGGACAACGTCACCCCATGATTCTGCCACTGTGACATTTACATCGACGGCAGAGCTTGACAGAGGCCTAACACATAACTCATCTTGAACAGGCCGTCAAAACGAACTGCAAACTACTAGGTTGTTTAAAAGCACCCCTGAGGAGTTTCCATGTTGGGTTGATTCCGATGACCCTCTTTGGACAACACTGACAGTTTTCTTTCAAGATGAAGACCAGAACCATCATCATCACATCACTGTCAGAGATGTGACCCTTGTGCAAGTGGATGCATGTGTGAGGTAAAGTACTGATTTGTAGCCACATCAAATTATTAGCTGAAACACCAACAACATGACTTTATACACTCTGATTTATAACCCTTAGCTTCCTGCCAAAAGGTGACCATACCTCTTAGGGGTGGGAATCATTAGTGGCCCCATGATACGATATTATTACGATACTTGGGCAACAATACGATATTATCATGATTTTTAACATTTTGCAACACAGTATGTATTGCGATACAATATATTGCGATTTAAACAATTTACTGTTTAGCTAATTTAGCATTTGTCTTTCCTTTAGGTTTGTGTATTTTTGCTGTATTTTATTTTCATGTAGCACATCTTGCAAACTTTTTAGATATTTGTTGCACTAACTTTCTCCTGCTCTATGATGTCACCTCTGCCAACCTCACTGGACAGACAGTTGACTCTATTTTTCTATTATCATAGATTCAACTTCATATTAGTGATTAATTTGAAAAATCAACAATTGGTAAATGAGATGATACGATATATCACCAGACTAAATATCGCAATACTAAGCTGTATCAATTTTTTCTACCACCCCTAATCCCTTTGTAACATAACCTGTCACAACCTCAGTGTCATGATCCTTGTTTAAATAAATGTCAGAATTCGGGCTGCACAGTCCTGGACAAAACTGACATGATAACAAAACTTCAAGCATGTAAATCTACTTTGTTTTTTATATATACCATTAAAAATCAACAATCAACTCTCATATTTTTGAGACCACAAGTCTATTTTCCTCCAATAAAACAATGCTTTTCTCTTGTTTTTGATACTTGCTCAGCCCCTTAATTCCTGACTATGCCCAAGAGATAATAAATAATGGAAAGGGCAATATTGTTGTGTCATCCATTAGAAAATGAAGAAATATAACCCAAATTGTTTACATTCATTTCCTAATTAGTTGAAATTAAAAAGAAAATGTTTATTGCGAATGCTAATATCCCCAGATTTGTAATGTACAGCACTGGTCAGGATGACATAAATATTCACCCAGAGTAGCTTTTTTTTTTTTTTCTTGCCCCTGAAATAGCAGTGAAGCATCATGAAGCACAGTTTACACTCTGGCAAAAAAGGAAACCCTGTTTATAGCCGTTTTGCTCTTCTAGAAAAACACTTTTCATTGTGTCTATTTCTGAAACAGAACTTCAACAAAAACTATACATCTTTTTGCTAACCCTGCCATGAGTTCAAAACATTATGCAGGATTAAAACCATCCAAAGACAATAAAATCTCCTCCTGCTTGCCAACTTACTCCTTACTGCCAAAGTTTACCAGCGGAGTTCTAAACATAGACGTTTCCAGGCGAGCACCGAATATCGACTCAGCTCTTTTTGTGGAAGATCTGATCTGCACACGGGCACCAAGATTCAGTCCAAAGATATAACCAATCTGGTTGCTGATAATCTCATTTTACTATGTAGGTCATGGAGAAAGATGAGTATAAGAGTGACACTTCTTCTCGCAGTACCTTTGGGGATATAATATTTTTATAGCTTTGGCCACCATTCTTCTCATGGATTATTCTAACTCATTGTAAACAGTAACTGTGCTTTTTATTGTATTCTACACTTACTCTCTTTATATCAAGAAAGCAATCAATAGATCAAATGTTTGGACACAAAACAGAAAATCTGATCTCCTGGCTCGTCCAATCATTTATCTTGTTCATCATTTCATACCTGCATACCTGACAACAATCTTCCTGCGCATTCATTTCAAAAGAGTTTGGTTTTTAACAAGATAAAGCTAGCAAGAAAGTCATAGATAGATGCTGCACTGTGCTCCTCTCAAACCCTCCTACTGCACCAGTATTTAGTTAGTACGTTCAGAGCATTGGGATTAGGGTTTCTGTGGGCTGAATACATTCACACTAGCCTACTCTTGCTGGTCAATCAAAAGTTGCATGTTCTCGGTTCGGTTTGGGAAGTGAGACACATCAACAAGAAAAGCAAGACAAAAAGGAAAACCAAACATTTAACTTTTCTGATCCTAATTATTTATGGTAGTTTATATACCAGACCCCAGGTTCAGCTCTGACCTCCTGTCAAAGATGTGTGCACACAAGTTCCTGCACAATGACTGTTCACACCAAACACCTGACCATGTTCTTCCTTTCCTCTGCTTGACCCACCTCAGGACCCTCCGAATTTATCTTTAGATCTCTGTCAGGAGTCCTGATCAAAACTGTTGGCTTGTATGAAAACTGTCTGATTTCCTGACTGGTTGTTTCATCTTTTCTGACTTATTTCTGCCATTCCAGTGTTCCCCAATCTCAGAAACTACTTGTGTCAAAATTAGACCAATGCTTTACCAGTGCTAATCTCTAAAGCGGACTGAGCAAGTAACACTTGTGTGATTTGCAGGGCTCCAAAAGTGCCTCGGTGGTATGTGCCACACATCCTCAATATCTTCCAGTTGAGTAGAGAAGGTGAGCGTGTGCATGAGGGCGAGAAACAAAAGCAAATCTTGTGGCCAGTGGGGCCTCCGCTATCAGCCTGCTCCTGTCAACGGTTCGCCGCGTCACATGGCTGCGTCCATAATGCAAGCATGTGTCAACACACATTTTGCACATCTGACAGCGAAATACAAGTTTGCAGGAGAGCAGCTCAGACCGAACTCCAGCGTCTACATCAAAGTGGTCCAGCACTCAGGAGAACTGACTTAGCTGAAAAATAAATGAGGATGAAAAAGTCTGATCAAAAACATGACTTCAGTCTCCTCAGCTCTGCTAAGGAGGTCTCTGAAATTTGCAGGTGCACTGCTCCTTCACAGGAAGTCAGTGCTACCACATAACAAGAGAGGGGGAGGAGAAGGAGGAGGAGGAGGAGAAGGAGGGCCTACACAGCGACTGCATCCTGACAACAACCTCTGATTACACCAATCAGAGCAACACAGTCAGGGTGAGGGCAGGAGAAAAACCAGACCATACACCTCCACACTGCAGAGCCAATAAACAGCAGCCCTGACTCACTCAAAAGTCTACCCAACACCACTGACAAAGTAGCTAGCTGACAAATTGGAGAAGAAACTCGCCTAATATCAGGAGAGCTGTGGATGATGTGTCCGACCCACAGAAAAACTCCAGCTGTGGCTCAAATTTTAATGAGCGGCTCCTTTATTAATCAAAAACTCCAGACTCCATTTTAATCAGCGGATTGTGGAGATTACTGTCCTCCCCCTGCTTATAGGAGGGACAGACCTCACACAGACGTGCGCGGGCTTGCATGCAGCAGCTCCAATCGGCCACCACACTTCTACAACAAAGTCAAAGCGGCGGTTCATTTCCCCAAAGTGAATCATCTTAATACAAAAAAAGGTCAAACTGGTCCACGGGAGCGACATCCAATTAGTGTCAAGTGTGACTAATTATAATCTGACAAACGTGTGAAATGAAGTCAGAAACCCAAGACAGAAGCTAATTATAGCACATTGAAACACTTCATTAAGCACAGTTTATAGCAAGGAGACATTCCACATCAGAATGCTAAAACATGTCCGAGATGAAACGGCAGCCTGACAGCAGGCGTACAGTGATGCCTGTCCCGACAGCAGCGTGGGGGAAATTGTCCGAAAGGAAATTCACTCTCCGATGATAAACCCAATCTTTTGAGGAAACAATGTGAGCAAAGTCTGTGTTATCAATTACGTATTTGCATTAAACTCATGAACCTGCTTAATGAGCTGATCAGGTCACTGTGACAACAATTGTGTTGTTTTGTTCAATTTTACCAAAACTGTGCAGTCCTGGATATGCATGAAAGGTCCAGGACTGAACAGACATTGTTGGCATCACAGAGGGCTGGCTGGGAGTTCTCTTACTAAAGGCCACAACTAACAGAGTTGTTTTGATGCCAGTATCAGTGTTATAATCCGCCTGAGAAAGCCTAACACTTGTTATCAGAGAGCAGCAAGTATGTCAGACGGTCAATGTAATGATCCTCATTTATTAGGCGCCTAAAAATAATCAGGTTTTAGGTCAATTGTTTACTAATTATGACAAACCACAGCACACAGAGTACTGTTAGTCATAGCAAGCAAAACATCTCCATTTGTGGTTTTCTACCAATACGCATGTAAAACATACTTTGATGTTAGTGGTTTATAAGACCGATAAATCTGGAGCTGATTAGGGATCCGATATTTGGATTGGATATCGGCTCCGATATTGACAAATTAACTGGATCGGATATCGGATGAATGACGCCGATCCAGCGTTTCGATCCAGTCTTTCTCTTTTAATTAATTTTTCTTTTATTACATGGAACTCTTACTTTTTTTTGCTGTGTGCTCATGGGCAATTTGTTGAAAAATAATACTAAGCAAATTTATATCTGTGTTAATTTGTCACCTTTTTTTTTAACAAGGCTAATGTCAAGCCTGATGCCTTCACTTACAGGGCAAGGCATACAGTTTAATCATTTAACAGTAGTATTAGATCGGTATCAGATATCAGCCGATATGCTCAGCCCATGTATCAGTATTGGACTGGATCAGAAAAAAATAGATCGGTGCATCTCTAGAGCTGATAAGCGTTTAAAATTAAAATAGAAATTATCTGTCAATATTTACAATTTGGAATATTTGAAATTCATCACAAGATGCCTCAAACAAACTTGCAGCATCATATTTATGTTGACAATTACATTTACAGAGCATCAGGTACACACACTTGTGTAATGTCTTGCCAATCAGATAGTGTGAGTAGGACATCAGGTGAGACAGAGTCGTCACTAAAGACGGACCCAGAGAAAGGAAACACCAACAGCAGAGTCGAAGAAGAACAATAAAATGTAACCAGTGCTTGATAAAACAATAAGCCAGGGCCAACAATCTGTTTTGAACCCTGCCGGTACTGGGGAGGTCCTTTGTATTAGCCAATACTCAGTTACAGGTAAGGTATAAGTAGGGCTGGGCGATAAAATGATAACGATATATATTGATATTTAATTTCCCTCAATATCAATATAAAACATGGTCAATATGCTTTTCAATAGTCAGCATTCTCCCATGTTTTAGAAGACTAAACGAATAGACAATGAAAAGGGGAGTTTCTGCGGGTCCGCTTCGTGCTAAACCAATCCTGTGCTGAATTAGAACCAAGTAGCAAAAAACTGCGTATTGGAGGCTGCAGCTGCATGCAACCATAGCACTGTAACCCTGGAAACAGCTGACCAATCAGTCCGCTTTCTCTGGTGCAATGCCTTATGACAACACGTCGAAGGAGACACAAAGACCTCACAGATGCAGTAGCTTATTGTATTGCAAAGGACATGCTCCCAATAAGCACTCTTAAATTTCATTGTTTGTATCGTGGTATACCGATATTGACTGATGTGAAAAAAAATGTAGCGTGATAAACTTTTTTCCATATCGCCCAGCCCTAGCTATAAGCTGTATGGTCACATGTGCCTCAGTATTGTGTCTCACTTAACTTTTATGGTTAAAAAGAGACATAATGTGCAAATTGAGATGTTATAAAGTAGCCAAACAGGTGTCGCATAACCTATCCAGAAATAATACGCCGATAAAAATGGCAATAGTGTGGGTGAAGTGCAAGGTGTTGTGCGAGGTCCACTCCCTGTGCTCGCCATCCACCGAGGTGCCAGGGTACCTCTGTGGAGGAGCAGATGGTTCTCCTGCTTGTGCCCAACGCTTCCTCTCTGTCGGAGCATCTCTCTGACAGATGGGCCCAGGATCCTGGACCAAGCTAATCTCCAGCACTCCTCCACTTAAAGGCACAGTGGAGAGCCTGCTGCTCTACCTCCACACAGTCCCACAGACAGAGCCATGATGGTGAGAGGAACACATCAATACAGACTGAACGATCCTGTCACGCCAGACTGAACGTGCGTGCCATTAAATACCAAATAATGGAGGAGTTAACGCCTAAAATCTCAAGAAACTGCAGCTTATTCTTGTCTTTTTGCAGTAATATGTCAACCAATGGAGTGGGTTAAACAATACACAAGAACAAAGGAGAAATGGAGAAAAAGGTGGAGCATTTCATTGAAGTTGGGGGATAAAAACGATTAATGCACGAGCTCTTTGAGCACGAGGTGACAGTCTCTTTCCAACGACTGCCTAAAATTGCTGTCACTTTTGTCGTTTTCGCCAGCAAGCATGCAAATAGGCTACAAAATGCCTCCTCCCTTGCTTTACCGGGTCCTGACCACGTCTGCGCTCGGAGGAGCCAAAGTTGACATGTCGACAATTCACACTAACTATAAACGACTTTCGGAATGTCCGAGGATATTCCGCCGCTGTGCCCGACCGAGCACGAAGAAAATCGGCTTTTAATTATTCGGAGCAGCGCAAAGGCACGCTGTCGACAGTTTCCAAATAAATTTACAGCCCAGGAAAGACGACACTCTGTCGTGTTGAATGCATAACCGTGTGGAGAAAACGCTCTCCTAGGGCAGTCATAATGTCAAGCAGCCTTTCGCACATGTTTAAGACTAAATGTTAAAATCTCCTGGAATAAAAGAACTATACGAGGCTACTTTGCCATGCAAGAAGTACACAAAATGAATTTGGACAGCTTAATCCGTCATATGCATACGGCTGGGAATCACATGCACCAACAGCCGGTATTCACATACAAGTTGGCAACAAAATAATTATTCAAAATGTCCTAAATGTCTAAATTACTTACGCTTTTAGTGGATTCTGAATGACAGCCGCCATTTTGCTACAATGTAACGCAATATCGGCGTCTTGCAGTTCTGAGGGAAACCTACAGCAATGGACCAATCAGAGCACGGGGTGAATTCGTGGACCAATACATCCACTGCATACACGGATGGGGCGTGGCTTAATGGGGTAAACTGTCAAAATTATTTTAAAGGGTTTTCCCTTGTATTTATATTGTGGACTGTAAGTGAATAACAACAGTTTGAAAGAGACCCTTACTCAGGCTTGAATTGCATATAAAGTGCAATTCTACGCGGGGACCACGCGCTGCAAGAGGCACAGAATATCAACATGGATGCTTGGGGTTTAAATATTTATTAAAATGATTATAAATCATTTATCATCATCAATAAGCACCAAGCAAATATTTTTCCTCTCTGTTTCTGGAGCTGCAGTGTTAGAGAGGAATGCAAACAGGGCTCATAATACTCAGGCTTGCACACCATCTTTTCCTCCCACATACAGTACAGTAAGTGGTTTGACACAGGGAGGTTTAAACACACAGAAACACACACCATAGACATGGAGGCAAATCCAGATTCTGTTTCTGATGGACAAGGGGTGATACAGATCTTTAATTTTATGCAAACTTTTCACCAGTTTATCAAATATCCACACATCACCTCTTCAGGTTGGTTTGAACAGCTTTAATTGTATCAGTCAGTCCTGCTTGATTTGTAGTGTGTAGGTGAGAAGTGTTGATAGCACCCAAGCTAATACAAAAATTGGACATCAGTATTTGCATTTGCACACAATTGCATTGGACTAAACTCCAGTACAAATCATCTGTCATTATCTATTTCCTATTCTACGCTGTGCAATATTAGCATCTCAGAGAGGGGTGTGTGTGATGCAACATTCAGACACATAGATCTATTTTAAGACGAGGCAGACTCGACATCTTCTCATCAGACTTCAGAACTAAAAAGTTCCACGTTAGAAGCAAAGGGAGGGTTAACTTTATCTACAAAGCTCACAATCCACAAATATCCTTTTTTTTTTTCTTAATTTTGACAACAAATGCAAGCATACATGTTAAAGGCATCAATTTGTGCTTTATAAGATATCCTTCATGGAACTCAATAACTCAAAACTGGTAAAGATGCCACATCGGTTAAAGCTTTCAGTCACTAAATGTGGATCTATATTGTGATTTTCTTTTTTTTCCTGCAATATTTTGCATCAAATTTTGTGTAATTCTAAAAAAAAAATATATGAAGGGGAGAGGTGACAATACATAGCATATAAGTGATCATACAGTAACTTATGTTCAAAGAAATCTTTACAAATTCAGCCGTAACAGGAAAATAACGAGGCCTGTGACAACCCGTGACAGGAGTCTGTTTCCTGTCAGGCTCTGCCAACAGAGACCCAGGGACCAGAATTTGATTTATAAAACTGGTTTGAGGACAAATATGAATACTCATAAGCTCTGCAAAACAATACTAATACAACCAATCAGATAGTAAATATTTGGAAAACAATACAACTCAAGGTGTGAAGAAAACCAACATGAAAAATGAACACTTTATGACACATGAACACTAAAAATGCCGCCTGTTAAGAGAGATGGTGAGGTTTCGTTAGAGATCATCCTCTAAATAGAAAAAAGGCCATCGGATCCTCACACTGTCATAACGCATGCCAGAGTGCTCAGATTTTTTTTTTTTTTCAATACATAAATAATTTTCAACATTTCAAATGTACACTCTAACGTAGCTCTATGTTTTCATACAACCACAAAGTACATGATAAAATATAAACATCGAATCAGCACAGACACAGTGACCTGAATGATTTTTGGCACACCAGATATCCACAATGCAGACTCGACTGAAGCAGAAATCAGCTCGGTTTGCAAAAGAGCGCTTGATCAAGTGGATATCTGGGATTTGGCCACGGTAAGCAACAGCCTATAACAGCTGAAAAAGGCTTAGTGCAAAAACTAAAAGTGTTGCAATACAGCATGCAATGGAACCTGCATGGATATAAAGTATGTCCTCGCCATTACAAGTACGACATCAGAGAAACAACGCGCAACGAGAAGAATTGGTTGAAACTATCCACACCAACCCAGAGGGGTTCTCAACTAGCTAATATTCTTTAAATGATACATCTTTTTATATTTTCTAACAGTAGAAAAATAGCTGAACAGCCTTATTAAAGTAAAAGTAGGGATTTGTGTTGTAAAGAATCAAAATATTCACTCTGTGAATAACCAGAGTGGAAATGCACGTTTCACACTCAGTCAAGTAACTCACATGTTCTGGCTGTTCTACAAAGGCCACAAGAACTCTGAAATCCCAAATCTGCTAAGTATCCTAAAAAGTATATGCCTAAAAACTTCCTTTCCACAGATACGAGACAGAACCATCAGAGGAACAGAGGTAAAGCTGTGTCAAAATGACCGCTGAGTGAGTGACTGGTTCTCTCTGCTGTTCTGAGGAAGGAAGGTTTTCCCCCTGTTAAAGTTCTCCAGGTTTCTGGTTGCAGCTGGCGCACACGCGAACAGGGTGGTCCCAGCCCCGAGATGGAACCGTCCGACGCTCCGGGGAACAGTCGTCACACACTCCTTGGCCACAGGCGCGGCAGTGGTGCTTGGACAGCTTGGCAGTGAACTCGCGCTGGCAGTTGTGGCAGGAGAGGATGTCCTGGTCAGGAACCCAGTAGGCGGGACGAGCTGCATCCTTCACCAGGCCTACAGGGACACAGCACATATAGTAATAATAATAATAAGGTTACATTTACTCAGTGTGCTTACTGTGTGGTTATCTCTCTAAATGTCAAAGTGCAGACATGTAAAGACTGCTTTAATATTTAAAAGACAAGTTGGTTTGAAGAAAGATTTCAGGTTAAAACTCTTCCAGCTAACACTGCCAAAGCTCACCAGAGAGCACATTTATTTCTAGTCTGATTAATCTGTAAGAAAAGCTTGATTGTTAACAACTTTATGTTGTGGTTTTACAAGAGGTTATGTTTGAATCTTTTGCCTGGCGAGGCGTAATTACATCCTAGAGTTTCCGCTGGCAACTGTGTCCATCTAAAAGAGTCCAGCACATGAGTTCTATTGCAGTCCTACAAAAGTGTCCCTCCCAAAATGTCGAGCTAATGCTTTCCAATATAGAGGTGTTGTGCAGATATCCTATGAGCCAATTACATTACACCTCCTTGCTTATTAAATACTGTGACATGCTGCAGAGCCTCAATATATTTGCCATTTACTCCATTCAAACAGAAGACTACATGAGTAAGATTAACTTCTGTTGTTTGTAAAGATCAGCTTTAGGTTGCTCTTGCTTTCTTTAAGCTTTATCCGTGAAGCCGACTTGTCCTCTCCACTCTCTTGAAGTGCACCTTGACATAAAAAACTAGCTACTTGGTCAGGGGTATCCATGGAAACTTGGTAACAAGATTTGGAAACAAGTCAGCTAATTCATTTGTGATTGGAGCAGACTTAGCTCTGGGGTATTTTTGGGTTGGTGATGGATATAGGAAGGTTTTCAGCAGGATATCAGGTTATCTGAGGCATATTTATCTCTGCCCTTTAACAGAAACCGTGGTTATACAGCAGGCTTATGAGGAAGCCTAATAAAGCATGGTTCTTATGATAAAGGTTAAATAAACTGTAAGGTTTTTATATAAGAGCCATAGACTGTGCAGCAGAGCCAGTCTTCTCATAAACTCTGCATCCTGAGAGTGCTGAAGTACCTCCTCAAGAGCAAGCTCATATCATGTAAAGCTGTCTCCAAACATTTATATCTTAAGCAAATACCTTGTGCGTTTACAACAGGAAGTCTTGTAAAATGAAAGGAGTAAACAGGCTAACTGGTCATCGATCTCACCTTTGCACCAGTATAAGCACCAGAACTTGATGTCTGTTAAAAATTAGGCAACAGAACACTACCAGGAAAAAGTAAAACCACTGATGTGTTCAGCAGAGCTGGGCAAAGTAGTTTTTGGTGCTGTAGTTAGTGTGTGTAGGAGGATTGTAATTTTGCGGACTGCAAACATTTTTACTGGCAAGAGAAAGAAGCTACAAATGAGTGGACAATCTGTATCTGAAGATCATCTTACTACAACATAAACTTACTCTCTCATCTGAGCCTCTAAATACCATATGATTAAAGCTGAAAAACGCAATCAGCAGGTTTGGCATCATTGCTCTAGTTTGTTCTTAAATTAACTTTCAAACTTGTACAGGCTCTGTTGAAATGAGATCATTTAGGTGACATGTATTCCTATGAGTCGTTAAACTCCTACACAACACATCAACAAGGGTTGATTCTAAAAACGAGAGCTTTTCTTTTCTTTTCATAACCTTTTTGTTCTAAATAAGCTCACTACACCTCTGCCACCAGAGGGCATTGCACCCTTTCACTCACAGTTGCTGGGTCATCTATTATTGTTACACAACGCTCCTGTTTAGGCTGTGTGTTGGGCAACACTCACCAAGTGGGATGTCAATAGCAGTGACCACAACACCAATAGTGCTGGTCACAGCTTCCCCGACCTTTCTGGCAAGGTTTCCACCCTCTTCCTCCTCGAGCTCTGCCTCAAGCAGCTCTGGAGAAAGAAAAAAAATAACTTTGCTAAAAATAAACTCAAAACAAATGTGAACTGACCATATAGTAGATACTCAATAATGCTGAGAGTGTGTGTACCTGCGAATGAAGCTCTTTGCTCAAAGCAAACGTCACAAACTCTGACAGGGGCAAGACCCCAGCCTCTCTCAGGGACAGGAGCGGCTTTGGATGAGCAGCCATCACAGAAACCCTCCCCGCAGGCACGGCAGTGATGTTTGGTGTCGTTGTCCTGGAAGACCGTGTGACACTTATGGCACACCTTGTTCAAGAGAAAAAAAACAAAAACAACAGCAGCACGAGTTGTTATTGACCTCAAGCTCAAGGGAAGAAGACGCAATCTGTGTCTTTCCAGGTTTTATCTTGTGACCCGCAAACACCGATTGTGTAATAGGCTCGGAACAGCACACATAGTAAACATCCCTGTGGACATGAAAGTGTTGACTTGGCTGTTGGTGGCAGAAGGTGGAGGGGGCTGGGCTGTGTGTGTCACTCACCAAGAGGAGGGAGTTGGGTTTCCAGTAGGCTGGAGCGATCTGATCCGTCAGCCAGGAGGTGACGGCCTTCGCAGGCTTGACGCTGAGCTCTGACACAGACTGGGCTACTAGGTTCACTCCATCCAGAAGACGCTGTGCTGCGTTACTGTTGTCCTTTAAAAAGCCATCCGACTACAGAAAACAGATTTTTACCACATTTTTACCAGCTTTCATTATAAAGAATCATAATCTACACAATATGAAGATATCACAGAGTCTGATTCTCTTACCCCTGGCCACACATGCTGGATTTCAGTACGCACAACAGTATCCACAGGGTCCTGGTTCCCATACCAGTACTGACGGCTACGATAGATCACTCCACAGTTTGGACATTCAATAACATACCTGTTCAAACACAAATGTTTAACTCAGGTCATGTAAATCAATCAGGTGTAACATGAAACATGCAGGTCAATGTTAAAAGACATTTGATACATCAGGTCTGAGTCTGGTACAGCAGAGCTAAAATTATGCTCTGTAAAAGGTAACATAAGCTTAACTAAAGTGTGTCTAGCCTGACATTTCACTGTAACTCACCCAGACCAGGCATATTTAGCAAGACCCAACCATGGAGAGTCTGAGGAAGCTGAGGTCTTGGGGACGACTACCACCTCCTTTCCGCCTTCATAGCAAGCCTAAAACGATGCACAAGCACAATCACTTTAAGATTCATCATTAAACAGTGAAGTTGGAGGCTATACTGAGAAACACCTGTGAAACTGTGCTTACCTTGCAGGTGTAAATGCGGTTGTCATACTGAGCAGAGTAACGACAACGATGCTTTGCCTCATGGCGCGCTCCTTCTCCTAAGTGGTTCATGCTGTTCTTGCAGCCAGATCTTTGAGAAAAATAATAAGTCAGAGTGGTATTAAATATCAAGAGTGGGAGATTTAGGGAAAGCTTTTCTCTTGAAATTAGTATTTTCATACTCACCCACAACTGAGGCAGAGGCAGGAGCAGGTGAAGTACTCATCGGGAAAGAAGCAGCTGTGGGCTGCCAGCTCACCTGTAATTTCTCCATTAAAGCGCTCACTCAGTGCCTGTGGGAAAATGAAGGATGAGTAGAAATGAGTAGATGCAGACAAAACAAAGTGGTGCACGTCATCTTTATCTAGCAATAATGTACCCAAACAGAACTCATCCATCTATACCAATACACATCCCCAGTACACATTCATTTGAAAAGAAAATAAGATAACTTCAGACAACCATGTCAGGGATGTCCGGCTGAACCATTAAAGCAGCTTATAATTTCATTTTTTAGTTGATTTTTTTTTCAACAACAAAAACAGTCTGTTATGAAGCAATTCAAACGCCAGCTGCCGCCAAGTCCACCCACCTGCAGGGCTTTGAAGATGACCACTGGGGTCCGAGGGGAGCGGGTGGCGTTATTGTCAAGGAGCTGCTCCAGTTTGTTCTGCAGGCCGCGGAAGTCAGTAGGAGGGTTGAGAGTCTGTGTTCCCAAGTATTGTACCGAGCTGAAGGCTTCAGGGAAACGAGAAACCTTCTTAAAGCGCTCTGACAGCAGTCGATCCACCGACTCGGAGGACTTGTCTAAAGCAAGGCACGGATAAATACATTACCACAGAAAGTCGGAAACATTATGAAAATAGAAATATTATATTTGTATATCAGTTAACTTGATTGAATAATAATTCTAAAGCTCTCCTTGTGATATATGAGAGGAGAGCTGCATGGTGTGTAAATGCCTTAGGTATCAGCAGATAAAATGTAAATCTGCAGGGCTGATATTTACACTGTAACACAAGAGCAAAAGAAGCAGCTGCTGCGGTCTCAAATCAAATGAACTTCACACAGGGGTGAAATTGTTGACACTAATAGAGAGTTTAACCTGCAGCAGGATAACTGAATGACAAAAAGAAACTCAAGCTATGTCTTTTAAGTGTGTGTCTACAGGAATAAATATGTGTACTTGACTTCACACCATAGTTTGTGCTGCTTGTTGTCTAGAATGTGGTGTTTTAACATTTCACAAAGCAGCTGGAATGCTAAGTGCTACTCCTTGCGCAGATGAAACAGACACTGCAGGCTAATATTTGCTAAACCTGCAATTATCTGCAGTGCTAAAGTCTTAGTTTACTTTAAAGGCACGCGCTTGTCCATTCCAATGATGCAGACCTACATTCAGAGATGGATGACAATGTCCTGTTCTGATGGAAGTAAAGCTATCTGACCTTTAACTTGTTTAGTAAAGTTGTAATAGAGGGGATCTGTTTCACCTGATCCAAGTAGCTTAGTGTGGACTGTTTCATGGAAGATGACCACTGCTGGGCCCAGCGTGGACAGAGGGACGTCGAGGCCGCAGCGAGCCGTTGTCGCCTTCAGTTCCTTGGTGAAATGCTTCAAGTAGGCATCAGAGGCGTCGCCGAGGAACTTGAAGAGATCGTCATGTAGGCGGTCAGCATGGGTTCGGTAGATGATGAGGTCGGAAATGGCGAGCACCTTGAGCAACAGACGAGTTCGCTGACCCTGTTTGGAGCTGTTCCCGAGCAGCCCCTCTGTATCAATGACCACTACTTTCCGGCTGGGGTCAAACGCTGCCCACACACCCACTGTACAGGACTCCTGCGTAGGGGACGTCTTGAACACCTCCTTGCCCAGGAAGAAGGTGTGGTTCAGGGTGTGAGACTTGCCCTCTCCTGTGTTGCCAAAGATGGACACCACCTTCAGCAGCTGATCAGGGTCGCAGCTCAGACGCTTCACAAATGAACTGTCATCCTTTATCTTTGAGGAAAAAATAATGCAGAGTGAACTTTTAGTTTTTAGGAGGGTGGTTATACACACATCAGGTAAAGTGGAAAAGTATAAAAACAGCATCAAGGAAAAGGAGACATGCCTGCACAGAGCACACTAACTCGGTACACCGAAAGTGTTATAATCACAATTTTCCAAATAAAAGGTGATGGTTTTTTAAAAAAGTGGAGTTGTATCCAAACATAAGTTTGCAAAATAAACTGATAAGCATCAGGGTGGCAGGTGTGGTCAAATGTGCAAAAAGGGCCAAAGTGAAAAACATCTATATGCAACATAAAAAAAAATACAATGAACATAAAAAATATCATCCTATAACTACAAAGTTTATCTTTTAAAACATATCACCTAAAACAGACTCCTTTTGTGTGAATATGTAAATAAATACCACTACAGAAATTCATGGGTGTTGTTTTTTAGGATGTAAATGTTTTCTATGTTCAATACATCTTCACTGATTTCATCTAAAAATGTGTGTTTGAAACAAAGGTTTTTATTAAATGAAATTTCTAATATATCTTACATGAAAACCTCCTGTTGAATCTACTTTAATTGATCTTTTTGAACGTCTTTGTTGTCATTTTCACAGGTCTCTTGAATAAAAAATAATTAATTGTAAGTTCAATAGTGTACCCTAAATCGCAGCCTAAATGTCTGAAGATTAGAGGTGTAATAACTCTGTCATATGGATGAAAGGGTGTTTAAATCACCCCCTTTTCTCTTGTTGCCTTTAAAAGAAATATTACTTAATGAGGACCATTTGTAGGGTTGGTAAACTTTTTGCAGAGCTGAATGCGTGTGCAGGCTAGCTCCCTTTGATTTCCAGCATCAAATATTCAAGCAACAATATGTCCAATCTTAGAGTCACTGTTTCACTACTAACCTGCATGTCCTCATTTTCATCCACCAAGAGAAAACTGGAAACCTTCTCCAGAAGTTTAGCTCTCTGAGACTTGGTCTCATCGTCTATTTGGACAGCAGGTGGAGCAGATGTTTGGACAGAGCTGACCACTGTTGGTTTTGGAGGAGGTGGGTAAGAAGTCAGCTGGTGTTTCTTCTTGTTGCCTCCACTGTGGGTGCGTTTCTGACAGTCTTGGCACAGGTTAAGTTTGCAGTTCTGGCAGCGGACCACAGATCTGCGGCGTTTACCATTGTCTCCATTTCCTCCTTTGCAGTTGTCACAGTAAGGAACATGACCAGGACCTATGTGAACCCGTTCATGGTTCTTCAGACTCTCCTGATTGTGGAGCTCGAGCTCACAGCGGACACACTGCAAGCTTTTGCATTCATCACACTCAAATGCAGCTTCCTCAGAGCCTCCACAGGCATAACTCTCCTGACATATTAGACTAGTATTGACTCCCTTTTCTGAAGATGAGCCATGGCCACTCATCGTTTCTTACGAGGAAAACTTCAAACAAAGTAGTGCTTATTATACACCTTTGACAACAGCAGCAGGAATTACTTGTGTTAGATAATAAAAAGTGACGCGCATGTAATAATACTGTTAACTTAAAATCAACTTAAAACAGCTGCATGGTACAATAAAAACGTGGAAATATGAAGTAAAAAGGTAAAATTATGTAATTTGTGCAACTGGCAGTGAGGCAATAAAGCAGAGACAGCCGTCGTCTCGAGTAACACCTGATATCTTATTACCTTAGTGAGCTTGTTCGTGTCTCTGCATTTAGCTGCAACAGTAAATATTATATGTCATAAGTTAACAAATAAAACAAAAATAAAGCAGAAAATACGCGTGTCTCTCGTACCAACCGAGACAATGAACTCTCTCTGAAGAGATGAATGTGCAAATGTTGATGCTAACAACAGGCTAGCTTTAGCAAAGTGAGCCTCAGCAGCTCGCTCGGGAATAATTCAGCCACAAAGCAAATTTCATGTAACTCACAGCTAACTGGCTTCAACGGACGGGTTCAACTTTTTTTCGAGAGAAAGCTTTAATAAGCGAAACAGCGAGCTTTAACAGTTCACATCCGTCCTTACAAGCAGCTAGCCTCCAGTCTGTCAACTGGGCTGAAACAACATATCAACAAAAACAGCAGCCCGTCGATGTTCAAAGCTCGGATACCCGCGGACTCTTTAACTCTACACGAGACGGGAGGGAAATCTGGGCGAGTCCGTGTAAAAAAAAAAGTCTCTCAAAAGTGTTTCTGTCTTTGAATCCTTCCGAGCAGTGTCATTGTTTTGTTCTTCAGCCCCCTCCCTGACAGAGCTCTCTAGCTACGTTATTTTGTTGCCAGGTCAGATCAGCTGATCAGATTATTTTCAGTCACAGGGTCAGGGGAGGGTAGAAGGCGAAAGCATGACGGGAACTGTAGTTCACGAGACAACACAGACTATGGACTCCATGCATGTTAAAATTCAGTCTCTGTTTAATAGGCGACATTTTGTGAAGATTTAGCTCACTTTTCCCACATTTAGCTTGTTTTTCTTTCATTTGAGACCGAGGTTTATGTAAAACAACATGTTCTTTTTATTTGTTAAAAATGTGTAGACATGAAAAATAAATATAAATATAAATGTTACATATAAATCTAAATCTTAAATATGAATATAAATATAAATATAAGTATAAATATAAATCCTAAATCTTTAATCTAAATCTCCATGTTAAATCTAAATCCAAATCAAAATGTTAAATACAGACCCAGCGCCAAGGCATAAGCGAACTTAGTGCCTGCTCAGGGCCCCCAAGGGCGGCCAATAGGGGCCCCCCCAAGAACAATAAAAAATAAAATAAAAAAAATATATTTTTTGCATGCATAAGTGTCGCTTTCTGTATGATCAAATATATATTATTGTAAAAATAAAATAAAGAAAAAACATTAAACTCTTTTTTTAAATGTGCTGCTGCTGATGTAGGCCTATGATTCTTACTGCTGATATGTCAAAGCCCCGCTACCGTTATGTGCCTTCTGCTGTGTAATGTGCACTGAGCATCCAAAGCGCAGGTAGTTGTGGGGCAAAACAATGTTGCGAAAAAGGACATATCCTACAGGAGCAGAGAAAAGAAAGAGGAAAAAGAGATTTCTCTGGATTTTCTTCACAATAGTACAAAATATAGATGATGAAATCCCTAAAATCATTGCTATTTTAACTGAGGAGCATGATTCTGTTGAACTGTTTGCTCATGCGGTCTAGAGAGTGGTGAGCTTTCCAACTTAACTTCTAAAACACTCTGGCTTTTATGAAGTGCTTTTCATACCAAGTCACATCCCTTACCTGTTGCAAAATTGGTTGAAAGGAGTTATCTAATCTTTTTTGAGATTACACAACTTTTTCTGTGATTTGTTATCACAGCCACAGCTTATTTTAAACATTAAATGCAAAGTTTTATACAACAAATATTTTTGGTTTTAATATTGGATTTTTGTCCTATTTTCAACACAGACAGAGTTTCCATTTCCAAAAAACATTAAAATCTGTTTTGATGGGAAAACTGTGTAAAACACTGTAAAACATTGTACAGTATTCAAACTTTTCTTTTGAAACCAGGTTGTATTTTGTCAGTAAATCCTAATTACTGTCCTTGAAAATACACCCTAAAACTCCATGTGGGTGGGTGTATTAAAAATATCAGGGAATCAGGTTTCTTCGGTAGTAAGCCCCAGTGTTAGATCCCATACAAAGGGTAGATTTAAATGGCTTTTGTTTTGTAAATCAGCACTTCAAAGACTCGGTAGGTGACCATTTGTTCCACATGCAGTTTGGGTTTTCCCTCCATTTCTTCACTGACAGGACTTTCCACTGGATGTTTTCAGATTTATTTCAAGAACAGTAATGAAAAAGACAACACAAAAATAGCGATAGTATGCATCATACTATAGTACATATATAAAATCACGCACAAATGTACACACAAATATAAACAGTAAGAAACAAATTATGAAACCAGGAATTGGAAACATAAGAGCAAAGTAGAAAATCTTTTGTACTAACAGAAAAGGTTTGTCAAATATACAGGACTTCACAGTTTGGTGTCAGTGCAGGTTTTCAGTGATCTTAAATTCTTGCTTTGGTGCTAAATTCACATTTTCAGGAAGATGCATGGCGAAAAAAAATCATATTTTGTCCACACAAAAAACACAGGCTGTGTCAACAACGCTGAGAACATTGAATTCACTGTCTTTTCTCACATCAGATAAAATAAAAGATTTTCCTCCATCCAGAACCACAAAAACTCTTCAAGCGCTTCAGGGGGCTGAGCTCTTTAGATTTTGCTCCACCAGTGTGCTTGTGTCTGATAGCAGCAGTTATTGCAGAATCAAACACAGCTTTGAGGTTATGTTGTGTTAGAGCTGAACACTCCATATAGTCCTGAGCTCGGATCCTGCGTGCCAGCCTCCTGGCCCTGCTAGAGCGTACCGGTTTGGCTCTCATGAACTGGTCCAGATAAATGAGGACTTCCACATTGTGACAAAGGTCCGACTGGGTCCCTACCAGAATGATGGGAGAGGTTTGGTTTCCTGCTCGGATCTGTGGGATCCATTTAGAGGTAATGTTGTTAAAGGAGACAGGGTTGATCAAGCTGAAGCAGAGGATGAAGACATCCACATGGGCGTAGCACAGAGAGCGGAGATGGCCAAACTCATCCTGGAAAATTAAAGAAAAGACAGAAATGAAGGGCGAGCAATTAAAACTAATCTGTTAAAGAAAATCTTAAGGTGTCATGGCAAACTGACCTGTCCTGCAGTGTCAATCAGCTTGATTCGGGTTGGAAATCCATTTACATGCACCAAACCTAAAAATTAAGAAGCAGACATCAGTTTTATGCTAAGATCATAAGCCATCAAACTCTACAGTGCAACTGTAACTCACCAGTGAAAACATCAAATGCTGTCTGCAAGTACTTGCTGCTGTATCCATTGAAGATGTAACTGATGATCATGCTGGTCTTCCCCACAGCTCCATCACCAACCAGCATGCAGCTGACCTCCTCCTTCAGTCTGTGAGCTCTCTCATGTCTTTGGCTGGCCATCCTTTTTTTTTTTTTTTTTTTTCTTTTTTTAAATCTTAGATGATCATAACTCCTCTCTATAGTTGTGCAAGCAGCATTACTGTAATACTGTCTGCTCGACCCCCAGGAGGCCTGTTGGTGTAAAGGGCACCTCGATTTGAAAGAACAAAAGCGCCCAATCAGAGAGTGATGCTCCAACATGTCTGTTTCCTGTGGTCACACCCTCCAACAAGACCCCCGGCCTGACAGCTGGAAACGACCGGCGATGTGACCCTGAATGCCTCATCACCAAAAAGGATAGTAGATCGATGGACTGCAGAGAGACTCCAGCTGACGAGCTCCGCTGCATTAAAAGACAAATTTATGATTTAAAAAGGAGTTATCTCAGCTTGTAGGAAGTCCCTTTTGGGTCTTGGTTTAAGGGGTTATTTACATGCTACTGTGTCCAGTAAACTATCGTGTTGTTTCTCCTCCTGCTTTACATTAAGCCGAACAGATGTATAGATGTAGTACCATATTTGTGCGTTAGAGGGCAGCGTTGCTCCAGTATCCAGATTTGGTCTTTGCAGTTCAGTTGTTGCACATCACACAGACACAGTTTTTTTTATATTTTGATGAACGTTTCCTTTTACGATTTGGTGTAGCAAAAAGTGATATTCACATATATCCAGATCTATAATTAAATTGTGCTTTTTCGTGTTAAACTGTCTGTGCAGAGATATTTCACTTTGTTATGTCTCATAAAAGGCTATCTTCAGTGAACAGTTAGTTTAGCTTAGTGGATATACATTCTCAAAATATAATAAAACATTAAGTTTTTGTTGGGGACAAATTTTAATTTGATCAGTTTTTGGTCAGATTTTTTCTTGTGTTTTCAATCCACAAAGGGTAAAAGGCTCAGCTGAGGTGGGCATTGTGACTCTGACCAGCTGCAGTATAAAGCAGAAACCTCATGTGCCATCTTTCATCCGGCTGCTTTCAGGGTCACAGGGTTTAAAGTTCCTCTGAAAATTATATGATTCAAAGTTCCCCAAACATTACAAAACTTCACAATTGTAACTATGAATTTTCTGGTTGCATTCTAAAACCACTAAAACCCCAACAAATAACCAACTATACCCCAAGTACGTTTTTGACATACACAGGGACATTCCTGTAAGTCGCTGTTCCATGAAGACTGCTTTTCCTAACTTCATTTGAATTTGCACAATGTTTATATCGTGCATTTTACCTTTGTTAACAAATGGAAACACCAAACTACTGACTCCAAGATATCTGCTCTAATCATAAGACATCTGAACGCTGTACTTCATACTGCCTCAGGTTCACTGAGCTATCTTCGGTGCAGCTTTGTGTGACTTATTCACTTGTTCACACTTTTTTTTTCCATCAAGAAAAGTTGTGCATGTGATGATGCTCATGATAAGCTTTTAAATTTTGACAACACCGCAGTTTCTGTGCCCTCTATAATTAAAAGTCTTGCTCCGTTTGGCTTTTACAAAGGTCTTCTGTTTTTAAGCTACAAAAGCTTCATACTATTTTCAAATTCAAGACCTGAAAACCAACACCCTCTGCCTCACATCACAGCCATAAAACAAAAAAGTAATATGGGCTTTAGAATAAGTGAGAAACATTTCAGGTTGAAAATCCAGCATTAAACAAAGTGTTGTTCCTTATCTGTCTGAGCCTGCAGGAAACTCTGTGAGCATTGTGTTGTAAGGTCTCTGCTTCCTGTTTGCCGTTGTTTTCCCCTCACTCGTTCTCTTCTCCCTTTCTCTCCTCTTTTTTCCCACCACCTGCGGTGCGAGAGATCGAGTTTATTCTCCATGGTACGACAACATCTGGTCCCCCCCTTCTGAACACACATCATACTGCCAGCTTGGCTCCCATGCTGCACCTCTGGCAGCTGTGAGTCACAATGCTGTTCCTTAATTCAAGGTAAATGTCAAACACAGGAAGCCCTCTTTAAATATCTCTGCATTCAAAGGCTCTTTTTCCTGAAACAGACACGTTTATCATTCTCAATCAAACAGTGAGCCCCTCTTTAGTGCGTAGTGCATGATGCAACAGCTTTTAATGCGTTTGCTTGTTTACCTTTTCTTGTGCAGCAGATGAGAGTAGCATGCCCATGACTTTACAGTTTCTCAGTGCAGAGAAGACGTGAAAATGTGATCCATACTGTAAACATGTTTTGTCTCTATATTCTCACGCTCTCTCTTTGCATGACTAGACATGCAGAAATATGTCCTGACATAGATTTATGGAAGTAATCTGCTTAGTAAGAGTCTGTCAATGCGTGCCGCACTAGGAAAGCCTGCAGGGAGCACAAAGCACACCTAAGAATGAATCCCACCCCAGTTTATCACCCCACTCCTGTGAATTTGTGCAAATATATCAAATAAGATCAACTCAAATTCACATCGAGTATCCCTGAACGGTTGCTGTGTTTGTTAAAAAGTAAACCCAGAATCTGGCTCGAGCGCTTTCACACATCAAATCTGACAACAATAGAGAAATCTGTCAAAGAGGTGTTAAAAGATTAAGCTCCTCCCTAAGCCTGAGATAAGCGTGGCACACTACAGACTGGGCCCCAAACAAGTGGCTGACACTGAGATAAGGTGATAAACAAGCCATTTGCATAACATCTCCAGCATAATGTCTCTTTAAGTAGATATGGCCAAGGCTCTTAAGTGGTGAGGATTAAAGCCGGATGGATGCTTATTCTACAAAGACACCCCTCATAATGGAAAGCTGTCCCTGCTTCTTCTTTAGTTCCTAGGTGCTACTTCAGGGTCACGACTGGGACACTTTCGAGGCATGTCCTCGGAATAATCTCTGGGACACAGTGTTGATGCTAACAACGATCTGATGTCAAAGGTCCTGACCTGCTTGCTTGAATTTAACACTGAACATAAACATTTGTGTATTAACTCGCCTCATGTTCATTGATGACTTGTAGATGTTGACCTTCGGGCGTGGATTTGAATTATCACTTACGCACTGAGTAGATGTATTTCTAGCATGATCTGCTGCGAAATTTTAACAAACAATCGGCACATTTTAGTCATTTGTAGCTCAACTATAAAGCCGCATCAGAAATAAAGCAGCAGTTACAGCTGATAACATTATCAGGCCTGAAATGCTGAAGTGAAGATACTAAATTCTGGTGTTCGCATGTAAATACATTTATAATAGCAAAGCTTAAATGCTAACTTTTGGTCGCTATCTTGTTGTAGTTTGCTAGCATAAGATCACTGATTAGCATGAGGCACACAAGCTGAAAGAAATATATTAGTTTGACCTAAGCTACTATGGTCTATCAGGATGGGACAGTAACTCATCCAACTCGTAGATTCATGGATGTAAACAATGACGCCTCATAATTTTGGGCTTCATGTTTGTGGCATAAAGGTCAGAGGACCTTAAAACTCATGATGATACAACTCCTGGGGATTGTGACTGTTTGGTACCAGATTTCTTTGCAGTCACTTCATTCATGGTTGGGATGTGTATATCAGTCCTGGAGTAAAGTGTCAAATTTAAATGGCCATCCTGGATAATTGAAACTTTTAATCCTGCGAACCACTCTGCCTGTTGTTGTTTTCTGTGCAGAATAGGTGCTGAAATTAAATTTATGACTCCTCAGCCAAGCTGCAAACAACTCAGGAGCTGTGAATTGAATAGTCTGTGAATTTATGGAAAGCAATGACCCCCTTGTGGATACTTTTTGTTGGTTTGACTGTGAGCCTAACTGAAATGACGTTTTTACGTCGTGGAAATGCTCAGGGTTTCTCCGAAGTTTCCTTATGGAAAGTTCCCGATATTGACACTCTCTTTTCTTGTGTACTCCTGCGAACTGGTCTCCAAAACACATGAGCCATACTATGTATCTCTGGTTTATTAACAACAGGATACAGCCCCCTTCCCAAGTCATCTCAAATTCTGGCACCTTATGGCCTCAGCGCCGAGTGATTCATGGGAATTCAGCCTCTGTTGATCCCCCCACCCCTCAACTACCTCCTGACCCCTGTTGTTCACATTCTTGACTTGTATCCAGATATTGCAGGAAAGCATAAACTACATCTGTGAATGCAATAATCGTGTGAATCAGGATATCCATGCCTTGACTTTTTTTGTTGGATCAGAGCATTTTCAGTTTATCTGAATTAATATCATAAACAGTTTTGTATCATCCATATCAGCTTAGGATAAGTCATCATGTCCCAATTTTGAAATAAAGCCTATGTGTTTTTGGGCTTTTGTTTGCCAGCAAGCATCCCTGTCAATTTAGTTACTTCTGCTCCATTAAACCCTGGCAGGGGTCCAGTAGGAGCGGATTAATCTGTCTTTACCCTCCAGAGAGCCTCGGAGGGGGGTCTGTCGTGGCTCCACGAATATACAGTGGAAACAGCCAACAGAGTAACATCAATCAGTCGTTTTGGTGACTGTGATCTTGGAAAAGTGAGGAAATAAATGAATAGACTGATTAAATACACATGTAGAGCTGCTAAGAAGACATTTTATCAAGCAAATTGTTTCTTTGCTCTGTAGGGTATTTAAGGACAGGGTATACTAAAATGTAAGAATGAGAACATGTTTGGTCGTTCCCATGAGAAATTTCTGATTGTGCTGTTTTTTCAGCCGCTCTCACTGGGCAGCAATCAAATCAATTTAAAAAGAATGCAATGACAAAATGTGCAAATATGTGTGATGGGTTTGTCTGCGTATTCTAGCTGGCAGTGACATATTCACAACCTCATAGGCAACATTAAACACTCGCGCTGTTGACACTCACAATAACCTTTATGAGAAGTTTGATATAGAAACGTAAGAGCTGCTCTGAGGGTCTGGATTTTCAGCATGGAAAGTTTTCTGGTTACCTGTGAGTTCAACTTCATTTATAAGGCACCTATCATACATACAAACAAACATGCAGCCTAAAGTACTTTACACAAGAACAGACACACAGAAAAGCTAAAATAATAAAAGACTAAAACAAAGATAAAAGTGAGTACCTTAAA